ATCGCATTACAATCCAACTTAACCAAGAGAGAACAAAGCCAACATAAACGAGGAGAAGACACACTGGGATTGACCCCCATACCCTAAGTCACCTCACTTAGATAATTCTAATAAACATCGCACCCAAGCAGCATAATCATCGTGTAAGATAATGCAATTTGGGAATTTGGAAATCATTCGGTTTGAACCCATTGACTTAGATAACTGCTGACATTAAGCCTTCGTGTACATTGATGATACAATGAAACTTATTCATCTATTTGACCTTTCTATCCATCATATACATTCATAAACTCTTTCCTAACAAAATTCTCATCTAATCTGTCTCAAACTGGAATCATAACTAGATAACCTATTAGATCGTTCACAGTCAGTAAAACTATCAAATCCAAACCTATTGAAGATGAAGATCTTGATAGTGTAATCAAAAAATTTCCTGATCAATATCTATTTAATAAATTTTTATTAATTTAGAGTTTAAAATAAATGTAATGCACCTTAAAACTTAAGAATAGAATAGATCAATTGATTTGTTTATGATAGAAAGCTAAGCAACAAATTAAATATCCTATGCAAAGTAAAATTAATTAGTATGCCTTGCCTGCAGCTAGTGGCTCAATTAATATAATGTTAATGTTGAAGAAAGGATTCCGGACTTAAATTATAATCTTTCAAAAAAGACTCTTTCAAATCTAAATTTAAAACGAAATGGAATGGAATCCTGTACACGATTTCCCTGGTAGATTAAAAAAAATGGCATTTGAAGAATGGGTTTATTTCATTGGTTTAGTGCTGACGAAAGTCTTGCAAATGAGATTTTTTTACACATTTATTGAGGATTTAAATGCCACTGTCAATTATAAAGAATTTATAATAGGTTTAGCAGCGTTCAAAGATGATACCATATTGAAAAATTGAAGAATTATTAGTCTTTTTTATTTATGTGATGAAGATGGCTCCTTTTAAGAAAGTGAAATAGAAATCTTTAACACTTTGAAATAAAATATCATCAATGAAATTGATAATTCTAAAATATATAATTGATGAATAAAATTATGCATTTAGATGTATAATTAATTAAACAACAATTAGTTAAATAGGATTAATTATAAAAACTTATGAAGGATTGAAGTTCTGAATAGAACTTTAATCAATTAGATCAAATAAAAAACCCTTATGAGGTTACATCAAGATTATAATTGGGATATAGACTATATTAAAAGAAATAAGTTATAGTGTTTTTATTCAATATGGCGGAATTATGCAATACAGCAGTTTAAGCTACTTATAATCCTATAGCACTGAAAGTTAAAACTGTATAGTTTAATATAGCTGAGTAGCATCTATGGGAAGAGCCTTCAATAGTCACTCTTTCTGCTACTTTGAATTTATTTATGCATCCATTATTACATTTTCCTCAAGCTACTTAATTATTCACAAGCGAAGTAACATTTTATTAAAAATAGTCTCTATTTTGACTTTACTAGGCGTCTAGTCAAGGGATTTAGTTAGATAATAGTAATAATGTAGAATTAATTTAATTTCATTTATGTGTATAGAGGTTAGGTATTGAGTGAATAAGCAGTCCCTTAATTTCTGAATTCTCAACTTCTAAAATGACTGTAGGCTCTCCAATCAATCGGAGAACGAAATTAATTACTACGTAGAATTTCATAATCACATTTAGTGGAATATTTGGATTTATTATCACATCCATATTCTTTGCTATGATAAATCTCCTTAAGATTTATTAGAAACAGGAGATTTAAGATTTATGTATTTGATTTTGGGAAGCAGCATTTCTGCAGTTTCCTAATTCTACTTAATCTTCTTTGAAACCAAACTAAAAACTCCTCCATCAGCAGCTGCAAAGGATCATCTTAAGTAACCTCTTTTACTAATAGCATTTTCGAAATTTTTAAAGATACTAAATTAAAAAATTACTAATTTTACTTTTTAGTTGCATTTCTTTCACTTTTTTTATTGTTTCTTTAAAAATATGGTATAATGGATTATTAATCATGATTCACCATTTTTAATGACCTGTTTCTGTATCAGTTTTGAAGTCACCATAATTTGAATTCTTAAGGAATCTATTTTATATTAATATCTACAATCTTTATTTTAGACTTGCACTTTAAAAGTCTGTTTAAGAAAGTCATTCGAATCATTTATATTTCCAGAATATTAAATGTTGACAAAAATTTGGTATTCCTTTCTATGAAACCCAGGTTTTATTAAAATTAGTCAAAAATAAATTATTGTGTTGAGATTAACGATTAAGTTATATTATTGTCAAATCTGTATAATTGTGTACAAGAACACGAAATAAGAAATGCTTACATCATTACAATTTGAAAAATGCTAACTTTTGAAAATTTATTTATATAGTTTAATTAAATTGACAGTATTTTCTCAAATTTCGAAATAAAAAAATAAAGTAAATTTAAATTCGAGTTGGAATTATAAAGTTATTCCTTAAAATTAGTATAAAAATAGTTGGACTTTTTTTATTATCAGAAGTATTTAATTTTCTAATTCTTTCTTTAGTTGAACCTCCATTTCCTATTCTGGAAATTATTATTTTGTTCTTTTGCTAAAATACTTAGAAAGCTGTTAATTTAATTTTGTTTTAAACTCCAAATTCTTTTTCAATGATCAATGGAAAAGTCCAAGAGTTTTAAAATCGGCAAAACAATCATTGGAAAGCCTAGCAAAATTAATATGATCGAACTTTGTTGCAATTCTTAGAAAAGTTTCTTTTATCAATGGATTATCAATTTATTAAATTAGACTTGGATCAATAGGGTAATACAATTATATTATAGAAACCGCTGATTCTGAGCATCTTTACCAACCAGATTGAATAGGAATGAAAAATACGAAAAATTGAGGGTAATAAAAACAGTGAATTTTTAATTTTCTAAAATTTTGTATTTTACTAAAAAAATACTGCATGAAGCTGAAATTAATATGCTGTTTAGCTAGTAGTGTAAGCAAATTTATAGAATTAAGTTTTAATGGGGATCGTAAAATTATGTCCAAATTTCAAAATTTGGATCATAATAAAATAGGTAATTATGTAAAAATATCTTTATTTCTCTATGTTTTAAATAATTTCATTATAAATTGTGATTTAATGCCCTAGAAAATCAATAATAAAAACATAAAAATAGATTTATCAGATGACATTCATGTACCTTCTCATTATGTGGTTAATCCAAGTATGTCTAGGCTTTAGATCCTTTTAAGCCCAATTTAAATCAGCCATATTTGATAAGAAATGCTTTGGTTCTTCATAATACTTTCCAGGTATCTACCCTCATCTCTGTGCAAGTTAGTTTATATATCTTATGTTAGGTATTGCAAAATAATGCATCGGAGCAACTGGATTAACTATAAGGTTTCCTCCTAATGGCCTTGAAACTATGTGTCATCCCTAGGTCTAAGGTTATGAATTTGGGCCAAACCCTAATTCTCATCTCTATTTTGGAAAATACCCCTATACTTTGGTTTATTCATATGACCAAAATGGAAACGTTATTTTTACAACTGAATCTATACCATAATTTTCTAATAATGGGTGCTTAATAGGATAAAAATATAATGGAGTCTATAAATGTTAATATTGCAGTAAGGCAGGATATGGGGAAAATTGTTCATAATCTTTTGCAGCTCTATGTATAAATTTAATTAATTCTAAAGAATGTGGCTCAAATTGTAAAACATGTGATCCAACTGTTTCATTTTGTGCTACTTGCGAAGATGGTTACTCTCAATTGAATAGTAATGATTAACTATGCACATTAAGTAGATATTATTATTATTCAAAGAATGTTAAGCAACTCATAAAACTTGTTAAAAAGTGGGAGGTGTATATTCATTTAGTGAATGTAAAGACGGTTATGAATTATCGAGTGGACAATGTGTTGGTAACCTTTATCATTTTATAGTTAGCTTGTCCAACTAATTGTAAGACGTGTTTTGAAGGAGACTGCTAAGTTTGCACATGGCCTTATGAATTAAAAGATTCTTAATGTTTGGGCGATAAGATGTGCATGAAATACGATTTTATTTATGATTCGAATGGAATAGCAGTTGACACAGATTGTCAATAATGTGATATTGGATTTTTTAAAAAAGGGACTCATTGTGTCTGTTATAATATCATTAATCATATTAGCTTGTCAGTAAACGCCAGGAACAGAAAATTGTTTTCTTTGCGATAAAGAAAATGAATGTAAAAGCTGCTTTGCAACACACTATTTGACTCCAGATAAAAAATGTGCTCTTATTATTGAAGAATGCAACCCGATTTGTCAATCTTGTTATGTTACTTAGCCTGATTATTGTACAACCTGCTTCACTTCTTAAAAGCGGAGTTCTAGAATTGTCCCAGGACAATGTGTGTGTGATTAAATGAAAGGATATGCAGAGTTAGATGGTGAATGTATCTTATGCACAACTGGATATTGTTTGACATGTACTTTAATATTTGGAGAATGTACATCATGTGATCCATTACAAAATAGAAGTCTAATTGGTGATAAATGTCCATGCATGCAAGGATATTATGATACTGGATTAGAAGATAAAATTTGTTAAAGTAATTTACTTAAGTTTTAATTTAGAATGTTATTATTCTTGTTACAACTGCTCAGGACCTTTGGAGAATAATTGTACTGATTGTGGAGATCCAAACATTTATCATAAAGAACTAGTTGACGGAAAATGCATATGTGCTCCAAGAACAATAGATGTCGTTTAAAATGATGGTTCAACTTTATGCAAAGGTAAAAATAAATGAAATTAAGACTGCCATCCAAGATGCCAAAAATGTTAATTTCCAAATGATAATTCATCAAATCAATATTGTTCAATGTGCATAGTAGTATAAAACAGAACTGTCTCTAGCGATTTAAAATGTGTTTGTAAGAAAGGATATGGAGAAGATGGCATTGTAGATATTTGTTTTAGTATTCTTTTACTTTATATTCTAGAATGTCATTATACTTGTCAAAGCTGCAACGGACTGTTGGCAACTAATTGTACAGTATGTTCGAGTTAAAAACAACGACATTTGACTGCAGAAAATAAGTGCTTATGCAATCCAGGATATTACGACACAGGAAGAAATGATACTCTTTGTTATTGTAAAAACTAAAGAATTATATTTAGTGGCTTGTCATAACTCTTGTCTATCGTGCAATTTATATGGAGAAGATAAGTGCACAGGTTGTCCATCCTCGAGATATCCTGATAGAATAGGATCTACATTTAAATGTTTATGCAACGATCCACATTATTATAGTGATGATGAATCATTAGAATGTCAAGAATGTCATTCTTCTTGTAAAACTTGTAATGGAATGAGTGAGACTAATTGTTTAAGCTGTGACTTAACCTATAGATAGTTAATCATATCAAAATGTGTTTGTCCTTATGGTTATTATGATGTAGGTACATTATAATGTTCAAGTAATATTGATTGTAATTATTAAGAATGTTTTTATACATGTATGACCTGTTATGGTTCTAACATTGATAATTGTATAACCTGCTTCAATGATAGCAATAGAATTGTTAAAGCTAATAAATGTGGTTGTTTGGATGCTTACTTAGAACAAAATGTTGGAGATACAAAATGTTAAAGTAAATACTGAAAAAGAATTTTAGAATGTTCATATCGATGTGCTTTATGCAGCGGATCTGTTGACCATTGTGACAAATGTCCAGATTTTTCATATAGAGATCTTGGAACCGACAATTCATGCAAATGTCCTCCTAAATCATACGATGAACCTGGTAATCCAAAATGCATTTGTAATAATATCAACTGAAATTAAAGTATGTCATTCTACATGCTTGACATGTAATGGTAACAAATCAAATTAATGTACATCTTGCAATACCTTAATTGGAAGATACCTTACCACAGGAGGAGAATGCTTGTGTGCTTCAAAATATTTCGATATCGGTTAGGCTGAATGCAAAAGTATAATTATAATAAAGGTTTTAATAGCGTGTAATAAAGATTGTCTTGAATGTAACATATCTGCAGATAATTGTACCTCATGCCCACCAGAAAAATATTTAAATGGAAGTGTTTGTATCTGCAAAACTAAACTTCAAGGCTTATCGTTATCTACTTATTAACCTTTAAATAAATTACAATGCCTTAGTATTAATAGTAAAATTTATAATAGATTGTCATTATTCTTGTTTAAAATGCACAGGAAGTAATTCTAATTAATGCTCGTCCTGTTAGATATCAGAAAAACGAATTTAGTCAGGCTAATCATGTAATTGCAAGGACAATTACTTTGATATAGGGAAACCTTTATGCTCCTGTATTAACTAACATTTATACTAGTATGTAATTATAGATGCTACACTTGTGTTACTTTGGAAACCTAATGTTTATCTTGTCCTCCTTAAAGTTTAAGAGTACTTAGTAATTCTTTATGTTAATGTCCAGCAGGCTATTATGATGATGGGGTGAATATTAATTGTCAGAGTAATTATATATCTAAGGATTAGAATGTCATTATTCATGTTCGACTTGCATTTAATTATCGACAAAATGTGTTACTTGCTCATTTATATCATTAAGATCATTCAACAGTAGTCTAGACTCTTGTCCTTGCAATGATAATTTTTATGATGCAGAAGTAGAAATTTGTTAAGCATGTCATTATTCTTGTTTAATTTGTGATGGCTAATTATCAAGTCAATGTAAGACATGCCCTGATTAAAACATATCTTTCAGGGTTTATAATAATAATAGTGGAAGTTGCTAATGTAAAATTGGTTATTATGATGATGGATATTCAGTAACTTGTAAGAAATGTAAAATTTAATGTTTTGCTTGCTAAAATTAAGAGTATACTTGTACTTCATGTCCATTAACTAGACATTTAAATGGAAATCAATGTGATTGTGATAAAGGTTATTATGATACAGGACAGGAAAAATGCACAGTGTGTGATTCAAGTTGTATAAATTGTATCCATAATTCAATAACTTGTACTGAATGTGATTCAACATAATCGAAAATTTTAGATAGTCAAACCCATAAATGTGTATGTGAAACTGGTTCAACTGAAATAAATGGAATTTGCTAAAAGTGCGATATTACTTGTAAAACCTGTGTAAGTTCACCTACATTTTGCACATCATGTGGATTATTGAGAGCATTAAAAAATAATAAATGTTAATGCATAGATGGCACATATGAAACTGGGACCAATAAGTAATGTTTGCTTTGTAATCAAACATGCTTGACATGTATCACTTAAGATAACTATTGTCTCTCTTGCTCAGCAGATAATTTTAGAATCATTAAAACTGGAAATATATGTGTTTGCAAGGATGGCTATTTTGAAGATCCTTTATAGTAGTGTGTAAAATGTGATTTATCTTGTCTTACTTGTCAAGGGAATTCTTAATTTTGCTTGACATGCGATTCTATGCTTAATTTATAGATTACTAATTAGAATAAATGCATATGTATGCCTAGTTATTATTTTAATACTTTGACATTGAAATGCGAAGGTAAAAAATACTTAAATATCAATAGCTTGCAACAAAACATGTAAAGAATGTTTAAGTGCAACTTAATGCTTAGAATGTGAACCTATAACTAGATATTATGATACAGATACATTGAAATGTCCTTGTAAAGATGGATTCTACGAAGCCAATTAGAAAATGTGTTAATGTAAAATTAATTTATATAAAAGAATGTGATTTCTCTTGTAAAACATGTGCAAATTAATCAACCAAATGTTTAACATGTCAATCTATATATTTTAGAAATCTGAAAAATATCGATTAATGTCTATGTCAAGATGGTTACTTTGATGTTGGAATTGAAATGTGTCAGAAATGCAACAGCTTATGCAAAACCTGTTAATCAAATTCAACAAAATGTTTATCGTGTTTTGAATCTGAATAACTTAGAATATTAACTACCAATTAATGCATATGTAAGCCCGGGTATTTTGATAATGGATAACTCATTTGTGAAAGTAATGGCATTTCCTATATTAGAATGCTCGAATACTTGCTTAACATGTTAAGGGAAGAATAATTACTGCACAAGTTGCGATGTCAATTAGAATAGGATTGATTAATCTGTAATTCACAAGTGTCCTTGTTTATCCAATTTCTTTTAAGATTAAAACGAAACATGTCAAAGTAACTTCATATTTAACCATTAGAATGTCATATTAAATGTTCTGGATGTACTTTAAAAATGGATAAATGCATAAGTTGCAAACCATCAAATACATCCAATCGATTGTCAATATCATAAAATTGTGATTGTAAAGATGGGTATTATGATGATGGAGTCTAACTCTAATGTTAAAAATGCTATTACTAATGTAAGACTTGCTAATAAAAACCGTCAAATTGTTTACTATGTTTGACTAATTTGAGAGAAAATCCTCCTCTTTGTAATTGCAAAGCTGGGTATTTTGAAAATGAATAATTCACTTGTGAACGTAATTATAGTGTTATTAATTTCTTAGCATGTGACAATAAATGTAATACTTGTGAAATTAAATCATCAAATTGTACAAGTTGTAAAGGAAGCAGATTTAACAAGGCATGTGATTGTTAAGATGGGTATTTTGAGGCTGGGTAGCCTAATTGTCTTTGTAATAATATTAAGAATTATATTGTTAGAATGTGATTTTAAGTGTCTCACATGTTAAGGCAGCCAATCCCATTGTTTGACATGTAGAGGAGATCGTATTAATTATCCAGAGTGTAACTGTAAAGAGGGACTTTATGATGATAATCATAGTACCAAGTGTAAAGAGTGTGACTTAAATTGCAAAACTTGTGATTAAGTAGGATGTTTAGGATGCAATGGAAATAGAATATTATCAGAAGACAAGACTTGCAATTGCCCTTTGAACTCAATTAGTCATGAAGGTACTCCATGGTGCTCAAGTATATTAACATATCATTATACTTATAGGTTGCGAGGTTGCTGTTTTAGATATTAGACTTTCTGATGATTTGCTATCAATCAAAGTCTTATTTGATTTCCCTTTAAATTTAAATTATTTTTAGTCTTAATTTAAAGATAATATTTGCTTTAAATTTTTGGCTGCTGAAACAATTAAGTAATTAGGAAATAACCCTCAATGTGTAATAGATGAAAAAAATAATAAATAATTAATACTGAAATTAGGTGATAATGCAGCCATACTTCCAGAAAATTTTATTCTATTTAAGAATAATTCATTCAGCCATAAAAATTGCCAAAAAAAATTAAATACATTTATTTTTAATCACGTCAAATATCCTATCAATCTATTATAACCTGAAATTCAATATGATCTACCTTAATATTTACTTAATCCATGCGATGATAATACTATTTTGATTAAGTCGAAAAGTTAGGATGGCTTTCGAGCTTTTAACAGCATAACATGGACTTATTTATTAGAAGGGCAAAATGGAAATGGCAATCTGAAAGAATTTGTCTTATATCAAACTACTTTTCAACAACTAGACCTAATGATTCCAATATAAACTCTACCGAAACTTTCGAAAATAACATTTTTTCTTGAATTTTAGAATTTTATTGGTCAGAAGGGAAAGTATCAATTTTAAGTTCAAACTCATAATGGAAATTATCCAACAGTGCTTTGGTTGGGACAGAAAAAATATTTTACTTTTGAAACAATAAATTTGCAATTTAGTATCTAGAAAAAGAATTGTTCTAGCTAAACTGATTTATAAAATGATAGTTCTGTAGATAACTCCAAATACTCTGTTTCAATAGTAGAAATATTAAGAAATGATTCTATGTCTAGGTCATCAAATGTCAATTTTTCTTAAATAATTAATGAAAATTATTATCATGTGACAATAGAAAAGTACAAATTAACTCCTTTAACTGCTTATACATTTTAAATGCAAACAAATGAATCTAAAACTAATTTTTCGAATTCTCAAAATATTATAATAGAAATACTTTAAGGAGGGCTTTTGTGTTAGTTTAATGGAACCAAAGATATTCAAAATTATAGGAAAGACTTAAAAGTAAATATCTAATGCATAGATCTCGATTATTAGTATGATTGGAATGAAGACCCAGATATTGCAATCGAAGTTAGCTGCACAGATTTAACACAAGGCACTGTTTGCATGGATATAAATAAAAAAGTAGTCAAAATTAACAAAACAGATTCAACTCAATACATAAAGAAAATGAATGTATTACCATTTACTATCTGGGTTTGGACAGTTATAGCATCAAAATCAGATAGAACATATAAATTCTCTTAAAATATCGTTTTCTTAGAAGATGATTTTTCAATCCTTGATGTTGATTACAGTAAGGGTTACATAATGAGGCCAATAAATAATTATGAGACATTGCAGTTTTAGTTTAATATCCCTTTCGAGGATAGATATTAATTGTTGTAATATTAGGTTGCTATCATTTATGATTATGAATTAGTAAAGATACTAGAACCTCTGTATTTTCAATATAAATTAAGATTGTATGATCAGTATCAAGAATTTAACAAAGGAAACTAATTTTATTTAAAGTTTTTTGCTCAATTCACAAACAATATAATTCCTAGTTAATAATAAATAAAAATGACATTGAATCAACCGCCTATTTGTATCATTTATTTAAAATCCTAAAGAGTCTAAGCTCTGTAATCATAAAAAATTGTGGCTAATTGTTAATTTTCTGAGGATTACCCATTTACATACTAATTGAGATATTTTTTGAATGAATAGGACTATTAGGAGTTTTAAAACAAATTATCGGACTATTCTTTGATTCTTAATGGTTTCTAAAGATTTAATTATTTTGAAGCCTTGTTACCTTATAGTAAAGGAGTTGCTCTGGTTTAAATAATGGATTCAAGAGGATCAATTACAAATATTGAAGAACATTTGGATGTATAAAAGATTGAACTTAATTGTACTGAATTTTTGTAGAGCAATTTCACTTATAAAAAATAAGTAATCATGTTATTAGAAGTGATAATGAATCATTATGATAAAGAAGGTTGCGTTTAATTTTAAGAATAATTAGTCAATAGTATTAAGGGCAAAATAGATTCAGATGATTTATTTGAATAATTATTGGCCCTTTAGACAATCAAATTATACAAAAGATTTAAAGTAAATTTGAGTAATTCGAATTTATCAGCAAGAGTATTAGCTGAAATTAATTAAGAGAGTTGTTACGATAATATGAGTTAATTATTCTTAATTAACAATAATAAAACTCAAAAGTATTCCTCTACAGATATATTCAATTTTGTGCTAGAATTTTAATAATTAAAAAACTCTGCATCAAAAATTCTATCGAAAGGAACAAACTTAGATGATGAGATCAAATAGAATGATATATTTTTGAATGAACAACTATTTCAATCAAAACAATAGATTTCAAATTCATTAGTAGCTATTATTCTATTTGTTGATGATTTATTTTTGAAAATTTCTTAAACAGCATTTAGTTAAAAGGAAGACAAAGAATAAATTTTTTAGTTATCAAAAGATTTAATTGCACTTATTGAAGAAATGTTGGAGTTTACAAATACTTAAGTTCCAGTCAATGGCCAAGATTTCGTTTTAAATGGATAGATTTTGAAGTATCAATCAGCAAAGGTCACAAAAGATGTTTTTAATCAATAAGAAGGTTTAGATAAAGATATCATGGATGGTCTCATTGTCTATGTTCAAAAAGAATAAATGGATATTTATTTTAATTACTTAAATGTCTCTGAAAAACATGTATAAGATATAAAAACAGTTCTGAATAAGTCTTCATCTGAAATAGATTAGAGTTTTTACACAATCACAAAATTACGAAATTACCTTTACAAAAATTAATATAGAGATTACGAAAAATTAAAAATAAATTATCTCATAGATGTTGCTTAATACTCTTATTGTGTGGACGTCTTGCTTCCTGCTTATAATTTTCAATGTTTTTAGTATGACAGCAGCGAAACATTATAATAATGTTAGCTATAAACAACCGAAATTAATAATAAAACTGTTCAGGTATCTTGCTAATGTTCTTAGCTCGGAATTATTTTTATGACTAAATACAAAAATTCATCCTCAGATGAATTAGAAATAGTATAAATATTGAACAGTATTTAAGCAGATGATACTAATTGTAATATAAATAATTAGCCATTCCTGTTGTTTCATGGTATTTATATCGTTTTTACTCTCTTCATATATTATGAATTGTAAAAATTTGAGATCCCTCAGAATAAAGATGCTTAAAACATTTTTACTGAAAGATCTCCTAAAGCCTCTGATGAATAAAAATAAAAATATGATCAACTTAAGTGTTCTCCTGGAAACTTAGAAATCTTTAAATTTTCTTTTAAAGTAATATTTTATAAATTATGAATAGTTTATTCATGAAATAATTTGTTTATTTTACTTTGAAGATCGAATTATCCCAAAAAGCTACAGATTCTTAAAACTATCTGTATTTTTAACTATTTTAATTCCGTTATCATATTTTGAAACTTTTTTTATCGAAATAGTAACATTTATTCCTCTTTTTATAATTAACTACATTTTACTACTTTTATTAAGAACAATTTTTAAGATATTTGAATCCATTTATAGATTTCAAGGAATTTCTAGGACTATTATAATTAGTATATTCTTTTTAATTCATCTTTTGTCATATGTATTATCTATCTATTTATCTCTTCTAAAGTAAGCATGATAAATATTTTAGGGGTTAATGCCATCAAAATTTTAATTTAAAAATGTCAATTGTTCTGGGTTGTTCGATCATACTGAGTTATGCTATAGTAGATATCCTAGTCATTTATTGCAGAATAGTTCTATTTAGATATATAGTAACTCTAATGAAAGAAGATGAGTTCAACCCGATAAATAGATTTTTTTACTTCTTTATTTAGCATAACAAATTGTCAGAAATATTCTTAGAATATACTGTTATATGATCTTAGAAATTGTAAAATAAATCATTATGATAATAATTCTATAAAATCAAATTAATATATAAATTATAAAAATGACTCTTTTAAAAATATGAAAGTAATTACATTTATTCAGAGATTGTGTAATTTAAATTTGATAATTTATTCTTAAGTATAATTAGTTAGAGTTAAACATCAGCGATAATGTGTATAAAATAATTTCGTTGTTCGATATCAATGTACCTTGATGAGATATTTGGATAATTTAAATACAGTATTACGACACTAATTAATTTTAGTTTGATCAACTATTAATTTAAAAATAGATGGCAATCCCATATTTTTTAGTAATTGAAATAATAACTTCTTTTTAACATTTAATTTATCTTAATTTTATTTTTGTATTCACAATTTAAAATATATATATCTAAATGCTAGTTTATAATTAAGAGTATTTCTATATGATGTAAATGATATTTAATTAAAACTTGCAATTTATCATAGTAAATTATGATCAATTAAAAATGGCGATATTATTTAACAAATTTTTCTATTTTTTATCGCTAAATTATCTGAAAGGATTCTAAAAGTTATATAAGAGATGAAGCGGGATCAACTTTCTTTAAATAATTCTTCCTATTCGTATTTTATTTAATTGATAAAATATCATATTTATAAATTAAACTAATCCTTTAAGTATTTTTTATTTTCCAAAATTGATTTTACATGATAAATGATTATTGTTGTTCGAATAAATGACCAGGAGAAAGGACTCTCTATTTTATATAAATTAAACATTTTATACTAGTGAAAATAATCTAACAAAGGTGATTTTAGCTAAATTTAATATTATATATGAAATAAATCATTGAACTGTTTGTCTCATTTGATCTAATTCTGACAACGTGTTCTTACTTAACATTTATTCATGTTTAAGCATTTCGTCAATTATTCCTTTTTTGGCTTAAGATTTTTCTTTCATTTGGTCAAGTAATGTATCCTAATATTCCTTATAGATTTTCTTTTTTTCAATATCTCTATCTTTTTCAAATTAAAAATAATTAGTAGTATCTTCCTTCCACAAGGTAGCCTAAGTTTTAACAATTTTTTTACTTATTCTTGATCCTTCAATTTTTCTCTTTGTTTTTATACTTCTTTTTCTTCCATTTATTTATTCAAGTACTCTCTTGTTTTTAATTTGGTTTCCCACTTCTTTCTTTCGGCTTCCTTTTCTAATTCTTATAGTCTTCTCTCCTTTCTTTGTTCATATTTATCTGCTCTTTTTTCTAATTATCCAATTTTTTCTAACGAAATAGATATCTGTTTTACTTTCCAGTTCTTTTTCTTACATTTCCATAGCCTTCTCTTAATATTGTTTAATTTTTTCATCTCTTTCCTTCATAGCTTTCTACCTTTCTTCTTCTTATTTATCTAGTAATTTGCAATATGCATCCATTAATCTGATATTCTCTTGTCTTTCATCTTCCTTTTCCTTCTCTTACAGTTTTTTCTTTTCTTCATTTTCAGCCATCAACTTTTACATAACCTAATATTGATGTTCTTTTTTGAATTATAGGAATTTTTATTCGTCATCTAATTCTTCCCTTACTTTTTATATCATATAGCTATCTAAAGCCTTTTCTTATTTCTCTTCATTTCTTCTATTCTTCTTAATTTCCTTGACTTGCTAATCTCTGGCTTATTTCTCAATCATTTTAATTTGTTTAGCCTAATAATTGAGAAAAGACATACTCTATCAATTTTTTCTTATTCTTTTTAATCAAATATAATGTGCATTGATACAACTAATTTTCATAGAATGCATTTTCTTCCCTTTTGCTCACGCTTTTTTTAGACTATTTTTCAACAACTTATTTATCCAATTCTTCTTTAATCTTTTTCTTTCTTTCTACTTCTCTTTGTTTTTTAATATCAGTTTCCTTATCATAGAGATATTTATTGTATTTGTATATTGCACCCCATTAATTTTCTTCATTAAGAAATGCCAAGTCATTCTCAATTTTCTTGGTATGCAAGCCAGTCATTTTCTAGCTCTTCTTTTCCTCTGTGTTTTTTTCAGTTTTATGTGTGTATTAATCAACCATATCAAAATTGGAAGCTCCTGACATTTTTGAAACAACTGATTTTTAATCATCTTCATCTTTTTACTTAACTTGATTTGAAGATTACTACTATTGTAATTGTGGCAATGCCTTTTAGCGACTTATTTCTTATTCTAAATTTTAGATCCTATAAGTTTAATAAACTCAAATACCCTTCGGCAGTTATAGTTTAATTTTGATTAAGATAGCTATTCACTTTTGCATGTATTTATTCTGTCAAATCCAAACCATACTTCTTAGATAATCTATCAGCTATTTATCTTTTAATTTCTTCCCTTTATTCCGAAGTGTAGTTTTTACGAGACAATGTCGCTTGCCCTGCTGATTATAGTTTATTTTTTGGATAAATCATTAATTATATAAATAAAATATCAATTTTTAATAAATATTATATATTTCAAAACCCTTGTTTGTTCCATTTAAAAAACAACTACAAGTAAAATTAATTAGTCACCTTTTGGTACAGAAGAAAAATAATTTAATTTAATAAATATTTTAAGATATTTTGATCTTAATTATCAAAAAATAGAACAACATGTTAACCCCATTGCATTCTTTAGTTGAGATTAAAGTTATATGCCTTGGAAACTTGTAAATTCCCATTCATTGTACATGATGAAATGCATCAAACACATAATGATAGCTAATTTATCTAATTTTGTGACATTGTTGAAAGTTATTTAATAATTTGGATAATCAGCATATCTACACGAATCACAACAGCATACATCCTTACAACCACAAGTTTTATAACATGCTTATTTTGATGTTCTTGTGTTTATGATTTGGCAATCACCTTAACTTAATCCAGAAATTTCAAATTTTCTAATTAATTTCTTACAATCACAAATTGAATAACAGCCTGCCATTGAATATGGATGTTCAGGGCAATTATTTTTTTCAGCCTTAAAAGTGATTTTGTTAGCATATTTATAGTTTGGTTAGTATACCTACATTTAAGGCATAGTTGAACCCTCGGATGCAAGTGCAATATCTTCAATAGCTTTTCCACATTATTCAAATTCTAAGATTAAAACTCCTTATATATAGAGTCTACCAAATTGCCCACATTCGAAATTGATTAATTCATTCTCTAAAAAATAGCCAGTTCCTCCAAATCCATGCGAATTGTTACAACCATGATATTCAGGTTATTTTGGCTAAGGAACTACTCTGATATACCGTCTAGGAAAAATTTGAGCCAATTTTCCAACAAGAAATGCGTTGTATTTACAACAACAACAGGGTATTTCAAAATCAAACTTCCAATTAAACTTACCTAAAACTGGTATTTCAATAATAGACTCTTCATAGAATCTACCTCCGCAACTTTGACATTTTGGGGATGTATTGAACAAATTGTGAACAACATTCATGGTATTTGGAATCTCTGGTAATGTAGCCAAGGCTTCCTCTTAAGTTAAAGGTTTTGGTGAAACTTAAATGGTATTAGGTGGCTAAATCTTATTTTCTGGAAGTAAACTCTCATTTTGCTGATTATTCTCAGTCTAATATTCTTGCTACATGATTTAGAATTTAAATAAATTAAAAATATTTATGTTTTTTTTATTCTACACGTTGAGGCCTTCTATTAAATATTTATATAATATTCAATAATCAATAATCAAGATATGTCTTATTAAAATTGAATACTCCTCTAAATGAAAACTATTCCCATCTACCAAATATAGTATAGCTGATTGTTGAAAAAATTAAACCTAACTTTTGTATTTTTGTTAAATTTTTGAATTTCATCTCAAATTCTGGGTAATCAATGAAATGATAACATCTATCTTAGCAACCACATTGAGAAATCCAGGCATATTTTTTTTCTCGACGAGCAGTAATCCTTGCTTCTGCGTTTTCTCCAACAGTAGCGACTATCTTACGTTCTAGTTCACAAATGCCTGCCAAGGAACATAATGTACAACAATAGAAGCAAGGTCTTGGGTTTGTTGGGCATTTATTGCCTAAAGGTTCAAAATAGATTTTTTCATTTTTTTAATTCAACGGATTTGTGAAGCATACATGAGGGAAATTTGATTTGCAGCTAGCAAAAGCGAGATCAGCGTAATTCCTGCCTGACAACATAAATTCAAGTACTAAAGTATCATAAATGTATAGTTTTGCGTAATAATTAAAATGTTCAAATCTGATTTTATCATTTTTTAGTATATATAAAGGCATCATATAATAATGATTTGCTTCATAAGGACTTATACAATTGCAACACTAACAACACTTATCAAGACCACAAGTGCAAGGAAGAAATTTACAACACTTAGCACAAGTACAGTCACTGCAGCTACCACCACCACCACCGCCACTGCCGCTCCCATCGCTTTCTCCACAGCAACGGCAAGAGAAACAGAGACATTAACAATCACATTTTGGGCATATAGAGTCTTTACATTTCCTCCTAATATGCCCTCCTAAGGTTAGTACTCCTATTTATGGAAGATAGAAATTAGACACTTCTTATTTCTCTAAGCACGTATCTTTATATTTAAAGTCGTGAATTAAAGTCACTTCATCAGGAATCTCATCTATTCTGTTAATTGCATCTTCAACTGTTAAATTTTATTCTACTTTCTAAAATAACTTGAAATATTCAGTACATGTTAACTTTTCACATGCTCGATGTCATCATCGGCAATCCCAACTTGAGCCAATTTCTGCTTTGAATCCGGAGGCCTAATGTACATCTTTTTATTTATGATATTAATTGTTAATAAAATGATCTCTACATATAAACTTCAGAATATCTAATTCTTAACACAATATAATATCTTGAACATTTAGGTAAGTAGCTATGACGATTTAGGACCTGAATTAATTATTTATCAATCCATTTTCTATTACCAATAATACTCATAATAATTGAAATATATTAAACATATAAAATATCTAATTTTATTGAGACCCTCTAACCCTAATAATATTAGTGTACATTTTGGTATTAGACTAAAATATAAAGAGTATATTCAAAAGTATCTTTTTTTTTATAATATAATTATTTCAAGAATATGCATAAGTTATGCTACTAAAGGAGTGCTAAGTATCAATATAACACCTCTTTTTGATAACAAAGGCTAGGAGGCTGTTAAATTTTATTTTTCAAAAATCATGTCTCAGAATTTTTATTTAGCATTAGCTTTACTATTGGCTTTCTAAGAACTTTTTTAATTATGAAATCATAATATTAACAGAAAATCGTTAGGGTGAGAATAATATATTGAAAAAATCAACTCTTTATTAAGTTAATATAAGAAATAAATAATTAACATAAATTAAAAATTTAATTAAAAAAATTATATTTATTTTGAAATATTACCTTATGTGAATAATGAGTAAGATATTATTTGGAAATATAATTATATTATTTTAACAATCCATTGATTTATGAATTGATCATTAAATTATATTACATGTTATATATCATAACTTATATTTAGTAGCATCACTTACTGTAATTGGAATGGGATTTCTTTATTTCTGATAAACTCCTCCGTACTCATTGGATAACTCTGACTTTCTCACATGTCTAGCTAGATAAGCAGTATTGGCTAAGGGTATGAATAAATATGAATATTGGCTTGAAGTCAACATTCCAATCGCTTCCTATGAGACTTTTTCGATGTTTAAATTTATAAGAATCACTTTTCTAATATTTAGGAAATAATGCTTGTATGTTAAATTCACCAAGAAGTTAAGCAATATTTAATTTACAGCTTCTTGCTGCAAATCATAAACCACAATGATATGATTGCTGAGTTTGTTTATTTTGGCTATCTCGTAAAACAGATATTCAAAAAAAAATAGGAGGTATTGCTAAATAATTTCGACATTGATTTTATCTAATTTTATAGACAGTACTAATCCATTTTAGAAATCCACTCCAATGATTCTGATTGCTTCTTTTAAGAGTTCATTTTCTATTGGTCTTATGCTCTATCTGAATTCTTGATTTTGCTTTAAGATTTCACTAATTTTATTTAGATTGAATGATTAACTTACCAGAAGAAATCTGCACAGGCTTAATTCCAAGTTTTAGTTTAGATTTGAGACTTCAATGATTTGTTTTGTTAGTGTTTTGCTGTGTGGATCGTAATTTGAAATTCCTAATTTTTTTGAATAGATCTATATTTCTTTTAAAGGAATTGGATAAAGAAATGAATTTCTTATTTTTTCTGACACGTATTGTCGTTTAAGTTGAGAAGGCCGTTCCTTATTGTTAATATTGGTTATTTGCTAAGATCGAGAAAGACAACCATGTTCTAGATTACCCATTGAAATATAAATTAATCAATATTTCTATTTTTTTATTAAAAAATATTAAATAATTTGATTAACAGTTTTTCTATCTATAGTAGAATGGTAATTGTGTAGGGTTTTAGTTGGGGAGAGCTTTAAGAAATAACGAGTCTTTGGGTAAGGAGTTTACTCCAATTAGAGGCACTCTTCAGATTTCTTAAATTCTCCTTACTGACCCTTCAATATAGAAAGCAATTCTACAGTATAAATCAGGTTTTACAGAAATATTGCAAGGTTAATTAATCTAAAGCGTTTTCGGAGAATCTGATCATCCTCAAGTTCTGCTTAAAATTATAGAAATTAGTTATGGCTTCAATCTATTGGTTCATTTAATATTGTTCCTTTAAGTATATTAAGTTATTCTATTAAAATTTCGAGTATTTAATTAAAAGGTTTAGAGATTTGGTGATTTGATTCAAAATGATTAAAAATAGAAAGATAATTCCAACGGCAACAATGACCAAAATTTGTATATCTTTCTAAAATTCTGATGCGAATAAAAAGTATATATTTTGATTGAGTTAATCAACTTATTGGTAAAGTTCTGTCATATTTTTGAATCTTTAATGATAATTGAACAATTTACATAATCACTATTTGAGGTGGATATGGAGGATATTCAAGTTATTTAGCAATTATAAGGACTTCCTAACCGTACAATGAGTTGTATCTACAGAGATAGTCGGATACATCTTGGGAGCAATTACTTAGAGATCGAACATCATATTAATTTGAGGTGTCATTAATTTTAAGGGATATTGAATCCCAATCGACTTAATTGAAACCGGTAATTGACTCATTAAAAAAGAAAATAGGCGTAGTTGTATTTTGAGGGTATTTGAATTATCCTATGATAATTTAACCTTTGCTGTTAGTTAAGATATAATCTGCATTGAAGTTTTTTTTAAAGACATTAAAATCCATTAAATTAAAAACTACCCCTGCAAATTAATTATTTTTATTAGTTAGATTTTGTGATATGGCAATAGTGTACGAGCCAAAAATTGTTGTAAATAAATCACTATATTAGTATTAATGTCCATTTTTCATTTATTTCAAGTGGCTTACATACCAAGACCTTTGATGAGCATTATAGGATAATGTGGAATTTAAGGCTGGCCAAGTTCCTAGTATAGGGATTGAATCGTCTGAGGTATAAGCTATCCCTGTTGCTATGAATTAGGATGCGTCAAAAATCAATATGGTTTAATGAAATAAGGAAACGATCTAAAACTATTTTTAGATTGATGTTGATAACTCTGTATAGTTAGTTGAATCATATTAATAGGCCATGAGGCAAAAGAAAGATTTAGAATCTGGCGAAGATATATTGGATGGACAGTAAAATGGGGTTTAAGTGTTGAGAATATTTTCGTTCACATCAACAAATAAGTAAATATTTTGAAACATCCTTTGTTTTCTGAATACTTTAGCATAACTCTATATACATACTTTAGTTTATTATTGTTTTCAATCTGAGATCGTATTAAGCCAATTGGCCCTTTAATTGGTTGTTGGTTTCTTTGATTAATACATTCATGGAATTGGACAAAAAGGCCTGCTACATGTAGTTGAACAGAGTTATATTGCTAATAACCACGATTGCCAAGACTATGATGACAATAATAATAAACAAAGCAATAATTTAGGTTCGAATTCTAAAGTTTGATAAATCCATTCTTAAATTATTATAATTAAATTATGAGTAAATGTAATTCAATAATGTAATTGTTTTTCTAATCAAAAAGAACAATTTCAAATTAATAATAAAAAAATTAAACAAATGATAAATATCATTTAAAGTGGTTAAATTCATATGACATCCTGATAATTAAAGATTTTAACTATCCCATCCGCACCTCCTGTAGCTACATACTAGTTATTGCTTGTGATTGTATATATTCCTTCGTCATACTTTTATTTATGTGCCTAAAATAATGAATTATTAGATTACTGGTATTTCGTGTAAACATTAGAATTTTCGAATATCCCATGTTCTCATACTTCCATCATGACTCACACTCGCCAATTGATATACATTCTTTGAGAATAAACATAAATCAGTGACAGCATCTGTATGGCCAATAAGAGTCTTACAGACTTTGCTTGAATTCAAATCAAAAAATCTAATTTTATGATCATCATGACCCGAAACAATATATTTGAGTTCATTATTAAACAGAATTCTGTTAGGTTAAGCAAAGGTATTGAATTGATTGTCAAGATCAAATCTAATTTATTAAATGGCTTTAACAGTCGTCACATCATAAACGATGAATGTCAAAGTGTCACTGTATCCACAAATAATATTTTCATTGAATCCCTTGCAAATCCATTCAATGGCTGTAGGTATGGATAACCCAGTCATAGATTTCTTAAAGGTGAAATTGGCCAAAGGATTCTACAGCATTTCCAAATTCAAATTCCCCTTCCTTATTAGATCATATTGATAACACACTCCTAGAGATTTCCACATCTTTACAGATCCATCTGCAGAAGACGACAGCAATCTCTGATCATGTGGATGATGTTTCAATGACCAAATCACGTCCGTATGGGCACGCCATGAAAAGTACTGATTTGTAGACACTATATAGGATCGTATGGTGCCATCAACTCCTGCAGAATACAAATGTATTTGAGGAGATTTAAAGTAGGAAGTCATTGTAAAAATTGGTCGATCATGTTCTATTTAATATGAAGATATTGATGTACATCTAATAGTTTGGATGGGTTCTAAATGAGTCTAAGCATTCATTTATTGAACATCATTGAGATTCCACAATTTTATTGTACAATCCTCTGAAGAAGTCACAATATAATTATTTTGGAATATAATTGACCTTACTCCATCCAAATGACTTCTCAATTAGCCTTTTGTTGAGAAGATCTCCTTTCCGACTATTATTTCTCTTTCAGTCATACTCATACTGTTCACCTCATTCTGACTAGTTTCCAGCGTTTGTTTCTTCCTTTGTAATGCAAAGTTGAGTAATTCTGAAGCTCCATTGCTGTTGCTTCTTTGATGATGATGTTTTTATCTTTGTGAACATGTATTGTATGTATTTTGGTTAATTAAGATTTGGTTTATTTTGGCACTTTAAAGCAACTACAAATTAATAGGAGAGTGGATTTAAATTTAGTTTTAAACTTATTCTTCTTGAACATCTTCATTTTTCAACTCTTTAAGAAAGCTAGATTTATTCAATTCATTACTTTTATAAGAGAGGCTTCTTGTCCTTCTACAATATTTTCTCGATGTTTGGTTGAGTTATTAATTTTTGTTCATTCATTTCGTTTTTTAAGAATGTTCCATTGTCACTCTTAACCCGATGATGGAATTTTTTTTTTGTTTGTAGTTTTAAATTATCTGCAATTGGTTTGAAAGAAACTTTGAATTGCTCCAATTTCTCAAGTCTTTCTATTAGTTATTTGTTCAGATTTCTCTATTCCTCCAATTATCCCTTCAATTCCATTATTGCAGTCTGTTTCATATCACAATACTCATTACTTAATATTCAAGTCTTTCCTTCTTCCACTCCTCCTCTCTATCCAACACTTCTCCTTTTAGATAATCAATGACATTGTTAAAGTTTTACATTTCAGATTTTATGAGGGTGCTAGAAATGCTTATATAAATATATAATTAATAAAAATATTCACTAGATATTTATTTTCAATATATATTATTTCCATTTCTATTTCAACACTAAATATACCATAATATCAACTATTATTATTCCACCTTTCCAATTAACATTACACTTGTCTACTGCTTCCTTATTGATTACACTTTTTACACAATAAACAAACAGCGAATATCGAGATTCTCTTGATTATTAGTAATAATTAATTTTACTTATCACATAATAATTTTAAGTAAATAAAAAATATTCGTTAATGAGCTAATTCACTTTTATGAAGAAGTATTTGTAAAAATAGACATCCGAAACTAAAATGCACTGCGAACCTCTAATTACCTTGACTATTGAACTAGATGAAAATAAATATAGTCAAATCAACATATATGAAGACTCTAATCCAGAAATACTAGCATCTAACTTTGTCACAGATAATTACTTAAGCATGGCTTATGTTGAACCACTCAAATAGAACATCATCTAGCAAATGTTGATGTATGACTAAATGAAGGTAAATGCCTCAATTTATACAATAGAAATAAGAAAAAGACAAATAGCCTCTTTCTCAATGGGAAACTGTTAAGAAATAACAATAAAATAAAGAAAATCAACAATCAACACCAACTAGGAATTTGAACACCAAAAGACACACTCCAGAAAAAACCATGCCAACTAATCTAAAATCAGAAAGAAATCTATCTAGAAATAAAAGGTTTCAGACTGAAGATATGAACACTCATGATAGACTCTACCAATAGACCAAATAAACAAACAATATCAAACAATAAAAAAAAGAACACGAATAAATATCAAAGCAAAAAGACCCAAATCTCACTTTTAAACCTAAAACTAATAACATCCAAACAAATAATAAGAGTAAGAGTCCTCAATCTAATTAAAATTAATTTTATCTTCAGCCAACTCAATAAAAATAAGTGTAACTAAAAAGTCCCAGACTCAATTAATTGTATTAAAACAAATCATTTGAATTTTTGCTTCCCAAAAAAGAAGTCAAGATTTCTATCTTGGAAAACGAAGAGAGTGTGACTTAGTTACCTAAAACATAAGATTCTCCAAATGTATCATTTTCTGAAGAGAGTTAGTTTAAAAACGATAGTCCTTATACTTCAGCCTAAGAGGAGAATTGTTTATATTAAGCAACCAAAGATTCAGACGAAAGAATAGTAGCAAAATTATTTAAAATGATTGAATCAAACAACGTAGTAGATGCACGCAATATACCATACGAAAAGTTCAATTATCAATTAATAGTTGAGCTTAGACTGCATTTTCAAAAGAATGATTTCAAAATTATGAATTGTGAATAGTTTTGTTAGAGCGTATTGAGGAATGCTAAACTAATCAAAGTATTTGTATTATAATTTTCTAGTTTGCTACTGATTTTTTCAAGTTTGAGAATGTGCAATACTAAAATACATGTTATTATCATTGAATGATGATATATATATTACTATTTTATCATAAGATCAAATGTTTTCAAATGTGTTCAAATGTTTTCTTCATAATTTAGAACACCTAATAGTTATTAATTTAATTATTATTACTCATGTCTCAGCAAATTAGTATAAGTAGAATACTACATAGTTTTCTGAATCTTCTGCCTCAGAAAAAGATCTACCTCATGGCTTCGCTGAATAAATCTTGCTATGACATCAATTTTGTGTTGAGTAATTTTACTAATCTAGATGCCTTGAATCATTTGTATATGGTAACTTTTTTGTAAATGCTTGCTTAGAAAGGAGTTGAATACTATGAATTTTAGCAAGATCAATAATAGGAATATTTTAAATACAAATTACAATGGTTGATGAATCATACAGTCGAAATAGAAAAAAGTAGAAATGCATTATCCATCTATTCAAGAGAAATTATTGTAAAAAATAGAGCCAGATGAGAAAAATCAGGTTCAATAATTAATCACTAAGATTCAATAGGATAAATAAAATCATTTGAAGTTATATTGTAATAAATCTATTTCAGCTTATATCGAATGAGATAAATGATTAACAATTGAGAATCAATAGCGAACTAATATAGAGATCACTTCAAAGAATGAAAGAGATATTAAATAATAACAACCCTACATTAATCATAATCAGTAGTATCATAATTAAATTCAGAATCTCAATAACATCAAATCAATGAAGCTAAACTTGAAGAAAAACAAACCTATATTTATTCGAAGCATATATCATCCCATAAATGAAGTATTCTGTAAAAAGAATGTATTATAACTTATACACATATTAATCAGATAATGACTACAAAAATAAACACGAAGATTTCCGAAAATAAAATTATTAATAGTTTCCAAGAACTGGATTAATCTAAAAAATAATTCATTTTATTTTTCAATCTATTCATAGCTTAATTTGCATAATCAGTCTAATCTTTAAAAATTAAAAAATACATCTTCGTGTAATTAATCTATCATTCCATTTTATTCCTTGATTTATTTGCTTAGATTTTGCGATGAATATTTGATATTAAGGACCTTGTCATTAATCTTACTCAGATATTCATCCTATCTATCGGTTATTTCACCGTGCATCTTAAGAGCGTCCATTTACCCAAAACTTTCATAATTCTTTTTGTTTGCTATCAATAGAACATACCAAAGTACATTTATTTTATGTCAATTATTGTTATAAATAGTTTAAGTGATTCTGTTCAATTCGTTTTTTGATTTCTTATCGTTTTTAAGCTAATTCATTGTATAAATTTCTCCTTTTCTAAATTTCCTTAGCCAACAAATTGCAATTCTAATTGGCGGTATATCCTTTAATTTCTAAATCCAATTAATCCAATTCATTATCTAAATTAAATTTCCAGATTCACCTAAATATTTTATAGTGGAGTTGATTTCTGCATCAATGAGGCCAGTCGATTTACTCTGTTATTTCAGTTTTTCCCTTGTTTATAGATCGGTCTGTATTTAATTTATTCTTTTGGAGGCATTGTATGCAAGTTCTGTAAACATGGCTGATTAAGAATTTTATATAAATTACAACTATTTACTTTATAATAAAATCTTAATAAATTCATAATTTTCGTACACGACATGATAGCGCTACTATTATAGAGCTTTATGCTGAAGTTGGCTTAAGCGATTAACTGCTTTGGAAGGTTTCGAAAAAATTTGTATTTTATGGGTTTTATTATATATATAAATATAAAATGTATAATAATTTTGGAGATGAGTAATACAAACTTAATAAATGGTGTCAATTCATCGATCATAAAATTGCACAGTTTTTCAGCAAACACCTTTTAAAGCACAACTCAATCAAGGACTACTTCTATGACTTTATAAATGCACTATCGATAATAATAATTAGATTCACTTTAAAAACCAATGATAATAAATTACCTACCATCTGTCTTATTTTAGTGATTATGCATTTGCTATTAACCATTAAACAGAAACTTCGTAAGGTTTAGAATTTACTCAATCATCTTATAGATGTATTTGTTTTGATTTCTATGTTAAACTTTAGTAGAGAAAATGACAATGAATTCATAATAAGGCTTGCTCTTCAGATTGGGATTTAGACTTCAAAATCTATGATATTTTAATATGATTAGTTTAGTATGGTTTTTTAGAATATCATCAAAATTTCATCAATAACAATCATTAAATGGTGTTTAATCAAAGATTATAAGTATGAATTTAATTTTATTTTAGTACATTCAAAATAATAGTATTGTTGGCTCTCTTGATATTTTATTAAATAATATAACTCCTAATAGTTACAGCATACTCCTATGCATATAAAAATATCTGGATCAACAATGAGAGAATGAAAAAGAATAACCAAATGATTGAAAAACTTCTTTTTGAATTGCCAGTAGGAATCATATTGTTCAATTCAAATGGTGAAGCACAATTCCAAAATTCAATTTCATATAAATATCTGCCAAAATCAATCGATTTAGTAGCCAAAAAATATGCATCCGATGGAGTGTAGACATATTAGGATTTAATTTTGATGGAAGGCGATAAAGAGAAGTTTCAAAAGGTTTTTGTGGAAACCTTGGAATCCACAGATCCAATAATAGTATCCTTTGCATTCTAAGGCCATCCCATGCCCATCAGTTGTCATTTGAGAAAGCAGGTTTTCAATAAGAATTCAGTAGTGGAAGCAATTTTCATAGAGAAATCTGATGATTAATCTCTGATTTATGAAAGAATATCGTAGAGCTTATAGATCATGAAGATCCAATAGATCTCTGAGATTCTGTCTAAATAACCGGAAGGAATTAAGTAGCAATTATTGTAGGCTTTATTTCCGATGTTGAGTAAAACAGATTATCAGAAGTCTGATTAGATCGTATGCAATTTGAAGAATTACTTCAAATTTTTCGCTGATTGTCTGTAGATCATCTACAAAACGAACCCCAATGTAAGAATAGAGAACGATGTTCCTGATTAAGCCCTTATTGACATAGTAAAGATGCACGGCATTTTAACATAAATGATATCTTACATCTATTAGGAGCATCATAGGAAGTAGGCGATGCAAGGAATTTCATCGTAAAGGTAATTAATCCAATAGAGTGATAGATAAATTCAAAGAGACATGAACAATTTCTCGTTAATTTCTTTTACTATTTCTAAGGGGGAAGAACTACAAATAACAATCTAAATCGATTATCACAATTAAATTCAGGAGTTAGAAATGTTATTTCAGAGATTCGACTTTGAAGCATTGAAAAGTTATGATTTTAGATTGTAATCTTTATAAGATGAAGATTTAACATATACGTCATTTGTTCATATTTTGCATTAGATTTACTAAATGGAAGGGCGAATAGAATTATGTGAAAGATTGGATAACATAAAGATTCAAATGAATATTCCGATGAGAGTCACAACTGAATATCAAGCGGTTCTTTTAGATCATTATGTTAGCATGGGTAAGTTGGATACCCAATCCAAAATCTATTCAATAAATAGTGAATTATTCTAGGCTTTCAGGATAAAATCTACAAAAAAGATTACCTCCACTCAAAGAATAGCTCCATAGCCAGCTCCTAGACTGAATGAGGAAGCAGTAAAGGTTTAAACATCCTTAAGTGAATAAAAGCCATTTTAAATTTGTAAATGCTTTGAATTTACTTACCGTCCAAATGTTGTAAGTGAAGAGGAGAAATTGGAATCCAATAAAATTGTTAGTCCCAACTTATCTCCCATTAACAAACCATCCACTTTGAAGTAAGCAGATGTTGCTACATTTGATATTGAGGATAGAATCAATACACAAATGCATTCGGTGGAAAAGGCAGTTTCTAAGGTTTTGGAGCAAGTGCTATCTGAAATTATGACATTTAAAGGAAAAAGAATCAATGTTCATTTTAGAAATTCTAAATAAAAGCAAAAGTCATTTGAAACCTCTCCCAGCAGTAATCATTTCTAATCTATATATTAGATTCCTCAGCTTAACAACAATAGAACTAAAGAAATACTAGTGTGCCAAATTTATAATAGTTTCGTACCACCATTCCTGAACAAAGAGAGATCAATGTTAATCAACAATAAATGTAATAATTATAACAATTCCCCAATCAATCCTTGTTTAAGTAAAATGCTATTCAATAAATACCCATCTAATCATCACAGAATTTTGGAGGCGGATCCACCTCTTCTCATTAATAATAATAAATGAACTCAGTCCAACAACCTAAAAGGAGTCAAGGAACTTAATTATTAAGGTCTCTTAGGGAAAATGATTCCAAAGTATAGCATTTAGAATAAAGTGATCAATTTAATCAAATAAAGCCAGATGAAAATAACGATGATCTTAAAAATTCAGTTAAGTTCATTCCTTCTACATAAGAAGATCCTTAACCATAAAAGTTATAGCATTCTTAGACTTCTCTTGGAGTGATTATTCAACCTATGCAATCTTAGGGATCGGAGAGATCACCGTGTTTCAAAGTCTAAAAATAAGTCACCATCAATGAAATTGAAGGCTAGTCAGAGGAAATCAAACAGTAAGAAACTGTAGATGTGAAGTAATTCTATTTGGAGAAACTAACTTATTTGGTAGTCGATGACTCAACGGATTTCTTAGATTTCAAAATTAAATAGACTCATTAATTCGATCAAAGCATAAGATGCACAGATGCAACCAAAAAAATTAAGTCATTATTTGAGTAAAATAAGATCTATCATTTCATTATTGTAAGGATTAATCTCCCATTAAAGAATGGAATATAAGTACTCTATAATAATATTTTTAGTTTATTAAAGAAATAAGGTAGCTCGAAAATCAACACAATTTACCCAAATAATACTTTGTTGGTATAGAAACCAATATATCATAAACTCTAAGACAATCTTGTTTAGAAGCTAGCTTTGATGAAGTTTAAGAAAAACCATTAAAATCATAATACTTAGAGTAGTTGATTGAAAATCGTATGAATCCTTCTCCTGTAGTTATTTGGAAGCCTATTTTGAAAAGCCCAAACATCGATATGCAAGAGAAAATAAATTAAATTCACAAAGATCTAGACTAATTCTAATTGCCTCAAAAGATTTCTTCATTCAAAGCCATACCAGTCCCTTAGAAACAACCATAAGATAGAAAAGCCTTCTATTATCCAATAGTCACTATTTATATATTAGATGATTCCAGTGTGTAAATCAGTGCTTTGTCATCCATGAAATTTAATTTCAAAACTAAAATTGAGTTTGATAGAAATGTAGATGCTGGAATCAAACGATTTGATAAAATATTTGAAGAAAAAAAAATATTTCATGTAGTGTTAGTTAAAATGAATTTTTCACAAAAAAAAGGAATAGAGGTATACATTTGAATTCATTAGATATTATAACAAGTAAGGCAAATGGAGGAGAAATATTTAGTTCCCAAATAATATATAGTAGCTATTGATAGTGACTTCACTGAAGACTAAAAGCAAGACCTAATAAAACAGGGATTTGATAATGCTTTATCTAAACTTATTGATAAAAGATTGCTTGAGGAAATACTAAATCAAAGGTTAGAAGATAATTGAATCTTATATATTTTAAGAATTAAAATCATTATTTGTGTTAATAATGATTAACAATCAAACAATTTACATATACAAATTCAAATAAATAATTTATCTTTATAATTTTCTGTAGTTCATTTATAATATATAGATGATAGTTTTCTTCTAAAATAAATTGTTATTCATGTAATGAGCACATTATTTTGAATAATAATACTAGGAAACCATTCAAATAGCATGTGTCAATCTTTAATTAAATCTAACTGTCTATGGGTTAACAAAATCCTTGGATATTCAATATGGATAAGCGTATGATTTATAATACAATATTAAGATCATATAAATATACCATTAGGCTTTGGTAATTAATTCAAATAATATTGAATTATTCAAATTATTTTCCCAAAATTAATCAAAAATCAAAAAATTCTAATTTAATATTAATTAACCAATAAAATTCATTTTCTTATAAAGATGGAAGATGGCTATGTGTAAGAGTTGTTTAAGCTATTTCGAGAATCATAATATGTTCAACCTCCAAAAAAACCTATTTCTGCTTATGAAAGATTTGCAGGGAATTATGAATAAGCATGCAATGATAAGAGTCTATCTCACAATTCTGAGTCGGCTAAAAGATAATGGGAAAACTTGGAAAAGGAACTCAAAGATGGTACAATTATGTTAGATGTTAGAATATTTTCGATTATCAAAGAAGGATGACGAACTCTATGAAAAATTGCTCCGCCAATATCATTCTATTTCTAACCTCATTAAGAAAAAGAAGGCTGACGGATCAGTGTTGTTTTTCTAGGATAAAGGAGTAGATAGGGGGTTAACTAATCTTCAATAATTATGGGATGAGTTAAGTATTGAGGAAAAGTAAATCTATGGATAGAAAGCATAATAAAATTGCGAGGACACTATCAAGGTACCATATATACATATCTACTTTCTATAGGCCTCGATAGAAGAATATATTGCAGACTATGAGCATTACTTGACTCAGTAGAATGAAAAGCCAAAAGACTTAAAATTTATACAAAAGATAGAGGAGGAGCAAGACGAAATAGATTAGATCGATATCATCATAGGAATAAAACGTACCAATGGAAAGAAGGAGTATTTGGTCAGGTTTAAGGGTAGGACTGGTAAGGATGCAAAGTGGTTCCCAAAGAAAAAACTAAGAAAAGTGAAAGAAATGGTTAAGGAATTCGAGGAAACATATTTCAAATAATCATTTTAAGAAGTTGATTCAAGTAGTGGTTTTGATTCAACCCCTCCTGAATAAATTTTCTAAGAAAACGAAAAAGATGATAAGTAAATAAACTAAAATGATTCATAAGAAGATGAAAAAAACAACGCTAAAGAAACGACACAAGTATAAAAAAAAAAATTGATGTCTCAACCCAAAAAATTATAACCCTAAGAAAACAAGAGCAACTCTCACCTTCCAGAATCTAGTAAATAATCAAAAATTTAAGCTAGACCCAATAAAAACAATGTGACTAAACCCTAAAAATAATAAGTTAAATAAGAGAAATCAAAAAACTAAAAACAATAATCAAGTCGATCTTAAGTTGATGTAAAATAAACAAGTAAATAAGTTTCACTTGAAAAATCAATAAAATCTGCTAAAGAGGTTTAAAAATAAAAAGATAATGTTTAGAGTATTTAATAGGTTCTGCAAAAAAGGACTGCCAAAACACCTAACTCAGATGTTAAATTAGAGAAGCCTATAAGTAAAAGAGTTAAGAAATAAGTTGATGAAAAATCTGCAGATAAACCTACAATAAAGACATCTTAATAACAAAAATCAAAAGAAGATAAGTAATCTAAACAAAAAAACTAAGAAATATAAGAATTACCTATCCTCAGAAGATAGGGTAGAAGTAAAGACACTCTATATTCTGAGGCATAAAAAGCATCAACTACAAAATTAAATCCTAAAACCCAAAAGCAAGAAATCAAGGACAATAAATTGTCTAAGAAACAACAATAGGTTGTGGTTTAATAAAAAAATTTAAGTCGCTCTAACCAAAAATAAAAACAAGTAAGTTAACAAAAATAATCAAAAAATGTATAAAATAAATAATAATCTATATAATAATCAGTTGTTTAGGCAAAAACCAGAAGTATAAGTGTTTAATCTATTAAGTCGAATCCTAGTCAAATTTAATAAAAAAAATAAATTTCAAATAAAAAAAATCGATCTCAATCTGTCGATGCTCCAATTAGAGTGACTTAGAAAAGTCCTGAAAATAAAGTTATTATGAGAAGCAGAAATTCAACCAAAACAAATGAGAGCAGTAAAAGTCTGAAGAAGGTGTCAACACAATAAAATTAGGAAGTGAAAAAAAGTTAATAAAAATAATCAACTAAAGAAGTACAAGTTCAAAAAGGAAAATCAAAGGCTGTTATATCCAATAAAAATTTGAATAATACTAATAAATAACCTACTACTACAAGGAGGGAGAGTAGAAATTCTTTAATTAAGAATCCTCGTAAAATCAACAAAAAAATATCAAAAAAAAGTATAAAAAACAAAAAACAAGAAATTACGAAGAAAAAGCAAATAACAGCAGAATAAGTAAGTGCCAAAAATAGAAGTACAAATTAAAAGCCCATTCCTAAAGTTGCTTTCAGATAAACGAGGTAATTGAGAAGTAAAAAGTCTTAAGATGTGGGAAGAAGAAAGCACTGAATGTTGACTATCTTTTGAATTATTAAAAATACATAAAATATATATTTTCATTTAAATGCAGCAAGGTATCAGTCAATACTTCGTTAAAAATCTTAATTTTAATATTGATGATGAAATGTTTTATGTTTTACCACATAGAGGAGAAATTAATTTTAAAGGATTTGCTCAAACAGAGGTAATCATATTTTTAATATTAGGAATTATCATAAAATGACAATATCTAATAACCATTAAAAAGTATTGCAAATGAGCTCGTTTAAAAAACAACCCCTATTAGATAAAGTTGGGTTCTTTCTAAACAAGACCATCAATTTAATTTGCCACCCTCATATTTTAAGAAAAAAATTGTAATCTTAAGAGATAATGATCTACATCAAATTCGAAGAGAAATTAATATCTATGATTTTGTCCCCTATGTCCAATTAAATGAAAATCAATTAGAATAAATAAGGAAGGAGGCAACCTTCGATGTGTAATCGAATAACAATACAAATACTAAAAACAAATGGATTATTTCAAGATGGTTAGTAAAAGGAACCAAGAATATTCGAAACTCTTTTTATAAAGATATGTTAAAGGCTTAAGATTGTGTAAATGGATTAGGAAATTTTATCTACAATGAAGAAAACTTTTATAAATTATGGAACTATTCAATAGTGCATGGCATTTATATCATCGTTAAAGTAAATAGTATAAATATTGTAGAAATCACTATTGATACCATCACTTTTTATAGGATATAGAGAAGTGATAGGGGATAGTAGCACGAAAGCAGCATAACTTTAAGTGGAAAGGGAAAGGTAATTATCTTTAAGAAATAAGAATTTAAATTTTGCTATTTATTAATTTCTCTTTCATACTCAAGAAACATAATCTGCAACAAAATTGAAAGTGGATTTTATTAAGAATTAGTTAAAAGACTTTGAATAAGATTGTTGGAAAATAGCAGCTTTATTGAGTGACATGCATATTAATAAAAATCATTAAAATAACTACGAATTTAGAAAATATTAAGAAAAATATCAAATTATTTACGATTCAAATAAAGAGATTGATGAACTCATAAGTGAATAACTCATAAATGCTCAATAAAGATTTATGAAGAAGAATTCCATTGATTTGCCTGAATCTGCAGTTAAATAGATTTTGGAAATCCTAGAATGTTATTAATCACAAAAATATTATGAAGAGTTATTGAAGGTATCATTCTTTATCTTAATCCCTAGAATGAATTGGCAAACTATGAAGGTTAATTGATTTAATAATATGAAAAAGACTTTTTCTTTTTGAATAAACCTGATCATAAGGCAATATATATAAAGGATGCTTTGAGGATGAAGTAGAAGAACTTAAAAAAGCAGTATTAAAATCAAATGATCTAAGAATTATCCCAAAAAAATATACTAGATAGAAATATATATCTAGAATTTTATGAAAATAAATAGAAGTATAAAAAAAGAGTAAAAGACATAAAGGAGATGACAAGAAAGCAATTTTAGAAGCCGAATATAGTTTTTAATATGTTTATATTTGAAATAATTTTAGAGTTCGTCTAGTTGTACCTCCTTATCCAGTATTTTAAGGCGGAAACGGATATTATCTGTTGAAAATAATTTATTACGAAGTGAATTCTACATATTACTTTTGGAAGTTTTCTAGTTTATGCTTACTATATTTTACCTTGATTGTCAATAGCTATTGTGTTTTTTATCGATTTGGAATATATGGCCATTATGGGCTGATGGCTTTATTTTCAATAGAAAAATTTTATAACGATTAAAAAATTAATACTTAAACTGGAGAGGTTACAGATGATGAACTTGTGGAGACGATATGTTCAACCTTAAAATCGATTTACAGAGGAATGGAAAAGTCAAGAAGGGAATTTGAGGAGTCTGAGGATTCAGATATGTTTGGCAAAGGTTGTTTAAGAATCTGTAATTTAATTGAAGTCTATATATTTCGATTCTTATTTGTTGGAGTATTCTGTACATTAATTTTGAAACCCATGTTAATATTATTTGTCTCAACCTTTTTATTCTTTTTTTTCATAACTTCTTTTATGTGGGCAGGATTTGTAACATTAATTAAGTAAACCATTTTAAATATTATAGATGGATGGTATGTTTACTAATTTACGATGTCGATACAGCAGAAAGAAAAGAATACAACGAAATAGATTATATCCATTTTTTCATCCCATTATTCAGAGCTTTCATAGATATTATCATAGGAATGGTTGAAATAACTTTTTGTTTGTTTTGTTTGTTGATGTTTCCAGTTTTTGCAATATTGATAATTGTATTTGGAATTTTAAGATACGTAGTACGTTATATTTATGATTGCTTCATGTTTATAGTAAGGATGAAATCTCTATATTTAGTTTCTCTATTGTTGCGGAAGAGTCCCTTATCGTTCTGGGTGTTTAGCTTGGAGACTTGGAGGTGATAAGATACAGAAAAAGGTTATCTATAATTATCATAAAGTAAAATTGAGACTTAATATTAGTTAACAAATGATGAGTTGTTGTTGTTGACTGCTGGAGAATTAGAAAAGTGTATACTAGAAGAATATCACCACCGAATTGTAATGACTATACAATAGCCAGAAAAACTAATAAATAGCAGTTTGCAACCTTTTTTCAATCGTTTTAATGCATAATACACATGCAGTGATTCAAATCAAAAAATACTATTGGAATAACTCTCTCTTAAAATTGCGAAATAAAAATCACTTCATCCAATAATAGAACCAGAAACAAAATTATACATTAAGTTCACACCAAATGACCTTCATGAAATTAAATAGTTTTTGATAACATTTTTGGTTGAACAAATCAATTTAAAAAATATGCATTCTTTTATTTGGAAAAACCTTGAGTTATAAATTGGAGATTATTAAAGTTTGGCCAACATTATTATTACTAAAATCTTTGGTAATGATATTCTAATAAAACCAGAAGAACTATCTAAAGATGTCTAAATTGTATATTATTTTATTATTCTAATTAGACAGTAGAAAAAGAAAAAGGATTAGGGTAATAAATTGAGAGAGCAATGAATGGAGAAGTAAATTTAAACTAACCTGAGAAAATAATTATAGAAGAAAAAAAGGAAGTACCAAAACAAATAACGAAGAAAGCTTATAAATAATTTATTCCAATTTCTGAAGTAATTAAATCCTTTACTTATTAGATACTCGATAAAATATGGTTAGCCTAATCATAAAATTAGGAATGGAGTTCTTTAGAAAACAAAGATTCTAGGTTTTTGTTAAATTACTCTTTGAACAATCAATGATTTTGTTTAGAATATACTTTTATTAATTGTATTTGTTAATAAAATACATGAAATCTATTTTTCAATGCTTTATTATTTATTTTATTTTTTTTATACTCAAAAAGTATTAATTAGTATTTAATTATACCCATTATTCCTATTTAAAGTTAAACGTTTCTATCATATTCAGGATGATGAATTGCTACACCAAAAAATATAATAATTAAACAAAGACTTTGACATAACAACCTTTTGAAATTATAGGATTAACTATGTGTTGGATAATTATGAAATGGAAATAGCCAAAATTAAAATTATTACCTCTATGATGCTTATTTTTATAAGCATTAAAGCCCACAAAGATTAAGATGTATATAAATTGATTGTAATTATAAAACAGAATAAAATTAGAATCTAAAAATGGCATGACGCTTATTTTATTCAATCAAAAATAAATCTCTTCTTTCCAATTTTGTGTTAACATGAAGGACATAAATGAACTACATCTTTGCAGTCATCTATAAAGCAAGGTATTAAACAACAACTTTAAGTTTAATTTTATACATACCCAAACCAAAGACCTACAATTGCCAATAAACTTCCTATTAAGTAAGTTCCTGCACCTGGCTCATAATTTATAACCGTTTGGACTTAGTGTTAACAATAACCACATGTTATTATGCTTGGGTGTTTCGAATCTATTTGTGAGACTACAATCATAATCCAAAAATTTACTGATTTGGTTTTATTGGGCATTATGAACTGGCTTCTCTAGTTTTGGCTGTCGTTGAAAAGGAACATGGTGAACAGTTTATTAAGGTGGAGACACTTTTGAATTTGGTGATTCTTCTTACATCGATTAATCCCGTGTTGGAGGATTAACTATATAAGAGAATAAGTCATCGTTAGGAGTGGGAATCATTTCTGATTGAAAGTGTTAGTGTTGACTATCTTACATTAGTATAGATTTATAATAAAATTAATAACAAGAGTTTCTTGATATAAAGAATGTATAAAATATATAATTCGTTAAATGGATAATGAAAACTAGCTTCAAAAATATACAACATTTTCTTAGTCTAAGACTCAAAGATCAACAAGCTTTAATCAGAACTCTTAGAAAAAAGAAATTGCTAAGTAACTCAAACCTTAAGCTATGTTAAAAAAATTAGAAGAAATCCTTTCATAAAGACAATCAAAATTTAATTAGGAGTAATTAAAAAAGAAAAAGGGTGTTTAATGCAAGGTTGATTACACTGAAAGGATATAAGGAAAAAAAAGTGTTTAGAAATTGTTGGAAGATGGAAAATGCAAAACCGATCTACAAAATTTTGTATAAGAATTTTAAATATTGTTATTTTAGGTTACTGAAAAAAAAGAAAGGAAAAGTGCTTATCCCAACATTAAATCTTTATAGCCATCTGCCCAAAATTTATTTGATATATTTTCTCATGATTGCAATAGCAGAAATCCTACTAGCACAAATAGAAGCAGAAAGTGTGAGATATCTCCAAAAAAAGGAAGAGCTAATGTACTGATATACTCGTTATCATGAATAGTCAATTATTGAAGGATAAAATGGGAGTGAAAGAGATAAATTGACATTGATCTAATTGAATTAACATTTATAAATGTAGAATCACCATTTAAATGAATAACTAAGATTTGAATAAAGTTAGAGCACTAAATTAAGTTTATAAATAATCAGTATGAATGATTAAATTACAGTGTTAACGAAGTATTCTATATTTTTGTTTAGGGTAATTAAAAGAGAGTTAGAAACTATTGGACTACAGAGATGAGGAAAATGATGATATAATGAGATCATTAAAAAGCTAATTAGATATGATTAGACCTGAATATTATAAATAATAAGAATCTATTGTAAATTTGGAAAGTTAACTGATAGCATATCAAAATATTGAAAAAGAAATGAAGGAGATAGAATAAATGTTACCTCAGATATCTACTTTTACATCTCTATTTGTTTAACAAAATGCTTAAATATTAGAATTGCAAGACTTGATGATATTATAAAATAACATTATTGATAAAGTTCTAAACCGAAAGGACATCAAAATAAACAACATAATCTTGGCAAGAGAACCAAAATAATAAAAACAATACACTAATGATTTACCTTTTGAATCATCCTAACTTCTTGATAATTTACTTAGATTAACGAGATAATAAGTAAACATATTAACAGAAAGTTTTATTCATGAGTTATTATTATGAATACAACAATTAAATAGAATATTCTAAATATTTTTTTCTATTAAATTTTAAAACCTATTTGTAAGGTTCTTCAATCATTTGTCAAAGATAGTTGATAATTATGTTAATAATTAACTATTTATAATAAATACTGGATTATATACTTTAATAAGATTCATAGGGATTATTCTAAAGGAAAATTCAATCTTGAAAGGCGAACCTTAAATTTATTGATCAGTATTAAGGAATTTTGATAATTTCAGTTAATAGATGAAAAGCTTTTAAGAGTAATAATATGTATTTGAGTAACTAATGACATAAATATTCAATCAATTTAAGATGTTTTTGTTTTTCCGGATGCATTGGTGTTTAATTTAGATTGAATTCTTTTACCTTTAATCCACTTTCCTCTTATTAAAGTACCATTAGGCTTCATAATTTATCCGTTACCATGGAATAATCCTTGTTTCCACAATCCTAGATATTTTTAACCGTTTGGCCAGTAGAGAATTCCATATCCTTCTCTTTCATCATTGATATAGTATCCATCATACTTGGATCCATCAGGCCATTTAAATATTCCTTTGCCATGTTTGACTCCATTTTTCCAATCCCCTGTATAATTTCTGCCATCGTGGAATTTGAGAGCACCAACTCCTTGAGGAACATCTCCCTCAAAAGTTCCTTCGTAGATGGAACCATCAGGAAACCTTAATATTCCTTATCCATTCTTAATGCCATTGAGAAAACTTCCTTTCTTAGATATAAAAAAGTTGTACCTTCATAACTCCAGCCATTGGAGTAAGTTTGAATTCCAATTCCATTTGGCAAATCATTCTTCCATTCTCCTTCATAATAGGTGCCATCTGCGAAGGTATACTTACCCTAGCCTTCCACCACGTTCTCAATCCAATGACCTCTGAAGGTTTCTCCGTCCAGTAATTAGAAAGTACCAAAACCATGGGCTTTATTATTAAACCATTCTCCCACATAAGATGAGTTATCAATCATTGTGTATTTACCAAAGCCATTTGCTTTGCCATTATTCCATTGTCCCTCATAGTAAGCTCCATTAATCATTAGGATGATTGGCAGTTTGATCTATGATCGAGTAAGTGTCAATAATTGATCATTCTTACTTTTCGGAATAAAGCAAAGGGCAGACATATCAAATGAGAATTATTTTATCAGACTTGATGGTGGGCTGCTTTCCGAGATCTAACTTTAATTATCAGTGATATCCTTATTACAATTGGATTAACATTATTAAATAGCTTCAACAAATTTTTTATTCACCTCTTCCTCCTCTAACAAATACTCCTATATCATGCTCTTTCTCATGATCAAGTACTGTGGCTGATTGGGAGAGTCGTCGGAGGCATCATATTCCTGGATGTCGTGATAATGGATCGGTGAACTTTACTTCTATTATGTGGAGAGAAGGGAAAATTATCTAATGAATAAGTTTTCATTGAAATACTACTTTCTAGCCAAATAGCCTTTGAATGCGGCTTGTATTTTAATTAGCCCCTTGATATTTTGATGTGTAAACTTATTTGTAAAATTGAGTTTCTGTTTGGGTTTTGTTTATTTTGTTCTGAGTTCAGGTGTCTAGTTACTTAGACCAAAATTGGTGCATTGTTGACAGTTTCCCATTTTTGATATGGTTTGATTGAAATAATTCAAATAAATATTAAATTCTAAGACATTATTCATTTCTTAATATTTTTGGTAATTAATTACATAATTATTATATTGATAAATACATTTGATGCATTAATTTGAGAATGAAACAAATAAATTTTTGGAAGAACTAAAAAATGGATCCAGCAACATTCTAGTAATTATCTCTCTATCTTCTAGGTAGCAATAAGAGTCAGGCCTCTAAATTTGAAGGAAAGAGGTGTTTCAGAGTTTGAAACCATTCGAATACTCGATGGCAAGATGATAGTGTTGATGGATCCAGAATCGGAGAGAGAAGATGAAGTATTGACATGATATAGAATAGTTATTAAGAAAAAATAGGTTGAAGGAAACTAACTTTGCATTTGATTTTGTTTTTGATCAATGGGCTCCTCAATAGAAGATCTACGAAAACACCACCGAGTTTTTATTGGAGGGAGTATTGGAAGGATTCAATACCACTGTATTTTGCTATGGCGCAACAGGTTCTGGCAAAACCTTTACGTATACTGTATATTGATAGCAATAGGATGATAGGAACCTAACAAGATGTTGGTTTGATGCCCAGAGCATTGCAATCCCTTTTTAATTTCTCTCAATCGGATCGATTCAAAGACACTTAATTCAAGGTCTCTTACGTTGAAATCTATAATGAGAACATACGAGATTTATTGACATCAGAAGATAAAAATTTAGAAATTAGAGAAGACAAAAATAATGGAATACAAATAGCTGGTGTCATTGAAATCGAAGTTAAAACAGTTACTGAAGTCTTGTCCCTTTTAAAAGTTGGAAATAGAAATCGATCCAAAGAGGCAACCGATGCGAACAAAGAGTCATCTAGATCTCATGCTATCTTATAAGTTTAAGTCGAATGCAAAGACAAGGCCTCTGGATTACAGGAACAAATCATTCAAAGCAAATTCAGTTTGGTGGATTTAGCAGGTAGTGAAAGAGCTGCCAATACAAACAATAGAGGCCAAAGAATGATAGAGGGAGCAAATATCAACAAATCGTTGTTAGTTTTAGGCAATTGCATCTAATCACTGTCAGAAGCTAATGAAAAAGGAATCAAAAATCCATTCATACCTTTTAGAAATTCTAAATTAACCAGATTGTTGAAAGACTCCCTAGGTGGTAATTGCAGAACCGTAATGATTTCTAATGTTACCCCAGCTGTCAGTAGTTTTGAGGAAACCTACAATACATTGGTATATGCAAATAGAGCCAAGAACATTAAAACTGTTGCCAATAGGAATGTCTTAGTTGCATAAAATCATATCAGTAATTATGCCCTGTTAATTTAAAATCTACGATAAGAAAATGAAGAACTCAAGTAATTGATTCAATAATAACAACTGAATTCCATTACTCCTTAAACAAGTAAGCAAGTACATCTATTAATTAGGGTTGCCATCTCTTAATTAAAAAACTATTCCAGTTCCCCCAATAATGACTTTGAAATAATAAGTCAATGATTTGGAATCTATGATCAATCAAAATATATCCGATATTATTGAGGCTAAAAACAATTTATACGAAATTGAACAATAGCAAAATCATTTTCAACAGAATATAGGATTCCTGCAATATCAAAAGGGACGCTCTTTGGATAAGTTTGATTAGATAAAAATAATGGAGAAAATTGATAATGCCAAAACACAAAAAGCTATTCTCAAATAAAGTGAAGATGACATGAAACAGCAATTACTTGAATATGACATCAAGAAAGTTGATATTTAAAAGTAGATCTAATAAATCCCTGATTTAAGTTAAAAGACTTATTTGTAAGGAATCCTCAAATAGGGAGAACTAAAGATAGTAATTAACTAGAATATCATAGGAAAATGTTGAGTTACAAATTTACGAAAAAAGAAGAAGATACCAGGAATCTATACAAGATGAGTAAGTCAGACAATTGAGAACTTAAATTCATTAGCAATAATAAACTAAACATGTTTAAAGTGCAAAATCTAAATCTAGTTAACAAAATGGGCCAAAAAAAGGTAACTCTCAATTATAGTTTATAGTTCCAAGTCTACCTGGAGTAGATTCTCCTTATTATTTGATTACAGGAGGATAAACTTATGCTATACAAAGGTACTCATATATGTTGTAATTTTAGCAAACACTAAAAAAAAAAGTCTCATCTTAAGTTACCTCCTGTCTTATAGATGACTTAATTGCAAAAATCTCCCAAAACTTAGAATACAAGTCTGAATAGTAAAAATATCAATCTAATAGGTAATCCTCTGAAATATCGAATGGCTCAAAGATACACTACTAGATTGAATAGACCACCATCATATCGTCCTCCAAGTTCATCAAGAAAATCTGCGATTGGAAAATATGTGAATAGATCATTGGATTTAGAGAGTGGTAGAGAAAGTGTCAATAAGAGTTCAGGGGATCTATAGAACTCAGTTAGTCTTAGGAAACTTAAATAATTGCATTAAGAATACCAATAGTAGAGATTTGAAAGAGTCATGAGTGGCAAAAAGAATTAAAAGTCAATGCCGTATTTTGGCAATAAGATTCTTTTGCCAGGTATGGTACACAAATCACCCTATGTTAAAAACTTTTAGAACAATCAAGAGCCTATTGAAGTAAAAAAGGAGAGATTGAAAATGCTGAATATTAATCTTAAAGCTTAGTACGGCGATAAATTTTCGCTGTAAAATTGAATATAAATCATAAGTTAAAGTACTACTTTAAAATAAATTAATTCAAATTTTATTGATCTACACTTAACTAAATGATTTTGATTTAAATCTCTAATCAACAGCTAATTTTTCTTATTATTCAAATTATCTCTTAACTTTTAAAAGTCTTATCTTTATTTTTTTATGTTGTTTATACTCTTATAATTTTTATTTGAAATCGATCTGGCTTTGTTAATCTAATATTCTTTTGCATAAATTGATATTTTCATCCAATAACTTAAAAGTATGTTCCTTAAGTTTTTCTTTTGATTAAGAGGATTTCATGGAAACTTAAAAATTTTGAGATTTTTGAGGTAATTAATATGGTCTGGAATGTATTCTGGCTAGATTTGAAGCTAAGAGTTGATTTTTATGTTATATTTCAGCGATTTTCATTTCATCTTTAATATTGGTTGATTTGGGTAACTTGATTGATTTAGTTCTGTTGCATCCAATAGCGCTTTTGGATCGTTTGATTTCTTCTAATTTTTATTGATGTATGAGAAAGTCTCTAGAATTATAGTTATTGTGATTTTTACCTGTCTCTCCGAATGAGTTCATTTGAATCGTTAGTGTAGTATTGATAGTTGGACTTGTTCATTAGCAAATAATATAATAAATAATAATTGTGTTAAAATAATGAAAATACTATTTTATCATATTATGACGAAAAATTTGAGTGGCCAATGATTCAACAGAGAACAGAGGATAATACTGAACCATGATAAGAAGAGTCTAGAGATTAAGGTATTCTGTTAACCAACAGGATAATTGGTATTGTAATAGTGTGTTAATAAGGATAAGTGCTTTGTGATATCTTAACATTATTAAGTTAAAGAAAATTTCAGTTTCATGAATATTACATTTATTTAGACTTATAATTATCAATTTTAATAATTAATTATAAAGTTCTTAATGATTAGTCAAACAATTTCAAAAATCCTGAATACGAACAATTTAAATCTTGCTGAAAGTGCAGTTTAATTAGAAAAAGCAGGTCATTCAATTTTTAATATCTTGTAGGCATTCAAAACGTCTTTAATTATTTATCTAAGTCAGATATCACAAAAATGGTGTTCCCTGAGTAAGTAATAAAGTTATTATGTGTATTTCACTTCATGATACAGAAAAATACCCTCGATGTGCAAGTATTTTAGGAATGTAATATCTATTGGATCACAAATGTCTTGAATAATAGTTTTATAATGGAAAGGTTATCGACAGAAATGAGTTCTTCTAGTACTTTTGCAAGAAGTAGTTAATTCTCGTCCTTGAGATCTTCTCAGTAATCGGCAGATGTGAATCATCCTCACTTTTAAACGGAGTCAAAGTAATAAAGACTGCACTCCAAAAGAATGGATTGTTTTTAGAGCTACTCGGAGAAATAATAAACTGAGAGACACATAATAAGAGAACCTCTATCCTATCAATCTATGTTACAATTATACTACACATATTTGAAACGAGTATGTCATTATTAGTAAAGTGGAATTCCCATAATCGAATTGTATGTAATTTAAAACATCTGTTCGATGGGATTGCGTATAATTGAGGGATAGAAGTGTCCAAAGTTGGATTTCTGCTTTCAACTTATACTGAAAGATCTTGAGCAATTCCAAAGTCAATAGATTGATTATTTGAAGGAGTTGATAATTGATTTAAGAAGCCAGAATAATGAAGAGATGTTTGATTTATTTGAGATCTACAAATTGTTATGTTTAAATGGTAAGCAAATCAAATTTTTTGGAAGGTTGAATAAACTAACAATAAATCAATAAAAACTCAAGAACTTCAAAAAGGAATGTAAGGAATTTATAATTGATTGTAAATAACACTTAAGAAAAGTGAAACTCCAGTAAAATCAGGATAGATTGAGTGTGTCTGAATTTAAAACAGATAATTTCTTTGAATATGAAAGAAAATAAGTGTACACCAATTATTGATTTATTTAATATATATTTCTAAAACTCATCATCATAAGATTTAAAACTTCTCTCCAACCTTCTAAGTAGCTCTGAATAAGGCTGCCAACACTCTATGAGTAGTCAAACTTCTGTGATGCCATGAATCATCAGTCTTTTTGGATTGGATGATATTAGCAAAGGTATCAATCATTTTTACTGTGTGATTCGAAGCTTCAACCTTAACGACTTCCTCCTTTCCCTAAACATCGTCTACAAAGAACCTCTCACTTCCAACAAAGTTTTCAAAATAGGCATTGAAGTTTCCTGTTCTACCAAATCCTCCAACTAAATCATCTATTCTGATTTGTCCATTTTCACAAATAATATCTACATAGGATCTATGAGCGGAGGTAGCTCCACAATCGAAGTAAGCATATCTTTAATCTGAAAATTCTATGAATCCAGAATATTCGATAATCGTATCAACTTTATTTAATTTGTACTAGAGACATTAAACAAATTTTGGTAATTCATAGTCGAAAGCAAAAAGGATTGCTCCTACAGGATACCATCCCTAATCACCCAAACAACCTTGGGGTTCTTGATTTTTATTTGTTCTTCCATTACCTCCATGTAACCACTCTTCATTTGGAGCCTTGAATGTAAATGCAGCTATCACTTTTGAGACTTTTCCTAATTCCTATTTCTTCTATTTCACAACTTATGTTCTTAGGGAATGCAACCACATGGTTCCATCCAAAAATTAAACTCCATTCTCCTCACAACTCTTAATTATTTCTTCCAAACATTTAGAGGAGTCAGCTCCAGGCAATGGCTTCTCCACTAATACATGTTTTTTCTTGTTGGCAGCTTTGATTGCCCATTCTTTTTTCAAAGATGTTGGCAATGGAATATAGACTCCATCTACGTTTGGGTCTTCCAACAATTCATCATATGAGCCATATGCTATTTTGATGTTATGAGCATCTGCCCATTATCTTGCTTTTTCTAAGGATCGACTGGCTACACAATAGACTTCAGCATGATCAGAGCAATTGATTGCCTAACACACTTTGTGAGCTATCTCAGCTGTGGACATTATTCCTATGCGAACCTTTGCATTCATCTTATTGAATTAATATTTTAATAAGATTAAATGAGTAAAAAAGAGGGAGATAGCCTTGACGCTTTGTGTTTCCCCAATGCAGAAGATTATCAAAATGACTTTGATACTGCCAATTAAGTTCTATTGGGATCAGGATCATATGGATAAGTGTATAAAATGACATTTAAATCGAATCCATCATAATGTTGTGCAGTCAAAATAGTGTAGTGCATCAAGTAATGTTCTCTCCTCTATTCTAGCAAAAAATCATACGATTAAGCCTTGAAAGAAGTTTAAATGAATAGACAAATTAATATCCATCCAAATATAATTTATTTTGACAAAATCTATGCTTGGTCAGAAACTATCCCAGTTTAAAAGTATTTCTTAGTCTTTCAAATGAAATTGGCTAAAGGGAGTCTGAAAGATTTGAAAGACGATGAAATTAAAGCAACTCGTAAGACTTTTAATGGTATTTTTGCATCCAAAATTTGTAGAAACAAGTTTCTTGAACATTGTCAATCAATTATTATAGGCTTTCCTCTTTTTGTAACAAAAAGAATTGTACCATCGAGATATCAAACCAGAGAACATCCTATACGATAAAGAGAATGAAAAAATTATAGCAAGAATTGCAGATTTTGGTGTTAGCAAAGCTTTGGAACACTTTAAAACCAATTTTAAAAACACCCTTGTAGGCACTCCACTTTACTTATCACCCAAACTATGGGAAGCTTACATCAATGGCTAATACAATGATGTTAAGTAAAAATTTAACAATATCTCACAAGACATAATTTAGAAAAATCCGATGTATTTTCCTTAGGTGTTACACTCATATAGACTTATTTATTGCTACAAGATCAAGACATTGCTGGGTTAAATGACTAGAAACAAAACAAAATCCCAAATCTATTGCAACAAATTTATCATGACAAAATCAAGGAATTGTTGACAGGAATGTTAAATTATGATGAGAAATCCAGATTTACGTGGTAATAGGCTATTAACTGTCTTGCTGGAATAGATAAAATGAATGGCAGTCTGGAGTAGAATCAAGGAGGAAGTCTCCAAAATAGAGAAAAACACTATGCTTTACACATACCTTATGAAAAGACTATCATGAATAAATCATAATCAATAAAATTGAGGAAGATAAATTAAATTTATTGTCTAGAATTGAATGAGATTACAAAGGGTCAAATTGCAGATGATCAAGGGATTATTGTGTTTAGTGAGAATTACCTAATTCACATCAATTTCGAGGGATAGATCGTTCATAAAACATAAATCTAAAGTGAAATATTAATAATTAATAAATTTAGATCTAAAAAGTGTATGTTTGACTGAACAACCCAAAAAAATAATCGGATTATTTGAAAATAACACAATCCAAGTTTTGGATGATGAGATGTGTCAACCATTTAGTCTACCATCTGCATCATAATAAATTAATGTAATTTGCTAGATGAAAGAGGCCAACATTCTAATTGGTCTCGGAAATGGAGAGGTACAGGTTGTGCAATTTGATAAAACCTTTAAAGTTTTAAATACATTAAAGGATCATACCGCATAGATTAATCTCATTTATTTTGATAAACTCAATTAGTTATTGATAACATCTGATTGCTCTAGAATACTAAGTGTCAGATTTTTGTTTAACAAAAAATTGTATTTATTTCTTATTAAATATTAGTTCTTACTTAAAATTAGATTATGTTGCATAGCATGTAGAATTATTAAATGACACCTAAATTGTAGTCAATGGATAAAAATTAAATGAAATTTTAATCTTGAATATCTCTCATTAGTAAAAAGAACAAGGAATGAAACTAGAAATTAAATAAACCTTATCTCTACAAACTGGATGTGTATTATCCTTAATTAATTTAAGTGAAAAATGCTTATTTGTATCAACTGAGAAAGAAATAATAATTTATGATTTATAATCAATTTAATAAGATTCAGGACATCTATTCAATAATGAAATGCAGTAAACATTCTATTATTGTAATTGGATACGAAATAATGGATATTTGATAACTAATGATGGATAAAGAATAATGAAATGGGAAATTGACTATCAAAAAAACTAGTTGTTTGGAACTAATAGAATTGTAAAGACTTAAACCAAGAAATGCTGTTGTTTTGAAAGTTGCTCCATTATGTGAGAATTATAAATGTATGAAATTTTGATTTTTTCAACTCCATATTTCCATTAAATTATATATATATATGTATGTATAAATAAATTAGACAAAAAAAGATAAACTATATATACCCATTCTGATCATCTATTTATAATATATTACCATCAAACTATACTAAAAGACACATTCTTATTATCAGACAAGGCAAATATGTTCACATTTTAGGAAGTAATTCAAGTTGATCTATATTTTTAATTTTTCTAGAAATTCAATCTCCCTAGATTGATTTAAGAAGTATTAGGAGTGAGACACGTGATTAATGATGATTTAATTACGATTTTCTTGAGGAAATATTCGTCATTGCATATAAATTATTTTTTATATATTAAATAATGTAGAATGCTTTGTACATAAATAATTGAGTCATCAATTAAAAACATAAATGTAATTATAGATTATTCAATAATTAAATTACTTATGACTCATCATAGACCTCCAGTACCTAAATTCAATGACGAATGCCTAACTCCAAAGATGGAAATCTCTTTATTAGAAGAAGTTCAGCATTTAATTTTTAAAATGAACTTGGATTTTGAGATTGAAAAGAAAGCAACCAAAATAATTTAAACAACTCCACTTTAAAACACTCTCACTTCTGCAAAGGGAGTCATATTTTATTGTCTCAAGGAATCGAATAGAAGATTGCCTCCAGTGGAGAAAAAAGTCGAATACGTCATTAAGTACATTGAATAATCATAAAACTTGAATTTTTCCCATGTCTGTTAAAAAATGGGTTTCGGTGATTAAGTATCAAGAGTATGTGAAACTTTAAAAAACCAACTAGTGTATTTGATTGGCAAGCTATCGATAAACCTTTAAATTGCAATTACTATAAAAATTGCTGCTGACATTATATTCTATAAGCAAGGAGGCTTAAATACAAAATTTTTGGCCTTCCACACAAAAGTTAATGAAGAATAGTTAAAATGCTCCCTCAATAGAATTAAACCATTTTCAGAAAAAATAATGGGTGATCTCTTCAATCATTATAACGACAACCCTCTTTGATTAAATTCTTTTTTTGTGTTTAAAATCTTCTGTATTAAAAGTTTAATTATTTTAAATTAATAAAAAGTATTAATTAATATTTAATAAAGCATTTACTTCAGATACATCACATGTATTTGCCTAAAATCATATAAACAAATTTGCTTGTATAAATTAAATTTAATTGAATTAAAACTAAAATGGAATCTAGCTTCAAGATGGACTGCTGTAGGCATAAGTTATTGGGGAATAAGCTATGTATATTAGAAGTGGCTTCTGATAAAATTATTATCACAAACATTTCAGACTTGCCTCACAAGAGAAATGAATTAGAAATAAATTACAATTTGTTCATAGATTTTAAAGTTAAGAACAAGCAACTTTAAGCTATAGGATTGATAACAAACAAGCATCACTGGTATTATGCTGATAATTAAAATTTAATCAACTTAAAATAAATTTTAGGTGCAAGAGTGGTGTTTAAAGGTGTAAACACATTATATAATCCGTTATAATAGATTGGGTAAGGAACTTTCTCAAATGTTTATTTATTACAAAGCAAATTAAACAGCCTAGATTATTTTGCTTGTAAATGTTTAGATAAAACTTAAGTAGATGCTTAGATTGGAAGAGTAAAAATAAGTGCTATTCTATTTAGTAAGGCTTGTTTGAAGAAATCTAAGCGATGGTTTCTTTGAAGCATTAAAATATTGCAGAGCTTTTGGAAGTTTTCGAAGGGGATGTATCTTATTATATGGTCATGTAATATTATGATCTTGAATTTACTGATGTGCTAAAAGAACTAAATCTTGAAGACATCCCTATCATATTTAGATAATTAGTTGCAGCTGTAAATTTTATGCATGAAAAAGGTTACATGCATAGAGATTTAAAACCGGAAAATATTATGTTTAGTGAGAGTATATACTAATTGAAACTCATTGACTTTGGTTTGACCACAAAAGATTTAGGCAAATCAAAATGCGGGACTCCTGGGTACATTGCTCCTGAAATCCTTAACCTTGATACCAGGATAAATGAATACAATGAGAAATGTGACATTTTTTCATTAGGAGTTATATTTTATAAGATGTAAATCTAATTATAATTATAACAAGGCTGACACAGAATGATTTGTTTTAAGGATCAAATCACGATGAGGTCTTGGAACATAATGCTAAATGCAATACAAATTTCGATTTGTTGATTGCAAACCAGCCCAAAATAAGCTTTAAACCTATTGAAATCGATGCTACAAATTGATCCTACACAAAGGATTGATACTAATTAAATTTTGCAACATAAATATTTTGCAGCCGAAGAAATTACATCTAATAATACTTTAGGCAGTGCGAATCAACTCTCTAGAAAACATTCTTCTGTTATAAAGATATTGTCTCCATTATAAAAGAAGAACTTTCTCTTTAGCTCTCCTTTTTCTTTCCATGACGATGAGTGCATTGAAAAAGAGGCTTGTATGTAACCGATTCCAGTGATGATAATGAAAGGAGGTTCAGTGCAAGATATAGTTAAATCCAAGAATTCAGGGAAAAGCAGAAAGTTCACGAAAGAAGTTACGAAGAAGTATCAGACCACTGATTTCGAGAATGCAGTTGCAGAAATGATTCAAAATAATTATAGGCCACCAAAACCTAATTAATTATAAGAAATGTATAATGAATGATAATTATATGTATAAGATTCATATAAACATTATTTTGATTTCAAATGTTTGTGAATATTATAAACTCAAAATGCTTTTTATATAATTGAATTGACGATTCCTATGACTGCAAAGACTCCTCCTACAATGGCCAGTAATTAAACAATGAAATGATAGACAGATTTCTTTTAAATAGAATAGACCATATTGACAGGACTGATTTGATATTTAAAATAGATTGAATCGATTTCTGTAAAGGATCTTGTCATTTGTGCCTCATTGATAGAGTATTTATAGAGAGTTTAATAATTTCGTTCTTTATCATCGTAAAACCTCACAGGCAAAGCATTGATATAGTATTCATAATCTTGTTTTTCCCCTTCAGGAGCTGTTTTGGCTATAGAATTCCAGGAGGACTAGAATTTTTGAAGGGATTTAGGGTATTTCTTCATTTTGAAGGAAGAAGAGTTGTCTCCAAACCTCAATTCATAGATTGTGTGATCCAATTTGAGTTTTCTGTAGGTTGATAAATCTCTTTGATGAATTCTCTGTATCAAATGGTGATGTGCATGATAACTGATATGAAAATTACCTGGGACCTTGTTTACTGAAAAGAATCCCTTAAATTAGCATTATTCTCCTTGATTGATAGCCTCAATAGCATCAACTAATTCTTAGTCACTTCCTCTGTAATTAGGTCTTTCGTTATTGTCTATCTTTATAATGAATATTATTGTTTAAATACTGTAGGCAACACATGTCTTTCCTTATCCAAAGCAATCTTTTTCAAATTGCCAGAAACATCCATTACGTGTACTCCAACTTCGTCTTATTAATCCAATGACAAAACCATACAAGGAGCTCCGACAATCGCATCCAAATAAACCTTGATAAATTATTCAGTGTCATTGTCAATCACAGTCTAATAGTTTAATTCTGTGCTAAAAAATAATCTACATTCATTCATGGTAAAAATAGTAACCAACTATCAACAAATATGTTAGATGCTTACTGCAAATGCGATCATGGTCAAGAATCCTCCCAAAGACGAGGAAGTGTCGCCAATATCAGTATTTAATTTTCTAAAAAAGTCCAATTATCTCAAACCCATTTTTATTAAATAATTGTATTATTATTTTACTCAATTTCAAATACACAATGAATATATTCACATTTAATGTTTCTTTGTACTGTGATAAATTGAAACACCTATAAGACATCCTTATTGTAAATTTATTTTTAATATTATATTAATTATAATATGAATCTTAGACCACAAGATCATTCAGAAGTATCCTAATATTCATCATCCATTTTAGGGCAATCAAGCATAATACAATAAAAAATATGCTATCCATTATCAAAAGCCTGGCGAGGAAGAGCTCAAACAAATTGTACTCGAATTACCCAGCATTTTCACTGTTGGTGACTGTATAGATTTTTCTATTGAATAAATCAATATCCAAGATCCCTGTATATATATAAAGTCTAAATCATTATTAGCCTTTAAATTCTAAGGTTCCGCAGATCGTTTTAAATTGAAAGTGGCAAAAAAGAATGGCAAACCAAAAGATGACTTGCCAGGTAATCTAATTCGTTATATGTAGCCTTGGACAACGAATAATAACTCATTGACACTGGTGCAATTGTGTTTGCATTGGTTTTAAACCAGAATTAATAACAATTAGAAAAACAAATAACATTTGCTCCAACTAACCAATCCAACCAGACTCAACAGTCTCAACCCAACCAACAAGATTCCTCCATTAAACAAAGAACCTCTTATAGCAATAGTTTAAGTAATAACAAGAAGGTATTCAATCTACTATAAATTTAGAACAAAAATGGAGGAAACGATTAAAAAAATGATGCCAATGGATTTTGTTTCTTTAAGCAATGCGCTTGAAATGAATTCGTACTACCAACTTAATATATCCCATATCATTTTAAAATATCTAATTATAATATTCAAGCTATATTCTTCTCACTTTTATGAATCAAATCATATAAATATTAAAATCACTTCATATCTAAATAGATTCTTCGTTCTAAAAAAGCAATACGATTTTCTGAAACTACAAATCAAATCTTACTTCTAATAAGGAGCAATAGTATCCTATATCCATTCTATCATTCAGAATCTACAGTAAACCCAACCTCCCATAAATGCTAGAATTCTATTATTTGATCGAGAATTATTTGTACCATTTTTGAATTTATTGAAATTACCTAGTCGTCTATTATGATTGTATTACTGTGTACAATATTTAATAAAGCTAATTAACGGATGTACTTTTTATTGAAATAGTAAATTTTTCCCCAAAATTGAATAAATTCTAATTATAGTCCTTTAATTATTAAGCATTATTCTATAATGCATAAACTGGCAATTCTTTAGAAAACTGCTTGTAGGCAACATTTCTACTTCTAAGCATTACCTCCTTTACTCAAAATAAATAATTAGATCTATTATATCCTAAGATAAGATTTGCTATTAATTTATTTTGATTTGTTGACTTTCGAAAAAGGTATAACAACTTAAAGTTTGAGTTTTTTTAACACTTGCATCAATACATTCTTAAGGATACTTGAGACTTGATTTAGATGGAATTTTGGTTTAGCTCATTCTTTAATATAAGCTAACTTCAACTTTTTGGTTTGCTATCGGTTTTAATTTTTAATTTAACTTTAAGATTCTAATCAAAACAAACAAATCAATAGCCTAAATGATTTTATAACTTTTTTCTATTAAATCAGATGTATTTCCTATCTGATTATACTGTTATATAGATTGATCACTTATGTATATTTACTTTTATTATTTAGATTAGACTCTCTTTAAGTATATTTAGTAATAAATTATTGATGCTTGGATAAGCAAATGCTTTGAATGCATCTTATTAGAGTAGAATAAATAATCATTTAAGGAGAATAAACTGAATAATTGGGATTCACATATTAACAACGTAAATATTATTATCAAACAAATGCCAGTTCCATTTCCTCAACTTTAAGATAATTACTCATAAAAACCTAAGTTTTATTCCAAAAATTCTCCCTTGACTTGATATCCGCATTTTTTCAATAGAATTGGATACATTATAGTAATGTACCAAGATTCAATACAAATGACTGGGATAAACTAGATTATGTGAAATAGTACTATAAGAAAGGCTGTTAAATAAACGTTGTATGTTTAGATTAACAATAAAGGTAAAGGTAGCAGCATAGGCATAAAGAAGAGCAGTCTACATATCTTAAAATTTACAGTTTTTTATTCCATTTAATTGTAGTACTCTATTGAATTAAAGCTCCCCTAACTAAAGAAGCATCCTAAGATGAATGAAAATATAAATGAGAACAATGTCCCATGTAAGAAACAAGCATTGTATAATACATTTGTATGATCTTTGGTAAAATAACCTACTTCTGCTTGTTTACATTGAGTGATTTTGAGTAGCCATTTGTCAACTTCTTTTTCGTTTTGATTAAACAATTTGAGATTCAACTCAAGTAAGGTGACATCAATCGCAATGATAAGAATAAAAATGGCACTGATAGTAACTGATATTCTTTAAAATTTAACATCATCGTCAAATTTTATTTACAATTGATTTTTAATGTAGCTTTATTATAAGGAATTAGTACTGCAATAAGAATTGATGACAATAAATCTGATAGTTAAAAACAATATAAACTCCAAACATCCATCCCAAGGCGACTTACCCAATAGAATGTACTCCCAGGAATACTCTTGATAGTCCAGTCATAATTATGCATAAAAAGGCGAAAACCTTTAGTATTATTACTAATCGGTTGCTCAATTACGGCTCTTCTTCAGCATTCCTGTCCTCGCTGTCTAAAACTTGGAAATTATTCAATCTGAAAGTGAATGGATAAAAAATGAATAGGTATGAGAAATATATGATGACTGCAGTTTAAGCATGACCAGATGGTTTACCGAATTCCATATTGCATCCAATCCTGAAATATCATAATTATTTTAAAATACCCAATGATTTCATCTTCAACCCAATATGGTCGAGGTTAATGGTAAGCATTTTTCAATAGACCATTACTTGTAAATCCGAATACACATAAAAAGATGTATAAAATAGATTCTACCTTTTTGCTAGACAACATGAACTATAATCCTCCCAATATAATTGGTAGCTGAATAACATAGGAGAAAAACTAAAACATTAATTCTTCTCCTGGGAATGTGTTATTCTGTAGGAATATTGTGAAATCAATGTTTCTAGTCCACAAATAATTGTCAAAGATTATATCCAATGTTAGATAAGAAATTAATGCAAGAGTTGATATGATAAAAAAATTCATATTAAAATTTTATGGATTACAATCGAAACGACACCATCACGCAAGAGCTAAAGGCCAAGTTTAATCTAAATGTTTAGTATGTTATACAAACTATCTAATAGAATTAAAGACCCATAGTCGCGTCTCTTTCTCAAAGGATATTTTAAATCAGATTCTGAAATACATTCTTCCCGATTTGACAAAGATGACATTATGTTGGCTCTGGGATGCTCTAATGGATCAGTATGTGTTTACGATCTCACCAGAAGTACTGTGTTATTCAACCTTAGGTGAAAAGACAGCATTTTATACATATCTCAGTTCTAAATCAAATATGAAATTGCCCTGCACTGCCCTTAGGTTGTATTTTAGACTATTCCTAGATGGTTTTCAAGTGAAAAATCCACCAAAATGAGACAAGTCCTAATTTCAGCTAACACCGATGGTATGATCATCCTCTAAATTAGGTACCATAATGTATAAAAATGTGAAAACTGATTCTACTATCTATGAATTTAAAGAAGAGGATGATAATGAAGTTTATTGCATCGATGCTTTAAAAAACTAATTAGCAACTTGCGGCAAGGATTGTAAAGTAATGAAACTCTCCAGCTATTTTAGGTTAGAGTGTATGATATTGAGGCCTAAACCTTGTAAGCCACTTTAGAAGCCATACAATGGGTTTAACCTGGTCACAATAATAAATTATTCAGTGTTAAAATTGTGCCTTACGAGAAAAACTTAGTTATCAGTGGGGGATGGGATTAGAATTTAGTTATATGGGTAGTTTTATAAATGATATCCAAGGATTTAAGACAAAAATGTCAGGCTGGATGTATTGTGGGTCCAAAAATTGCAGGTGACACCATCGACATTAGAGAAGGTACAATATTGACAGGGGCAAACAGAATGAGTGAACAATTATAGATATGGGATTTGGGTACTTAGAAACTGATAGAGAATATCAAGTGGGATGAGAAGGTAGATTCAGCTGGAGCATTTATATATGGGTCTTAATTTGGAAAAGGAAAGGGATATTGCGTTGGAGGAGTTGCTCATGGAACAAACGAACTCAAGATGTTTGATAGAATAAAGGGATCTTATAAGGAAGCAATGCAATTGGGCGGATTTAATAAAGGTTCTTCTTTGTCATTATTAAATATAGGCTTATACACTATGGACTTTGCAAATACATCTAACAAATGTGTCATTGGAGGAGGGGATGGAATATGCTTAATGTTGGCGATTGTTCCTAATAAAGACCAATGATGAGTGATTTGATTATTTTATTAATCTATAACAACAGAAATTGTCTAAAATAACAATAAATTGAGGCCAATTTAGTAATACCAATCATATCAAATTTGATATATATCTTGAGTTATAGATATATAAGTAGATTTACATGGAGAATTATTATTTTATTCTACTTTATGAAAAAATCAAAAGATAGAATAAAATTACTTCCCATGGTGTTATTGATCATCTTCAGGTAGGATTGTAATTGGAAATAATATATTAATAACTAAAATTATTGCCATTTCTACACATGTATTCAATACTCACATATTATCATTCACACAAAAATATTTAGATTATTGAATTAGTTGTTTAATCTTAAATTGGCTCTGCTTTAAATTTGACGAGATAAGGTTGATCTATGAACTTCATTTTGTTCTGTCTTTATAATAGTTTTCACATCGTGACTCAATCTGGGGAGTTGTCTTGGAGTATGGATAGTAAAATTATTTATCATTGAATGTCTATTTAATGGTCTGGAAGTCAATATAGGTGATACTGAAAAATGTTCTTGTTGCTATACGCATTTCACATCCAACTTCAATGTTACCTTTGACTTTTGAGTGTCTCGTTTTTGAGCATTCATAAAGAAAGGGTGCTATTTTGCAGAAATTATCGAGATTCTATTTTCTGGTTGTGTCTCTAACATCTTTTTCATCAAAGACAATGCTTCCGAACTACAATCAATATCATCATAATTAATATCCCCCGCCTCATTCAATTTAACAGTTTGTTGATTGTTCTTACCCACAAATGGTCTCTTACCAGATAGCAGTATGTATAACAGTATGCCGATACTGTAAATGTCGACCTTATAATCATATGGCTGTCCACGAAGTATTTCAGGAGCTACGTACCCTGGTGTTCCACATCTTCGATACAAATAGTTTCCATCGAATTTGTAAAAGTCTGCAAGTCCAAAATCTCCTATTACTATGTCATTTAAATTGTTCTTCTATCTCAGGATCAAGTTTTCAGGCTTGATATCTCGGTGGAGCACTCCTTGGGAATGCATATACTGGATCCCATTCAATAAATTATAAATTATCTGAGAAACCTTTAATTCACTCAATTTCTCACTTCTTTCCAAGTAATCATGTAAGTCTCCTCCCTTTAGCAACTCCTATACGAAGTAGATGTAACTTGAATTTTCGAAAACTTCGTATATTGTCAATAATTAGTTATGATTCATTAAACGAAGTATCTACATCTCCTTTGTTAAATTCTTCCTGTCCTTCTCATTAGAAATATGTCGTTTCTCGAAACATTTCACTGCATATTCATTCTGGGTGAATCTGCACTCCGCCAAATAAATCTAGGAATATACATAATTTATTACTGTAGCGAATGTCCCTTTTGCAATCATTTTTTTTATTGAATACCTTTGAGTGAAATTAAACTAGATGCATGTCTTTTTGAGTTGATCAAATATAGATTTTATTTTACCAAAAAACTCAAAAGTATAAATTCCCTTCGTAATTCTTACTCCCTAATCGTTATTGAAATCACTTGTTATTAATTCCAATCCTGCATTTTCCACGTTCGTACTATACTATCGCTATGTATTATAAGTGTATGTATTACATCATCCTATTCCATTATCAGGTTTTTCTTGACCAGTCTCAAATTGCAAGGAATAGTTTCAAAAGGAGTCTAAATATAGTAAAGATCTTCCATTATGTATTTTTGAGTTTTATCAATTTTAGTGTTGTCCCAAAACTAAGTACATTGTTAAGAGAAATAAGATTTAAAGCAATATTTTTGATTCATAGCTAAATTAAATGATTTGATATTGCGATGATTTTTTTTATATAATAAATATATTTTTCAAAATAATTATTCTGTCTCCTTATCTAGTTCCTATAATTAATACAATATGAAAAACAGCATTAAATCTAGAAAAAAAGTAATATATATTCTAATTGATCTACATTTTATTCAAATTATTTTATTTTGAAAGATAAATTATTATTATTATCATTACAAAAGCCTTATTTGAGATTTTGATGCATTTAATTTTCTTTTTAATAATCAAATAATATTAAGATTTAATTAGATTAAGATATAATTAAATAATTCCTATTGTTTAGAGTACTACAGTGATCTCAGTAAAATAATTATAAATATCCTTGATCTACTGATAATGAAGAATAGTTTGATAAAATAAAGGAGAATTTAAAACAGGAAAGGAAAGATGCATAAATTAAGTTTATTGGTTCAAATTTTTTGAATTATAAAATAACCAGTGCATCAATCTTTATTCAATTCTTTAAAGTGCATCATTAATCTTATTTTTGAAATCTAAGAGCCTAATTTTGAAAAATTACTATTTAGCATCCTTATGTATATTTTCCTAGCATCAGCCAGAAGAAAACCAAATCTAAACAGAAAAATTAACACTTCAAAATTTCATCCGCTCAAAATGATTTCTATTATTCTTTTATTCTAGTAATTGCTTTAATAATTTATCATACGTAAGATCTCAATATTCGTATCATTGAATATCCTTGATTTCGTATTTTTAGATATAAATTTATATTTTGTACAACTAAGGATGACACAATAACCTTTCATATATTATACACATATAATTAATAACTTGCTTATAATATTTTTTAATAGGTAAAGACTAAAACAATGTATTATTTATTAAATAGTATTTCAATATTGAAATGAAAATATTACATAAACTATAAAATATTCTGAATATAAGAAATATACTAATAGAATAATAGGGTATTAAAGAATGAATTAGCGAAGAAGAGAAGAAGATTAAATAATATTAAAATGAAGAAAGTGGTGCTACTGGCAGGTTAAACTGGTTCAGGTCTCACAACAATTTTATAAAATCACTAACTCCAATCTAAAAACCCAACTTAGAGGAGACAGTTTAACTCTTGAAGTCTTCGTTAAAGACTCCTAATACGGATAAGGATTTACGCTAATTGATACTCCTGGATTTGGATATGATGTTAATGCTAACACAATTCCAACATATTTAAACCTATTAGAAAATATTTAGATTTCTAGAATAATGGTTGTTGCTATTTGCTCAAAAGGTCTATCATTTCTAAAAGACTCATGCAAAGATATACTGTAGGCTTTTGAAAGATATAAAGATAAAATTACAATAGTGATTAATTTGTTAGACTTTTTTGATGGTGATGAAAAAGAGAATATGAAGAATAATATAATCTAATATTTTCAAATAATTGGAATATAATCTTTTATTTTTGCTTTAAAATAAGATTCTGGAGAACGACTTTGCAAATTATTTGACTAAGAGATTAAATATTCTTAACCATAAAAAATCAAATTTACAGAAACTGAAATGCTTGCCTTAATAAAATGTGATGATTTAGAATAATTTGAAGAACCGTTGGTGGCACAAATATACTAAAGCTCTGACACTTTTTGGTAATTGAGAGAAATGACAATAAATAATTAAAATTAAGATAAATTTTTAATGGTGCTTAAATAACTAATAAAGAATGTAATAGAGGAATTCTAAAATAAATTTAATAAGCTAGATATTCTTCATAAAAAAGAAGATTAACAGGCAATTTTATATTAACATTGTAAATTCATTTTAATTGATTATCTGAATTGCAAAATTGCTCATTAGAAGGAACATAAAATTGGTATTAATTATATCTAAATATTAGAGTTGTAGAATTTTATAGAGAATGAATTAAGACCTTTTGATAAAAAGTTTGAATAAGGGTTGAAAATTTGCATATAGAAAATTAGGGATGAAGCTAAAAAGAAAAAGATCAATTATTTATGAGGAATACTTAAATGATTTAATTAATATATATATAATTTTAACATTAAATAGTATTTAGGGGAATGAACATTTGAAATTAGTAAAACACAGAAGTTTATGCATCAAAGATAATTTCTGTTATCGATAATACGAATTCGTTCTATATTCTCATTTATTTGTAACTTTTTGATATTGTAAAATAAATATTACATTGGTATTTTACAACTTTATTTCTCAAGCACTTAATTGAACATTCATAATTATATTTGATTGACTTTATATAATTCAGTTAAAAGACAAATTGATTTATAATTCTGTTGATAAATACTTTGACTCTTTTTTATATCTCTCAAGTTTGAAATTTCTTGAGAATAGATATATATATAAATATTATAAATGAATGTAAAATTAATGTATATTTTTAATTTAAATTTACTAAATGCAAACACCTGACTTGAAGAAAAAAAAACCTTAGGTTGCAAAGATCAGTCTTTAATCAGAACAAGCTTAACCTGTACTAAATCTGTATTTAGTTTTTAATAAAAATTAGCTCTGAGAATGGATCTCTGATTCTAAAAGAATTTCGTTTAAATGGCCAAGGGCTCAAAGTTACTCACACACATGATTAATGGGACTTTTCACTCTCTGAATCCACTCATAATTTATCACTTGAAAATTTAGTAACAGTTGGACAATTAGGTCAGGGGGCATCAGGTCAGGTAGAAAAAGTGTAAGATTAGGTGACAGGATAATATTTTGCAATGAAAGTATTGACTGCATAGTATCTAGAAAATTCCTGTGGCTTCAGATCCACAATATTTGAAGCAACTCTCTGATGAATTGAAACTCGCTTTAGAATGTAGTTCACCTTATGTTGTCAAATGCTACGGAGCATTTTATAAATCTGGAACCTTGCACATCATTTTAGAGTATATGGATGTCGGCTCTATAGACTCCTTAATAAAGAAAGTTAAAAATCTGAATGAACCTGTTATGGCCTTGCTTTTATATCAGATCCTGCTAGGAATCGATTATTTGCATAATAAAAAGAAAATCATTCATAGAGACATTAAACCATAAAACATATTAGTAAATAAGAAAGGGGAAATCAAGATCACTGATTTCGGTATCTCAGGTACAATAGAAACAATGCAATAAAGAAAGACTTACGTTGGAACTGCAGTTTATATGTCCGTATGAATTATTTTCTAAAATAGCCTGAAAGATTGAATGGAGAAATGTATGGAAGAGATTCTGATATCTGGTCAATTGGTATTTTAACAGCTGAATGCTTGATGGGAAAACATCCTATTTAGAAAACCTAGTTTATTGATATGGTTAATGAAATTAGTTCATTTAATATTGAAAGCGTTCAAGCAAAGATTTCTGCGGAAATGAAAAACTTCATATCTATGTGGTAATCATATTGTTTTTAATTTTTAGTGTGAAATTGAAACCTGAAGAGAGAGCAACAGTTGATTAATTATTAAATCATAAAATCATTCTAAGAACAAAAAAAATTGATAAAATGGTTTTCTTGTAATGGTTGAATTAAGTGACATAATTATGAATTATAATTAATCTTATGTTATATTCATTATTGATATTAAATAAAAGCCTACTAAGACATTACATTAGGTTTTATTGATCCTTTACACAAGTTCATCTGCGTTGATTTTAAAATAATATATTTTGTATTTTAAACCTTTCTTAATAATAATAATATTAATTACTTCATTTCATATTTATGATAGAAAAATATTACTTAAATTAATTGAGTTCCCTGTAAAAACAATTTTTTCAATACAAAATATTTATAAATTAAATATATATAATTCTATTAATGTTCGAAACAAAAAATGGAAAATCTTTCCCAATGTTAATACATGGATTACTAAGAAAGAATTAAAAACTGAATTTTGAAATTATCAGTTTAAAGGATAGAATTTCAAACAATCCTCTAAGTGTTTAGCATTTAAGCAAGATAATGTTTCATATCACAAATCGTAAAATAATCATTAATTTAGTTTTACGGGAATGTAATGGGAGAAACCCTAACTTTTTGAAAAGCTTGAGTCTTGATTAGATTTATGTAAATAAAAATATTGAAGACGATGTGAATACCTTTATATTTGAAGAGGATCAAGAAGGTGATAAAAAAAAACAAAGCCTTGATGTTATACTATTTTAATTATGTAATTGTATTTCAATACTTTTTAGTTCATGTTTTAGGTTTTGATATTATGTAAGAGACTTTTAGCAAACCAAATTATTTCGATTTAATAATTAATTATCTTTATGACCATATCTTTGAAGAAAGACAATAAGATTCTTAAACTAAAATTAATGAAAAACACATTTTAGAGAGAATCTTTAATGTTAATATAATAAAGATCATGTATGATCAACCGTTTTCAAGGGTGTATCTCATTGAAACACCATATTACATTAATTCTTAAAGAAATAAAATTGTTGTCAAATGGATTAAATATATTTCCGAATACGACATGATACAATATTTACATAGAGAAATTAGACTATTAGAGAGAGTTCATGATTTGGAAAATTGTACAAAGTTGTTTTGTTACACTAATGTCCTTCCTTAACAATTTATTTTTATGAAGTATTATGACATAACTTTAGATGATTTAAATAATGAGATAGGCAAAAATTAGGTAAATGTTATTGACTTGATACACTTAATTAAATAAATGTTATTAGCATTAAAGGGTCTTCATGACAGGCAAATTATTCATAGAGATTTGAAACCTTAAAACATTATGTTTGAATATCTTAACGACAATCATAGTATTTAAAATATGAGATGTGTTCTTATTGATTTAGATAGATCTGATAATAATTAAATTGTGAAATCTGTGAGAGAATTCCAATCTGATTATATTGGTACTCCTGAGTATCAACCGCCTGAAGGAACTTAAGATCATCATTATGAGGAATCGTACGACATATGGCAATTAGGATATATCATTTAATGCATATTATTAAGAGATAAAAATAAACTCTATTCTAAATAAAAAGATAGACCAATAGAAGAATAGGTTTATGAGAATATCTTTAAATCAGATTGGGAGAAGGTTAAACTAAGATTTCCCAAATTTTACGAAGTAGTCAAGCAAATGATGGATTACGATCCATAAAAGAGACCAGCCCTTGTTGAGATTGAAGAAGAAATAAATAAAATTAATTGAATAAGATTATAGATTTAATTATAATTTTTATTATTGATATTAAAAATGGAAGGTAAACTATGTCACTATTTAGAAATCTTTAAATCCCCCTAAAGCAAATTCTTTACTGTTAAATACAAGTCAAAGGCCTAGGCTGACTCAAGCTTAAACAACAAGCATATTTTCATACAAAGAAAGTTTGATAAACTAATTGATCGTGCTATGGAAAAGTCCAAATCGGTTGGAATATTCCTCAATTGTGTGGATGAAAAATCATTCATAGCCTTTGGGATTTTACAATCCTAATCCATTTAATTTGAAATGTTAACTGTATTACTTCATATTAACAAAATTAGGAAGACTAAAAAATTAATCTAAGTAATTTGAAAGGCAATTACGAATCATTTTTCAAAGTTGATTGGACACTCAAAGGAGTGCTAAGCTATGAGAAGACCCAAAAAATTAAAAATGTTTTGAACGACTTATTGCCGGTGAATTAAGGTAAAGAAGTCGAAGAATTATCAGGATCAAATGCTGAAGAGGTATTAACTTATCGTAATCTTAAGCTTTATTCACTTCTTTAAAAATAAAAGCCTTATAAGCCTTAACCTTTACAGGATATTAAATTGCCATTATAATTCAATTAATTAACACAACAAAAATATCCTACCCATAGTGATGAGTCAAAATTAAGGAAAAAAGGCAATAGCAGAAGTAGAAGTAGAGATAAAGAGAAATCATATGACAAGAGAAAATCAAGCAAAGACCCAAGTGATGATAGAGGGAAGTAATTAGAAAAAAGAAAACACGAACAAAATGAAAGAAAAGACACCTATAGAGATAGTTAGGATAGACACAATAAAAGTAGAAGGAGTAGAGATAGAAGGAGCAGAGATAGAAGCAAAAGAAGCTAAGATAAAAAAAGTGAGGATCGAAGAAGCAGAGATAGAAAAAATAGAAATGATTAGAATAAATGGCAATAACATAAAGAGTTTGTTGATGACAGTATACAAATACATAATAGATATAGAATAAGTATAGACTGAAGTCGGATTTAAAGATAAAGACAGATTGGAAAAAGAAAAATAGTAAAGGGAATAACGTGAGAGAGAAAGAGCGAAAGGTTAAAGAGAATAGAGAGATAGAGAATTATTGAAAATGAAAAATAATATAAATCCTAAATAAACTACAGATTGGGATAGGGATGATAGAATTGAAGATGAATAAGAGCCGATTAAATTAAAAGATAAAAAAGAAAAAATAAAGGATAAAGACAATGAAAAAGATAGAGAAAAGGAAAAATAAAGAGAGAAAGATAAGGAAAGAGAAAAAGAAAAAGAAAAGGAAAAAGAGAGGGAAAAAGAAAAGGAAAGAGAAAGAGAAAGAGAAAAGGAAAAAGAAAGAGAAAGAGAAAGAGAAAAGGAAAAAGAAAGAGAAAGGGAAAGGGAAAAAGAAAAAGAGAGAGAAAAAGAGAGAGAGAGAGAAAAAGAGAAGTAAAAGGAGAGAGAGAGAGAAAAAGAGAGGGAAAGACTGAAGGAGAAAGAAAAAGAAAGGGAAAGAGAAAGAGAAAGAGAAAAAGAGAAAGAAAAAGAGAAGGAAAGAGAGAGGGAAAAAGAAAGAGAAAAAGAAAGGGAAAGAGAAAAGGAAAAGGAAAGGGAAAAGGAAAAGGAAAAAGAAAAAGAAAAGGAAAGGTAAAGAGAAAAGGAGAAAGAAATAGAAAGAGAAAAGGAGAAAGAAAGAGAAAAGGAAAGGTAAAGATAGAAGGAGAAGGATAAGTATAGAGAAAAAGATTAAGATAGATAAAATGATAAAGATAGATAAAATGATAAAGAAAAATATAGAAGCAATAGATATGAAAAAAAAGATGAACGATATCAATAAAAGGATAAGAATGTTCATCATTATGAAGATAAAAGAAGAAAAAGATCGAGGGATAGGTCAAGAGAAAAACCAAACTATTCAAATGATAGAAGAGACAGAGAGAAAAGGAATGATAAGGATAGAAAACATAAGACTATTAATTAAGATTTTAAAACATAGTTTAAAAGAAAAAGTTCTTCTTCATCATAGAGTTAAAAAAATAGATAAGTTGAAATTAAAATAACATAAAATCCTAATTCAAAAAATATTAAACATTAAGAAGATGTGAAACCTAGAAGATAATATTAGTATGAAAATGAATTTTATAGCTAATCTGTATCCTTGTCTCCCCATAAAGAATAAATAGAAACTTAAGAGCCGGTTAAAATAGTTGAAAATATTTAAATTTTAGAAAGTGTTCCTGTCTAGATTGTTCCACCTTAATAAATTTAAATACCCCCTGTGAACAATTAGCCATAGGTTCAACCAGTAATTTAATAATAAATTGAAAATGTAATTGAAAAGAAAGAAGAAACCCCAAGGATTGTGATATAGGAAAATGCTAAGAGAGTATTAGTATTGAGTTAAGATAAACCTTAACCAAGTTTAGATACAAATTTTTAGGCCTAAACTGGTTCCATGAAAATCATTAAAAGCGCCTCAGGGAATACAAACCAACCTAATATTATTATTCAAAAGCCAATAATATCAGATACAAAAATAGGATAAATTCATTAAAGTGGTCAAGAAAAAATTAAGGATCGTATCATAATTAAAAATAAATGAGAAATTCATATACAAGTTTAATTAACAATATTAATATCTTTGCAATCTTTGGTCCATAAGTAAATTGAACTCAGTAATGAATAGACTTTGGGTTGCAGATTTTAGAGTTTAGAACTATTACAAAACTTTTGGTAAATATATTATTGAATCAAATTTTTGAAAAACCACTTTCTCCTTCTTAATATATTCTTTCCTAAAATTATCTCTAACAAAAAAGATTATTATTTTTATTATAAAATTTAGCTCTATTTAGGGTTAGTTTAGACAGTTTACATTAGAGGTATAATATCTTTAGAATTAGTATAAGTTCAAATTTTATGAACATAAAAGTATACTTTAACTATGATAAGTCACTCAAGAAAAGATTTATAATTTCATTTATCTAAACCACTCCTATAATCAATTGTATTAAACCTCATAAATAGGCTAATTTTTATTTGAAGAATTATTGCTACTCATAGTATAAATATTTAAAAATAATGAGGGGGATTTGCAAGAATGAATAGATTTCTAACTTCAACTTGTCAGCGTATTTGTTTGATTTATTTTAAATAATTTTTTTTGAATTATTTTAGGTACCACTATGTTATTAAAAATATTAAATTATATATCAAATCAATCAGAAATCTATTAATTATGAGATTATGATGACAAATTTTAAACAGATTTATTTGTAGAACTTTGAGCCGAAAATTCATCTGCAATTTGTTTCCAATATTTAGTTGATCTTATCACTACTCTGTCTACTAGTGTTCTTTATTTATTCTTTAAAAGGAGATTTGCTTATGTTTGTGATGAATTGTTGAGTCTTTATTGCCAAAAGTTAAGTGAGTTTTCTATAATATTATTCATTAGAGATATTACTTCTAATTTTTATATTATTTTTATTAATGTATACAAATTATTAAAATATAAATTAATTAGTATAATTTTCAAAATAATTAACTTGCTTATCTTACTTCATTTGTGAATCTATTATTTAAGCTTATTAATTTATGTAAATTTATTCTTATTATTTTATTATTGAATCAAAATCCTTTCTTAGATTATCAAATAAAATCTAAATCCTATATTATAAAGAGTATAGCATAAAATTTACACTCTACTTAAGCAAAACAAAATTATTATTTAATAACTTAAGAATCCCTCAACAATTAAGGAGTAGATTGGAATTTTTAAATTTAAGCAAATTTATATCAATAACTAAACTAGTTATAAAAGAAAATTAAACTACCTAAAAATATTTTGAGATTACTTACAAATTTTCTAAAAATCAAAATAAAATTCCAAAAGAGAACCCCGTAAGCATTGAGAAAATCCATTCAATTAATTTAATAGGCTTGGAGTAAATTCAGAAAATATCGCCATAGTCTGCAACTCAATAACCAATGTGTAGCAGTGTATACATTTGGATGAAAATTGTAATACTCTCTTTGTAAGTAAATCTTATACAACGATATGTAGATATTAATATAATAATTACGGATGGATTATATTATTTTAGAATTTACTCTATTATATAATAATTCTATTTCATTCCTGATATTCTGACTTTTTAATATATATGTGCAGTTTAGAAAAGTAATAAGAAATCAAAGTCAATAGGAAAGTTTTCCCTTCACTAACAAAATGAATGAATTCAGATAATAAGCAATTATGCATTGTTATCATAGCAATTCCTGTGGCTGGATTAATCTTTGACTAAGGATAAATTTTACATCTTTTATGAAGTTCTATTATTCGGCTTCATCTTAGATATATTCATGTATAGGTAGGTAATCAGAAGCTAATGAAATCATAGGATGGTTTACATTCGCAATCTTATAATGTGAAATAGAATTAAGGAATATTGATATAAGTATTGTATATTAATTGGGCCTTGACTTGTATTTACTTTTGATTAAGTTAAGTGGCTGTATTGAGTTCAAGAATAAATCTTTAATCTATGGGGAGCTGCGTAAAAATGGCAATACATATTTATGATCAATCAGAAAGCATTTGGATTCAAAGTTGACTAAGATTGGTAGATTTTTGGCTTGTTCTTAAAAATCTGTAAATGGGATTCCTAATGTTGTTATCATAATAAATAAAATTAATTGTGAACACATAAAATGGTAACTCATAATTCATTAATCATTTTTCGCACATCTGCATGAGTAAGCTTCCTTGAACTTATAAGAAGCTTAGCAAGTTCCATAACGTTTTGATAATGTGTGAATGAAAAGTCAGGACCTTTATTTTTTACAAATTTATTAGCCCAAGAATCGAATAATGATAAAACATCTTTAATAGAGTTTGCCATCACGAAAGTTTTAGCATACAAGTTTCTATTTTTAGGTTCTCCAGGGAATGCTATAACAAGATGTAACAAAATGATTCCAATGGCATAGAATTCATCTGCCATTTCATAATGAGAATCTTTATTATAATTTGCAGTTTAATAGCCTATGGTTCCAGTAGTTATTGTATTCTAACTCTTAATAGAATTTAGTTCCTCTTCAGGGAGTCTTTCATCAGTGATAATAGATAGTTTTTCTTCTCTGACATCTTTTCCTTAATCAAAATCTGCCAATGCAACCTAGCCAGTTAATTTTAAACATCAATTACTTATAAATCTCCTTTGACATTAATAGTGACAAAAATATTCTCAGGTTTCAAATCTCTATGGATAATACCTCTTTGGTGAATGTATTCCAATCCATCTAAAATCTGATTAAGGATTGATTTAATCTTATTAATCTTTTCTTAATTCTGCATAACATTTAAGTAATAATAGGAAAATGTTAGCAAATCTGTTGGTTGATATTTATAGCCAGGAAAGGAACAATATTCAAGTTGCATATATAGATAATATCCATCATTGGTTGATTCAATCCACCAGGCAAATAGCCTATAGAGATGAAGATTAAGATACCTAAGAATATTTGGGTGAGTCAATTTTGACAGTATTTTGGCTTCTCTGATTTTTCTGATATCAGGGGTGATTGGGGTATTTGAGGCTGTTGTAGAGAAGACAGAAAAGAAATCCAGATGAGTTGCTTATAATTTGCTCTAAATTATTCAATAAACATACTCTTTTGAGAGCATAGATTTGATCATCTTCTGGACGATAGACAAAGAATATCGATACTCCACTTCTTAATTCATCTTAATTGGTCTGGGACAGGATCAAGTAATCATTAAAGAACTTATTGTTTCTTATGAAGGCAGTTCTTGGGTCATATTGCTTATGTACTGGGTTGATTTGTTGTAATGAATCAATGGCAAAAAATGTCAAGGTTATTTTTAAAGGGATCTTTTTAAATTGTAAATTGATTTTCTTTCTATTTATTAGTTCAATGATCGATTTGGATATAAAAGCATAGGCAGTAGATTTGATTTATCCTGTCGATGTTATAAAGCCAATATTAATATCTTAATAAAATATCTTTATCAATTTATCACAGGCATCTTTAAATTGTTATTTGCTCTCTAATTTCTATAGTTGCAGAAGAATGTTTCTAATTGCCTTCTTAATTGCTTTTTCGACATTTATTAAATGTTTAAGAAATGGATCATCATTTGTAAAGTCCATTCGAATTTATGAAATTATGAGCATTTATGAATACTCTTTGCACTCGCCACTCTAAACAAACTCCTATCTCTTCTACAAACTATCGTCCTAAGTAAAAGAATGTGAATTTATTATACAAGCATCTTTTAAATCAAAGTTTAATCAGGTTATTGAATAACTAGTTCAAATTGTCGCTCTTCTTCGGGTAATTCCTCAATGACTTTCGATCCATAAAATTAATTGATAATCTAGTCGATCTTGTCTTTATCACTTTTCATTATATTTTTGTGATAATAATTAATTATATCGAATGAATTCATACAATAATACAAATCAGATAGTACTTAAAATGAGAATCTTAGAACTTCAATATAAACTCAATTTAATATCGAATATGTATTTAAATAGAAAGCTGAAGATCTTTTTTCTTGTTAATATAGAAATTTTTAGAGATATGGATTAAAAAATGACGATGATATATTTGAAACATAAATGCACATTTTAGTAAGCTATCTGATTAAGCATCACAATCTTTGAATTTAACAGAATTGCTGAACACCAATAAAAGTATTGCTGAACATCAAGAGATAATTAATAATGATGTCTGGAAGTTATTATTGATTACAAAATAAATATATTTTATATAAATTATTTCATCTATTTGAACGTTTCCTATCAAAGATATCAAAATTATCAGGATTATTAAAATGGAAAATATAGATATTAAAAGAATAAAAAGTTTACTCATTTTAATGATTAAACAATCCTCAAACTTGAATGTTAAAATTTAATATATGAAATAGAATTTAGACAATATGTGTGTAAATTAATACATCAAATAACATGTTTCAATTACTTTTCATATGACAAGGCTTTAGTTTCAAAGTTTTATTAACCTAAAGAGTTTAATTTTTCTGTTTCATCAGAATTAATAGGAATTTTCTCTTGTAAAATGAAATCTGATATAAGTTTAGCCATTCTTTCAGGTTCATCCTCATGCATAGAATGACCTGATTAATCGAATAAGTGAATTTTGTATCTTTGTTATTTGAATTAAATAGAACACAATCTATTGGATTCAGCAACAAACAATAATTTTGAATGTTGGAAATTATCAAATCCATCCTGAATACCTTTAAACCATTCTTACCAATATTTTTTAGTTTGAATTAAATCCACTTTCCATTCCAAATTATCGTTTAAGTAATGCGGAACAGTGATTTAGGCTGATTAAGGATTCTTGATAAGATTATTAGATAAATGATAACTAATAGCACTGGAGTACGAGTAAAATTGAGAGGGTCTTTTTCTCAATTCTTTCTCCATCAATTGAATACTCTCAATCGCTCTACTTTCAATCATATCTATCACAATAAGCCCTCGTATAAATGATTTTGGCTGCAATTTACAAGCTATGGCTGCTCCAAGACTGTGTCCCAACAAAAGAATATTTGTATTTGGATTATTCAGTCTTATGTAATCTATAACATCCTCACACTCCTTAATTAGGTTGTCCATTTCCAAAGGTTCTGTTTTGAGAGACTATCCATGTTACATCAAATCATAGGAGATACAACTACAAAATGTTTTCAACTGTTAACACAACAAAGCAAATGTCATGGCACAATGTCCAGCTCCATGAATTAGCAACACAATAGGTTCATGTTTCATTATTGAATAGACAGGGGTACCCTACATTAATTTGGATAATTGTACATTGACGATGACCATGGTATCAAAGTATTTATTCCATTCTTATTTTTGGAGTTGCTTCTTCTTGTAGAGGGTTTCAGTAGTTCCTCCTTCCTCCTCTAGGATTGGTTTAAGAACTGAGTCCAAATTCATGAGAAGAATATTTATAAAAATTATTACAATCTGTAAAATAATTTCTTTTATATAAAATATATTCACACACTTAATAAGTAACTATAAATTATATTTATATTTTTAATGGGATAGGTCTTAGCATCAGATTATGTTGAATTGTACGCAATTCAAGAGAATCCGAATAATCAATCAAAGCATTCAGTTCATGACAAGTCTAAAATAGATCATTCCTAAGTGGTACACATTTTATTCAAATGCAGTCTCATGTGGCACCTCCCATATAGCCTAAACCAAAGCCGAATCAAACGAAAAGTGCTAATATTGATCAGATAAAAGGATTAAGAATCTATCTATCTTAAGAGATGTCTTTATGTTATTAATAATTTCTAGTACCAACGAATTCCCTGATTTAGATCCTGTTTCATATCAAAGACATGAGATTGCTGACGGAGAGTATTATGGACGATTCCAAAATTCCAATAGGGAAGGAGATGGAGTTTTAGCTCTCAAAAAGAAACCGATATAAAAAGGTATAAATGTATTGATTGAATTTTCAGGTCAGAATGATCAAGACCAACTCTACAAATTCTTTGGAACGTATCGAAATGGATAAGCGGCTGGCAACGGATATGCCTTTTTCCATTATGATTACTCCCTTTGGGGGGAAGTCTAAAAAAATGAATTTAAAGGAAAGGCAATTCTGAAAACCAAAGATAATTAAACCTATTAGGGGATTTGGGATGAGAGAAAACTAAAATATGGCATTATCTAAACGTATTATTGACTCTAATCTAATAGATAACTTTATAAATATGTGGGATAATTTAAGGATGGCCTAAGAGAGGGACTCGGAGAATGTCATTACTCTGATGGAACCATTATCAAAGGCAATTGGAAATAGGACAATTTAGATCAACTATGTCATATCTAATTCCCTGATAATACTTTTTTTAGTGGCCACTTTTTTGAAGGAATGAAACATGGTTTTGGATTATTGTAATAATAAAATTAAACATACTTTGGTGAGTTTGATTGTAATGTTAAACATGGTTTTGGATTATTAATTTAACCTGAAGATATACAAATGAATCAATCTTAGCATAAACAAAAACACAGTATTTTAATCATTTAATTAACAAATAGCTGAAGCACTCTACTTTTAAGGTGTACAAAAAGGCATCTATTGTGTTTACACAGAAAAAGAAAATAAATAATGGTTCTAAATTAAAGATAATAATGAAATAGAAAAATTAGAACATGTTACCGAGAAAAGAGGTTTAGCTGAACTTTTAAGTCCAATTCCAGAACATAATTAACCTCCAGTAAAAAGTTTAGAGGCTTAAAAGGTAAAATAACTTATATCTTAGGCTGATTTAGAAAAAGCCATTAAAGAAATGATGGGGAAAGTAAATGAAATCTAAAATAATTCCAATCAATTCATGTCATTAGAAAAGTAAATGGATTCTTAAACTATTAAATTGGGCCAACTTGCAACATACCAAGATTGGATTGACTAGAATAAATAATGAATATTCAATCCATTCATAAAATAAACATTGATTATTATCTTTTCATTCATTAACTTATTACTATAGTCCTTTTTGAATTCTTCAAAAGTAACCCTTAATTTTTATGCCTGAAGGTAGAGTTTCTTTTTTATTGTTTAAAATTTTATACGAATGTAGATTGGTTTTAAAATTAATGAAACGCCGTCTTAGTATAGTGGTAGTACATGGCATTGTGGCTGCTAAAACCCAGGCTCGAATCCTGGAGGGGGCATTTTTTTTTAATTTAACTACTAATAGAATATAAAAATTATTGAAAAGTTCCATAATTATATAATTCTTGCCTTACGACCAAAGTCAAAAGAGCCTTACATCCCCATCTAATACATTTCTTAATGTAATAATCTAATCATTATTCGCTTTATAAACTTTTCAATCAAATTGCTTCAAAGTATCCTTATAAAACTATTAAAGTTAGTAAATGATTAATTTATTTCAATTGGAATATTAATAGGGAATATAAAGTAATCAATTAATTTAGAAATCTTGATTTAAATTGCAATATAAATAACATTTCTTACAGCAATTCATTTACAGAAATAATTGTAATAAATAATTAAATGATTCATTTCACATTAATCAGCAGTTTATGTCTGTTAATTGTTCTTATATCCATTAATATTGCTTTAAGCAATAGAATTTCCATCAATTTCCCTTAATATTGTGATATCTCAACGAACTCATTTATAATATCTTTTAGGCTACTATAACTAATTTTCAACCAAATAAAATAAGCATTTTACTTCGTTGAGATTTCACTTAACAAAATTTTAAGATTCCTAATAATGAAGAAATTGGAAGTAAAGATTTTGAAACTGAGATCATGAACTTGTCCTAACTACCCTTTAATCCCATTAAAATAATATATTTGATGATGATAAGCCACATGATGACTATAATTTAAAGATGTTTAAAATTCAAGATAGGGTATAAATAATAATTTTTCTTAAAGTTTGGGATGGTTATAATAATATTGGATTTATTCTGCTTTTTAGAATACAAAATCTTATCAAATTTGACAATCAAGCGGAGAAATACTAAAGTTTGTATAATAGTCATGAGATGGAATTTAAATATTCTTGTTTTCCAAATTTATTCTAATATTATTATGATATTGAAATTGTAAATACATAAATTATTTTTTCAAACTTTAGGAGGCTGGATATGTTAGACCTTAAGTTTGAAAACTAAGATACTTAGATATGTGTTCCTCCTAAAATCAGGAAAAAAAGGTATTGAATAAAAAAATAATTAGATTTTTGGCAACACCTTCTCACTAAACCATAATAGCATTAAATTTGAGTGATAATTGTGAAAGTTTAAATGAGGAAATTGAATATCAGAGAAGAAGAAAAATTAAACCATTCTTAATTATCAGGTTTTTGGAACAGAAAACTGAAGAACCATTCTGAAATTATAATGTGAATAATAAATTAGAAACAATTATTGGTTAGTCAATCTAGATTAAGTCTCCATTTAAGTCTCCCTGTAAGATCTAAATTCTTACCTTTCTTAATGCAGAATAGTTAAGTTCAAAGAATTTTAAGGTATCTACAAAAGAGTTCTTTATGATACAAAAAATATATATTTTGGTTTTCTTATATCTATTTAACAGTTTATCATAAAATAAATTAATGATGTTTTTGTTCTACTTCAATCTCTCATTCACATACTGTTATTAAATGTTTTTAATAACTTTTGATTTCAATAAGAATATTATTCTACATATATAGTTATTTATTTATTATATACTATTTTTGGTGAAGTATTTTATATTGAGCCAAGATTCCAGAGATTCTCTCATCTCAGTAATTTTCATTGAGGTTCTTTTTATTTGATCATGTCTTTGATAATTGAGAATAGTGCAATGACTATGCATATTCTTTAAATGTAGACATAATTAATTAAATTTCATGAAATATTTACAATTCATATTAATATTAGGTCTGACACTTGCTTTAACAACTACAGAATAGTCAGGAATACTTGATCCTAATGACATGATGTTTTAATAGGAAGATTCTTAATCTACTATCAACGTTAGAGAATAATAAATCGAAACAAAGAATCAATAATGGGTTGCCTAAGAATTTATTTAAGATAACGTAAGCTGTTATTTTAAAATTAGAATTCTAATGAAGTAATGACTGAGGCTGAATTGGAACATGCCTTAATTACAAAAGACGACTTAAATAATATTCCTGACATCTAGATGGGAACCTAAAACGCACTTTTTTTACAAAAAAGAAAAAATTGATAAATTATCATGTTAAAATTATCACATGGCTTATTCAATAATATCTGTCTTAATTGTATTAATTGGGCATAAAAAGAGCAAGAAACGCGAATCTAAGAATTGTTATAAAACTGAATAAATATATATATTATTTATCATTAATCATAATAAGTTTGATTAATGAGTCAAATAGCTTTATTTGATCCTATGCTAGAGTATACTCTAGTCTTATTAATTATAGGATTGATTTTAAAATTTGTGCTTTTTTATTTCAATTATAATTTAGCACTGTTTGCTCCCGAATTGCGTTAATTTGGAGATGGTAACAACTTTCTGTCTTGGCTTCTGAGTCTCAATGGAAGATTTTAGGACCCAAGATATTTATATGAAGGACCTATAGGAAGAGGAGGAGAAGGTTAATTCATAGGGCTTTGATAAATTGAAGTACTTCTCGAACTTTAACAAGAAACTGTTGGATCCTAATAAAATCGTTTTCTTTTAATAATGATGGTTTGTCTATTAAATTTCTTGAATATGATATTAGATCTAGCCTATTGTACTGAACATCTCTTATCAGGATCCAACTCTAACATCCACTTTACGAGGTTCACAACAGCAGGAGATGATTGAACTACTGAGAAATCAATTTAGCCTTATTCATTTCTTTGAATGGTCTCTTGATAATCTTCAACAAGAAATGGAGATCGCATTTGTGTTAACATTTGGTACAATATAATCCCAGCACTATAGCAATCAGCCTTATAATCATAGGATTGATCTTTTAGGATCTCTGGTGCCATATTGCCTGCAGTTCCACAGCGATGATATTTATATTGACCTTCATTATTGTGATATTCAGCCAATCCAAAATCTGATATGACCAACTCCTCAAGATTAGGTTTTCTAAATAAAATATTTTCTGGTTTGATATCTCGATGAATCACTCCTTATGAATGTATGTATGTTAGAGCATCTATAATTTTAAATATGCATTTGATAGCATCATCCTCTGAAAGTACTGTCTTCGAAAGAATATCATCTAAGTTTCCACTAATCAATAATTCAGTAACAATGAATACAGATTTCTACGACTCAAATGTTTCTAGTACTGATATGACATTTGGATGATCCATTTTTCTCATTATTTCTAATTCCTTTATGATACATTCAGAATCGAATTTACTCGATTATTTATCGTATATTTTTACAGCAAATTCTTTTTTATCACTTTTCCTTATCACTCTATAAACCTGGAAAAATATCATTCATTAATCATACATCTGCAAAGCTCCCACTTCCTAGTTTATTGCTCATAATAAATAGGTTTTTTATGTGTATTTGAATACAGAACTTCCTTAATTCCTTAAACCAACCATCTATGTATCCAAAGAACTCTAAGCAATATGAATTTTTAGTTATTCTTAATCCTTGACCGACATGTTGTATCTAAAGGATCTCAATCGTTGCATTTGTAACATCACACCATAATTCTGATCCCTTTTATATATACCAAATACATTTACATTCTTCTTTACCTTTTTAATAATAGGACCATGTCTTTTTAACACTTTGTTTTTGTAAGATTTTTTATTATGAGAGTAGAAGAGAAAATAATCTTCTTTAAAATCACATTCTCTCAGTTAAAGTTATTGATCACTCCAAAAATCGGAAACTTTTTAAATAAAAATGGTTGCTGAAGGGAATTTAGATTTCATTAATTAAATAAATATGTCTTTGGATGATTTATCATAATTTATATAACAAGTAAAGTAATTAGTTATTGTTCATAATTTATATATCTACTGATATAGATAATTTTAACAAAATACGCTTGAACTATCTATGCCCTTAGCTTAAAGATAAGTTATATATGTCATTTAGCTATTATCAATAAGGATTTTTAACTAATTGATATTTTCATTAATGATCAATAATATTATTTATTCTAACTTGATTCTTAAATAATAATTTTGTTAATATTTAATAAATTATTATCATTATTTGTAAGTTTATTATCAGGAGGTATGCCGAAAAACAGGAAAGTATAAAAAATGAATTTTGAATAACATTGTTTTTTCTTCAAAAAGTAAGATTAAAAGTTAAATAAGAAACTTCAAAAGTTAGAACTTTATTTATTCCAATATAATCAAATATTCTTGTAATAAATGATTAAAAATATTAAAACTTGAAATCCTACAAAGGGATTATAGTTTGAGAATGTATCATGGAGAATCTAAGAAAATTAAGAAATTGAATACTTGATTATAATTTTTATTCTAATTTTTATCAGTCATATTTAAAATAATGGATTAATAGCGTTCATCACTTTGTGTAAGTTTGCATAATGTAGAATTTGCAAAGGATTACCATTACTTCATTACTGTATAATTAAATGTGGATGGAGAGAAGGTAGAATGCAAAAATGATAATTTATTAGAAAAGAACCGATGTGAGTGCCTAAGTGGCAGCTCCAGTATTTGCAGCTAGTACTTTCATAATACCACTTTCTAATTTTAAATTGGACATTAATGATTACTTACATGTAAAATAATACTCTATGCATGAAAGTTCGAAGCATATGTGGTAACGGATCGGGAATAAGGACGTGGACCTGATTTGGACAATTAGGGTTAAGCAAGACTATTAGGAGAGTGCATTTTGAAATTGGGTGATTTTACAGGTCCATTGACAGATATAAGTGGAACAGGAGTGAGATAGCATTTGAAATTTGTTCGTAGAAATGATAAGTAAGTAACAGTGGGGAGATTTATTGTAAATCTTAAATTAGTGGGAGAACAAATAATCCCAATAAATGATGAGAAACCATTGGAATCAGATGAAATATTTCAACCTCTCCCAGCATCCGATCCATTCATGAGTTTTACTTGGAGATTAAGAGTAGATATAAGGGCGTGTATGGATATGCCCTTACACCGTGATTCTCAGTCTGGGTTACCCAGAGGTTTTGTGAAATTGGGATGGTCACAATATGATAATCAACCTCCATCTGAACATCATATGCATTTAACAAAGATTAGGGATTAAAATCGACATCCGATTTGGAACTAGCAATTTTTGATCCCAAATCCATAAACAGTGACCACTCTGGATGGGTATTTATATCTCAGTTTGGTGGATGACATTGGATAGAGAGAAATCGAGAGTGTTTATTTTCCAATTTCATAGATGAGACCATTCTAGCCAATGAACTTTGAATTGCAATTTAAATATGCAGAATATGAAGCTAGACCTAGATTGTATATGTCAATCACTTTGGAAATGGCTGATAAATAGAGGTTCTTGGATGAATTGATTGATATCATTGTAAAGATGGTTCATTATGATCCTTTGCCATATGCAAGTAGAACCAATTTGATTATGACTCTAAATCAAACCAAAATTAAAGAAGTGCCGTATTCAGTCATCGATTTGAAAGGAGCTCCAACTTTGGCTCAAGCCTTAAGTAATGCTCAATCTGATGTGTTTATATCATCGATAATGAAGATTCCACCACATAAGGCTGATAAAGTGTATAATGCAGTAGCAGTCTTTACACTGCCCAAATCTTAATTGGAAGTATTCTTTATGTTGATCTTAATAGAGTGGAATTGCATTCTATTTAGCCACTAGAGATGACACTATCTAATCTATGCATTCAATGCCAAATGGAATAGTTGGATATTCAGAAATTATTGATGATTGGCTCCGTAAGTTATATTACTCCAAGGAGAAGAAACAAGTCTTTTTCCCCATTACTTGGTCTGATGAATCCAAACAGCGACCATTATTTATGAATAGTAGATGTCAGGTTGAATTGACTTGTATGGAAGTTACAGAGAATTCTGCAATAAGTAGAGTCTCATCATCAAAGAAATCATAGAGATTAATACCCAGAACACCGGATATGAAGGCCTTGGCTGAAAATGTTTCAGGAGCAGACAGGTCAAAGTGGGATATCTTGTCAAAGGAACTTTCACAAAAACAAGAGATGATACACAGATTGATGAAGGAAGTGGATGACAAAACTGAGAGTCTTAAAATTACAGGAACTGAAATTGTTGATTTAAGAAGACAGGTCAAATTGTTATAGAGTGAAAATTCTATTCTGAGAAAACGTTTAGCACATGAGGAGTCTCTTGAAATCTAGTCTATTATAACCAAGGAAATTGCTGTTATGTCAATGGAGGAATTGAGGTAAAAGATAATTAAAGTTGCTCAAGCCTATCGTAATGAAAGAGTGAGAAATGAAGAATTTGAAAAAGCTCTCAAAACTGCCTAGAAAGATATTGCTTCTGCAAGATAACTCGAAGTAGAATTGGAGTCATTATAAAGAGTCCATTAGGAGAATGCCAAGAAAATGTTGGTCATGCAATAAGAAATCCAAAAGGTTGGTGTTTATAAGGAAGCTGTAAAGAAATAAGAAACTGTGATATCAAAATTAGAGAAATTAATGGAAACTTCACTAAAAGATGCTTAAAAGGCTAGATAAGCACAATTAGAGGTTGAATAACTTAAAAGTGAAAATCTTAATTTGTAGAAGTAACTGAAAGGAATTGTATATGGAGAGGATATCGGAGAATTAGAACGTTATAAATAAGAATGCCAGAGATTAGAGAAAATTGTTGCTAATATGAAAGAGGAGCTAAGGAATAAGAGACCTGTTAGCAATAGTGGGGCAGATTGGGAACAAGAGAAAATGGAATTGGAAGTAAAATTGCATAAGGCAAATGCTAGAATAGAGGCATTATAAGATGAAATGACTTATAATGCAAAGAATTATGCTAAGGAAATAGCATAATTGAAATTGATAATTGCAGAGAAACAAGCATTATTAGATTCTTTGACGATGGGTGGATCATGATTGATTTTAAAATATATTATTTATTTATCAGCATTTTTATATCTATATGAATATTTTATGTCTTTATGATATATTTAAATTGATGTCAATCATTTGAGATTGTTTCTCTTGGTTGTTAAATCAGAATAATAGTATTAAAGCCAATTAGCTTAATCTTAAGCTCCCCATTCATTATAATAGAATGTAATCACACTGCCTCCCAAGAGAATAGCAAGAGCAATTAGATTGTCTTTCTTCAACTCCTTTTAGATCAAAGGAGAATGCTTGATTCCATAAAATCTAGGTATTAAATAACTTCTTTTACCTGCCATACATTTCCTCCATAGTGTATCCGTGAATCATAGATTGTCTTTCAATTCCAAATTTGAAAGGTTCATACTCAAATGTTTTGACATCTAACTTTTGGGCCTTGAAAAGTTCAGGTTTTGTAGATGTGAATTATCTTGCAATAATCTGAATGTTTTTTCTCATTTATTAAAATAATTAATATCATAATCTAGCTTTGATTTTTGTGCCCATCAAGTCATTCACAGCTTAAGGTACTCCTTTGATATTAACTGAATTCTCTTTTGTGGCCCATTCATAAATGTATTCATATGGTTTTCCATCATGGCAACCAATGCAAGTTCTCAAAGCATTATCAGTGAAATTGAAAGCCTCAACTAAACCCAAGGCTTATGGTTTCAGTTTATTGAATAAATCAATTTTGATTTCATTGAATTACTTGAATTAATCAACTGTTATCCTACCTGATTCAATTAGTGTGTTTGGATTATCCAAAATTACTTATAGTGAATATAAATCACACATTTGTTACAATACCTCCTTGACTGATGGATTAGCACTGGAAATGTATTCCTAAAATACTAAATAAGTGAAATATTCAGCATATCTTTAAGCCACAGATAATAATTGAACTCCAACTACTTCATTCCAAATTTATTGGAAATTCTTGCCTGTGCCAATAGTATCCTTAATCTTTTTAGCAACGCTTATTAATTAAAGCGTAAGTGTCAATTTAAGCAATTATCCGAAATCTGTACTTTGATTGGCCAAAGTCTCTTTGATGTGTAACACAAAGTTGAAATAGAATGGAACCTTCTCTGGATTTTTGTCTACATATTGAAGGACCTTAAAGCAAGTATCTAGCCACCTAAAGATACATGACTTGATTCTCTCCTTCCAATGTAACATTTGGAGCAGTGTCAAAATAGATGGCTGGAATTCCTGAATAGTGTGCATAACCATGGCCACCACATGATAATCTACACCATTCAGCTGTATCAACAACCCATTGTGAAGACCAAGCTTTTAGAGCACTAGATATAACATGTGAATTTCAAATTTTACCTCAAAATAGCATGTGATTATTATAATGTACTGAAATCTTTCTTTTACACTCTATGGAAGTTGTCATCAACCAATTCCATGATTCTTAATCCTGCAAAGATCATTCCGTAACATGTGGCCAATCTTGGTAATAATTTATCTTATTATGTCTAATATTCAAGGACAGAGTTCTCTTCTCTTTTATCATTTGTGAATTGTTATCTCGTTATTGAATATCTAATTGCCACTGTCAAACTTTAAGCAGCCATTCTTGGATAAACGAAAATTATTAATTATCTAGATACCATCATTGATGCATAAGATATCTAGTATATATTATTATTCTATACCTTTTCATTTCCATGTTTTGAAAATTGTCCATTCTCAATTCTAACATATCTAGCCAATAAACTATTTAATGGGATTCTGTAATTTTCAAATGCCAAGAAACCATTATCTTTTGTAGAGTATCCTAATTTTGGTCCTATGTCTCCAACAACGACACCTTACAATGGTTTATGTGTGGCGTTATCTCTTATTTAAACCATAAAAGGATGAACTCCTTTATTCTTACCATTGAAAATTAACTTTGCATAGACAAGGGCATAATTTGACAAAAATCCAAGTTCTCCTGGCCAAACTATATCATATTAATTTATGGTTACATTTGACAGCTGAGACTGATGGTGTATGCAATACAAAATCATTGGTCTATGAGTCATAGGTGGCTGTGGTTTCTAGATTTTGGACATCACTTCCATGTCCAATTTCTGTCTGGGCATAAGCAGCTACAATCTCCATAGTAAGAAACTTGGGACCCCACAGATTGAATTGCTCGTCTGTACCAAGGAATCTCAAAGCAGGAACAGTCATTCCAAATGATACAGCTGAAGGTGTTGTACCTTAGAATAAACTTAACATTGGTGCCCAATGAGCTGCATTCGCAAGATTTAAGTGCTGATGCATGACTCTCAATTTCTCATAGGATTTGATAATCTGTTCCTTGCGTCCCCAATTGTGATAATCAGGATGATTCCTAATGCTCGGTTCACTCGCTATGACCTTCTAGGCTTTCATGAAGGTTTCATATATTTCCTCATTCCCATAAATAAGTTTGGTTAGATCTTGGACTGGGAAGGTTACTCTGTCTCTGGCTTCTTAAAGCAATTATGTTGTAGGATGCATATTTAGTGCGTAATTTAAAATTAAATGAAATTTGATGAGTGTTAAAAATTTATAAATAATACCATACAACTTAATTAAAATAAAGATGATGAAAAAGATTACGAAATAAAGTGACAAATTCAACTCTCAACTTAAATCTCAGGAATCAGAGTACGATGACATATTTCAGGATTAAAAAACAGAACAATAACACTAACCTGTAATCTAAAAGGAATCCCAAAGAAAAACCAATATTCGCATTGTCTTCACTAGAAAGCCCACTCAATAACAATAGCCATAGACTATACCTCAGTAGCGAATATCTGTAGCTAAAAGATCTTGGCACAAAGAATTGGATAATTTAATCAATCCCTCAGAAATGAAAAATGGGAAATTTTCTCAAGAAGAAAGGGAATCCATCATGCAGATCGTACGTGATTACCAAGTTCAAAATAATCTTACTGATCAATAATTGAAGGATTACATTGAATTGAAGACTTTGGGCCATTCCAAAATTTGGCTCGAAATTACAAAATTTATACCTACAAGGACAGTCGATTCGGTGTACAAATTGATTCGACGTAGTTTGGACAGCAAGAATAGACATGGATATTGGAATAAGGAAGAAGAAGCTGAATTACTAAAATGCATATAATAATATGGTAGGAAATGGAGAGAAATTAGTAAACATCTTAATCGAACACCTGATAATATTAGAAATAAGTATATCCAAATTGGAGAACATAACCACTTGTTTAGAAATAAATCGTTTTGGACAATTGAAGAGTTCCTCACTCTCATGAACAACATCCATGCTTTAAGTGGTTATCCTATCTTACTTCCCAATTATGATTAAATTCTTCAATAAAGATTCGGAGAAGACTTCCAGAATGTTAAATTTAGACTTAATTATAGAAAAATGTAGGCAGATGATAAGGAAATATTTGAATTACTCAAGTCAATAGTTAATATACCTTCTAATATCGGAGTGACGATTAAATGGACAGAAATATCAGCAGAAATTAAGACGAAAGCAAAGGATGATCTAAGACAAATGTGGTATAAATTGAATGGGATGTTGTTATGATTCCTGATTGACTTCACCATGCATATATATATATAAAGAAAACTCACAATCCATCTCTCAAAAAGCATCGATTAATTTAAATGCTCTTTGATCATTTAAGAAGTAATTTCTTACATCTCTTGGCTGATTGATTATTTTCCTTATCATTATATTGCGAGGCGAAAGTATTTAAACCTTCGCCTCGCTCAACCTCACCCACGTTTTCCAGTGTTCTTATTTATACCTAGTTACTCACAAGTTTTCACTTTGGCACCAAATTATAAGTCATTAGCCTTAGAATCCTTCTCCTTCACCAAACTCCTTTCCTGTCTATCGTATTTTATTTATTATTGGATTTTCTCCTTCTCTCTTTGCTCCTTCTCATATTATCTTTAAACTTCTTGCTGTTGTCTCACTCTAGAAAATGCTAGAAAACAAGATCATACATTTCCTAAGCCTTTTGATACTATTAGGGTCCCTCCACTCTTCCTTATGCTAAAATATGCTACCACTTTATGGTATTGAAATTCTCTAACAAGGTTCCATATTCTTGATCGGGTAGATAGAATTCTTAATCTTACTAATATTAAATAGAGTTGACTGAATACTTAAATGAAACCCAATGATTATAATAACTCTGCCATTTATCTTATATTAAAAAGTCGTGTGGCTAATGTTTTAACAGTCATCTTTATGTGTTTAAATTTATCTTCATTGGGATTGTTTATAATACTAATTCATATTTGCTATAAATACTTGGTAATTAGTTTTTCTAAAAGTCCTAAAGCATCTGCAAATGCTGAAGGATCTTCGTTCTTCTCGATTACATCAAGTAATTATTTCGTCTAGTTACTAGAAATCATATTATTTATTAATTATTTTATATGATCAAATTTATTCAAAACTTCCATTTAGAAGTATAATTCAACATAATTTGTTTGGTTCCTTTTAAATAATATTTTCCATAATATTTTGTTATGTGTATAAGTCGAATCTAATAATTCTTTTAGCGAAATATAAAGAATACTCTAATGAATAATTTTACAATTATTTTAAATAACTCGATTGATAACTAATAAATATATCATTAATAATCAGATTTTTTTTAAATTAATAGAGTATTTATTATTCAACCTTTTTTTGAATTACTCATATTATAGTTTTACTGATCTAGGTAAATCAAGCAAAGCAAAGAATAATCAAGCAGTTACATCTAAGTAAACAGCTTAAGGCATAATTTTAATGTGATACAAATTATTGATATTTCTTTACGTAACTGATGATGTCAAGGTATACTATTTAGGCATAATCACCTCCAACTACAGATTCTTGATGAAGATATTCTTTACAGATAGTTCTATAATTGGTTTATTAATAAACCATTTATTATCCTATAACAAATAATAATCGATTAAAATATTAATAAAAATGGCCAATAAATATAATGTGCAGAGATTTCTGGAGCAGAAGTATGCACACAGTCAGTCCTACTATTATGCGAAAACTCTGAATGATTTTGTGAGTTCTGCCCGAACTTCAGATGTGATTGAGTTCTATTAAGTTATGGCCTTTAGGGATGATTCTGAATATCTAAAGCGATTCTATTGCTTAAGTAAGTAAGCATCACCAATAATCCTCATTAGGCGAGGTGTTCGAAAAGCTTCGCCTCTTTGCAGAATACTACAAATATCATAATGAGATTCCGAGATTCTTCATGCCCTATATATGCAGGATAATGAGCAAGTATTTTATTTAGAGACATAGGCCAGCTATCACGATAAAAGGAGAAGGATTGAATATTACAGGATCAAAAGAATCATCGAAGAGGAAAATAGAAATAATCCCAATAAACCCAAAAAGGCTATTGTTGGAGACTCCCCGAAAGAAGATAATCCCACATCTCCCAAGCCCTAATAAGTTTATAGCAAGATCCTTTCTGGAATCTAGGATGCTTCAACAACTATCGAAACGATCAATAATAAATTGAATGCATTATAAATAAATGTAGGCGAGCTAAATCTTTAGCCATCCAACCGAGAACACGAATAGTTACAGAACTTCATTTAGTTTATGATAGATAAATAAAAATTGAAGACTGTCGCTTAACACACGTAGCTCAACTCCCCTAAAACATATAATAAACTTCCGATTGGAGTAAGTTAGCAGACAATCAAACAAATTATTTCGAGAACAACCAAAAATTAATAGACTTTTCACTTGTCACCAAAGACAGGATAAGAAGCTTAATCTTAAGTTGGTGCTTATACATAGAGAATCCTAAAAGATCCTTTAAAGAAAATGCTCACTCCTGCTCAAATCTACACTATTAACTCCCCTTTGAATCACAATAATACGGCATTCCAATTGAAATCGAAGTAAGCATTATTCTAAGTTTAGAATAACCTCATCGAGAAGCAAATAATAGAGTCTCTCTATATCCAAGTAATTTAAAATAGGTGATGCTTTACATTTACCTTTACGGATGCACTAACATACTAGATCAGATGTTCGATTTTATAGAAAATGAAAGTTGTATGATTTATTATTACTCAAATTTCAGAGAATTGGATGTTGTAAGTTTTCTTATCCCAAGGATTCCTTTATGGATCATGATATTCACCTGGACCTGGAGATTAGTTTTTAGAATTCTCATACTAAAATCGCTTTTCCTATAGTAAATTTCATAAACCAATATAAAACTTGTATGTTGAAAGGAGGTGCATGCTTTTTGACTTAAAAGGGCAATTTGTATGATTCTTTCTAAGGACTTTTTCTTATGCTTTCTTCTTCTTCCTCAAGTTCCTCAATTTTCTTTTCTTCCTTATTTTAAAATCTTGGCATGGATGACATGAAGGGAGGTTTTTAGATCTTTAGAGCAGGATCCTCCTCTTCCTCAATCTTAGTCTTATATTAAATTGTATAATTTTTTGGATCATATTGCCCAGGAGCAGGAATCTCAGATTTACTCTATGATCCAGGTCCTGCTCTCTTAGTTGAAGATTTAAAGACTGATTATGCTCCCTTTTCTGGGCTCTTTCTACTAAAATCATATGATCCAGGTCCTGGTTATGGCACTTAAAATTAGTTATCATCAAATCTAGGTTAGTTGTATCCAAATTTCCCTACCGGAGCCCTTTCTAATTTCTTAACCAAATTATATTCTAACTAAAAACAATATAATTTGGTAATTTACTGTTTATTTTGGATTATATGTTTAAGGTCCTGGTCTTTTTTCTTGCAATTTAGCTTCAAAGCGACTATTGGAAGACATAAATGGTGGCTATTTGTAAGATAGACTCTTATTGGCAAGTTGGGCATCGACTTTATAATCTCCTGGTCCAATGGAGGTAGACACTTGTTCGTCTCCAAATCTTTTTTATTTTGAGCCGAAACATTATGTTTCTATTTTGGTGGCTGATTTAGAATAGGTTGAAGCAGTTGTGGAATCTTTATGATAATATCCAGGACCTGGAGTGGCATCCTAGATGAATTTAATATTGAACAACCTCTATGTATTCGATTTCCTCATCTTGAAGATCAGCAAATTGGGGACTGGACAAGAGTTGATTTCTCTTTTTTTCGAATTGATATCGCATAAAACTACGAGCTTTCTATCCTCTTTCCATATCGAACAATCTTTGGGTTTTTGATTGGAATGACCCTGAAGGCATCAATTTGTAAAGAGGTTGATTATCTTCTTGGATATCGTAATTGCCTGGACCCACCAGTAATTATTTTTCCTTTGATACCACAGGAGCTAATTTAGGTTGTTTTGATTTATGCCAATTAAACCCTTTATTTTTGTTTTAGTCAAACAAGTCCTTCAAGTCATACTGTCCTGGACCAACTGAATCATTCTTTAATCCTGTGAGGATATCTTATGGACTTTTGTTGAGCTCCAGACCTTTTTGTTTAAATTGAGATCAATACTTCCATTATCAGTGTAACCATGAATTTGGGAATTGCTTGGAATAGAGGGAATTGATTTGTATTTATTTAACTTCATTAACTATTCTACTAGATTCTCTTGAGTGGCCATCTAGTACCGTTATTGTTGAATAACTTCTGGCTCGTATGACCCAGGACTGAATTACAATTTATATGTATGTTTTACCCTGGATTCTCATTCTTGGAGCCCTCTTAAAACCTGCGACATTTTGAAGCAAACACCGAATGCTGCTTTGGCATCTCCAATATTTGCACTTCCGATTGGGTTGATTGAAGCACAACCTTCTATCTATAAGGTACTATAGAATACATACCCTGCATTCACAAAATTGACATTATAACTCCCTGGTCCTGGCAGAGAGTTCTACTTAATAGGTTTGCTACGAAGTGTCTGACTATTGAATGGTGCAACTGATTATCTGAGAGGTTGACTTTTCAACAAGGTATATGTCCCTGGACCAACCTATTCTCTCATGATTCATAAGTACATTAGCTGGAACCTAAGTTGCCGATTGATTAAGATCTCTTTCAGCCTGATAAACAAAGGCCATTATAATTATTTATAAACAAATTAAAAATCAATCCTTTTTATTTTAACATTTCATATTCAGAATCCACAGAAAGATGTGATTCTCAATATGATGTAATTTCCTTGCTTCTACAGATTAGAATAAGGGATTAGAAATTAGAAATATTGGGCAATATCCTTTACTATTTGTAGAACTACATTTTAAATTCAATCTCCACCATTCTCAAAGGAGAAAAAAATTGGGATTCCTAACTACCTATCTAATCAACTTTAAATTCTCTCTAGATAATCGTTTCATATTTATCTTATTAGTTCCATATTAAATTCAATCCAATTATATTTGCATATCTTTCTATTTTTTATTTTATAGAATTTGAATTGATAATCAAATTTTTACTCTATAAAATAGAGGAAATAATGAAATAATTATATGATATAAATTTATAAATAATAATCATAATAGTTGTCTTAGTGATTTGCTTTTATTAGTTTGTAATTCAGGGATGTATTGTGAAACAGCCTCTGATTCATCCATTTCGGATGTTGATCTTTGGACTCTCTGGAAGTTTTGGAATCTTTACTTTTTTTCTTAAGAATTTAAATTCTTTGAAAAGTAGGGGTGTTCCAAAGATTAGTAAACTGTGAACTGCTAATCAAATAGCATTCTCAAGATCAGATCCTAAGCTTAATTTGGGGTTGAGTTAGCCTAAAGCATAGTAGCAACTGTATTAAAATCGTCGTTGTGATAAAGTTTTGATGTATATCTACAATTTTACTATTACATAATATATGATACAGTTAAAATAAAATTGATCCACAGTTTTTGATATCTTGAGTATCGATTTGTTAGGATTGGATTGAATTGGAAAAATCTATAATTTTGATCAAATCTGATTTATATAAAAGAAATTTAGCTTAAATGGTCGCATGAATTATGTGGTGGTCATGTAAGTATTTGAGTGCCTTCAGGAGTTGCTTGGGTCAGACTTTAAGACTTACTGTAATTATTGATTGGCATTGTAGGTGACTAAGTGTCGGATTTTTGGCAATATAATTCTCCAAGCTTATTCCACCAAGGAATTCTGTGACAGCGTAATGTTGATTGTTATGCTGGAAGCACTCTCTAATTGAAAGAATGTTTGGATGATTCAAGGACCTGAGCAGTGACACTTCTCCTTGTAACTAGACAGAGTTTAAGCATTTCAATGTATAAGTTTGATGAGAAAATTAATCCAATACTTTGGAGGAATCATCCACGTCGATTCGCTTATACAATTCTCCAAGATTATCGAAGCAGATGAGGTTTCGACAGAAAATTCTTAACTATTCTAGATCTTTGTGATTGGCTCTAAAAAACTTGATAGCATTATGGTGCTAGATACCGAAGGCCTGGATTTTGAGTCCATCTACATACCAATGTAAAACATTTTATAATGTAAATTAGTACTCATACTTTGGAGGGTCCTTATAAATGTATAGGAATTAACTCATACATTCTTGCCAATTGTTAGTTTATCTTTATACACATTGACAACATAATGAGTGTTAAGAAGATAATGCAATCTTTCACATTTGAATTATAGTATCATATTTTGATTATAATAATTAATTTTCAGTCTTCTTCAAATGTCTCGTATTTCATTTTAAAATCATTTTAGAATTCTGCATCATCGCTCTGAGGTAATTTGCTGGAGGCAATAATTTTGGCTCCCTGCTCCAATTGATAATCTAATTTATATTTTGTGTTTCTGTATCTAAGAATATATAAATAATCTTATTTACCGTTTTATATAATAGCATAACCAAAGAGTCAGTAATGCTATTAAAAAAATCAAGCCAATAATTAAGAAGGTTAAAAATGTTCTATTATGGTTTAAAAATTTGGCAAAATAATTTGGAATAGGTACTTAGATGGTTCGATAAAATACTTTAATTTAGGAAGTAGAACTAAGGTATAAAAATAAGTAAAGTACTTCATGAAATTGTCAACTGTTGCAAACACTCCGATTGATGCTTACTCATATGTAACTAAATTAGGAAATTCAATTTCATAAACGATACTTCCGTTATGATCTGCTAAACGATAGGATTGTATACTTTTTTTGAAGATTTTTTCATCATTTGCCTTATGACTTTCAAATTATTCATTGCCACAATAACCTAACATTTAGAGTTTCTTTTCATCTTGAGCAATAAATATGTGATAATTAATTTATACTCCCTCCAAATTGCATTTATTACAAGTCGCATGTTCAAATTCTATTTATATTGAATCCGCTTTTTATTTATCCAATTTCCACTTAATATGCCCATCATTGCCAGCCAATATCCTACCAAAAGGTATATCTTTTCTGTTCTAATAGAAATGATTTGTAATATGGTAATAAGAGGATGTTGTGGAGGTTCCAGTGATGGCAATCCACAAAGTTCCTTTTTCAACTGATATCATTTCAACATGATAATCTTTTTCTGGAATATCAATTGATTCATCATAATCTTCATCAATGAAAGATTAAATGTCTGATTTGGAGAAGCTAAAATTGATATCTGATGAGCAGGAGTATATTTCAACTGCTAAGTACCCTTCCGATGGAGCATAAGTCTCGTAATAATCAAAGTCATCTGGTCTGATATAACCACTGTGATGTCTTTAGATTGGTAATATTCTAATATCATTGGTGGATGCACTTATTTCAATAAATTAGGTAGGATTTGTTGCTTCTCCATTTTCAATATACTTCTTATTTTTTAAAATAATCTCATAGATTCCTTTATCTTTAGGCAATTCATAACTGCTTGAGAGGGGATGTATCAATCTAGTTTTGATGGGAATTTCTTCTAAAAACTCAAAGTGATAATCATCAAATGACTACTTTTTGATATAAAAGACTTTCATTTCAATATCCTATAATGATGTTTAATTCAAAGGAGCTAGATTGAGTACCGATATCTATTCGTCGTAATTTTCATACAAAAATGTGATATTATGTTCAATAACGGCTAAGTGTATTCTGCCATCTTGCAATTTTCCATTAACGAAATCACTTGTATAGTAAATAGTGTAATTGCAGGGAGTATTGGATTTTGTAGAAACCTTAACGAATAACTCATCATGAACGAAGTGGGATGGCAATAGACCTATTTAATCATCCTATTTGTTGTTCTTCTTTTTATTTAATGAACTTTAATCCGTATCTTCTTGGTAATTCAATAACATTTAACTTGGAACAGTAATATGGATATATTTATTATTTGGTTATGCCTTGATAATTTAACTGGAATTCAAATTATTTTAATTAAATGAATATTAGACAATGGGATCACCTGTAAATATTTATATAAATATTTCAATTTTGCTATCTTAAGTAAAGAAAATGGAAAATTAGGATGAACTTTATTTTTCAACATAATCACTGTATTAAACTCCAGCTGGCAATTTAACAAAGTCATTTTCCAAGACCACAGTTAATTAACCATGTAATTCCTATTCCTACGATTCTATTTTAATGATATATGTGCAATAAATGCAGAATTTAGTTTTATCGTTAGCTTGAATCAAGATTTAGGAATTCTCATTTCCAGCTGCCAAAACTGTGTCAAGATACTTGAATTCCGCATCATTACTGTCTTTTACACATTCAGCTATGTTACTCTACTGATTACAAATGAAAACAGACATTGATCCATATCCCAAAAATCTATGTAATTTAATGAAGATGTCTTGATTAAGATAATTATAAAATTAGACTATTGTAGGATGTTGATATTTGGCATGAATTGCATTAGGTTGACTATGCATAATTTGAATGTAATCCATATTCATATACGAAATTGTGAATTCCAATTTAATGGATTGCTCAATGGGATTGTAATAACTTTGCAATCCTGAAATTGAGATGATCAAATAAGCATTCGAAATTGATATGTTTTTCTCCTTTAGCTTCTCATTTAACTTATCTTTAGATAATTAATAGTAGGATCCATCTGAATGGAAGTCATAAGATCCAAAAATATTGGGTAATTCAAAAGATTCCCCACCATTCACACTTATTGTAAAATAGACATTTCCTATTATTTACAATACAGAGAATGTAAGATAAGTATCGTCTCTGAACTTTTACAAATTCTTAAATGTGAAGTATACAGACTCTTTGCTTTTAATTGAAACTTCATACTTTTAGCCTTCAATCACATCCTACATTCCTTAATTTATCATAATATGGAATTAATCATTGAAATTTTACATTTTCAATTAAGGATCTTCAATCTTTTAAACTGATATCAATAGCACGCAATCTGGCCAACATTAATCTAATGCTGCTGATTTTAGTGTTCTGTGTATTTGATTTGTTGAACCACTCGAAATATCTGAGTCATCTTCTTTATCAATAAACGGCCAATCCGACTTGTGTGAAGCTTTATCCTATTTCCAAATGTTTAAATGCAAAACGAATTTACCAAAAAAGGTGGATGCAAATAAATTCACATCAGCAGACTTAGAATTAGGTTAATAATAGAAATGCATAAACTCTTCTATGTTTTACAAATTGTAAGATTGCTGCAATCCATCTGTCAATTAGATGGCCAGATCTTATTTATGAATTGTTAAAGTGTATCTGACTGGTGTTTTGGATATACTTTTGACAACAATAAATATTTCACAAAGATGAGTAATTCGGTCATGATTAAATGTGACTTAGTCATTGTTATCTATGTCGCATAATTTCTTCATTTTCTCACTTGAGAGTGAAAATGTACTTACTTCATTATCAAAAAATTTATATTCATATTGATCCAGATCCTCATATAACATATTTCCAACATACACTTACAAGTCTTTATTGACATCTCCACTTGATAGAATGTTCTTAGTGATATAAACAACATCTTCATCGTAGTAACTCAAAAATGAGAATCTTTACTATTCTGTAAATGCTACCTATCCATAGTAGGCTGAATTGAATTCTAAATTAATGACAGATTAAGCATCATATAAAACGAGTGAGAATTTGATGTCATTATACTAGGTTTCATTTTTAATATCTTTATTATTCTAAACCTAAATTTCAACACATGCAATAAACCTATCACTAACTAATTGCAATGCTGAATTTCCTGTAATCGCATCATAATCCCCTTTTGTTGGGATTTCATCATCAGTATCAATATTTGCATAACTAACCAGTTTCTGATTTGGTCCATGAATTAAAAGTGTTAAAACTCCTTTGGTAGTTTATTAATACTTAAAACATTATTTTTTTTAATTAGAATTGATTGATGACTTATAAATCTATCCTTTGCTTATACTTATAATATTGATCTTATCCTTTGGATGAGTTTCTATGATCAACCCATACTTTGCTAATTCCATTCCTTTAATTGTAATGGAATATTAACCATCTTTTAATTGAGAATCACTCAAGCTAATAGGCTATTCACTGGTTCCACTATATTCATAACACTTCCAATTTACCAATTAACACTTTGATGATCTACTTACGAGAATTTAAACATTTTCAGAAGTGACTCTAAAAATGACTGAACTATAATTTTAAGAATTAGCTAAATTAAATTTGAAATAATGTTTCTCCTCTTCATCAATCTCAGAATTCATCATTTGATTCTCTTATAGGATTTTGGCTTCATTATTATCATCAATATTCAAACTATAAATGCCTTAACTATCAACAGCAATTACAAACCAACAGTAATTATCCTTATCTGGATTCTCACAGTTTTATTCTACAGATTGATACGATTCTCCATTTTTAATTTTCTCAATAGCTTCACATTTACTACCTTTACAAGACTTCACATAAACTGAAATATCTTCTGAACTATCTGCTGACACTGTAAAATGATTGTCTTTTATATCAAGTAGTTTCAATTTGTAGTTCACAATCCCATATTTTTGTCCCATAGCTAAATCATTGCCTTCAATTGAAATTAAATCCGTTTGTTCCATTACGTCGATTTGATAACTTAGCTTACTGTTAGAACTTAATTCTAAACTAGCGAATTATTCATTCCATAATAAATTATAATTTCGGTGCTTATATGTATTTATAACCTGATCTATTATGAGTTCTCCCTTTTGATTCCTTACTTTAATTTTTAAGATTTCATGAGTATGAGATTTGAGTTTTACAACTTTTAACCCTTCAATTACATATTCATTCTTTTTTGATTTCTCTACTGCATCAATCATTATTTAATTAAACATTCAACTTCTGTTATTTCACATATTCAAATCTTTCAATTTCAAATTCCTATTCCCCAATCAAAATCAAAGTTGTTTCACTCTCTATCCCGTCATAATATACAGCTATAAATCTTGTGTCACTTTACATAATGGTTGGCTCCTCCCCAAAATACCATAGATCCGCATTAGTAATGACACAATTATTGCATTTTATCGAATAAACTACTCTATAATTGGAGTTCTAAGCGATATTCAATAATTTCAATTTCTACTTTGATTGTTTACCAATTTACAATTGTTTCACCTCCTCCTGCATTACAATTACATTAAATTTACAAGGGCCTTTTGTGCAGAGTAAATCAACTTCTAATCTATCTTTACCTTTTTCAAAATAACATACTCTTTGTCCTTGCTTTAATTTGCACTAACCTACTGCTACTTCCTCTATATTATATTAAAAACAACAGATACCATAAATTAATATATTTTCATCATCCTCTTCTTCTTCTTTGCTGCCCTTTTTCTTTTTTTTCTTGGAACCTTCATCCACATATTTAACTAATTAAACTATTGTTGGTAAATTTGTATTCACTTTAAAACATAATTCTTATTTCTTTCCATTCTCCAAATTTATGGATTCAGATTCACTCAACGAACTAAGGTATTCCTAATGATTACTTGCACGCTATTGCTATTGAAATAAGAAATGAAAATATGATCATTTTTATTAAATTTAAATTTATCACAAAACTTAATTCCTTAAACTTTTTATATAATTTTTATGTTAATTTAATAATTTTATTTACACAAATAAGTGATTTTATCAAAATTGTCAGAACTAATTGATGCTCTCAGTAAAGGTACTAAGAGAATAATAATTCATTCCAAACTTTATCTATCTGCTTTATGTATGCGTTGAGTGAGGATTATTATTCTAAAAATTTGCACATTTTGACATTAATTTATACAAAATATAAAGTTAATCTCTTACTAAATTTATACAGTATTTTTAATAACCTTCTTAAAAGGATTAGGCTTAAACTATTCTTAATTTTGAAACCTTATTGTATGTATTTAAATAGAATATTGCAAGGTTGTAACATTTAATGAAATATATTCTTAAAAAATCCTTTATTTATTGTTTATTTACTCCACTTGATAATAAAAGTTTAAGGATTTATTAATTATACAAGATAGTGATATTCACATACAACCTAAATCATCCAAAATTTTTGTAAGGGCAAACATGATAATTTGAATTTGGTATATATACTATTAAAGAGGAAGCTTATTAAACTGAAATGTAATTGCTCAAAAAAAAAGCATTCAGAAATATAAAAATATCGAAAGTTTATGGCTATATAAATTTTTAATTAAAGAAAGTAGTGTTAAGTCAATAAATATAGAAAAAAATTTAAATTAGAAACAAACGAAAATCGAAGTTATAGCAATTTATAATTAATAATTCTCAAGTGTAAAACGCAATTCTGCATTTACCCAAAATTAGTATTGATTTTATTATGCAAAATTGCTATATACACAAGGCAACTTATATTATTAATGCTTTTTCGTGAAATTAGTAACTATATAAATTCGCAATAGATAATGACAGAAGAATAACATAGAAAATTGATGGATGTCGATAGAAAGTCTCTTTTAATAATTAGATATGATTAGTAAATTGTTGAAGAAGTAAAATTATTATTAAATTATGATATCATACGAGAAAACTAATTAAACGATTATAAGAAACTTAAAATAATATCTATATTTTATAGAAGAACAACATATCTAATGGCATTCATTCTTATAAGAGTATTCTGTGAAGAAAATTATAACATTTATTAAGTCAAATAAATATTTATCAATTTTATACTATACAATGAGTTACTTTAATTCTTTAAAGCAAAAATGCAAGACAAGTTCACACGCAGAAGAAGAACCTTCATAATTACTAATTCCCTGCATGAATTGTTAAGAATACATTAGATTTAATTAAATCAATCAGCATTCCTTTATTTGTACTCAAGTGGCATAGGATATAGATCATATTGATAAAACCTACTCTTTGTTGGAGGAAAATCATTATAAATTACAAAAAATCAGGATGTGCTTAATGGAAAAATAGAATAATACATTAGCACTTAGACTCATTAGGATAATTGAACTTGTTGTTCAGATTTCTACTATAGGTAAGGTAGAAATAGCTTGCTGTTAAACCTATTAAGCTGAAATCATTCAATTAAAATACATTCCTAAATCATCATTAAATCTAAGTTTGTATATTGAAAGAATATAAGTACTTATAGAATAAAAGATATAAATACTGAATGATGATTTGGAAATCAAACAGGAACTTGAATATAAACAGAGCTCTCAGAATAAATTCAAATAGTTAATGACATAAGAGAGCCAATCGAATTAGTACAGTAATAAATTGTACTGTTTAAGTGCTGATTAGAAGGATAATTATGGTGAATCAAAAGAGCACTTGTTTGAAAAATTAAACAATAAAATTTAGGAATGCAATAATTTAAAAATGGAATCGTAGCATTATAACAATGGTCTAATTAATAAAAATTTATAAAAAAGGAAAAGTCCTAAATGGATGAATGCTGAATAAGTAGAAGTACTATTTCCTCGGTAGCAGCATAAGATTATGATTAGTTAATAGATTCCTATGAAATTGAATGGCAAGAGTGAAATTCTAACTAATATGTCAACTAGTGATATTGGATTTTTAGAGGAGTAATCACGGAAATGTGAATCCTAAGGTTAAAGATTGTTTTATTCGAAATTGTTAAAGTTGAAGCTACAGATTTCTAAATAATCTTAAGCATAAAAATTATCGGCTGTAATTTTGTGGGATGAAGTGTAGAAATTAAAGTTAAGTTGTGAAGAATTCGATAAATTTCTGAAAGCAGCCATCAGAAACCCAGAAAAATATTTGAACAACCAATTTTGACTAAGTCTATTGAAATTTATATTATTAGAATAAATTAATAAAAATTATACAACCATGAATCAAAGTACAACGGGAACTACTCCCCATGGATTAACATTCTCAGGAGCGTTTACATTTGGTGAATCGCAAAGATTACCATGGGTTAAAAAAGATGATGTGACTGCTAGCAAACTGGAAGTTGAGGGATGCAAGAAATTCGATGATCAACTTAGAAGAACTGAATCTAGAATTTCTAGTAAAATATCAAGGAGAAAATCTAATCTCCCACAAGATGATAAATTGAAACCTGTGAAAGCACCTAACCCACCTGTTGGAGCATACAACATCCATAATGTTTAAGTTATTGATGAAGAATAACTTAAAGTTCTTTTGGAGAAAAATTAAACTAAAGAATAACAAGAGAAAATCAAGTAGATGTATACTATTTAAACATCAATGGGTAAAAGATTATCTGGAGGCGAGTTGGATCTTCATTAAACATGGGCAATTCACAAACCAGAAGTTGTGAAGGAGCATCCAATAGGGTATTAAATACATCATTAAACATTCTAGTCCTGGTTCATACAATCCATCTCTGTCGAATCAACATTCATAGCCTGTTTTTGGATTTGGCTACAAGTAAGAAACCAAATGGGCAAAAGAAGGGCCATCGCCAGACTAATACTTTAATTCTGAAACTTTCAGCTAATTCAAAACTGCCACTAGTTGGGCTACTAGAAAAGGAAAGAAGACTGGATTTGGAACTGCCAAAAAATTATAATTGCCAAAATCAATTGATGTTGGACCTGGAGACTATAGGGAAGTATCTCAAGAGTTAGCCCCTAAATATTCCATACCAAAGGCAGAAAGAGAATTGCCTTCACATAAAGTTGTCCCTAGTCCGGATACATATACACCAGCTATGAATTAATTTAAAAAAGCTTTTAGTTTTGGTCATAAATATATTCCCATTTTGACTACTGATTATTTTGATCCTGGACCAGGGGGTAATTACATTTATCTAAAATAGCTCACGATCCAAAACTTCCACATCCTTCCACTGCCAAAGAAATCAAAATGCTCAAAGAAAATAGATCCTAACTTGTTGCAAAGGAATCATAATTGAAACCAGGACCTGGAACACATGACCCTTAATTACCTGCCACTCGAATTTCACATAGCAAATCATAATTATCTATGGGAACTGGTGATAGGTACAATCCAAATACTGAATTTCGACTCTCAAGAGATAGAGTACCTTCTCCAGGAAAATACGATATCAACTCAAGTTTGTAAGGTCCTAATTATTCAATTCGGCTTAAATATGAGCAAAGAAATCATAATGCCACTCCTGGGCCAGGTTAATATGACCCAGATTCTCAACTTGTTTCAGATTCATTTACTAAGCCTTTTGAACATTATACTAAGGCCTAAACAGCACATGCCAGTCTAACAAAAGGCAATAGATCTGATCCAGTACTTTCGAAATTTAAAAATATTGGACCTGGTAGCTACTCATTGCCATTTAACACAGGTCCAAGATCAAGGTTTAATTTTCTATTAATTTTAGTCTCGGAAAGGCAGCTAGATTCCCTCCTAAGGAAAAAGAAGAGATAGGTCCAGGGTCCTACTATATTACAGGAACTATTGGAATCATACCGAAATATCATTTTGATAGAAATAGAGATAAAATGCAGTCCTCATTTTCTTAATTTGATAAATTTAGTAGATGATTATTATTTTTATACCCAAATTATTAGTAAATCAATCATATCATGGTTCTACTCATATCATTTATTGCTATTCTTTAAGCCTAAGTAAAGTAATCAGCTACTAATTGGATCAATGTTTCTATCTTCTATTGCACATCTGTTAAGGATCCAATCTAAATCTATTGTATTTTAGATGTCATATCATGTAAATCAATGAAAAGTAACTATTGTTGATGATCCTATTTCACGTGATCTTCAAGGGGACCAGGTAGTAGCAAATCTAGTTATGGTGAACTTTGCATTTGGATATGAGTTATGATTTTTGTATATTTTTGAATCAAGTTAATTAATGTATTTAAAGAGTTTGATAATTGTACGAATTTAATATTTATATTAATTGAGAAATCGTACTATTAATGTAAAAGTTTAGCATAATTAGCATTTTCCTCTTTGATTTATTTCAGTTGACTATTCAAAACACATTGTTAGTCTGATTTATCTTATGATGATGGAGTTTGACTCTATTTAAGAACATTGTCATTAACAAATTAAATTAATGATTGCTGTAACTCAAATGAATACTTTTTTTAATCTAATTTTGTTTTTTCAATCTCTTAAATCAATAACTTTATCGTTTATTCTTCTTTTTTTTATATGATGTCTTTCTCTATCTACAAAATGCCAATTTGTTTCTAATTCTCCAAAATTTATGCCTTTAATTCGTTGATTATTAATTGTTGTTTCTAACAATTTTAACAATTATGAGAATCACTATAATCAGTTCTGATATGGATGTGATCTTCTCCAACTTTGCTTTCATTCTCATTTTCTATGAATCTAATTGCTGTTTTTTGTCTTATTTTTGATAAGCGAGCATCAAGCATATAATTTAAATAGCTAGTTTATGATTTTTTATGTGGTTAAATGTTCTTAGGTTTCATATACAATTTAATGAAAATAAAATTACTGTTTATGTTAACAATAAAAATGTAAAAATATAATATATTAATAAAAATAAATTAAATGTTATTAATTATTTATACCAATGACCTCAAAACACATTAATATCCAATTTAAACAATATAGTTAAATCCTTTTATACTTCTCTTTAAAATTATGCTCTTTCTCTGTATAAACTACACTTTCTAGATTCAATGATAAGTTATTTCAATATCTCAGGTTATCAAATCAACAATGCAATATCATTTTTTGCAACTTAGCATTGTAAGTATAAAAGATTGAATCTCTCAACTAAATTAGACTTTTAGAATTCTATTTAAATATAATTAAGGTAGATTCCCTTATTTTGCATATTAATATTATTATTCTTTAAATATAAATTATTGGAAATGATAACAAATACAAATGGAGTAGCATACAATATATATCATTTTTTGTGGTTTAAGGATGAATCATTATTAAAGGAATCATTTTAAATAAGAATACCAGACACATTAATTTATAAAAATGGAGTTCCTTAAGTAATAATGATGTAAAATTAGGTTTGGTACTTTACAAGTAAGGAAGGAGAGATAATGACAAAGAAGTCCGAAGCAAGAAAGTCTGAAAATTTAATTAAGCATTTTTGTTAAGGCGATAAACCAAATGGATAAGTTATAGCTTACTACATCTATCCTTAAAAATATAATCATTCTGATCCCACAGAGGAGAAAACCTTTCCAAGTTAATCAAAAAGGGCAAAACCTCTCTTAGACTGTGATGAAAAGATATGCATTTATTATCTTACGAAGTAAATGTTTCCTGATTTTGTCAATTCTCAAAATAAACCACCTTCAGGAATTTTACAGAAGTTTATAGAGCCACTAGGAAATCACGAATCTTTGATTCAGGCAATTTGGAGCCCATCTGTGTGTATACTTTCAAAGAAACAAAACAATCGAGATTTATATGATATGTCATATGATCCCTATGGTAAATATATATGCTATCATAGAAAGATGCACTACCTTTGATGGAGGGGAAGCGTATTCCAGAGTAATTCCATTAAGGGGCAAGGAGATATCATAAGAGATAAGAAAACAATGTTAGATGATAGTTCAGAAGATAACAAATTTGAGTTATGGACAAACAAACCTATCTAGAATAGTATTTTATTTTAAAGCAGACTAAGTAATTAATTATGGCCATATGGTTTATAGAATAACAAGGTTTGGTTTTTGTATTCGTCTTCAATAAGATTGTAAGGTGAAGCCTAATCATAGATAAAGTTATATAAACCATTATGGGGCAATATTAATGTGAAAAAGAACAACACTCCAATTCCATTTAATACGAATTTCTAGAAACCATATTCAATAAAGAATATGCTGACTGTAAATACTATGCATCCAGTAGCCTTGATTAAAGATATTGAATGTTTTGAGTGTGGAGTTTTATGCCAATAAAAAGGTGAATATTTCCAAATTACTTTTAGATCTTTACCATTTGACTTATGAGTACATAATCAAACATTTTGATTAAGACGTAAATCAGCATCCACTTGTGAATAATATTGAGATAATTAAGCCTAAATCATTTTTATAATGTGAGGGTCATCTCAGAGACATACATTCACACATTCCACCTCTTATTTTGAAGCTCTATCCACATTTGACAGTGCAACTATTTGAATAATTAAAAGTGAATGATGCTTTTTTAATAAAATCGGTTCTCATTTGTGAGAGTTGTTTTTTGAAATATAGTGAGTCAGACCCTGGAATATCTGGGGCCAAATTAAGAGTTTCTAAATAATTAAAGAGAATTATTAAGTAATAGCCTTCAAAAAGCATTCTAAATAGAAGACCAGATTTAAAAGAATTTTTAATAGAAACAAATTTAGAACTTTTGAAATTCAAGCATGCTCATTCAATCAGTCAAACCAAAGAAATTTAATCGAGTATTCATGTCACAAATTCATTTTTACACTCGTTCTAGAATGTCACTTAGAGTACAAATATAGGGAAAACTCCTTCTTTGAAACAATTCAGAAACCCAACAGAACCTGGATATATACGGTTGCATACAGCAAAATGATATGTTATATAGTTTATATACTAAAATTTATTATCATAAGAAGAGGTAAATTATGACTCCGATTACAAGAGCTCCAAATATCCCAATTGCAACATAAGCAGCCCAATTTTATTTGTTGTTTACGGCTGTTGCTCCTTTTTGAAATTGATTTGCCATTTAAGATATGTCTTCACTCTTGTGATGAATAACGTGAAGTTTTTCCTAATTCATCTAGAACTTCCTTAAGTTTTCCTCCATTAATCCTTGGATAGAATCAACAGACTTACAAGTTATTTCAATTTTATCATCAGCAAAAGGATCTCTGTCATATTGTGTTAATAACTAATTGCAATTAAAAACTTACATTTCTGACATTGGGTTCTAGGGGTTGGAATTCATACTTGCCACTTTAGATTTATCTCTTTAATAATTCTTCAATTTGTTTTAATAATCGCATAGCACTTGGCATTGGATAAGAGGATGTAACTAATAGTGCAATTACTATATTGTTCTTTAATGAGCAATACCAAGCTCCTGATTATGAGTAGATCTTTTAGACGGGTAAGGAAGGAACCTATGAGGAATCCTATTAATTTTAGATTTGTTGGAATAGCAATTGAGCTTCTTGTTGCAAGTCATTTATGAACACTGGGTTTTCAGCCACCAATGATAAGATTCCGTGTTTGCTTAATGTACTCAGATTTATCACACAAGCACATTTCACTCTGCAATTGAAATCCATTAATGAAGTATAAATTATTTATTATTAGAAATTATTTATTTATACATATAAAATTCAAGAAACTAGCGAAAGTCGAATGAATTAACAATGCGAAAAGGATGAATAGTTTGATCTCATCATTGATGAGAAACTCTCCAGTTAAGAGCAATCAACATCCACACAATCTAAACAAAGCCATGCTAATCTGGCTATGTTATAAGATAATACTAAAAATTTTAAATTAAAAAGAACTCAAAGTACCAATAAACTATAATTTAAAGGAAGTTTGCTTCAACTCAATCACATCCCTCCTCAAAGAAGAGGATCTCAATCATGCATAGAACCAATCCAAGTAATTGAGGAAGAGGTAATCATTCAATTCATATGACTATACAATAGTGCCATCAAATTGGGAAACCAAATCTCTATAATGTGTTTTGGTACGATGAGAATATTGATAATAAATATGAAATCATTGTCTAAGCAACACAAGACATCCTTATCTCTGATTTTATTGCTTTAGTTATAAAAGAATTCAATCTGCAACATGATTATATTCATTCCCCATTTACTGAAGATGGATCCCTGCTTTATGAATTGTACGTTCCAAAAAAAAAGAATGGGAAACCCAATGAAGATTACCCAGGTAAATATTATTTAAATATTCTCGAAAGCCTTTGCTGATAAAACTTAATTAAGTAAAACAAACCTTACTTAATTTGCACTCAAAGTATCAAAACTTGAATCTCATTATATCAGTTCATTCGCAAAATAAGGTTAACATGTTTAGGAATCAACGACAAAGAATAATGATTAAAATACAGGGGATGAAAAGTCCTTCTGGCAGAAATTTTTCTTTTGTTGTAATATTGATATCTGATTATATTCTTTAGTGATAATTATATATTATCTTAATCTTCCAAGATCAGCTAAATTTATATTTTGCTTAAAACCACCTTAATAACTTTGTTTAATTTCTGTTAGAAATTACTCAGAATCCATCAGTTTATAGGTTAACTTACCTTAGTTCCTATTTCTATTTTTTATATTAATTCTAAAATGATTAAACAAGTACCTCAAGAAATTGGTAAGTATTAACACAAACCTTAAAATTAACCCAATGCTCAAGCAAAGAACAAACAAGGTCTAAAGTAATTTAAAAACACGACTTAATAATAATAATAAACTTTGCACAAATAATAAGCACTGAGATACTTCAATTAATAAACATTTTTAGTATAATGGTGTTTTTGAAAGCAAATGAGATAATGGAATTAAGATTGGTTTGCAGATCATTTAACAAATTATTTCTATGTTGTGCTCCTAATTTATTGGATTATATAGATTAAAAAGATTTTGAGCAATAGAAAAATTAAAACCAGAATCAATAACGTTTAGTTTTTCCAAAATTAATAGATGTGAACATAACAACAATACGAGAGAATTTAGAGAGTAAAGCAATGTATGCTTATGTTGAAAAATTGCTTAAGGATAATCTTTTTAGTGTGGAGTTAATTTTTGATATTATAACTTGGGATTTACCACCTTGGAGAAAAGCCAAATTCACCTTTCCTTTAAAAGTAAAAACAATATTAGAGAAGTATGATTTCAATCTTTATAATCTGAATGATCAGCAAATACAAATGATTAATTAAAGGCAGAATCACAAATTTACACCTAATATGTTATATAATGATGACTATGAAGATATTGTACAATATGTTAAGAATTTAATGCAGGTGGCTGCTTTCGAAGATTATAAGTATTTCTGTGACTGGTATGAGATTGAAAAAGAAAATGAATAAATGTAAAAATTAAGACAGTTACTGAGAAGTAATAGTTTACAGTAAAAGTGATAGTTATACTTTATTACATACGATCTTATGTAAATAGTATTAATATATAATAATAATATTTTATCGATGATTTAGATGCAAGACGTACAGGAATCTATGATTCTGAATTAAATCTCGAGTGACGAAGAAGATGACTTAGAGAGTCCTTTAGAATTTTAGTAGACTTAAAACAAATAACATCGAGAGCAATCCGTAGTTTAGACACTCAATGAACTGTCATTTAATCGCAATATGGACAAAAGGATGAATGAAACGGCGGTTCTATAAAATCACGCTGATGAAATCACTTAGAAATCAATGAAGAATGCAAAAGAAGCTTATTAAAGAGAAATAATAAAAGAGTTGGTTTCGAAATAGAAGAAGAGATTTAAGGTAGATGGATTCAATTTGGACTTAACTTGTAAGATTAGTGCTAATCTTAGATATCACTGATAACATAATTGCTATGGGATTCCCAGCTGAAAGTTTTGAGGCTATTTATAGAAACCCAATGCCAGAGGTGTAAAAATTTTTAAATAGTCGTCATGCTAACAATTATATGGTTATTAACTTGTAAGTTTACTACTCCTAACTAGATGTTCAGAGCGTAAGTACAAACACGAGTCTTTCTATAAAGTGGCCGAGTTCCCTTTTGATGATCATTAGGCCCCTCCGTTTAATATGATGCTTGAGTTTTGCTAAAAGGTTCATGAGTGGTTAACTGCAAATTCCAATCATGTTGTGGCAATACATTGTAAGGCTGGGAAGGGAAGAACTGGAGTTATGGTGTGTTGCTATTTGTTATTTAGTGGGAAATACACTTCAAGTCAGGATGCTTTGGCTTATTATGGTTTGGTTAGGACATAGAATAAAAAGGGTGTAACAATTCCTAGTTAAATTCGATATGTCCATTATTTCAGTTATGGCTTGAAAAGTGAGTTGGTTAAGATGCCACCCAGAAAGATTGAGTTGGTATCAGTTAGATTGGTTGGCGTATCTCATGGAACTATGATCAGAGTATAAAACAATGATAGCCAATTAATAGAAAAGGCTTCGATTGCTTCAGAAAAGGAAATACTATTTGCTTTCAATGACATATTTTTATAAGGAGATGTTCTCATTTAAATATTCCACAAGTCCATTGTCACTGAATCCAAGATCTTGTAGGCTTGGTTTAACACTAATTTTGTATCCCTTTCACCTAAGGAATAAGTGTTCAAAGCTGAAGAGCTGGACATGTCGAAAAAGTCAATGAAGCATTCTACTTAGATTTATATGGAATTACTATTTGATCAAGTAATTCTCACTAGAGAAAGATCCAATTGCTTATCAAAAGGCAAATGATATATAATTAACTATCAAAAATCTAAATATTAGACTGCTGCCCCTATGTCAATCAGGTCGAAAGGCTTGGTGATGAAATAATCTGCTCCATTCTTGAAACACTCCAATTTTGAATTCAGATCTACGAACGTGGCTATGATTATCACGTATCCCTTGTCTATCAGACTATTTCTCATTTACTCCTTAAGAGATCTCACTAAATCGATCCCTGATAAAATCTAGATATATCAACACATTTAGATACTGGCAAATAAAACTCAATAAAATATAGCAGATAAGATCTGTTTCCACAATGGCAAGGCGTGTTCTACTTATTCTATATTAATTTTTAAGCCTCGATCCCATTAAAGGCCTTATCACATTTGATATTGTATTTCTCCAAAACCTTTTGCAATGAGAAAACACTATAATGATCATTATCCACTATCAACACTTTGGCACAACAAGTCAATCTAAGTCTGTATTTAATCACTGATGACAATAATTTTGGTGTTAATTCTGGAGGATGAATGGAAGGGTTGCTCAACTCTGCGCCAAAATCAAAATTAGAATGTGTCTTCATTGAATCATGTTATGAATCACTTTTCTCATTTCTAGTTTTTTTATATGTCTATTATATTGTATCAGGAAACCCTTATTTCCAAGTTCCTGAAAAGCTATTGCTCTATTCTTTGGATTGTTTTGGAACGGATCCAGAATTTTATACTTATTTGGAATTAGAAGAATCCTATTTTATTCTTGAAATCTAAGAAAAATAAGCACTCTAAACATCAAATGGATCTCCAGGTTTCATTGAGAATTGTTTTGATAATTATGTCAATGAAAAATATCTAGAATGAAAAGATGAATTACTTAGATTCCTCTCTATAGCCACTGCTATCTTAAGCCAATAATAATGATAATGATGTTTCATAATATTTTCTTTGACCTAATATTTTGATTGGGCCTGTATCTTGACGAGATTACATTCTTTATTGGTTGGTTTAAGATTCAATTACAAAAGTGAAGGTACCATATCCCTAACTATCATACAAGAATTCGAGACCTCTTTTGAATGTACCAGACAATTACCAACATAAAATAACACAGATCTATAATTCCAATGGGTTGTTAAGATCAACATCATAAAATGAAGCCATTTTAAGAGTAGAATTGAGAAGTCTAACTAAATTGGTTATTGATTTTCTCATATTTTCATCTTTAGCTATCATGCTGTCTTTAAAAGATACCATAATACCGCTGACAGTATAACTTTTGATATCTAATTTTAATTATGATGCAGATGTGTATTTCAAACAATAGGAGAATAAACATGCTAGAATTTATTTTAACTAATTAATCATAATTATGTTATTACTCTATCTAAATCGCTGAATATGACTTGATTATTGTCACTCAGATCTATGGATGTTGTTAAATTCACTTCTCTAATTTTTAGGTTGTCTTCATAGACAATTAGTAATTCTTCTATCAAGTCATTCACCTTGAATGCTGAAATTCTTAAGAATAACTAGTTTTATATGTAGAAGATGTAATCCCTCATGCTGTTGACAAATAGGATATATCTCATACTCATCATCCTTATTGGCATGTAATAATGCTGCTTTAATGAGATTTTGAGAGTGTTCTCGTGTTCATGTTGTGTGAGTAAAATTAAGGTTAATATACAGTTGATATAGCTTACTGATTCGTGCACAAAGGTTGAGAATACGTTGATGATTGGTTAGGCGGTGTCTTCCTTCTTTCTTTGAGGAGGCTACTGCTCAAAAAGGAAGATCAGATAGGAGGATTCATTGACCTTATTCACAAAAGCCTTGATTTGGATATTCTCAAAATCGAACACTTCGCTCCTCAATTTAAACAATGTCACCATGCTCGGTCGCCATCTCTTTTTAATTCCAACTAAACTACTTATCGATCTCGTTTTGCATCATTAGACTCAAATCTCTGATGGTCAGACTTGACTTCATCCGGCATTTGTGATAATCATTCACTCTATTAAGCAAAAATGAGCCACTTTTTCATTATATAATTAATTACTCGCTATTTACAGACTAATCGTTATTATTGCTATTGATTTCCATCAATTCTTTGCTTCCAACCAAAATCTAACAATCAAGGAACAACTCCTCATAATCTGGTTTTGATTACTATTGGGTTTATTGTTCATCCAAATTCGATTGCTTGAGTAATTTCCCTAAAAATATATTCTAATAAACTATGTTAAGCTTTTTGTTATAGACTAAAGCAGATTGATTTTGAATCCAAGCCACATTCTATAAAACGATTTCGTCCTCATTGCATTCCATTTTTATAGCATTGATATCCTAACTAACCGATTATTATTGATTGGATTTGCTTACCAAATCTCTATTGTTTATTGATTCCTTTACTATGAAAGTAGTGGTCATATACATACATTCTAATGATTTCTACTTGAAGGTTTGTTCTAGGTAGGCTTCGTTGGATTTAAGTGATTTCCATTTCATAAAGAGCAAGCCCATCAAAAATATTACATTAAAGAAAAACAGCAAGTTGAATGGTATTTCAGTCACATAATTATTCTCTTGTTCCTGGATTAGACTGATGAGAAACACTGTGCTCAATATAAAAGTTTAAATCGTATCCTCCTCAATCAAATGCACAATTATTAAACAGAATTGACACATCTCAATATTCATTGAAATTTGAATCAGAATGAAAATGATCTTTATTCTCCAAACATTTTTAATATGATCACTATTCTTATATTTAAGAAATAAGTAACCAATTTCAACTATTGAATTCAAAATTATCGGTAAAATTGAATCAATACCTTGAGATTGATACAGTCCTACATTAGCAACAATCACTACCCAAAAGGAGAGCCAAAAAGATCTACAACTCTTTGAGAAGATACTCAACTACGTTCTTTTGAATCATAAATATAATTTAATTTTATAGATTATCTGCTGAGTAAATCAACAATTCAAATATAATATTTCAAAAATACTCAATTTGCATTTTATAAACACATCCAAAATATATTTAACTAAATTTTATCAGCATCTCAAATATAATAAAAATACTATAAATTTCCCTTTTTATGACTAGTTCCCTTTTATTTTTAACTCTAAAATTCATAAATAAAAAAGCCTTCTGCTCAATTTAAAGTTTAAAATAACTTTTTCATAATTTTTATTTAAAAAGAACATTTCATATTTAAGTATTATTCTTTTTTTAGGATCTACTTATTAGTTAATTCCTCTTAAAAGTTATTAAATATAGGTTTTATGCAAGCAAACAAAATTTCTGTAGTTATCTGCGCGATATATTGTTTATATATTATTCTATTGAGCTTCTTTGTGTTTATGGATTATTCCTAATGATTCTTTTATTTCATCATAATTATATTAAAAATAATTAGGGCATATATTAATTATAATCATTGATTATTTTATAATTCTCTACATCTGGCTTCTACTACTTCTATGCCCTTTCTAAAAGAAGAGTTGAATTGGGATATTAATTTTGTTATGAAAGTTTATTGGAAATTTGACAATAGTTTCTAAATTAAATCAGAATAGGATACAGAATAATGAGTTTTTTAATCGTCTATTGCCTTATAGATAATTGATTCATCGCCTGCTAGATTAGGATAGAGTTTGCATGATTTAAGCAATTTCGTTTACATTTCCATGCTCCTATTTTCAAGATCAACTGTGATCTACTCCAATGTCAAACACCAAACAGTGAATTTACGTGCATAGACCTAATTATTGGGTTTGTTCTTACTATTCTTTTAATTTGCATTTTATTATTGTCATCGAGGATCATATCTACAACTTAGTTAAACTTGATGAAATCGAATTCTTTGCAAGGGTATTTTCTCCAGAATCCTTTAACTACAGTTTCCCAATCAAAGTTGAAAGTGTACTCAGAGTGAATTTGCATGATATAAAATTAGAATAGAGTTGGAATTTAATTCTTAAATATTTATAGCTCACATCTGAATAAAAATGGGTTAAATATTTTTGATAAATTTTTATATAATAAAATACATTACGTACTTAAATCTTGGGAACATGGGCATTTGTGAGTATAATAGTTGCTGAAGTTTATTTATTAATAAATTTGTAACCAATATATTTGTGCAAATAATTAATCATAATTTAAACTGATCAAGATCTGGGTGTTGTCCTTTTGGTTCAGTCTATGGAGTTTCAAGTGGAGTTTTTACAAAAGTGTATGATTCAGCTCCTTTCATAGTTGATTTATCCTAATTCATAATTTCAATTATACATTCAAGCTCTTGCTGTGTTCTTTGAAGAAGAATGTAAGATTGTTTGGATCCATTTCCAAAGCCACTCTTAATTTCTCTCCAATCCTCAACTTTTCACTCTCTTTTCTGTCTTTCAACCATATTTCCAACAAATTTCTTCTCTCTCTGATGGACAAAACTACACCAATTACATTGTCATCATCGAATTCCTCGCCAATGCATGCTTACCATGACTTAACAATTAATACCTAACAATAAGGCTTCCCATTTCTTATTCAATAATTCATTCTCTCTTTTTTTAAAATGAATAATCCATGTGCCTCCTTCCAAACACTCTTCCCACATTGGTCTGTGATCCTTCCTAAACAACATTATTTTGTTGTCAATTTCAATCTATTCTTAGGTTTAAAAACTTACTTCGCTAGGTCTGCCTAAAAAACAATAATATGTGTAAAACTCTTCGACTGTATTGAATTCCCCAATTTCTTTCAAATTTACATCATAATGATCTGAACCTGCAATAGCTTTTCTGCCTCTAGGAGCATACCAAAATACCCAATTTTATGATAGTTTATGAGCCATTAAAATAATAATAAAATTTGATAAAATGAATCAATAACACTCTAAATGATCTCCAATTCTAAAACTACTTTATGAAACAAACTGTCAAAAAGGATTGTTAAGATCCCAAAATAAGGTAATTTTATTTCATAAATAAAACAAATCAGCTTATTATGTGTTATAATCCACTTTAACAATACAACATATTGTGTAACCATCAATGAATGCTGTATCAAAAAATGATTAAAACATATAAAAAAGAGATTCAATTAATAGAGTTCCTTCAATAAACACCTTTTAACTAAGGGATCATAATTTTATTCTTCTAGTATCCATTATTAAAAATAAGGATTATTCATATAATCTATTTATTCTATGATATAATTGAGGAATCAAAACAAAGGAAGGAGAGTAGAATAATTTCAAAACTATAGATGTAAATGAATATTAATATTTAAAATATTCATATGCTCTGAACGCTGTTTCCCTCAAATTCATCTTCTAAATCATCATCATTAAACTAATTGTCACCATCATCTAAATTTATAACAATAAAATTATACTTCCTTCACCATCTTAAATGAAACCCATGTCTTCTCTTCTTTGATTCTGCTATTAGGCATTATCTTCATTCAATTTGTAGGCTTCTTTCAAAAATTGTGGCACATCTTCAATTTCATATAAATCCACCACAATGCAATCCTATTGAATTTAACACACCTTATATACTTTCTTTTAATGAATCATCTCTGAACACACTCTGCAACATGTCACTTTATGTTTCATACAAAAGAAATGTTTCACTCTGTCATTATGAAACTCACAAAACTCCAATCCTGAATCTGGATCCACTTAAGGATATGCATTTTATTATTATTGACGTGCCTTTTGTGATTACAATGCTGATTATTGGAATTGTGTGAACAAATATTGCTGTGGATCTATGACTTCTGTGCCTCCATGTTATTTGCTTTTATTATTTATATCATCTGCCATTCTGGTGAAAATAGTGTGATTAATCTATCATTTAATATTATTATTATACTGGCAATCTATCAACTGAATCAAGATGCTTAATTAATTTTAAACATAGAGGACATCTTACTCTTCTGTTTCTAAATACATTATAAGAAACGATTATTACCTATAAAAATTGGTGAGACAGGCTGTGCAAATAGTGTGTCCACAATGAATCAGTATTCTGGGCAGTCTATCTTTCATATTGTAATCATTTTTGCATAAAATGCATTATTTTTGATTAAGCAATTTGCTGACAAATTCATTGATTTTTGGTAAATATTCGGTAGGTGGATTATTTGATTATTCAAAGAAATATTGTGTTGGATTTTGAACCACTTTCATTAAATAAAATAATTTAATTTATCAGGAATGACCTAAAAAATATTTGAACTCATTTATATATATATATTTATTAACAACATAATAATAGGAATTAGTAATTAGTTAATGTTTTTAATGGGGATGGCTAGATATCTTTTATATATAAGAAAATAGAAGAATATAGAAGAATATGGATGTTGTTTAAATATGAAAATATGAAAAATAACAATATTAATGCAATTCAAAAATAATATCAACTTATTTGTTTAATAAGAATTTAAATATGAATCTATAGTTTCTGATTAAATTTATTACATCCAAAACCACCATAAAATTACATACACATATATTTTAATTAAGTTTATTAACTTCTAGAAACTATGAACAGTCATCGCAAATTGACTCTTTCTGAATATCAAACAAAATAGAGATAAATCCACGAACACAGAAGTCCCAAATCCAATAAATTTCTTACTCCTTAAAAAAAAATGAAAATACTTATCCCAAAGATACATTTGACTTGCAAATAGTTCTAACCAAAACTATTTTCAAATAGATCCGCCAAATCCTATCAAAATTTGAATCTTCCTTTCACTTCAAAAATGACCAAGTTGACTAAACTGCAATCTTTGGAAGAAGAGTTTAAACAATGCGAAATCAAGAACTATCATCTGACTATTGAATAAAAAAGTCCAAAACAAGAGGGAATAGAAAAACTAAGGACATAATTGAACGAACAATTTTTGAAGGAAAGCTCATGTAATAGAGCAGGAGCTTGTCTCTAATTTCTTGAACCTCCATTGGTTCACAACCTGTGTAATTATATCATATTGAATTTAGTAAATCTTTCACCTAAAGCAAAGGTAAATTCGAACCTTCGTGCTTCGGTTTCTTCGCGAGATTAAAATGGCAACACAGCTCTTCATTACGCTGCCAGAAATGGAAATACCCATCTTGTACAAGCTCTCCTGTACAAAGATATACAAATAGATACATAGAATGAAGATAAAATGACACCCTTACTATTGAGTGCTTATTAGTACTTAATTTATATATATTAACTTAGTGGGAAATTTGAAACCTTATAAATATTAATCAATTTGGGAGCCAACATCAACCATCAAGATATTTATGGCAACTCATCTCTCCATTATGCATGCAAGTTTAATTTTAAATAGATTGTCCAATTTTTACTTCAAAAATCGCATCTTATCCTGTTGTAAAATCAGGAGTCATAATATCCAGATTATTATATTGAGGATTCAGAGATCGCCCAGATATTTGCAGACTATTTGGAATAGACAAATTGTAAAAATATAAAAATACGTTTAGAAAAACGAATGAAAGAAGTTATAATTTAAACTACTTAAACCGAAACAATATTAAAAATGTTTTAAAGAAAAAATATTAAATCGATAAAAAATTTAATTTAAAAATGCAAGTCTTCAAACAATCTAGAGATGATTTAGGATTCATATCCAAAAATAAAATAATTATAAACAACCTTACAATAGCTTGAATAATTTAAAAATTAATTGCAGAAAAAACAACAAACCTTCTCAACCATTTACTCTGAATCTTGTAAAAACATTAAAGAAGATGATGTATCTCTATCGTAGTTTTAAATCTTGGGTTTAATTGGAAAAGGTAGTTTCGGTCAAGTCTATCTAGTCAAGAGATAAAATTAATTATATGCAATGAAGGTGTTGGACAAGATCATGGTATTAAGTAAATCTATGTAATAAACCTAATATAGAACAAAATTTATTTCCCTATGCTTAAACAGAAAGAAATGTCTTATCGATGACTTCGCATCCCTTTATAGTAAAGTTAAGATACGCCTTTCAAACTACAGATAAATTGATTATGATGCTAGATTATTGTCCAGGTGGAGACTTGGGATAACTCTTGGAAGAAGAATAAAGACTTCCAGAAGAATAAGTCAAAAATTACATCTGCGAAATAATCCTTGCTTTGGAAGATTTGCACTAAAGAGATATTATTTATAGAGATCTTAAACCAGAAAACATAGTTATTGATGCTGATGGGCATGCTATTCTTACTGATTTTGGACTTTCAAAGGAGGGCATATTTCATGCTAGTCAAGGAGCTAGATCATTTTGTGGATCTGTTGCTTACTTAGCCCCTGAAATGCTTAAACGAAAAGGCCATGGAAAAGCTGTAGATTGGTATTTACTTGGAGTAGTCATGTATGAATTGTTAGTTGGAGTGCCTCCTTATTATGATAATGAAAAGGATCAGCTCTTTGACAATATTGAGAATGCTACACTTAAAATTCCTTCGTTCATTTCTTTTGAAGGTAGAAATTTAATAAAACTAGTAAATATTATTTCACTAAATAGCTTCTCAAAAGAAATCCTATCAAAAGATTGGGATCAGGAGTTGGTGATTCTTTGGAAATCAAGCAACATCCATACTTTCAAGATGTTGATTGGGAAAAAGTCAAAAACAAAGAATTAGAACTTCCTAAGCCAACCAGAAAAATAAAAATTGATACATAAATTGGTTAGAATCTTTTTTAAAATGAACATCAGAACCTATCCTCTCATATTCATGGATGGTCCTATGTTCATACAGACTTTTGAAAAATTGTTTATCTTGTTTAAAAATTTAATTTTTTCATAATAAAAAAAATTTAAAACCTCTTTATTAACGAATTTTAAAGAGTAGAGTTTAATATAAATAATTAAATCTGTTTAATTAATTTAATTTATTAATTAAATATTAAGAATTCATTATTAATAAATGAAAATCTTTTTACTTTAAGTTAATAAGAAAATTAAAATATTCAAATATTTTAATATTGATTTTAAAGTTCAAATTTTAATGAGAATTATCTTTATTAGCCAATTGATAACCATTAAACCATAAGAATGCAGGTTTTTAACACTTAGTAGAAAATATAAGTGAGATTGCTGAAAAGTAGGAAGAGAAATAGTAGAAATTTTCTTTTTATTTTCGAAATATTTTCATATTTCATGATATTAGAAATTTGATGGACCTATAGATTAGAGAGATTGAATTTAATAAAATATTGATGAAATGCAATATTAAATTAGTTAACAGTTTAGCCTAATCTTCTATTAATTAACAAAGCAATAAGTATGAAAAGATAATCCTATAATTAAGCTGCTGATCTGCTCAGATTAAATTATTAATAATTTATAGTTTATGTTAATTAAGATCAAAGGATTATTTACAGTAATTTCTTGATACATTTTTAAAAGCTTGATTTGAAAATTGGCAATGATCATTCAGATACAAATCTGTCTTCATGAAAATGATCTGAATTGAGATATATCAACCTGAAATCTCTTAAATCATCATAATGTAGATAGATTATAGAGTCTTAGAGATTTAATAATACAAATGATATAGGTATAAGTCGAGATATAATGGCTAGTGAAATAATTCTTTAGGGAAATGCCTGAAGGTCAAGGATTGTTTAACTGTGATTCAAAATTTAGGTGTAAAACTCTAGAATACATTTTATTGAGAATATGAGTTTTTGTTGACTTTTTGTGCAATAAAAAAAATATGAAGTGTTTCCCTTTTTTGTTTATATTCATAAATTTAAATAATTAAAAATGAACTCTTAAAATAAGTAAGTGATTTTAGTTTATTTTTCAGTTAAGCAGGAATTTTTGGGAATCCATAGAGCAATCTGTTTGGCTAAACATCAAGCACATCAGCAGCCATTTTTAATTCAAATGGATAGACGTAGAATTAAGGGGCTATCTTTAATTAATAGAGTAATATGGGTGGAGCTTAGTAAGCAGCATCAGGAGCTCAACCATCATCCCTCAATATATTTGGGAGTGCATAGCCGAGTGGAAATTTGTTTGGAAACAATGCTCCAAATAATAACAATATTTTCTCAGCAACATAAGCAGGAGCCTAACCTCCTTAATAGTAACAACCACTATTTGGAGGTGCAGCTCCTTAACCAAATTAAACAGGATTGAGTGGTTTAGATTCTCTTTCATAATAACCATTGGGTGGTCAACCACCATAAGCAAATAACAATTCTACGGGTTTGTTTCCAAGTCTAAATCCTAATCCATTGGCTTAACCCACTCAACCAAATACAGCCTAGCCAATAGCAACTAACCCCACAGGTTTAGGCGCATTTAATAATGTCACTTCAACTGGATTAGGAGCAGGGACTACTCAGAGTATTGGATAAGGTGCAACAAGTGGAGGATTGTTTGGATTATAACCAAATAATGCTTAGCCATCTTTAAATAACAATAATTTTATAGCTTCGTAAAATCCGGCATCAGCTCCTTTAAACCTCCAAAACCCAGCCTCAGCACCTCCCACTTCAAATCCTTTAGGCACAACAACACTAGGCACAAATCAAGCCTAACCTAGTCAACCTTAGGCAAGTCCATTGGGCACTTCAAATAATTTATTTACTAATCCAACCAGCAGCCTATAAAATTTGACACAACCTTAATAATAGCAAACAACAAGCTCAAATTGGATGACTTAACCATCTACAAAACCACCAGCATAACAACCCACATAGCTAACAGCATAACCACCAACACAACCATCAGCATAACCACCTGCTTAACCAATAGCTCAACCACTACCAGCTTAACAACCAACTACCTAACAGCCATCCACCTAATAACCAACAACAACTTAAACTACACCAAGCATCATCTAAATTGGAACATAACCAAATTAGTAATCAACCGTCTAATAACCGCAACAATAAACTTCATCATTATTATAACCTACACAATAATAACCATTAGTTCCATAGACTACGCAATTATCTCAATAACCCCCAGCAGCTCAGTAGTAACCAGCAAGTTAACCCCCACCTTAATAAAAATTATAATTACCCCTTTCTAAAAATAGAGATTTTTATAAAATTATGGAAGTTTTGAATTGTAGAGATGATATTAAAATTTAGAGTCTATTTAAAGAAGATGATAATTTATATAAGATTATGATCTAAGGATCTAATTGGTTTTCATTTTCAGATAATAAGGTCTAACTTCAATCAGATACCCCTTTTGATTAGGAAATTAGAACCAAATGTTTTGATAACAAGATTAAAAGTGAAGTTTATTACGTCTTAAAAGACAGCTTGTAAGCATCAAGAGTTAAGATATTGAATGATCAATTCTAAAGAAAATAGAAAGCACCAGAAAAAAGTAAGTTTTTTGAAAATGAAATTAAAAAGTTCTAACATATATTTTTTAATCATTATGCTGAACAAAGGTCATAATTGGTTGCTGGATTAAAATTAATGCTTGTTAACTTAATCGAAGACGATGATGTTGGAAAACCTTCAAAATTTTTAAATGATATGTTTAAGAGAGGACTTATTGAGGGATTGGCCAATTCATTTTTGAGTGTGCCTGCTGCCTTAAATTTCTACTTAAAGCAAGAATACTTTTCAGAAGAATACACCTTTTAGACTTTACAACATTTCGTGTCAGAATAAACACAAATCCTTGAGATATTCACAATTTTATAGCGCTACTTTAAAATTGATAGATTTGAAGAATTATATGTCAAACCCGTTTAGAAACTCATAGAGAACATGAAAACCACTCAATTCCTAGGATTGTTCCATAAAAATGAACATCTAGTATTCTAAGAGTATAGTCCTTTAGCATCAAAACTATAGGAGGAATACAAAAAAATAGCATTCGTTTTCGTTTTATCTTTATGCATCAGACCTTTATATTAGGAAATAGAGGCTGAGGAAGAGGAATATCCTCTTCCTCCCTTATGGATTAACAAGGTTGAAGCAATAAAGTAAATACAGCCAGATTATATTCAAAAGATCTTTTAGATTGCAATTATCTTGTAGGAGGGTAAAGATGTCTAAAATTAAAATGATTACGAGATTAGTTTGAGATACTTCGAAGAAGTACTTAGAGTATTGGAAAATGCCTCAATAAATAGCCATTTTTGGAGTTCTGCGTGCACTTGTATATATCAATGGATTAGATGTTACAAGAATAAATATTAAGAAGATGAGTATGATGATGAAGTTGAACTCTTATCAAAGATATTTTCAATTCTGTTACAATTACCTTCCTTATGGGATATGTTTTATGTCCTTGTTAAAAAAATTGATACAACTGAACAAATCATCTTTGATAGATTGAATAAATTGAAAGTCTTCCGTAAGATTAATTAAAATGAGACCCTGGATTTATTGGCAGACGATCACAATCAATTCCAAAGCTTACACAATATGATACGGGATTTCTCTGAAGGGAAATTGACAAATAATCTTTATAAATCATCTGATTTCTTAGGTAAAAGTAATAGAGCTTCTATGGATTATTACAATGAGTAAAATAAATTGAAAAACAAGACATTGTCAATGGGTATAGACAATTTAGGAGTGAGTGTTTACAAATTTAAGCATGCAATTAAATTCATTAAGGGTGAAGTAAAAAAATAAGCTACATCCATTAAAAGAATTGCTTTATTATGCAGTTCAAATAACATCAATAGATAGATCCTTAAAGTAACATCAGAATGTTCAAGATTGATAGATTTAATTATTGATACTCATAAAGAGGAAGAGAAAGCTATTCAACTAATCAATAACCTATTAACAATAGGATCAGAAGCCATATAGATTATCAATTTTATATTAGAAGATCCTATGCTTTAAAAAGAGATGGCTGAGGAAATAAACAAATTGTCTACCAATGAATAATAAATTTAGAGATAATAAGGATTCTCTTATCATCCATTATTTGAGCTGTTCCATATAGCAAGGAAGTGTTAAGCATCTTATTAATTCAAGGTTAAGTAAGTCATTAGAATTCATTTGAATTATGCTTAATTATGCAGTGCAATATTTGGGTAGGACAATCCTTTGCAATTATTTGAATAATAAAACACTAATCATTATTATCAATAAACATAGCATACTTTTGTGAAAAACACTCTTGAAACCTTCCTAAGATTTCAATTATAGGAGTGGAAAATATTCGAGGAGGATAAGATGGAAGTCACCATTGAATATTAGTCAAGTATGTATCTAGCATTGCAAAAGATCTTGAAGAAGTTTTTGTTTTATCACACCAAAGAATACAAAGAAACATAATTGCATAGTCTAATCAAATAATATATGAATGAAATCAATAGTTAATTGATTCTTGAATTTTTATTGACGAATTTAGATGTTACTTTAACAGACTCCTTTTTTGAAGATATTGGATAAAAGCAATTATCAAATAATATTAATATGGTTGGGATTAAAAATAAGTTGTATGAACAAGTCAGAAATTTTGACAAGCTGAAATTTCATGTGACTTCATTATTGATCAATTTACTTGATTGTTGGAACACTCTTATTGATTTATATTCCATCTATGATGAAACCTTTAGCAACAATTTACAATTAGTTAAGTAATTACATTAGTTTTTCCAAGAAGAACAATATTTCTTATAACAGATAGTCAGCACATATCATCAAGATATTAATGGTTATGTTAATAACAGAGTGAAATTGAATTTTATCCATTCTATTTTGGGATTATTGAATACAATAAGTGACCCTTAAAGCAATTGTTAAGATCCTCCTGATTTTGAAGACATGGAACAAAGAAACTTCAAATAAATATATGATGACATGAAATTCAAAAATTATCATCAAATTTTAGACAGGAACTTACCATAACAAAGTACGATATTCACAAGTGCATTGCGTTTGTTGTCAAAACCATTATTGAACTATAATTTGGAATAGAGCATAACAACAATAGAAACAGAGGAGAATTAATTATTAAATAAGAGAATACATTATCATCATTTAATCTTTTAGAGTCTTCACACTATACTAAATAGACTAGATAAGAGATGTTATTTAATTGAAAAATAGGAAATATTGGAGTTCTTAATAATCAGTCTTGAAAATAATTAATCATTTATGCAATACATTCTCAAATCCTAAAATCCAAATCTAAGTTCAGGCATCAAGTACATATTAGAATTATTCCAAAATATATTTGGTTATGATGATGAATTAGAATAAGATTATAGAATACCAATGTTGGTTTTAGTATTCTTTCATTAAGTTCTGTGTGTAAATTAATCCAGATATCAATCATTTGCAAAAGAATGTAGGACAACTTATGCCTCATTATTGCTTAAACTATGCAAAGAGGTTTAATTTTTTTTAAATAAAAAATGTGAAAAATTAATTAAATTTTTATCAAACCAGAATGCTAAGTTATATATTACTAGAGAAACAGGAACAGCAATAGAATAATGTGTCATTGAGAATTGTATTTTAGATTCAATAGAAGAACTAGTAATGTTAGAGTATTTATTCAAATTACTTATAAATGAAATGAAATAAGAATCAAAGGAAACAACAAAGGCATTTTCAGAAATAATCAAATCGATGTTTTAAAAGAACTTCATTAGAGAGTGGTATTTGATACTGATACAATTCAGTGACCATATTGAATTTGCTAAATTCTTAAGACGTACTCCTGTAATTAAAAGTAATTTGGTTTTCAATTATTTATCCAATTACATTTACAGTTATGGTCGAGACTTTTAAATTGATAGCAACACTGTCAATTACATTGGTGGAAATGCAATTGCCATATAAAAATCTAATATAATGGCATCATGGTTTACTTAACTCTTATCAACATTTAATTAATTATCTTAATTTGTGTAATTCTTCTTTTCAATTGGTTTGACAGGATCTGCTTTTAGTGACATTTATTTAAAAGATTTATATGAAGAAATTGAGCTTGGAGATTCAATATTCTCACCTAATCATGGGAAGGATATTATAGAAGGAGGAGTAGTAAAACTATTTGGTTAGGAAGACAATTAGTTAAGTGAAACTGAATATGCATTCAATGCTGCATTATATTTCCTACAAAAAGCAAGTTAAAGCATTTTTGTACTTGATACCATCAAAATTCATGAAGAGTTGATGATACCAGCCATAGAAGTATTAAACCAAATATGTTGGTATACTCAATAAGTAGTTTGCAAATATAAGAGTGTAGTTTCTAATAAAGATACATCCTTAATGACATATGAAAAGCTAAACAATATGAGTTAACATTAATTTTACTTCTTCAAACGAATTTTGGAATTGAAATCTGTTTGCAATAATGAATACAAAGGAAAATATAGGTAAGTGTTGTTCACTTGTTTCCATTCCGTGTTACTGATATTACAAAGTGTGAAAGAAAATGAATTGCAAGAGCCTTAAGATTTGGTGCAAGTCTTCCATTATTTCATATTGTAAATCGATTTCAATGATCCAAATTGTAAAGAACTCATAGGATAATTATCATCAATTCTATCAGTCATATTAAATGTGTACCCAGCAAATCCAGAATTGTTAAATAAACCAAACGAAGGCTTTTATAATATTATCAACTTACAACTAGAAGCATTAAAGAACCAAAATAATTCTAAGATTTTCTAATCGATCATCCAATGTTGGATAGACATAATCACCTTCAATATTTCAAATAAGATTGATGTGAGATATTTGAAACAACTCACATTTATTGCAGATGAACAAATCTACAATTCGAATGAGAATGGCCAATACAATCACAAACACTCGATGTGGTGTCATGTACTTGTATTGGTTAGAGAATTATTAGCCTATGATCAAACTTAATGTAGATCAATATTGGAATTCTTGTCTTCTCATGAATAAAGAATGCATTCTGCAATCATTTAAATTGATCAAACATAATAATATTAGTCTCTTCGTCAATTTACAGATGTCACTGGATTAACACTTAAGCACATTCAAACTTATTAGTAGAGTTACATGCTCTTTTTTGAATTGTCTCAAATCACTTAATTCATGCTTGAATTGATCTTATGCAAAAACATGAGATTGCAATTCAAAAGACAATTAGACAAGATTATCTACACCTTTATGGGATAATACAGTCAGCAATTAGGATATCATAAAAAACTAAAGTAATTTTTCCAGAGTTTCAAACCCTACACTTTACTTGAAACCAAACTTAACCAATTGTTTGCCAAAGCCGAATCAATTAAAAGTTCTGATTATTTTTCAATTGTATAATCTGCTTAGATGATGAGATAAAATTAAACTTTCTCTCCTCACAGAACAATCCAAAGAGATTAAACATCCAATTTCGATGGAAAATCAACATAAGGAGGTGGCTAAAGGTTTAATCTCAAGAGAGACGTAGATAATATATCCTTATTTTAATACATCTGTTTGATCGAATATTTAAGATTCTGTCGTTTCAGCATTCAGGGTATTGCAGCTTCGATGAACATTTTTGAAGTGGATCGCAATTTCTAATTGGAAGATAATGTGTGGAATAGTTTTGGTAACAACATTCAGAATTTCATTCAATTCAATTTTGATGCATTTGCAAATCTTTCCTAGTCCGAATACATTAATAATTTGATCAAAATGCATCAATGGCTTTTAAGCAATTATGATTTCCAAATTTAATACAACGGACTCTAATAATTATGTGTTTATCCAAGTAAAATTATCCTAATTATTATAATAGCCAATAGAGATGAATTATTATAAATGTTTATTCAAAACATAATTTACGGTTTCTGTGCAGAATTGTAATATTTGCAATTGAGAGAGGTCCATAGAAAGATCAATTTTATTAAGGATTCATATAATATTGAAATGAATTTGACGAAGGAATTAAGTATTATCATTTTAATATTCAAGGTAAATACGCTGAAACCCTCAAAGCCATTCAATTTGTAAAATAGATGGAATAATAGGATTTACTAAATGAAGTACTGTCTTTTGGGGAATATCCAATCAATGAAGCTAATGATAGCTACTTTAACAGATGGAAAACTAAATTTGATGAGAAAAATGCAGAATATAAAAAAATATGATATACACGTTTAATTATTATTTTATAAATAAGTTCTAAAATTGAATTGCATTTGTTAAATAAAAATAACAAAATTTATAATAATTAATAAAATCTTGTTTGCAAAATAATAATAAATATAAAAGGTTTTTCATTTCTTGTCATCAATATCATTAGTATTTTAAATAGATTTGACAATGATTTCTTTGAATTCTTTAAATTCGATCTAATTAAAACACAATTTACTTATCCATCTCCATTTTAATCAACTTCTTATATTAGATCCTTCCAGACTTTTTCTGAGACCTAAGAATTTTGTCCAAATATCTGTTTGATTTCATCAATAGATATGGTACCACTTCCATCCTTATCAAACAATTTGAAGGCTTACTCCAACCTTTTATCCTCAATCAATTTTACTTTATTAAAAGTAGCCAAAACAAATTCTAAATACATAGAAACAACCATAAATTACCAGAATAATCAATGCTACCATTGCCATCTTAATCAATTTGCTTCATTAATTTATCAACCTCAATTTCAGCATCAGTATAACTCATAACTTTGGAATAACCTATTGAAATATATGATGCAAGAAGTACCTATAACTAGTTCTTCCCTACTTAGTCTGCCATCTCCATTTAAATCTAATGCTTAAAATTATGTCAATAATTCCTACTTTTCTTAACTAGTTGCTAAATAATTGACCATAAATGTAAGAGCAGCTTCTTAGAACTTCTTTTCAACATTAAAATTTTTCATGTTATTTAACACTCTAGTCAATTAAGGTAGGTCTATTTCTGGTTTCTTCACGTAAGTTGTAATCCAATCATCTTATAAGGCCTATTCAGCAGATATCCTTTTTTTGGGATCCCTCTCAAGCATTTTTGATATCAATCTTTTGGCTTCGACTGAAATCAGTCTCCATTCTTCAGTGTCGAATGAGTAGAATCCTCTTTTCACAGCCTCCATTATTAAATTGTCGTCATCACCATTAAAAGGAGCTGTTCCAGAGAGTAGAATATAGAGAATAACTCCACAAGACCAAATGTCACATTTTTCATCATATTTCCTTTCCAATACTTCAGGTGCAATGTAGTATGGCTAGATTAGGTATAGATTTACAGTTCCAAGTTTTTAATCCATTTTTACGTCTGGATCATAAAAGCGAGATGTCCCAAAATCGACTATTTTGAGTAAGGCGTTTGGCTTAGAAGATTCATATAGGATATTTTCTGGTTTTATATCACTTTTAGAAATAATTGCAACCAAATACATACCGATGAACTATTTTGCTTTTATGCAAGTAATTGACAGCACTCAAGATTTGTTTCATGGTTTCTGCTGCTTTTCGTTCTGAAAACGAACTGGATTCTTAGATCTTATCAAAGAGCTCTCCTCCAGTGCATAGTTCTGTAACTATATACATGTTTTTATTATCCTGATAAAATTCATAGATCTTTATAATATTGGCATGATCCTTATATGAGACAACTAAACATACCAATCTTTTGAGGATATCAACTTCTTCCTTTAGACGTTCTATGTCAGCCTTTTTGGCCTTTTCTTTTGAGATAATTTTCACAGCTCTGGTTTGATTGGTTAATTTGTGAATGCCCTTTCGAACTTCTCCGTAAGCACCTAGGGAGGATGGACCATGATAATTACCTTTTCCTAAGGAAGGTTTCAGAAGATGATAATCTTACGAAATCTGCCCAATCTTTTCAGTTACCAAATTGAGAGATGTCACACGCAATTGAGATTTGTCATTGACTCATATATGGATTTAAGATATTACTTTATTGAGGATTATTTACATCCCCTGGCTTGGTTGAACCGCATCCCATTTTTTAATTAATTTTATAATCAAAGCAAAACTTCTCTGTAGAAATTAGACAAAAACAGAAATTAATTTAGAGTGAAACCCATCGAGTAGTGGGTGTTGTTTATCTTGTTTAAAAATATATACATATAATTATATATATTAAAAATATGAGTCAGAATGCAATATTTTTGAATTATATTAATAAGTTAACAGTAAATTTAGAAGTAATATAATAATAATATCACTAGAGAGAATGAAAAATGTAAGAGACAGTAATTCATTTAGTAGATTCAAGACTCGACAAAAGTCAAGAGAAAATGATCAAAATTCTCAGATTCTTAAATTGCAAAGTCAATAGAATGTCAAAAGTAAAACAATATAGTCTATTATCTAGAGTTGCCTCCCAAAGCATAGCAAGTGAGTTTCCATCTCTTGCCAGAGAATAATTAGAGACCTAAGTCAAAACCTATGGTTTAGCCAGTCCTGCAAGTATAATAACACCCAATCATTAAATAGAAACATTCTAAGAGAGTGTTAAATGAGTCTCATAATTACTTAACAACCAAGTATTAGGCCAAAAAACTTATCAAGCAAAATAGTTTTGTAAAGAATCGCTCTAGAAAAATGCATTCTGTTAGTTATTGTAATTGAAACATACAAATAATTATATAGATGACAGTATATAAAACGAGGATGATGAATTTTGCATGCATTTTAACAACATGTCCAACGTATCCTTCAAAGATTACATAGATGTAGAAGGTATAAATCCAAATCATAAACATTAGCACGTGCCAACAAAATGCCATCTGACAAATCCTAAGAAATAATTGAAGGCAAAAAGCTTCTGAGCTTGGGTTAAACGGAAGAAGCACAAAAACTCTTCGGGGAAATTCTCTAAGTCAGCAACAACCCAGAAGCCAGATATTTAAATGGCCTATGTCATTTGAGCAAATCTGAATTCTCCGAAGCCATAGCAGATCTTAGTCTCTTAATTTAACAACAACCACACTACAAACGAAATGCCTACATTCTCTTAGCCATTGCCTATAAAAAATCAAACTGTCCAAACGATGCTTTAAACACTGTATTTTTATTCATTTAAATTTATAGTTAACTCTTGCAATCAAACAATTTAACAAATATTTTGATGCGTATATTTATAGAGGCAAACTTTTGTTGAAAATGAAATAATTTGATCGCGCTTTGAAGGATTTTACTTGTGCAGTTGAAATACAGCCAAAAAAGGCCATTTCTTATATTGGCTAAGCTGATTGCTACAGATATATGAACCAACCAAAATAAAGTGTCTAAGCTTGTACTCAAGCTATTGAATGTCAAGATTCCTCCTTCAGATAAGCCCTTATTAAAAGAACTCTTTTATATATTGATTTAAAAGAATATGACTTGGCTCTTTCAGACATTAAAGCTGTGTTGGAAGAAGACTACTGTGATTCCGAGGCACTTTACATCAAAGGTTTCATTTGTACTAAAAAAAGTAAGCTATTTTATCATTTTATTTCTAGATCAAATTCAAGAAGCTTTCCTTGCTTATGAGTAATCAATCAAACACAACAACTCAAAAAAAGCAGTGTCTAAATCTCTATATGAAATTGCTAAAATTAAAATTGAACAAAGAGACTTTTATGAGGCATTTTATCAATTAAGTCGTGCTGATTATCTAGATGTAGACGAGAAGATTTTAGAGAAATTCAAGATCTTTACTGACGGAGTCACATTCTTAATGAAACGTAAATTTGATGAAGGAGTAGAGGCTCTTACAACACTCACTACCAAACACTAGGTTACAGATTTTCTGAAACCACTCATCTATTAATATAGAGCCTATGGATACTTCTGTCAATCATAGTATTAAAAGGCACTTAATGATCTCAATCAATTGACTTCCCTTGAAAAACCCTCCATTTATAATAAACTTATCGCTGAAGGTATTCTGGCTGCTGTTGCTAACTAATTTGAACAATCTTAGGGATACTTTTTAAAAGCTTAAAAGTTAGTGCCCAATAAAATGGAACCTTACTTTTATAAAGCCACCACTTTAGTTAAATTCTATAGTTATCTCATTCCAAAGGACGACATAGAAAAAAAGAATAAATTCTTGAATGATGCCATTAAATACATGGACATGGCTGTCAAAATCAATGAGCAATCCAATCTCTTATTTTATAGGGGAATTGTTCTTTTTGCGTAAGGGAGATTAGATGATTCCCTAATTGATTTAGATAAGGCAATCGAAAAGTCAGAAGATCATGTAGCAAAACATTTCTATGTGAGAGGGTTGATACAAGCATGTAGAGAAGCATTTGAACCAGCTGTCAATGATTTAACAATAGCATTAAATCTAGATGAGAAACTTTTGGATGCTTATTTAAATAGAGCAAAAGTGTTTCTATCATTGGGAGATAGGAAAAGTGCTTATTACGATGCTCAAAAATACAAAGAATGTAAATAAACTGATCCACAAACTGACATTCTCCTAGGGAATTTGTTTTTTTAGATAGGAGCATATGAAGATGCCATTCAATCCTATTCTGAAAGCATCAGTTCAGAAAAAAGCTTATAAGTGCTATATTTCAGAGCAAAAACATACATCGTAATAAAGGAGTTAAATAGCTCGATGCTTGATTTATAGAAAATAGTAGAATAATCCAATGATATTCATGCCATTGTAGATCTAAATCTCCTCTAGTAATTAAAAAATACCTCAACTGCAAATAATGATTAGAATCTATTTTAAGAGGCTCTACAGTGTGCAAATCAAATTTTAAAAAAAGGAGCAGAAGGGAGGATATTCAAGAAATCAGATATTCTATTTTACAAGGGCTTATTTTAGTTCTATTTAAAATAATATGATAGTGCTCAATAGGCAATGAGAGAATCATATAAAATTAAGGAGGAGTAATAGAAAAAGGAATAAGGGTCTATGAATGATTCTGATTAATATATTTTAGATCAATTGAATCAAACACATAAGAAGTTGGAATATAAAAGCAAGCCCTTGGAAGAATTTGAATTCAGCGATAGAACCTACAATTTATTTGAATATTATTTCAATAGATCTGCAATCCATTTACTATTAGGATAGACTGATTCTGCACTTCATTATTTAGAACAATTACAGGAGAACATTTAATAGCTAGAAATCTAAGAACACCTCTCCTTATTCATTTAATTATTGAAGGAAGATTAGAACCCCAAAAGCGAAATCAATTCTGAGCTTTCAAAGTTGACTGAATTCATCATCTTCCCTTAACACAATAGATTATGCTCGATCTATCCTATGGTTAAGTTACCTTTGAAGAAATATAAGCAAAATCTATAATTAAGATTATCTTTTTGTTTGCCCACAGTAGAGATTCCAGAAATGACTACCAAATTCGATGATAAACTACTTGAGACAATTAGTGTATAAATGAAATTATATACAATTTTAGCCAACCGTAGTTGAAAACAAACCAGAAGCACCATGGATTAAACGATCAGCTGAAGGTGTTATTTTTACAGATAATGTCCAGATAGTTGAAGATTTAGATCTGCAATCAACTACAAGACCTTCAAAGAAATAGACTGAAATGGAAGATCCAGAATTCTAGCAATTTGAAGATTAGTTAAATCATGCAATTGAGAAATATGATTATAGTGAAATAGACTAGTAAGATGACATTATAGATTAACCAAATTAAGCCATAGATTTGTAACAACTTAAACAAAACTTAATGCTCGATTCAAAAATTGCAGACAAATTAAATTCCATTCTATAAAAAAAAGCTTAAAATTGACTCATATATATATCTATTTATTCATTTGCATAAAAGAAATTAATTTCAAATTAAAAATACAAATCTAATAATCAGTATGTTTTAAAAGTATTTTAGCGTTTCTCCATTATAAACTGTTTATATAAATTTTATTTATATTTCTCCCATGTTCTTATTTGTTTCCTAATGTGATCTATCTCATAATCATCAAATTCCTTCATAGATCTTAATCCTGCTAAAATTTGATTTTGTAAACTTTCTGGGAGATTTTAGTATCTTTTTTCATCCAAAAAGAAAACTTAACCTTACACACTCTTTACAACAACAGTCAATCTATTTATAAATGTATTTATTGATTACTTTGCATTACTTGACTCTTCCTAATCATACTCATTGTCATATAAAATTAGTAATGATCTACCACAAATTACATCGCATTTCTTCAATGTTTTCAATACATGTAAATGTGTATATGCGATTTCATTTTTGCCTCTAATTTACTTATTACAATATTGGTAGCATTTTGAATTTCGTATAACTTATTATTTTGAATTGTTATTTAAAGATAAATCAAAAGATTAATCAGCAAAATCTCTAGGTATCATAGGTTTAGTATTCCTGTCTATGATTTTTCTATGCACCAAAGGTCTTAATTTGTTCTCTAAATAATAATTTCTTGTTTCCCTCTAAAGTTGTATTTCCTCCACAATATCAAACTCACCTTAAGCTATTATAATCACTCTGTTTAACTAATCTCCCTTTCTTACTACGCAATCTCCCTAAAAGTATTTTTGAATTCCCAACTCTGCTACCAAATGCAATAATTGAGATGCAGAAGTATGTTAGAAAAATCTGATTTATGATAAGATACTCAATTTGAATTCTTTGTCTTTTTCAATTGACTATTTCAAAATCTTTTAGAATTGATCATTGTCCATTCTCAATAAATATGTTTTTTCTGCACAAGATATATGACTGGTTATCAATTTAGTTCTTTCATTTTTTAACATATCTCTATTAATTGAATATGATACCTTTGAATTTTGGATGCTCTTTAATTTCCTCAACCATATCTATGAATTTATTTGCAGAATATCCCCTGCTATTATTTAATTACAATAAATTGATCTCTGATAAATCTTAACCATCAAAATAAGATTAGACAGTCAAACATTGATATTCTTCTAATTGAATGTCCATAGTCAATGTCTATTAACAAGATCCTCTAAGTATGACATAAAGGTTATTGCTATTAGCACCCAATTGAAGAATGACTTCTCCAACATCATGAATTTCCATAGAGGCTTTTTCCATTATTCCAATCCTGATTCCCTAGCCAAATCTCTAAAAAAACTTATTTTTCAATAGAATTTTATCCATTGTCAAATAGTTTCTTTCATATTCTTCCTTTTCAAATTCTTAAATTAAATATCTCAATTCATCCAAACTAAATACTTTAAGTTCTAGTTTCCCATAGTCTACCTAATAATCCCATTAATCTACTTCCATAGTGTCAGGTTCCAAATTCTTATACATAGAATTAACTTGTTCTTTTATTTTAGTCAATTCTTCATTTGTATTGATTAATGGTTTAGAAGGTTCTTAGATCAACCCCTATTAAACAATGGTCATATTTCTAATTATAAACATTGATACTCTTATGTTTGTTCATCATCATTTTCCACTTCTTTTTTTCCATAAATGACAGATTTACTATGTTATATAAGTCTTTAATCATTCTGTCCATAAGAGGTATGCTTAAGATGACATCAATACCTTACTACTTTTCTACTCTGTCTGCCACTCTCCCTATGACCTGTTCTTAATTTATTCCCAAAATCAGCATCCATAGTTTTTTATAACTCTATTGTATAAGTTTACAACTTGTCCCTTCTTGGACCAATATAGAAGGAGTTACTTGTTCTATTTATCGTATTCATAGTAGTTGAGTTATTAGTTTTACTTTTGGTCACACTCAACGAATAATTGCTTTCAAATTTCAATCATCAATTTACCTTTAATCATATACACTCTAACTAGGTTGCCTCTGATTTATAGATTCCTATGGTGTTTTATTTCTATTTTGCTTGAAGGCATTTTTCGCTCTAAGTATATTATACATCAATATTTGCTTTTATTTATTTTATATATTTGCAATATTAAATCAATCAATCCATCTCACAGTATATCTTGCATCTCCATAACTAAGAGCCTTTTGAATGTCCGATGGTAACTTGGGATAATTGGTTGTCCAATAAGAGATTTCATTGTCATTCCTGATATCCATTCCAATTTTATTAAATATTGTGAGTCCTAAAACTGCGAAAATGCCCTTCATGTAGATGGAACTTTAAGCACAATAAATATCCCCAACAAACCTGCCTAACTTTAAAAGCATTAACAAAATCATTTACAAACAGACCAACAACAGGTAATCCCCATCTAATTCCTTTTATTTATTAATCTGTAAACTTTTTGGGTAAGGCTTGTCCCTCTATTTATTAATATTAAATAATTACCTTCAGATTATTAAAATCTACTCAAAGCCTTTCTCAGTCTTGATTGATTTTCCCAATCTGTATGATCTCTTCCGGCATTGAGATTATAAAATGGACTTCCATAAACTGTAAATCTTGTAAGGAAATACTCCATTGATTATTATAATTATTATTTTATATATTCATAAAAATAATTCAAAACTTTAATCCCAACGCAGGAATTCATTTTTTAGTATAAAAAGAATAGCTAATTTTTCTTCTAATATCCATTGTATTCTAAGGAGAATTTTAGATTTCATAAAATGTTGTTCTCTTTGATAATTAATTATATTAGACATTATTTAATATTTCATCATATTCTATGGTTTATGTATGAAGTTTCATAAAATATTTTATGATGGTTAAAATTAAAATAATATTTGAAATATCCTCTGTTATATTTGGATTTAGAGTTCTTGACTTTGAATGCACAACTCCAAGAAGAAGATTGGAAATATTGATTAAATGTTCATCTAAAGGTTACATGAATCTAAAACTATTTTATAATATTTTTAATCAAATTAGAATCGATGACTTGCAGAAAATCCCATAATAATAATTTTCTTAAATATTATTATAAAGTATATCTTGTATCAATTCAATATTTATGTATCACTAATAAATTTAAATCCATTCAAATTGCAATGATACATTTACATAAATATAGTTCTTATGACGACTCTACTACCTAATCTAATTTTTAATCGATATTAAATTCAAACAATAAACAATCAAATTAAATTTAAAAATAATCGTATAAACTATTTTAATATAATTTATTTGATTAATCTCCAATTCTCTTAAAGAAAAATAAATAAGCTGATATTAAATGTGAACATATCAACTTTGCTTTAAATCAAAATACAAGTAAATTTGAGATGATGACTCATTAAATTAAAATTAGAATGAAACTGCACTTGTATATTATTTGAATATCTTGGTGCATGCTATTAAAACATAAATTTATCCAACATTACATTATTTGATAATATATTATTTTTATGAGTTTCTAATAATAATAATAACAATAAGCTTTTTTCGAATAATAAATCTCTGGGCATTCTATATTTATTAAACTTAATGATGGCGAGTTTGTAGCGAAGTCCCACTCAATTGAAAATAATAATGAATAAAAGTATTTCTATAAAGCTAATTAGTTTTTATGAATGGATTCAGCACATAGACGGATATTAGGAGTTCTTCTCTCAATACAATGGTGTAGCAATTATAGAAAAAAATCAAGAAATATCAAAATAAGAAACAATCAACTCTTAATAAAAATGGTTAGATACTCTTATTTCTAAGAGGTATAATCCAAATAATAAGAGTAAATATTTTAAAAATTTCTTAGAATATTTAATACTTGAAAACTTGACTTAAAACTCTTAGAATTTGAGAATTCTAGACCTGAAATTAGGCTATTCAGTTGAAAAATAATCGCATATTTAGCGTTATCAAGATTCAACTTCCTCTAAAGTAGGCCTCAGAATTTGTGGAATGAAAATACAAGAAAATAATGAATTGGTTTTGTTTAAGGATAAGCATTGGGGTAGAACCATATCTGTATAGGAATTAATTGAGTCACTTAAGACTTTTTTTGGTTTAAAAAATAGAAATTGTAAGTTAGAGTTTATTAAATTTAGAAATTTTAAAAGAGGCCATCGAGAAAATAGAATCCTTAAAGCAATTTATCATTAGTCATTGTAAGCAAGTGACATCATGGTAAGGAACAAGTCTGTTATTGATTTATCGTGATGATAATGATTTTAAAATTAAGTTGATTGACTTCTCCAATACCAAAGTGGACCTAGAATCTACTCAAATTAAAACGGGCAGCTCCCGTCGAAGCTTTAAATAGTCTATAGGATATAATAAAGCAAATTTGATAAATTATTGATATTATAAATTTTCAGTTTTCTAGAGGAATTGATAAATATAAAAGAAAATAATCAAATCCATTAAAAGTTTTTATATTTAAAAATATATGTAAGGAGCTCCAGTGATTGTGGTGAATGCTAACACAAAAAGAGAATAGGGTAGAAAAGCTCAATTAGGAAATATCTAGGCAGCCAAAGCTGTATCAGATATCGTATTGACTACTCTTGGACCCAGATCAATGTTAAAAATGTTACTTGATCCAATGGGCGGCATTGTAATGACAAATGATGGAAATGCAATTTTGAGAGAGATTGATGTTTAGCATCCAGCAGCAAAGAGTATGATCGAATTAGCAAGAGTATATTTTAATAACTAAGAATTTAAAGGCTCAAGATGAAGAAGTCGGAGATGGAACAACATCAGTCATCATATTAGCAGGTGAAATGATGGTAGCAGCACGACCATTCATTGAAAAGAATATTCATCCAACAGAAATTGTTAATGGGTATTTCAGAGCCTTGGAAGATTCTGTAAAGATCTTGGATGAGATTTCATAATAAATAGACACCGACAAAAAAGAAGAAGTTATGAAAGCATTACAATCTTGTATTGGTACTAAATTTGCATTCAGATGGGGAACATTAATTAGTGATCTCTCTTTATAAGCAACCAGAATAGTTCTTAGAGGAGGAAATATTAATAAATTGAATTTAGAAATTAAGAGGTATGCAAAGGTAGAAAAAATACCAGGAGGAACTCTTGAAGAAAGTTCTGTACTTGAAGGAGTCATGATTAATAAAGATGTTACTCATCCAAGAATGAGAAGAGAAATCAAGAACCCAAGAATTATATTATTGGATTGCACATTGGAATACAAGAAAGGTGAATCTATGACTAATATGGAAATGACAAAGGAATCAGATATGACTGATGCACTCTAATAAGAAATTAATGAGGTTGCCCTTATGTGTAATGATATATTGAAACACAAACCTGATATTGTTATTACAGAAAAAGGAGTTTCAGATTTGGCTTAACACTTTTTATTAAAAGGAAATGTCTCTGTCATTAGAAGAGTCAGAAAGACCGACAACACAAGAATTGCTAGAGTTTCAGGTGCCACTATTGTCAATAGACCAGAAGAACTATAAGAAACTGATGTTGGTACTTTATGTGGAACATTTGAAGTCAAAAAAATTGGAGATGATTATTTCGCTTTCTTTGTAGATTGCTAAAATCCAACTGCATGCTCTATCATATTCGAGCAGGTGCATCAAAAGATGTTTTGAATGAAATGGTATTTATTTAAAATAATAATAATTAGGAAAGAAATTTACATGATTGTTTAGCAGTTGCCAAAAATATCTATTAAGATCCAAAACTATTACCAGGAGGAGGAGCTGTTGAAATGGAAGTTAGTGCTAGATTGTTGGAAAAAGCAAATAAAGTTGAAGGATTGGGTCAATTGCCATATAAAGCTGGTATATTTACTAATTATATATTTAATAGTTGCCTATGCTTTGGAAATTATACCAAGAACACTCTCTGCCAATTGTGGAGCTGACACTGTCAGAATATTGACTGAATTAAGAGCCAAACATAGTGAAACCGGAGGATTATTTTTTGGAGTTGATGGAAATACTGGAAAAATTGCGAAGATGAATGAAATTAATGTTTGGGAACCTTTATCTGTAAAAAAGTATATTAATTATTTAATGATTTAGATAAGTTTTTAAAACTGCCATCGAGTCAGCCTGTATGCTATTGAGAATTGATGATGTTGTGTCAGGAATTAAAAAGAAGCAATAATAATCTGGTCGTCAAGGAGAAGAGGAACCATAAGAAACCTTTGGAGATCAAAGAGACGGTTGATAAATAAATCAATAACAATATAGGATAAATATAGTAATAGTATACATTATATATTTTTTGAAATTAAGGAGTTGAATTAGTTTACAAGATCAAAGCTATCAAATTTTCTAGCAAATTCTAAAATAGTGTTTATATTTATGCACTTAAAAATTTAATTCTGATAATTATTTATTTAAGTTCAATTTGGAGATTCATAATGGCATCTTAATTCAAGAAATTGGCACCTCTCCTCAACAGAGTCTTAATCTAAAAGTATGAACCTGTCACAAAGACAGCTTCAGGAATCCTCTTATAAACCTCAGAAGAAAAATAAGCCGTAGGAAAAGTTGTCGAAGTATGAATTTTATTCTAGAAATTTCCAGACTGGTCCAGGATAAACAGATTCAAAAGGAAATGTTATACCAACTTTAGTCAAACCTGGAGATGTTGTCTTACTTCCAGATTATGGAGGATAGAAAATCAAGTTGGCAGATTAAGAGTATTTCCTTTTCAGAGATTCAGACATTATTGGAATTTTACATCAATGATTTCTATTATAATGTATAATAAGACATATTCATTAACATTTCACTTAAATTCTTGATGATAATATAGTTCAGTTTTAATACGAAAACTAATTATATATATGTTTATATTTTATTTATTATATAAATCTTGACTTTCGATGAGTACCTCTCTTGCAAAGCCAAAAAAACTCAAGTTGACAGATTATGAAGTATTTCAAACTCTTGGCACAGGTACTTCATCACTCTATGATAATTTTAGGTTCCTTTGGGCGAGTCAAATTGGCAAGGAACAAATAAACAAATAAATATGTTGCATTAAAAAGTTTAAAGAAAGCTGAAATCATACGTTTAAAGCAAGTTGATCACGTCATTAATGAGAATACCATTTTGGGCAACTTGCAGCATCCTTTTATCGTATTCCTTACTTTTTTAAATCTTTAGGTCAATTTTGAAGGATTTTGCCAAGATCCAAGATACATATATTTGGTATTAGAATTTGTTTCTGGAGGAGAATTATTTACTTATTTGAGAAGCATTGGAAGACTTGATACATAGCATGCAGGGTAAATAATATAATTTAATTATTCAGTTTCTATGCTTCTTAAGTTGCTTCAATTTTTGAATACCTCCACTCAAAAAATATTATATATAGAGATTTAAAACCAGAAAATTTATTAATAGCAGATGATGGATATTTAAAACTGACAGATTTTGGATTTGCAAAAGTGGTTGAAGGAAGAACATACACTCTTTGTGGAACACCAGAGTATTTGGCACCGGAGATTTTATTGAATAAAGGACATGGTAAAGCGGTTGATTGGTGGACATTGGGAATTTTGATATATGAAATGAATGCAGGAATTGATCCCTTTTCTGATGAAGATCCTATGGCTATTTACCAAAAAATTCTTAAAGGAAAGGTTAAATTTCCTAAGTCTTTTGATAAGTATTGAGTTAAAAATAACATAGAAATGCTAAATCATTAGTCAAACATTTATTAGTTGCAGATCTATCTAAAAGATATGGAAATTTAAAGAATGGTAATTCATTCATGATTATATGTAACTAGGGGCTGCTGATGTAAAAAATCATAGATGGTTTGGAAATCTAGACTGGAATTTGCTCACATAAAAGAAATTGCCTGTTCCTTATAAACCTGTTGTTAAGTAATTCTTTAAAACAATCTCTTAAGAGCTCCCAATGACACTTCAAATTTCTCATCATACCCAGAATCAGATACTTAAAGTCCAGCCCTTAAACCTGCAGATGATCCTTTCCTTGAATGGTGATATATTCATTATATTGAATAAATATATAATACAGAAAAATGAATTCAATATTAATTTTAAACTTCATCAAGTAGACGAGAAGAATAATTATCAAAAGCATTTTGATAGAAATTAAATTAGTCCAACTTAGGGAGGAATTAGTTATTTTATTCTTTAATCTATATGATCATAATATGTGTATTTATTGGATTAGTATAAAAATAAGTATTTCAATATCTTATAAGTAATTAGCTTATGTTGAAAATGAAAGGAATTGAGCAGTCCTATCCAAAATTTTTATTATTATGAAATTAAAAATTCAGTACAATAATAGTAGAGGTATAAAGGAAATTTAATTAATTAGTTTCATATTATAAATAAATATCTTTTTATGGGTTGTTCTTCTTCAAATGTAAAACTGTCAATTTATAAAGTAGAGTGCCGATGTTAATAATCCTGGAAATGCTCCTAAGGCTGAGGTTATTTTCATTTTGGTAATGTTATTTTTTTAATTTTTTATAGGGAGGTCCTGGATCTGGTAAGGGCACACAATGTGAAAAAATGGTTAAGGACTATTGTTTTTTGCATGTCAGTACTGGAGATTTGCTCAGAGCTGAGAGATAGAAAGGTGATATTTTTGAATAAAATTAGGCGGGCCTGATGCGGAAGAATTAGAAAATATTATGAGAGAAGGCAAATTAGTTCCATCTGACACGTTGGTGAAGTTGATCAAAAAAGTATGAAGTTTTATTTGATTTTGAGGAAATTGAATCTTTTGGAAACACAGGTAGATATATATTGGATGGATTTCCAAGATCATAAGATAATTGGGAGAGTTGGACCAGAATTATAGGAAATTCAGTAAATGCAAGATTTTTGTTGATGTTTGAATGTTCTGAAGCTGTAATGGAGTAAAGGCTTTTAAAGAGAGGAGAGACATCAGGAAGAGCAGACGATAATGCCGAAACAATAAAGAAAAGATTTGCCACTTTTATGAACGAAACTTAACCAGTTGTAGCGACTTTCGAGAAATAGAATATGGTTGTCAAAGTAAGTGCTGAAGCAACACCAGATGAAGTTTATGAAAATGTTAAAAAATAATTAACCAATAAAGGTGTTTAACCATAAAAACGACCTGAGGTTTTATTTGTTTTAGTAATAAATTTTTTAACTTCAAGGGTGGACCAGGATCAGGAAAGGGAACTCAATGTGCTCGTATATCTAAAGACTTTTAATATGTTCATTTGTCAACTGGAGATCTATTGAGAGAAGAGTAGAAAAAAGAAGGCCCAATGTAGGCAGAACTTAAAGCTATTATGGAAGCAGGTAAACTTGTTCCATCTGATCTGGTTGTCAAATTGATGAAAAAGGTATTTTTAATTTTAAATAATAGGAATTATTAAGGAGACAATTTAGAGGAAAATATCTATTAGATGGGTTCCCTCGTAACTAAGATAATATTGATTCTTGGAATAAAATTTTAGCTCCTTTGGTAGATGTAAACTGTTTACTCTATTTTGAATGTTCTGATGCTGAAATGACAAAAAGACTCTTGGAGAGAGCTAAGACATCAGGAAGAGCAGATGATAATGAGGAAACAATTAAAAAGAGATTAACTACTTTCCATTCTGAAACAAAGCCTGTTCTTGGAGTTTTTAAGGATCAAAGTAAAAATTCTTAATCTATATTTAGATAAGTTGAAGGTCATTAATTCTGAATAGTTAGTTGATGTTGTTTATTCAAATGTCAAAAAATAATTTAAAAGTAGTGGATTAGCAGTTACACAAAATGGTTAAAGACCTGCCAAAGGAAAATATGTGATTGGTTTGATTGGAGCTCCTGGAACTGGAAAATAAGTTCAGGCATCAAGAATATCAAAGAGATTTGGATTTCAACATTTCTCAACCAAATTACTTATTAGAGATGAGATTAAAAAGAACACTCCTGATTCATAAACAATCAAAGATTGCCAAAAAAATAATCAACCTATTCCAGGCAAGATAGTTGTAAAATTAATAATTGCTGCTGTCAATTAATCAAAAGCTGTAAAATATTTATTTATGTTAGAGAAAATTCATAATTGATGGATTCCCAAGAAATTAAGATAATCTAAATGCATGGTATGCTTAAACGAGTAACCCAATTCGTCTGAAATATATTATGTGTTTTGCTTGTTCATAAGAAGTACTTGACAAGAGGATTGCTGCTGATGTTGGTAATTATAAAGGTATTATAATCTAGCAAAAAAGGATTAGGCTAGCATTTAAAGGAAAGTTGAAATATTAAATAATCAAACAAACTAAATCATTTAGATGTTTAAGAAAGATGAAAGACTTATTGAGATTAACACAGAACCTTCAGCTGACGAAGTATTTACTGAAATTGAAAAAGTCTTCCAAGCCAAAAAGCTAGATAGATGAGATAATAATAAAATATAATATAGAAAAATTAGTCTATTAGTTGTGTTTCCAATTAATTAGAATTATAATTATATAAATCAATTATTGTTTATTGCTGCATCAATGAATGAATTCCATTCTATAGCGTTGTGCCTTTAGAGTTCAATGGAAAGAAATTTAATTTTCTGCATTATCTTCTCAATTTAATTTGATTCTTCCTCAGAAAATTATTATTAAGGAATTCCTAAAAGCAATTTTTCAATAATATTATAGTATTCATATGATTTTGAATGCTGTCTTCTCCATCCCTGGAATTCCTGTTTTAAAATCATAAATGATTGATAGAGTTTAGAAGATGTATCATTTAACATAGGTAGGAAGTAAAGACAAATATTACGATCCTCATCTTCAAGGTGTTTCAATATGATCAAGCATGGAATCGCAACAAAAATGTCACTATCCCTGCATTCTAATTGTTCTTAAAATTATGAATATTTCTCAGCCGATGTTTCTATAATATGAGAAAACAACATTAATTGTGTGTATCTCTTTGGATCCAATAAATAATTTAAGCCTTTTTCCCATTGTGTTTCATATTCAACCAATAAATCAACTAATTCCTAATTATTTTTCAATTGAGGATCGACCATTTCAATATTACCCTCATATCTTCTCATTTGTTCTCTGAACCTTTGGAAACTTAACTATTATAACAAGTCTACTTCATTTTGATGCTATCAGCAAGATTTCGTACAGCTTAAGATTACTCTCGAGTAACTCTTCTGGTTATCCCTTCAGCTTCGAGTAGGATTTTTACACCGAGATCATCTCTTCCTTTACCTTCAACATTAGCGACCGAATTAATCTGTGCTATCACTTTGCATAACTAGCTTCAGTATGTGAGTTACTTCAGCTTTTAATTGCAGATAATTCTCACAAGTCACAAGGATTCTCCCCTTTAGCTTTTCTCGCACTTCAATTGAGATCATTTCCTTATCAAGTTCTATTGCTTTCAGTATAAATCGTCGAGCTTCTGCCTCTATCTGCATTAATTCTTTAACGTAATACTAAATTATCAATTTAAAGTACTTTCTCAAAGTTAACCCAAATGATATCGAAATTCTCCAACAATAATTGAATTTCATCTTTCAATTTTGAAGAAGAAAAGTCAGGACTCTCCTATAGAGTGCCAGAATATGTGTATCTGATGACATGTTGTACTTTATAAAATGCCTCCACTAACCGCATTCCAGCATCCAAAACATCAGCAGAAAACGAATATTTTTCAGAATTAACCCACAAATAAGGAAAGCCTAAAGTTTCAACGTTCAATTTTACCTTCCTATGCACTGTCGAGAATTTCAGTCAAGTAACACAACTCACCATCTGTGTACAATATTTTGTAAGCTTTTGAAAATGTGTCTCGATATTCCCTTGATACTGCACTCACTTTATACACCTGTGGGTTATTTGATCAAATACTTTACACATATTTTCAAGATGGTACAGAAATTTCTTACAACTGTGCTATCCTTCAGGATTGTCTAAATCGTATTTCTAATAATCTCTCTATATTAATTAGCTTTAGCTTCTATATGCTTTTTCGAGGGCCTCATATTCCTCTGATCTTCACATGTCTTTACAACTTTACCTCTTAAATTCCTCTAAATCGGTTAATGGTCTTGGAGGAGCTGTCATACATCTCTTTTAAATAGACTCTTCAAAGGATGTGGCATCAGAGACTATGTATTACATCAAAGAGCTTACTGTCATCGTCAATTTCGCAAAAATGCTAATTCAGCATTTATATTTATTTATGTAATAAACTAATTTATAAAAAATAACTATTATAACAATATTATAAAACCAATTAGATTAGAAATATAAATTTCTTGATAACTTAAACATTTTTCTTGTTTTAATATCTTTTTGAAATCTGTTAAATTATTTAGTGAAAATTATTTAATAATTATCCTTTATAAATCATTTGTAATAGCGTTTCCACTATTCATAGAACTGAGGGTCTTATAACTATACTAATACTTTCCTTAAGCATTAATAATCATTCTTTCTGCATTTATAAATTTAACACCTTTATATTTTGTATTTAGTAATATAGATATAAATAAATTTAGGAAGAATATAATAAATTAAAATTTCTTTCTCAACTACAATGTAATATTATTTAAGCATCTAAAAATTAATTGAAAAAATCATCATCTAGAATAATAATTGTTGAACTAAATTCTCTAGTCTATTAGAAGATATAATTGGTCATCATTTCGATTATTAGAATAACATTAAATATAGTTTTAAAATTAACAGGAAGAAATCTATACTTTAAAACTATTTTAATAAAAATGAAAATTAAAATTAAAAAAAATCTGGAGTAATAACATAAGGATTTATTGATTAAATAATCCATCTAAAAAGAATTATCAGCAAAAAAGCGTTAAATTGAAGCACTTTATTAAAATAAATTGATAATAAATACCTTGTAAATCAATCTAAATAACTAATTGAAAATTATGTTGAATAAATTTATAATAATTAATAAAAAAAGAAAGAAAATAAAAATCATACTAGAACATTAGCAGATAAACTGACTAAGAATATAATTAAAATATAATTGTTATTGAAACAATAATACAAAATGAAAAAGTATTTTATCAAAGTTTTTGGTTTTTATTTGGGACTTATAAAAAATCAAAATTTAGTTCATAAATTAAAATCACATTGATCAAAAGATCATTAAAAATTGTAATCAAAAAAGATATTAACTTCAAGCCATTATTCAATATTTAACAGAAGACAGAAAAGAACGATATCAATTTATACTATAATTTTTAATATAAATTATTATGAGACTTAAAATAATTATCCATTACCAGAATAATTCAACTGAAAATATTGTGCTAGTTACCAAGCCTCAATAAACTATTGAAGATTTATGCAACCATTTATCTAAGACTTGCAATATTCAAAGTCCATAAATCTGGATTGAAGGGTTTAGAGCATTGAATGATTAAATTGTTGAGAATCTCGTATTAAATAGTGAAATAATACAGTATTATTGTTTAATTATTAAAGGATTGTTGAAGGAGTTGGATCATCAAATAAAGTGGCATAAAAAGAGACAAAAGTAAGATAGAAGTAAATAATTTAAGTAATAAATATTTACTTATTTATTCTAGAATTAAGACTGCAGCAGCGTAGAAGATGATAAGCAAGTTTAAAAAAAATAGCCTTTGACTCAAGATCAAAACTTAAAGTCTTAGCATATAAAATCTAATTTAATTGTTCAACCTGGTTAGTTTTCATCAAAGTCTTCATTAAAAATAAAACCAAAAATACAGAAAATCATTTCCGAGTCAGAGTCTTCCTCTGAGGATGTTCCGATAAAGAAACCATAAACAGCAAACAAAATGTAAGCAGTAGTATCAACCCCAGGGGATGAATTGAAAAAGAGTTAAGAAGAATGGAGAAAGTCTTTTATCAAAAGTGGCTAGAAAACAACAGAGCCGTAGAAATCTCAATAAAATAAATTTAATGTTAATTTTAACCCTATATAATCTAATGCTTCATAAAATCCTGTAAGTTAAACTCAAGAAAGAAAATAGTAATAAAGTGGTTAAACCACATAAAATACAAAGTTAAACGAATATATTAAATTATCTATCTCACATATAAAGGATGACCCGACTTTAATTGAAAAAAATGACGAAATATTTTTTAAGTACAATTATCTAGATATTTAACTATGCTAACCTACAGTTAGTAATTTATTATAAGGAAAGGTTTAGGACAACCAACAAAAAGATAAAAAATTAATAATTTTAACAAAATAAGGCGATAGATTATCAATATATTATAGTGAAATCTAAGAATTGCAAATTAATCTAGCAACAGTTTAATCATAAACCAGAAAATTGGCAATAAAAGTTTTATCAGAAGGTGTTGATAGTAAATAATAATAATAAAAATAATAATAATAACCGTAATAATAGTAATAATAATAAGAATAATAATAATAATAATAATAATAATAACAATAATAATAATAAAAAGATTAATCTGATACTAATATTAATAATACTTCATAATAATAAAAGGAAGTTATAGATCCATTTGCCATTGGCTAATAAATTAATTATTATTATAGCGATAAGAACTATTCAAAAGATGATTTTATCTTATAACACTCAGCTTAAAATCCGGAAAAATGTATTTGTTAATTTAATTTATAGTTATGCTATTTAAATTATTATTGAATTTTCCAAAAGTTAAATCAAAAATTAAAAGTGAAGATGATTTATTAGACATTGTTCAATTATTCCAAAGGAAAACTTAGTAAGATTTAGTGAATTTTGAAATAAAGAAAAACGATGAAGGATAATATATGATTAGAAAGAAGTAAATTTAATGAGAATTTCTGTATTTATAATACATTCAATAATGAAAACAATTATATTAAACTGAATCTTCTTTGCAAAATAAGAAAAATACTGATACTATTATTGCTATTTTCTTTGATATAATTCTTAAAGTATTTTACTCTAAAAGAATGACAATTTAATCAATACATAGAAATATTTTATACGTTTGATTATCAAAAATATGCGATGACATACATATATTAATTAATATTGTGTTATAAATTAATTCAATATAATTAATTGATAAAATCTACCTAAATTCTTTTAAACAGCTTAAATTATTATGTTAAAAAAGTGTCAAACAGTCCCATCTCCTACAAAGTTATTTTATAAGAGAATAAATTTGTTTATTCTTTTTGAGAAGTCTGATATCAAATATAAATTCATAATTACTTATTTATGATAAATAATAAAATACACTGAGGGAATTCTTATTATAAAATTTTCTTTATTTAATTTTAAATGATAATAAAAATGGAAAGATATTTAATCATAAAATGACATTCAAATTAATAGGTTTAAAAAGATAGAAATAAATTGCTAAGAACTTTATAATTTTCTAATAAATTTATAATTATTTAATTTAATGATAAGAGATGCAAGCTCTTTTTTTAATCGAATAGATTAATCTTTAGATTACATCATATCTCTACTTTCAATTGGATTAGAAGTTTATTTACAATAATATTTGGACGTATTATAATATTTTAGTTTGGGTTTATTAGGCCTAGCAGGAATATCTAAAATGATACAAAAGAAGAAAGTGTTTGGAATTTAGTAAGGTATTAATTTTGATTTATCATATAGATTATTCACCAATTTTCTTTTGGTCTCTGGCTTTGGTTAGGATTGTATTTATAAAAAATGTCAATAAAGATCAGACAGCTTATTGGTTTTATATTCTGGGTTTTAGCAATGGATTATATGTGAGTATGACCCCTCGCAGGTTTATAAACTAGGTAGCAGAATTAGTAAAAGCATTTGTATAATTTGGATTTCTAATTGGTGTTTTAATTTATTATTTTTCTGAGTAATTGGTTTAGAGTATTTTACTAATAGTCTTAATGCTCTTTATCTAGTACCAAAATTATCGTTAAAATGTTAAACTATTGGAGCTGAACAAAGATGAGTTGTTTCTTTAGAGTAACGCTCACTTAAATGGGTCTTTGAACAAATTTTCTTGTAAAATTTAAGAGAATTCAAAATCAGTCATATAAATCTAAGAGGTTGGATCATTAAGTAGGCAGGAAGCATCAATGCATCTAATACAGAATTAAGTTGATCTATAAGCTCCTACTTAGAATGTGATCTGGCAGAATTTTATAGAATAGAGTGAAGATTACATCAGTAAATTCTATTTCAACGTGGATGATTTAGAAAACAATATAAATCAAGCATAAAATAATTATTCTATGTAGAAATTTCTACAGGATAACAAAAGCCAATTGATTAATCTATTTAAAGACATGAAAGTGAGTAGTGATCTAAATGTTAAGTTATACGAATCAAATTATCTGGATAAAAAACAGGATAGCCTTTTTGATTGGATTAAAGCTAATGCTACTTCTTCAAACTTTTAAGATGTTAATTAATAAAGGAGATTTGAGGAAAACTTAGTTGTTAGTTCACCAATTTGTTAACAATCAATTGTGATGTTGGATGCTTTTATAGAGAAATCCATATCTGGGTTGTCTGCTATATAATTAATTTAGGGTTCCCTTGAGGTATCAAATTTGAGGAATAGAAGAATTGCGTATGGACAATATAACGGGAAGAAATACAATTACAATTTTTACATTTAAATAAGTTTTTTTCTCGAAGTATTTTTTATATTAATTGAAGGAAGTAGATGGTGTTTAACATCAAGTGATAGCTGTTCTCATTCGGGACTTGGAGAAGTAAGTTAAACAAATCAAATCAAACCTGAAGAATATTTAAAAAATAAATTCAACAATTAAATTTTTGTAATAGCAAGCAGACGTAATCTAGAGATTGCACAGAAAGATAGTTTTGTAATAGAATGCCATTAACGAAATTTAAAGGAGCAATTAAAACACCCAGTTAATTAAAAGAACAAATAGCATATGTTCATATAAAGATAGTGTGGATGATGCTTTATCGGACTTTTCTGAGAAAGGACAAAAGAAATTTTAAATAACCTAATTCATCAATTAATTATAATTTCAATTTTTGAGGATAATTCAGAACCATTTTAATTATTTTGAAGTGTTCTCTGTAAATGATATTATTGAATTTGAAAAAAAGAGGGTCGATATAACGCAAACCATTTCCTTGTTAATTAACTAGTTTCAATATGATGAGATAGTTATTACAAAAAAGATCAGATTTTCCATACAGGGGGACTTATAAAATAAATATATAACATCAGACTTAAGGTATATTTATATATATATAATTTAATTAGACGATTGAAATAATTATTGTTTAATATCATTTACAACTCAATAAAATCTTATGAATTCGATTAGATAAATTAAAAAACTTAAAGATTGGTTTAAATAAACCTAAATAATTATGAATAAAATATTCGTTTTGAGGTCATTGATTATGGATGTGGTTTGAATGAGGAGAATATCAATCCAAGAAGACTTGATGATTGTAAGTTAGGCTTAGCAGCATCACAAAAGTTGATTAAATTATTGGGAGGTTATAATAAATAAATAACAATTTCTCGTTCTTAATCACAACACTAAACAAAAGTTTAATTTGAATTGCCAAATGATTTATACGTAGATAAGGCGGATATTATGGGAGAGGATTTTGATTTTGACACTATTTAGCTAATCTTCACTACTTGAATTTTAAATATATATATGCCTCTAATAATTAAAATAAAATATTCCATTTCAATATCTCAATTAAGTATGTCATCATTTGATTACCCTTAAAAATTATCTGAACCCTCTTCATTAACATCCATTTAATCCTTTAAAAATTCATATGAAGAAGATGTAGAAGAGATTGGTATTGTTGCAGAAAAACGATTATTATCATAATTGTTTGAAGATTCTCTAGAATATACAAATATAAATATTTAAGTAATATAAGAAATTGTGATATCAAAGTATAAGCACGACTCAATTTTATTTTATTAGGAGGACTAGAAAGGAAAGACATTTAAGTGATAAACAACTTAAAAGTTAAAATTTGCATTTTAAATGTTAAGAGAGTGAACAACGGTTATTAAGCGATTCTTAGAATGGAGCAATACGATATCCTTGTTGTAGAGAATGTTGTACAAATGAATAAAAATTAAATGATATCGTTGCATAAGATTTGATTCAAGTTACATAAGCGAAGGAAGCTGCTAAATTTAAGCAAGAGACAGGTGAAATTTCTTATTTAATTTAGTTACTTTAAACTTGATTTCAAAATAATAATAAATTGGCAAAAACAATGATTTGGGTGATAAGATCTGTAAGAAAATCTTAAAGATAGAAGAATCTTAACATTTATATATTCAACCGTATCAACGCGACCAACGCCAAGAGAAATGGTATTGAATAACCCCCTAACTGGTTGATACCGTTATTTGGGGTTGAAAAAGCAATGCGAGCACTAAATAAAGTGACAAAGCTTTCATCATCACCTATAAATAAATTATTTTCTTAAATTTAACAGTGCAATATCAAATGTATTGTTTACAGGATTTTTGTGTTATAACATCTATTAATTTACTAGAATTTATTTTCAATTAAATAATTAAAATTAAGATAATATATAATAAGAACAATTTTCTTAATTTTGTTTAATTAAGAGAGAACTCTTTTCAAAGTTTGTATTTATATTAATTTATTTTGATATAGGTGATTATTTTATATTTTGAATCGAAACCTAACTTTACAAACTATTCTGAATAGTTTATTCATAAAAATATTTATTGATAATTATAAGAATAAAATAACACTAGAAATGTAATAATGAAATTTTATCAATTCTATAAATTGTTCAATAATCAAAATAATTAATTATGCATTCGATCTTGATAATTAAAATTCTTTATTCTAAAATCTTATTATAATTATTTAATTTTATGAATAATTAACAGCAAAAGATAATTGTTTAGCTATTTGGAAAATGGTATGATTTAACAGAATTCTCAGAAATGCATCCAGGAGGGAAGGAAATATTAGAAAAATTAAACGGAAAAGATGGCACAGATAGTTTTTTTGAAGCTGGACATCTCTCAAATCATGCTGTGTTGTAACATTTATCAAGACTTCCAATAATAGAGAAACCAAAACTCTGAATAAACATATATTATCATTAATTAATTCAATCAAATATTGGTTTGTGAATAAAATTGATGCTGTTCCCTATTTCCGAACTCATCCTTTATTATAAGATTTTGAATTATTAACCAACAATTTTTTAAGGATATTCTTAATAGTATAGTTTTTTTGTTTGGATGACATATTGATTATTGTATTTGAGCACTGATGTAGATTGGTTTTGACAATGATTAACATATTATCTGCTTTATTCATATTTGCTTATAATATCCGAAGGAGTATGTACTAGACTGCTTCTTCCTGCAAGGTGCTAATATTTTTTTCGAATTTCTCCAGGTGATGATTCCTGACAGGATTATTAAAAGTTAAATTGAAATCTCTCTTTACACCAACAACATATTTAGTTAATCAACTAAAGGGACCTGGAATCATTGTGTTCTCCTTATATCTTTATGAGGTCTCGCAAACCATTATGTTACTAGAATAAGCCAATAGTATTTTTGGATTTGATTAATGTATCTTAATCACTACAAATAAAGAGAGTTGGGACACTAGAGTCAGCCCTTTAAATTTTGATGTCTTCAAATTTGAAATTGCCTTATGATTCAATTTTCCCTGGGATATTGAAATATATATGTACCTTTAAGTAGATATAATGCACTTTTAATTATCAACTTTGGTAAAGAAGTGGACTTCTAAATCATACTCACACATGCCTTGTTCAAGTCAGTAAAACATGAATCCAGCACGTAACCAATGACATATGGTTGTTTCTTTAACTAGATAGTAGTCGCTCCCAATGATCTCCCCCATAAAATAAATTAGTTTTATTAGAATCTTTTTTTGATATCTAAAATAATGCATGTGATATCATTCTATTCTAAATAACTATTTAAATAGGTTATGTTACCCAAAAGTAATCAAATCCCCTTGACTTTGACCACACCCTTGAAAATCAAAAGTGCAAAAATTGAGATTATATTGAGCAGCAACATGAGCATATTTCACTCCTTCTACTTGGCAGCCGTTAAAACCATGGCAATAAATTATACAGCAATCACTTTATGGGTTTATCTCAAAAAAGGAGCATTTCAATTGGTGACCCTAACAATTTATTACACTAATTTCATGTTTGAACAAGGTTCCATTTGCAAGAGAGAGTCTTTCAGGACCTTAAATATTCTTGATTCCTACCCATGTCAAACATTTGATATTCTAATCTAAGTGGTCTCAAAAATTTTCTACATTCTTATTCAAAATACATTGATATTAAATTAACTTATTTATTTTCATGTGATTTTTATCCGTACCAGATATCAAAATAAGAAGTGAATCATATAATAAGTATTTAGATCAAATCTAATTTTATTTCTTTATAAGATCTACCAACTCTTTCATATATCTTTGACCGTTAATACTTTTTTCTAATCTCCTTCTATATTTCAACTGATCTACAAGGAAATTAAGCTTGGGTATTTTTATAAATTAGATACTTGCATTTATCAAAAAAAACCATAAAGATTTTATTAAGTCTGTTTGATATAGTCAAATATTTATAATATGTATACTTATTTTACTTTATGTTTACTCAATATATATGAGTTTTACATAATTTAATGAAATTTTTATTTTCGAATTGTTTTGATCTAGTTTAATAAGAGTCTCTATTACTAAAATATATCATAGCGAGCAACTATATTTTAATAACCACTTTATTGCACTCAAGATACGGATGGTTCTTCGTTTATTAATTACAATTTTAAGCCTTTTATGAAAACTATTAGTATCCCTTCAAAGGGTATTTATTAGTTTCATTAATTGATTTAATTATTTCAAAGGAATTATTAACAGAATTTCAGGTTTATCAAATGAGAATAATTACTGTATTAAGCAATCTATAAGGAGTTGTATTCTGAAAATTGAAATTTCTTTTTAAAATAGGAATAATATATCAAAGTGAGTGTGATAATGATATTCATGGGAATATTTTAAAAGTATTCATCGAAATATAAAAAATTAATAATTAATGCACAATTACAACGTTGATCATAAATATAAGTTCCAGACCCGCATTGGTAATTGGTTTGAAGAATGGGAATTGGATGAAACAAAGTGATAATATGTGCATAAATTATATAGGAAGAAGGACTACTTAAAAAATAGATCAAATGGATAACTGGCAAGCATAGTGAAAGACACAAAGACAAATTTCAGTTTAAGATTAGCATCTCTATCATTTCCTTAAGACAATTACATCCATTTTGGGTTTCATTTGATGCTTTAAAATTTGAAGACTCTTGGGTTTTTGTCAATAGATATCTAAGAGAGATTGAAAATAGGAGAAGAGGCATACAATATAACCACTGCATAAACCACACAACCAACAGTGAGATCAGTGTTTGTTATAATTCCCTACACTAAAGAACCAAATTACTATGGAGATGATGTATTACACTACGGATAGCATTTCAGAATTGTGGCCAATCCTAGAATATCTAATAATAAAACATTCTATCTTCATTCACTTCCTTAGACACCAACCAGATGTGCTAAGATATCTAGAAAACAGGAGGTTTGTGCAATTGAGAGTGATGTATTCAATACAGTTTGGAAATTGGAACATGCCGATCCAAAAATAAGATTTGAGATGGAAGGACAACCTGTAAGATCAGATGACACTGTGTTAATTAAACATTCTTTTACTTAGCATTGGTTAGCCAGTGATGATATAGTTTACTAAAATGATTTTGGAAGAGAAAGAGAGGTCTTTGTGCATTCTTATTAATGCTTAAATAAAACATAAAACTTAATAGCTGAGAAGGAAGGGAGAACCACAATTGATATTCCATTAAGAAATCAAGAGTAGCAGAATATGTTATTTTAATAGGCCATAAAACTTGTGGAAATTTTAGGTTGCTAGAAATCAAAGTGAACAATTTGATGAATCTGTGATGGATGACAATAGGAATGTGAAGAATTTAATGATAAGAGTCAAATAATAAATTACAGGCAAAGGAGCTTATGGATTGAGAGGATTGGCTAAAATATTTTTGGAAATGGATTAAAATAATAGTTAGATTATATGATATATTATTTTAGATGGAGTCGTAGAGTACAATGATTTCAAGTGGGGATTGAGGAATTTTGGATTGACTCTATCAGAAGATGAGACTAAAATGATCTTCCAAACATTTGATAAAAATGGTAATGGCAAAATTGAATTCACTGAGTTTTTGGATGCCTTTAGAGTATTTCTAAAATCTAATTAGTTATAAATGAGTGATAAAAGACTGTATTATGTATAAAGAGCCTATGCATCGATTGAGTAGAAGGCAGGCAAAGTCACATTAGAGACTATGGGCCGATTGATTAATGTAAAGGAACACCCAGATGTCTTGAAAGGATATAAAACTGAAAGGCAAGTGTTCTAAGACTTTGTATCCCATTGGAATAAAGCAAATCCTGATAGAGTGATTTCATTTTAAGAGTTTGGAGAGTTTTATTAAGTATGTCTCTTGTGCTTATTGTTTAGGATGTGTCATCTTCTGTGCAACAGGATGAAACTTTTGAGGCTATATTAAAGAAATCGTGGAATTTATGATAATTATTAATAATACATAATGAGCATTCGATTATAAGACATGAGGTTATTTCTGCTTAAAGACAACTCACCAGTCAAAGTTGAATTGAAACAATAAGATGACATTCTCTTCAACCTCGTCACTAAAGCAGGTTTTAATACCAGAATAGCTTTTAGATCGATCACCAATTAATATTTTGGTTCCAGTAATTGAAGGCAATTAACCAATAACAATCAAAGTAAATGATTACAATGCTGAACTCCTTCCCGACAATCTTGAAATGTAATCAACATATAAATTGCTACTTTAAAATGGGTAACTTACTTAAGAACCTATCCAACCGGGAGATGTCTTTGCATTGTCATTCAAAGTTAGAAATGGTAATGCAAACACTCAAGGAGTAACAGGCAATTCAGCTATGAATGGATCTACCCTATCTACTATTTAGCTATCCCAATTGAGACACAAATTAGTTGAATAAGGTAAAGGAACTTCGATGTATTAATCTGCTTCTTCACTCAGACACAGCATACCTGAAGTGTCCTTCTCCAAAGCTCAGAGGTCAGTATTGTCATTATTTTAGATTTGATAAAAACTTAACTCTCAGAACTGAGTTCAATTACAGTATTCCTGATACTGTTGGATCTGCAGCCAGATCAACAGGCTTCGGTTATGGCAACAAATTCATTTCTCCTTTGTATGTTCAAAGGAATGCTGAATAAAATCCACCTCCTGATGCATATTTCAAAGAAGAAACCAAATAGCCCTCTAAATATCGAAAAACTAATTGGTCCCAAAGTGATAGATTCAAAATGTCACAGACTGTTCAAGTACCTAGTCCCAATTCCTATGAGGTTACCTAGATGATTGGTTCAAATAAAGTAAATTTGAAAATGGATTCAATAATTATAGCCCTCCTGTACCATCGGTGCCAGAATTAAGCCATTAGCTACCTTTTAAGAAAAAGTTCCTGCCTCCAACACTTACGAGGTCAAATCATCGATCATTGAGCCTTCAAGATTTAATAGGATTACACTTGGATACGGTAATAAGTATGATTTCACCAAAAATGACAAAACTCCAGGACCTGGCACATATGAGTAACCTTCAGTGTTTAAAAATATGTCTTCTTCTATTTTAAATAATGGAACATTAAGAACAAATGTAATGAGAAAATGATATTAATTCTAATTTAACATTTCATTTATCAATTATTACAACATCTACTTTAAATTAATTTTTCAATTCTCCAATTTTGTTGTATGAGGGTTAGAAAACTTAATCTTCTTTTTTAGACTAAATAATCTATTCTTTTATTATCAAAATTTTAGAAGTACATATTTTCAATAAATATTATTCTATTGCATCTTTCGCAACACTTTTTATGTTTCAATATAATGATTTTCTCCAATAATATTTTAGTATGCTTATTATTAATTTTTGATAGCTTAGAAATTTATTGCACAAAATAAGCCATAGTAATTAATGAATTATATATCAAATACATATTTTATATCAAAGGATTAATTGAGAGAGTGACTTTCTAATTTTTGTTCAATCAAAAGGATGGTTTAACTTGAAAAAGGTGTTCCTTGACCTATTAGATCACTTTAAAGACTGTATCATATTAATTTAGATATCAATGGTAAAGTTATGTATGATTATAAAGTATTCCATCATATTCAAATTATCATAGCAGATGGTTTTATGTATGATCGCTGGAAATACACACTTCTCTTGGTTTCATAGAACTTACTTAACCTAAGTTTTTTAAAATTCATTTATAAACTCAGAGATTCTAAATAACCTATATAAGTCTTGCTGAATGCATTAAGATCCTTTACAATTTGTACTTACATCACTAGAATTTTGTATGAGACACTGATTCTTGAGTGTTAATTTCCTGACTATTACTATGAGTTTACTGTGAATTGAAAATGTTTTTGAAAGTATCGGTGAAGATTACACCAATTTATTCATTTGAGATCCTTATAAATTATCAAATCTCTTAGGTTCATCATAAAATAATTGCTATGATCATTCACTTAAAATTGGCAACATAATCTATTTTCTTCTTTTTTGGGTTCATTAACATAGGAAAAGAGTTATGTAATAAAAACTTATATTTATTTTAGAAGATGTTTGCGATTTGATGAATTTGCCATAAAATTAATAGAAATCCAAAGGTTCTTGATAATTATCAAAATTACATGATAGAAAAAATTCATTTTAATAAAAAAATTATTATCATAACATCTTCTTGTTCCTATTCTACCTCGAATTCATACGATTGGAAATAGAAATGCAAATTCTTCTTTCAAAATCTAAAACTTAGAAATATAGTGTAAATTTTAATAGAATTACTATTAATTGTAATATTAATAGGTTAAAGGCAAAAATGTTTGGTATTATTAAAAATCAAATAGAAAATGTAAAAGGCTTTGTAAGGAGGGGGGAGAAGGAAAGATTTTCGAATAAAAATGTTTTTTGTTCCTGGATTTAATAGAATTTATGAATAAATTATTGAATATTAAAACTATTTTCAAAATTTACTAATGCAATTTTGATAAAGAGAAGCATAAACTAAATTTGTAATAAATTAAGGATTTTATATCATTATTTAAAAGTAATTATAATCGAAATGCCAAAAATTAAAAGCCTTATAAATTTATTAGAATCCTTAACTAAAAGCAATCCTAATATTGCAAAGGGATAGAATTTGTTAATCTATTACAAAGTACATAGATATTACGTTAAAATTTGGAAGGTATATTAAATAAATTACAAAAAACATAATGATGGCATTCAATTTTATTTCTAAATGCATTGGAAGAGGAAGAATATCAGCATTACATATCTTTAGGAGATTGATTACCATAACTTGAGTCTATTTTGAGTATATTTTTAAGGATTATTGTTGATGATGGTTAAATACCAAAAATTAACAATAATCTTTTTTCACAATCGACATATTGAGGCAATTAGATTGGTAATTACCTATTATTTGGAAGGGAGGATTGTTTAAAATGATAGAATTTATGAGGTACAAAGCTGCAAAAAATTAAATGATTGAATTTTAATTAAATCCAAATAAATGTCAATACACCAATCTGAATAATATAAAAAGTAGCCTTAATAGGAAGAGAAAGCCAAAAAATTGTTTATGAAGATTATTCTAAACGGCCTACGCAAGTTTTTTAACATGAATGAACTTCCGTATCATCCTTTGATAACTTGTGTAAGTATTAAACCAGGATGTATCAATCGCTGTGCCTCCCTTTAATCATATCCTAATTAATCTGTATGGAAATCTCTTGTAGATTTACCTAAGGAAATGCAACAAGAGGTTGTTGAGTTTCTAATCAAAGAGTTGGATGCAAAATCAATAAAATTCTAATCGAAATTTTTAATAGAAAGCTAAGAAAGAATAAGGAATAACTTCGACTTTTAGAGCTTCTACAAAGAGCCAACTAAGTTTGAGATTCCATCAAATGATAAGTAATCAGAATTTTAGAAAGACGCTGACAAGGAAATTAAGGATGATGGAACAAAGATAAAATAGAAGAAATGGTTCAAAGGTGAGGACTTTGTCAGTGAATCTAAGTAAATTGCCACATAGATGAAATTATGTAACCAACATCCTCCGTTAGTAGAAGTAAGTTCATTTCATTTTCATAAAATGAGATGTCTTCTAGAAAAAATCAAAGAGTAAAAATTTAAACAGTCAGAAGAGATGAAAATCTTTGTAGAGGAACTCGAGAAGTTTATTTAGAATGACCCAAAAGCTGAGGAACACAAAAAAAAGAGGAAGATTAAAAAATATAATGATAAAAAGAATCATCAACATGATGATGAAGAATTGATTTAAGGATAAATAACACTTTAAAGGGAAGTTAAAGTAGAAGACAATTCAGCCTAAGACTTCCTTGATCAATTCAAACTCAAGGTTAAGAAAATTGAACCTGGTATTGTTCTTTACCTTCCATAATACTATAAAATACTCCCAAAGTATCGTGAATATTGCAAAAGTCTAGAAGATAGTTACTTCAAAAATTTATATTACTTGGTATAAGTGGGGGAATTAATACTAAATTCTTAAGATATCTTAAAGTTCCTCCGCCAAGTCTTTAAAAATTTAGATTTTTGGGTTCCATACGAGCAGAAAAGCGAAATTCCAACAAAATGAATATATACATTTAAAAAATAAGAACTTATTTCTACAAAAAATATTTAATAGTTTTGAAAAGAATACTATTTTTAATTATTAGTTATAATTTAATTACACTAATCTTATTCGTAATTATCCTTAAATGACTAATAAAGTAAATAATTATTGCAAGTTTCTTAATAGAAATTCTATAATTTATATATTTGGATAATTCTAACTATTCAGATATTATTTAGGAACTGTGAACAAAACTTAATATGGAATATTAATTCCAGATTTAAAACAGATTAAAATATGACAGATCAAAATTCTGAATCCCAATCTCAATCTCAATCAAATTTTGAGCAAGAAATATATGCTAATTTCAATGCTAATAGAATTTGGTAAAATTGGGAAATAAATATTTTTTAGTTACCTTTAATAATATTAAAATAGTGTTCAGTCTTTATTAATTTTAAATACTAATCTAAAATTTTGTTAAATATAGATGTTATATTGTAGCATATTTGTATTAATAAGAGAGAATAACAATACAAAAATCCTATAGCCTTTTATAATTGATTCTTATAATAACTTATTGAAACTTTTGTCTTTTATTTATTCAATAAAAGACAAAAGTTTACTTGGCACAATATATATTTTATTTAATTTAATCAATTATTATAAGTACTACAAAAGTATATATTCGGATTACAGTTTAAAATTATATTTGATATTCTCAAAACAATAAAGAGTTTTATGAATGATAATTGAATAGTTAGACTCATATCAATTTTCGATTTTAGGAATTTAATAATAATATAAATAACCAAAAAATTTTGAGACATTTATATAATATGTCTGTAGATCAAAATCTATAAAAAGAGAGTAAAACTATTATATTTTTAAATTTTAATTTATTCTACCTCTATAATCAATTATGGAGTTAACTAATATTCCAAAAAATTCCTTTTTTTGTTAAGTCTAGAAATTCTTATAGGATAAATTTTGATTGACATTCATAATTACTGGGTATTATTTTTAAGATGGTTAATAATTCAAAAATTATAGCCAAATTATAATTATAAATATATTTTAGGCGCACATATTATAATTAAAATAGTGCGGTTAATGAGAGGGGAAGAAATATTAAAATTATATGTCTGATTTCTTATTTATATGTGATAGCATCTAACTTACAATCAAGAAGGTGAAACTAGACCTTTTTAACTCATTTGAAGATGAAACGATGTCAGCCATCATTAAAAAAAATGAGACCTCTTTTATACCCTTCTTGAGTCTAAGATAAAAATTTGGTATACATCAAAAAGGTGGGTTTTATCCACTTCCAAAAAAATATGCATGTCTTTTAGATTTATGCAAGAGAATAGAAACGAATGTTTTAAGAAATTAATGCTAAATATATTTTTCTGTTTAGAACAATTTTACAGAAATCATCTAAGTCCTCCAATTATTAAATTTGAATCCTAATTTATATAAAATTAAAGTGAATTCAGAAGGCATTGTAATTTAGCATCCATTTTTAAATATTTCTAATAAGAATGATAACAAAAATGCTATTAAATCTTAGCAAGAATACAAATAAATGTCTGAAATAATTGAGAAAAGGATGACAATACTAAGAGATATACTTGATTATTAAGTTAAAATAAAACATAAAGAACATTTATCAATAATTAATTGTGAAGATTTTGAATAATTCGGATCTTAATTCAAAATCTATCATAATGACTTTGATTTGAATGATTCACCTGATATTAAGCCAATAAAATTGACGAGGCAAATCTTCTCCAAAGAATTAATATAGTTTCATCTTGACTTCTTAAATCACTTAATTGAACACTACGACAAACGAGGAGTTAGCTTCATGTATTATGATAATATCGTTACAATACTTAGTGTTCATTTTAATAAAGTTAAAAGTGAAATAGAAAAAACACTTAAGAATATAATAAATTTGCTTCCAGATAAAATGAATATTCTTATGGATCACATAAACAAACAAAGATGGATCGTGTAGTTAGATAGATCATCTTTGTAGTAATTAAATAAGTAAATTATATTGAATTAATTTTTGTTTTATTGATATATAATAAAACACAATGTATTATATCAATGTCTCATATTTGAATAGTGAATAATCTTGAAATTTTATAATTAGAATGCTAATTTAATAATAGTCTTATGTAATATAATAATATTATTATTTTAGATTCTGAATTGTATTATTTTTAATGATCTCTCATTATTGATACATTCTCAAGTCTCATTTAGCAAATAAAAATAGATAAAATGCTATTTTTTATTATACAGCAATTTTAGTTAATTACAATATAAAACGGATTAATAATATAAAAAAATGAAATACGTAGCTATTCTTCTATTGGTATTAGTATTGACAAATGGAGCCAACGTAAGGAAACACAAGCAACATAAAGGAACTAAGCATACCTAAGATTTGGTTCAAATTGAGTAACAAATTGTTATATTGCATTTTAGATCTGAAAATGTTGGAGCGTCTTATGATTTAAGCAATAATGTAGGAGTTATATCCTCATCCGAAACTGTTACCAATGCTTTAACTAATTAAGACAGAATTGAAAAGGCTGAATAGAAGGAAAGAAATGCTATTCATAATGCTGTGAAAAAATCTCAAAAGTCTTTTGTTTAAGTGACTGATAATGAAAACTAAGTTTATGTGGAAGAAACCTTAGATTAAACTCCTTAAAAGGAAATTAATTTTGCAGACTTATTCACAAACGATGGTTCATCACCTGATATGGGAAAGCAAGCTCTTATTGAAGATTCCCCATCTCCTCCAATGGCTCATATTCCTTAGGATGATAATTTAGATTATGTCAGAGCAATTGATAAACTGGATTTGTTAGATGAGAATGGTTAACCACTTTAATTGCTTCCAGAAGAATTATCACTTTTGGAAATGTCTCAATTCGAAAGCAGATTCCAATAGACTGAAACTCCATAGATGGAATAAGCACCCAGTTGGGACTTAGAAGCTGCTTATGAAAAGACTCCAGGTTAAAGTGAGTTGTCACCAGAAGAATTACAAAGACAAACCGATCAAATGGTTGATAGCTTAAGAGGAGAGCTTGAAAATGAAGATATTTGAACAGGCAAATATAATAAATAAATATATATATAATGAAGAAACATTTTAACTATGAAATTTCTTTTGAGTAGCTAAATGGTAGAATGCCTCCTACAAATACTCCTTGTGATAAATAACCCATCATTCATTTCGATTCTAATGTACATGTGTTTTGGCCGAGCGATCAAAAATTTTATACGGCATTAGAATTGAAAAATTTCGTCAAAGAAGACTTCTTTAATCATCCATTGGTATAGCATTTAAAACCACTGATACATCGGAAACCAATTCAAAAGTAATACATGAAAAGACAGTATGAAGATCCATTAGTAGTAATGAATTTATTTTTACAATCTTAAGATGGAAAAGAAAAAAGAAATCCTCAAAAACCTCTCTTGGTTTGCTGGTCTCAAAAATAACTCTAATGAATTTGCTAAGACTCTTAAATTTAGACTAAATCAATTATCACAATAAAATTACAATTAGATCAGCAAAATTATTATTGAACTACTCACTCAAAAATAGTAAATAAGTCCTTATACATATTTAGGAAGGATGATGTTATCACATTTATTGAAGAATTAATCAATATTGCGGCAAATTAAAATAAATTTCGTCATTTGTATAGTTAATTGATGAAAGAAATAATTAAACATACAAATTCTTATTAATTTTTAGATAGCTATTTAAATAGCTTTATTTATTATTAAGAAAATTACGAGGAATTTCAAAATTCATATAACAAAGATGATGAAATTATTGTATTGACTAAAAGGAAATAAAATTTTATCGGAAGTAAAGTGTTCTATAATTTTAGAATATAAATTTATTGTTCATCTTTATAAAGATAGAGTCATCAAAATTTAGTACATCAATAATTCTATTCTCTAATTACAAAATAGACTAATCTATCTATTAGAGAATAAAAATTTATAAGCATTCTTTACAGATGAAATTGTTGAGTCTCTTCTTGATATTATTTCAGCAAGTATCCATAATTAAAATTCTAGTGAAGAATGATCTATTTATTAAACAATATAGAGAGGATACTTAATTAGAGCAAGATTTCATTTCCTTTTTAAAGTAAAAGGAATGTACTCAATGGAATAAAGATTAATTTTGTTTTTCTCCTAAAGGAATTAGAACGCTGTAAATTAATTCAAAAATATCCTAGGCTTTGTTGGATTGAGAAGCGAGTTGCGTCATAAAGATTAAAGTTATTGATTGCTAATCTTTTGGAAAAACTAGATAATAATTGGAAAAATAAAAAAAAAAATTCTAAAAAGAAATTGGATACATCTGAATCAAGTGATTCTGATATTGAAGAATTGCCATTAAAATAAAAGCCATCAATTAAATTGAATGTTCAAAATTTAGATTTAATACATGAAGAAGAAAATGACTTTTCAGTTTAAAAATAGCCTACAATTAAATAGATTCATTCTAATTTAGAAAGAATATTTCTAATCAAACAAACTCAAGATTACTATACAGAAATATTAAAGCTATACTCTTCTATAAAATAGTCAGAATTAATAGTATCTTTTTGGAATTGCTTTTTAAAATTAATAACTAGGATAACTGCTGATAATTCTTAAAAAGTCGAGTATGGCTTCAAAATATACTCAATAACCAATGAGGATTTCATTAAGGAACTAATCTTAGAGCAAATTCAAATTAGATTATCTGAAGTGATTTACGATGTCATTGACTCTAAATTTGGAGTCAATTTTATGATTAACCTGCTTAAACCATTTATTGAATAAGACATCAAATAACTTTAACTCTTTTCGCAAATAGAAATGAATGAAGAAACTCAAAGCTTTTTTGTTATAATAATACCAAAGTTAGTTTTTGCTTAAAATGTATTTAATAATTAATTTATACAAGATTCAAACTGTTGAAAATATAGAATACTTGTAGAATTTTCTCATTGCTAATTTATTACTCAATAAAGATCAATATAGTAAGGTTATGGATAACATAAAATGATAGATTTTTGATAATTAATATTTTTGAGACATTAAAATTTCTATAAATCATTCTGTATTTATTTAATCCTCTATTTGGGATTAATTCTATGTTTAAGCAATTAATTGATTTGTTTCATTTAAAATGAATCCCCAATATGAAGACTCTAATTTGATACTATCTAATTCCATCTATTATAAAATCTCCATAATTTCTTTAAATTAAGTATTCTTTTCATTTTCATATCTGTTTCTTTCTTTCAGTGCAAGGATTTTGTTAATCAAAATAATCAAATCTTATAACAATTTGATTTCTTTAACACTTTCACTTATTTCCTATTCAACCTATTTTTTAGCATCCTCAGGTGACTTCTATTTAATCAAATTTTTGAATGAGACTTTGCCTTAGTTCAATTTGTCTAATTCCTTCTCCAATTCAATAATCTTGTTTTCTAAAGTCTTAACTTTATTTTCCAAATTAATTCTGTCACTAATTTACCTTAATACAATCTTAATATTAATTTAGATAAAATACTTTACAATCCTTAGATTCTAATCTAATCAGATCTAACAATATTTCAATGTTATTGAGTCTGAAAACTTAATTCTCTTGGTAAGTGTCAGCTAATTCTTACTTAATTCTGTTGAAGATTAACAAGGAGGCATCTTTATTGATAAATTGAGTAACAAATGAGTTTTCAAAATTAATTAGTCTTGTTTTGATTATTTCTTCTAGACAGCTGTTGTATTTCTTGCCTGAATCTACACTATCCTTAATCATCTTTTTTATGCTTTTTAATTTTATACTATAATTTCTGACTTAATCTGCAAAATTATCAATCTCTTTAAGTGTGCTTGCATCAATGGCCGTCTTAACTTTAAATGAGATTAACATACATCTAGAATATCAGCAAATGTGGTTTAGTATTTTTAAAGAAGATCCTGGGTAGATTAGGATTTGATTGATTCTAATTTAGTATAGATCTTATCGTCTTTGGATCTTAAAAACACTTGGGAGACTGCATCTGTTTGGAATAGATGAGGTAATAGACTTAACTTTTGACAGAAAGCATTCAAGAATTTTTTTCTATCATGAATGGTCTTTGGATCATTTCCATTAAAAAGCTTTTTGCCAGGCAAACTTGGGACATAGCATCCAGGCCATTGTTGAGCTAGAAGATTCCTTAGAGCCACGAAATCCTTGAATCGACGATGGACTTCGAAGTTTCCATCTTTGTCAGAGCCTTTAATGGTGTAATAAGTCTGCTTTGAGAATAGTGATTAGGATGTAGTTTGAGACTCGACTACGTCGATCACATTTTAAATCATTTATTATATAAATTATATATTTAACTAACAAATATGAAATAGAAGGTTTCATAGATATCTCCAGATAAATTATATGCTAGTTTATTGAAAAGGAAGAACGAATAAGAATAACAGGCTCGTTTGAAATCTCCAATAGTGACTGCCAATAAGTATGGATGTGATTGTCATACAAATTAGATATTTAGTTTCCAGTAACAGAAACAGTGGGGGAACTTCGAAAATAGAAGCTAAGAAGGCAAGACCTGCGAGTGGAAAGGATTTGAAGGATGTGAGCAAGGTTTTGTTGAAGAAGACTCATGCACGTTAAAATAGCAAATTAGTTGAAACAAAGGAGAATTCTTAGAATCTATCAACAAGTGCTCTTTCGTTGTTGCTCAAAATCAAATAAGACAAGCATGAAAATAAACAATCTCAAATTTAATAGCCAAAAGATCTGTATAACCAAGAAACAATTCAAAAAAAGTATTAAAAATTAATGGAAATGACGAAATAATAACAATAGTTAATACTAAAACCTAAATTATTTAAGGGGCCACGTTCCATAAGTAATCCTGATATTTCGACTATGCAATTATAAATAGTGAAAGCAAACGGTTAAAGTGCTGCAGGTATGCTCTATAATGGGTAAACCAAAACAAATTAAGACATATACAAATTAATATAGAAATTTTGTCGCAGAGAGAATGATTGGTATATCCAAGTTTCTGATGGTCATGGAACCAATGGGCATTAAGTAGCCTAATTTTTATAGGAAGTACTTCCCCAATTTGTTGAGCAAGGAGTAGTTCATATGACATCCTGTTATGAGAGAGATAAGTAAATATTTGATGTGAATCTAGATAAATCAATTAAGTGCTTAAGAATTGCTTTTTGTAGACAAGTGACGAATTGATGGATAGTGGAATTGATATAACATACTCTGGGGCAACAACTGTTGTAGTGTTGTCTTTTGATAATGTGTTGTATTGTGCAAATATTGGAGACAGTCGAGCAATCATAGGGAGATTCGATAACAAATTATCAGTTATAGAATTATCCAAAGATCATAAGCCAGATTGCTTTTTGGAATAGGCTCGGATTCTTTAAAGGGGAGGTAGAGTACAGGCTTATAGTGATGAGGATGGGAATCCCATTGGACCAGCAAGAGTGTGGAAATTGGATGAGGATGTGCCTGGATTGGCAATGTCAAGGAGTTTCGGGGATTATATTGCTAGTTAAGTTGGAGTAATTTGTGAGCCTGAGATAATTAAGCATTCTCTGTTGCCATGTGACAAGTTTATTGTAGTTGCTTCGGATGGAATTTGGGAGTATATCATTATTGTTATAGTTTAGATTTCTATCAAATGAATAGGTTGTTGAGATTGTTTATGAATATTACAAGAGAGATGACAGTTAAGGGGCTTGCTAGAAGTTGGTTTAATTAGCAAGGGAAGCTTGGCAAAGAGAGGACGAAGTCATAGACGATATTACAATAGTGATTGCCTTCATTAAATGATCTTTATTTTCTCTTTAAATAAACTGAATTAGCATGGGAATATTAATATTTTATAAATGGATTATGATTCTCTCTATTTACTATTGCCAAAAGAACCTAAGAAATGGCAAGTGTCTGATGTCCTTATTTGGCTCTAATTCATTGGACTAGGTTAGATGGAGGATAAGTTTGGTATCTAGTTTCCTTTGTTCTATTGTAGTGAATTGCTCAATTGATGGCTCCATTCTGGAAGAGATAACAGAGGATGACTTGGACGAAGAATTGGGAATCAACTCGAAATTGATCAAAAAAAAGTTAATGAATTGTAATCATTATCTAATCCTTAGGGATATCAACAGGATTGAAAGAATATAGCATTTACATATGCTAAATGAAACTCAATACCATCAAGAAATCACCCAATGAGGATTTCACTCTCCAGAAGAATGTTAATGCTTGTTAGGACAAATAATGCTAATCAATTATCAATCAATACGACGAGTTACATGGTTCTTAGAACAAAATCAACAATTAGGATTGAAAATTAACTCATCCTATAACCTTTAGAAAGTTAACAAAACAACTTTTATTGTATCAAACAAGCTGGAGCCAAGATTGGAAGACATTCCAGCAATCACATCCTCATATTAGAAGAAAATATCAGTAGATTCCATGCTGAAGTTACATATTAGGATGCTAAGGTATCACTCCATACTATCATTCACAGTTTTACATCAAAGATATAGGAAGCACTACAGGAACATATATTAAAATTTAAAAAAGAATGAACCTCTCCCAAGATATGCTAATCGAACTAGGCAGCAATCTGTTCTAAGTTACTCAATTGGAGGAAGTCTCTGATGGCATTCAACTTGAACTCCTTGTTATGGAAGGACCAAATTGTGATGAATAAATTAGTTTTCATCTCAATCAAGAGAAAAACTCTGTCACTTTTGGCAGGAAGACCAATGCAGATATAGCATTTCCTGAAGATCACCATCTATCTAATTTACATGCTAAATTTTATTTAGTAGACAAGGATGTAACTATTGAAGATCATTCCTCTACTAATGGGTATAGCATATGTTATTAATTGTATCTAGCACTTGGCTAAGATTATCTGCAGATGGACAACCAAGTTAGATTTATCCACTTACCTCAGAAGATGAAATGACTATCGTCAGGATTGGCACAGTTAATTAATACCTATGCCAATTAGATAAATTCAGTATAAATTATAATGAATACAATTTTTGTACATTGTGTCATGAAAATGAACGAGATGCATTGTGTCTCCCTTGTAAGCACAATTCGACTTGTTTCAAATGTAGTAAAAATTTGTAACTATGTCCAATTTGCAAAATGAAGATCTCATAGCAAATTAGAATTTACAAAAATTGATTAAATATATAATTGTTAATATTCATAGTTAGCTTCTTCCTTTGAATTCCCCAGTCTTGATAATTAGTTTAATAAAAATAAATCTATTTTTATATCCTCTTTGTATTAAATAATTATCAAAAATAAGCATAAGATACACTAAATTGTGTCTGATTTTTTTTATAATTATAGTTTATTATTTGGATTACTTATTTATCATTTAATATATAATATGCCTGGGAGATATTATTTACAAGTTAGAATATTATTTGCGAGATAAGAAATTCTAAACTATCTACTTGATACTCCCAATTATCATAATTAAAATAAACATAATTAATATTAATCTTAGAGAAATAATAAAAGTCAATGGAAATAATAAAGATTTAATATAAACTAAATAGAATTACAAAATATTATTATAATTTATGAGTATAAATGAAATTAATTCTAAAATTACATTAATTTATGTTAGAATATAGATGTATTTTTAAAATAGAAATATAGATTTGTACAACATTAATAACATAATATATCAATTTTATTTATTGTTGTTTTCCCCTCCTTCTTAGTTTTATTATTATTATTAGTCTCCAGTTTATTCATGAGAGTGCTGTTATTATTATTCACTAGCTCCTCCAGTATTTCGATACCTAAAATATAAATTAAATTATAATACATGGCTTATCCGATCTTCATGGCTGCATTTTTAGTACGACCCTCAACTGCATCTTTAAGTCTTTGAACATCATTTGAAGTAAGATTTTCAGTTAATAAAACTCTTAAATTTTAGACTGCACTTTCAATTTCTTAAACTTCATTTGGTTACAATTTGCTCTTATGTTCATTGAGTGATTTTTCAGTATTAAAAATAGCACCATCAGCTTCATTCTTTAAATCAACAAGTTCTCTTCTCTTTTTATCTTCATCCTTATATTTTTCAGCTTTATTAATCATATCTTGGATTTCTGATTCGCTTAAACCACCTGATGATTAAATTGTGATTGAGTGATCTTTTCCAGTAGCCTTATCTTTAGCAGACACGTGAACAATACCATTGGCATCAATATCAAAAGTAACATCAATTTAAGGAACTCCTCTGGGAGCTGGAGGGATACCAGATAAATCGAATTATCCCAATAATTTATTATCAGCAGCCATTTCTCTTTCACCTTAGAACACTCTGATAGATACAACAGTTTAGTTATCACTAGCAGTTGAATAAGTTTGGCTCTTTTTAGTAGGAATAGTAGTGTTTCTGGGAATCATTTTAGTGAACACTCCTCCTAGAGTTTCGATACCTAAAGAGAGTGGAGTGACATCCAATAATAGTAATTCTTTGACATCACCTTTCAAGACACCACCTTGAATGGCAGCTCCAATAGAGACTGCTTCATCTGGATTGACTGATTTATTGGGTGGTTTATTAAAGAGATCTTAAACTAATTTTTAAACTCTTGGCATTCTACTCATACCTCCTACTAAAATAACTTCATCGATTTTGCTTTTATCGATTCCTGAATCTTTGATACAATTTTCAGTTGGTTTAATAGTTTTTTTGAGAAAATCTTCAGTCAAGGATTCAAGTTTAGCTCTTGTGAGTTTGAGATTGCAATGTTTAGGACCTGAAGCATCAGCAGTTAAATATGGTAAGTTGATATCAGTTTGAGTAGTGGATGATAATTCAATTTTAGCCTTTTCAGCAGCTTCTCTGACTCTTTGGACTGCCATTTTATCCTTTTAAATATCAACACCAGATTGTGCTTTGAATTCTGAACTAATCCAATTAGAAAGTATTGAATCAACATCTTCACCTCCACAACTTGTATCACCATTGGTAGCTTTGACTTCAAAAACACCTGCATTGATTTCCAATATAGAAATATCGAATGTACCACCTCCCAAATCATAAACTGCAATAATCTTATTGTCTTTCTTTTCCAAACCAAATGCCAAAGCTGCAGCAGTTGGTTCGTTGATGATTCTGAGAACATCTAATCCAGCGATTTTACCAGCATCTTTTGTTGCTTGTCTTTGTGAATCATTGAAATAGGCTGGCACTGTTACGACTGCCTTTGATTAAGGTTTTCCAATATAGGCATCTGCAGTCTCCTTCATTTTCATTAAGACGAATGCTCCAATTTATGATGGAGAATAGGTTTGACCACCTTGAGAAATATATGCTAGAGAATACTCTTCAAACTAACCCAAGCATCTCCGTTTTGAGCTCTGACCACAGAGTAACTCAAATGTTTAATATCCTTTTGAACCTTTTGGATCATCAAATCTTCTACCAATCAATCTTTTTGTGGCATATACTGTATTTTCTGGATTGGTTACAGCTTGTCTTTTTGCTGGTGCTCCAACTATTCTTTGTCCATCAGCAGTAAAGGCAACCACTGAAGGGTGTTGTACGCATACCTTCTGCATTTTCAATGACTTTTGGTGTACCAGCTAATCAAGAATTAGAACCATAGATACCTTCCATTATGGATACACATGAGTTAGTTGTTCCCAAATCTATACCGATGACATATTCTCCTTTGGTTACCTTGCTACTGAATGCATTCACAGTGTGTTAGTTCACTTTTAGTGTTGGTTTGAATAACTTGCTCAACATTTAATTACCTCAAATTAATTTTTATTTCTTATCAACATTTTTAACTATGTCTTTTATACTACAATTAAAATTTATTCTAGAAATTCTCAATGAATAATTATTAATATATTGTTTATATATTCAATCAGACTTTAATTTTGCTGAAGTCAACGCTCTTGACTAAACTGAATGCTTCCTCAGTCACTTGAATATCTCTGATTAATTTGTTCTTTAAGTCGGTGTAAATTTAGGTGTCATCAGCATATTGTTCATTCTCCAAATCAAGTAAAGCTTAAGCAGTGTTTCTGTCAGATTATCTTTGGGCTTGGAATGATAAAAATTGTTCAATCTTTTCTATTTTCATTTTATTTGACAATTACCTTAAGTAGCATTCAAATCAATGGTAATTTTAGTAATTTATCTTTAGAATTCAGCATATTCAGCGTCCAATTATTCAATTCTGTCCTCGTAGTCTTGAACATCTTAGGCTTCTTAAGCAGTAGCAGCATTGATGGCATCAACGACGGCATTTCTGAATTCATTCAATTTGTCAACGATTTGTTTGATGATTCCTTAATCTGAGAAGTTTTATTCTGAAGCCAAAGTGATCAAGGCCTTGATTAAAGTTTGGTGTTATGAATGTGGTTGGATTCTGGCTTCGATCTTTCTCAAATTGTTTTAGAATTTTTGAATCTAAACCAATGATGGGTTGGTCAATGTGCTCAACAAGTTTAAGGCATCATCAGTGGCACCAACTGCATCGTTGAATTCAGCGATTTAAGCTTCGAAGGCTTCATGCTCTTATTCTCTGATCAATGTTTCTTCATCGACATTCTTTCTATTGAATTCTTAGTAATCAATCAATTATTAGATCTTGCTCTTGAGTTATTCTCTTCTTGGATAAAGTAAATTCTCCAATGTATCAGCACTTCTTTAGATGTCTTAATTTAAATTTAAATCACATACCAATATCAGCATCTTAAACTTCTTAAGTATATTATAATGATAATGAGTTGTGTTCATTTGTTCTAACTCCATAGTTGTATTCGACTTCATCCAATTCATCTTACATTTATTAAATCATTTCTTCAATTGCTCCTACTAAGTCTTATAAAACTCCTCCTGTGTGAGCATGTAATTCAGCCAATTGTAAGATGGTTTGTCCCCAATTAGTTTTCATTAAGGCATCAACATGCTTCTAGGCCTATCTATTCAAGTCTGTTGAGACTGCATTGAGTGAAACAGCTAAAATAAGCAATATGGCAATCTTCATTAATTAAATTATTGCTACACACATCCATCAATCAATCAACTTAATCACTTTAAATCAACTATCCGTTTTCATTTAGAAACGATTATTTATTATATACTTTGTGTACATTATTATTATGCAATTCAATCTGCTCTCTATAATAATTGATAGTAACTAACCATTCTCCACTTCTCTATCAAGGTGAAGTTGTTCTTGACTTGTTTTCCTAAGCATTTTTAATAAATTTCAATCTTTCATTAATTAATCCTCATTAAGAGCTAATAACTAACTTTGCAGTCTGATACAGATTATGAATGTTAAAGTAATTTATAATTGATAAGTCTATGGACATAAATCTAAGTAGAAATATTAGAATATATGTATGAAGATATGTAAATTTATATCAAAATTGGAGAGATTAATTTCTGATCATCAATATTACTTTTAAGGGTTGTTTTCATACATAGGTGAATAAGATATGTTTAATGAAATACATAATTTTTTTGACATTTTATCCTACTGTAAATTACTTTTGGTTAACCATTTATAATTTTCAGTATTAATTACTGTAAATCGATCGGAGATTTATGAGAATAAATTGCTTTTAAAAAATGAATAAAAAATATGTTAATGTAAAATTAAATGAAATTTGATTACAGGAGAGTATGGTGGTTAATAAATAATATTTAATTCATGATATCTTCTGCTTCAGGGAATTTAATATGATTACTATAAATTTAAGGGATGAGTTTCATCTGCATTACGTTCATATTGTTCATTTGAAGGATGGGAACTGAACTCTGAATAAATTGCTAGCTATTTTTTTTCATTTTGTAATAATTCTTTTCTTATATTTTTATAATTAAATTTCTTTCTATCACTTAATTTATCAAAATCATCTTACACTAAAATTGTTGGTCTTATGGACATAAATCTAATTTATTTTAATCAGTATTTACCTTATAAAAGAGGTTACAACTGTTAATAAGGAGATGGCAATTCTTAGATATGTTAGGAATTCCAATTCCCCTTCTTACTTCCAAGCTTGGTTCACAGTAAAATATGTCTGTATCACTATTTGAGGCAAATCTTCAAAAATAAACTAAAAGAAGTAGCCCTAAGTTATTATTAATTTAAATTTGTACTTTAACTAGGTTGCTCATTGATTTTCCTGCTTAATTTGGTAAGATGGCCCTGGTTAATTTATTATTGGGGATGACTGACACATTATAAGGAGCAATGGAATCTAATAAATTAGATAGAGCAGAATTTCTTCCTAGGAATCCAATGGAATAGAACTCGTTAATGAATTGGGATGATAATTATTGGATTGACTTACTAGATTAGAAAAGTCCTTTAGTGATTAAGTAGAGAAAATAAATAAAATTGATTCCTTATGTAAATCCAGTGATGATGCAAGTCAAATAAAATAATTCATTGTAATTGCAATTCTATAGAACTAAAATGAAGGTTACATCACCAAAGAGATCAAACTTAAATAATTAAGACATTGAAAATTGAATGATCCTATTAATTTAAGTAACAAATTTAGATTTGCCCACTCTATTGATTTTTGATAAAAAGGATTTATATGACTTTTCTATCTTTTGTCTGTATCTGTATTTGAATTACGAGTTAGCCATCTTGTCATCAGTCAGATTGGCCCTATTGCTTTCAAGTGTAATATTTGATTGCTTATATTGGGTTATTTTGATTTCTGACTCATTGAATTGCAGAGCATGTTCCATCTACGTTATGTATTCAGGTATGATTTCACAGATCGAAAAATAAAGATACCCTTCTATCAATGCTGAGATAAATGCAAATGCTGCATAATAATAATACTACTAGTAACTTGTAGTTACTTGGCATTGCTATTCGTTTTCTTTGGTTGCAAATTCAATCAGGAAAAAAGGAGCTACAATTGCTGCAGCAAAGAAGAGAAAGTTAGTAAATACTAGTAGCAATAAATTTAATTTCTGTTTTGACAAATATTGATTTAATGCAACCACTTATTCATCAAATACATACTTTTGAGTTGGCTTGACGAAAATATCATAGAAGTTATATTGAATCATTCTATAAAGGTTTGACCATGAACTGCCTTCAACTTTTCTATATGCTGTTTCTCTTAACCCATATCCTATGCCAATATTTAAGAAATTATCGAATTTGTAATCAATAACTGAATATTGAAAGTAATACGTGTCATATAGGATCGAATACAACCCTTTTATTGCCTAAATGCTTAATGTGCCTTGTATTCTAACATTCGATGGTGGGATCAACCTACAGAGGGAAATCACATCTCTCTCAGTGTAACCTTTTTAAAGCATCCTCTCAACCAAATCATCATTCAAAGTGTATTCCATTAAAATCTAATCTACATTGCATTTGTAATATTTAATATTCTCCCAAATCTATAATACATCAAATTAATGTAATTCTTCTAAGGATTGTGATTCTGCTTTTATTAAGTTGATGTTCTTTATTTTATTTATGGATTTGCTTAAAAAAATGTAGGCTTCTCTTTAAAAGAGCATAAAGTATGGAAATGGTTTGGCTGGTTTCTCGGTTGTATATCTAAATAAATTAGAAAAGCTATTCAGAGTGGCTAAATTCAAGGTGAGTTCAATTGAATTTTAGTCTTCACCTAGAAGTTGATTTATTATTTTTAAGTAATGTTCTATAAAATTTAAATGAAACTTTGAAAACTTGAAGCATTCACAAAAGTCTAATCGATTCGGGATTATCAATTCATTCCTGTTATATATTAATTAATTTAAAATTTCCACTTGATCTCCCAAGTGAATTGGGATTTCATCAAAGATACCTAATCTGCATCCCTTATAATCTATTTTTATAGGTAAATCATCAGGGGGTTTATATTGACTAGGCTTTGGGGAAATGTATTCAGCAATTTAATCCTTTAATGTTACATTATAACATAAGAATGTATACAAAGGCAGCTTCTTATTTTTTGATAATTAAGCTCTTTTTTATGCTGCCAATAAAATTTTATTTAATTTTTCATCTGTATCTAATTACGTACTAGTCAAATTCAATTCAATCAAATAGACTTTTGGGTGGAAGATAAAATTATTAAATATATTCTCCCATCCAATCTCTGTTAAAAAGTTATTTTTTGAGAAATTCAATCTTTTCAAGGGAAAACGATATTGTTGTGCTTTTGAATTCAAAAATTTCTATGCATTATGACCAATGTGAGTGGCTATTGAATCATTCAATGCCATCATATGTAGATTCAATATTTCTAAATAAGGTGTTTTATCAGTGAAAACAAAGGTTCTTAGAAATTTCTACCACACTGCTTTATCTTAGAATAATTCATTTTTTCCTATATCCAAATACCGAATCGGGAATATCTTACCAAATTGTCTTTGGTTCCTCTTCTAAAAATGTAACCAATCTGTCGCATGTTTAATCATATCAATTACGATTTTGTCATCCAACTCTATTGCTTGTAATTCAATTCTTTCAATATTGACATATTCGAAATAAATTAGATTATTGAACAGTATGTCCATCCCTTCTTGACCGATGTGAAAAGAAAACAGAATGCAAATTCTTTTGATGCTCATATAAAAGGATTTTTATCTACTAGAGTAACTGATTCTGTCCCTTAACTTTTCAGCAGGACTGACTATAGCTTTAATTGCAGGGACTCTCAAATCACAATTCATTAAAACCAGTTCTTCCAATATGCTATCTTCACTGTAAATCATCTTCGACGAAATTAAAGTCAAGGCATCATTATCTAATTGGACATTTGAGTTGTAGTTGATTCCCATATCCAACTTTAAGTATCTGATTTTAAATATGGAATAACTTAATTGCAAATTTGCAAAACTTTGAGGATCTCTTAAAACTAAATTAGTGAATCCAAACATCTCATTAAAAATTAAATTGTAATATAAAAAGTAAGTGTCTTCATGTTCGATTATGTTAAGATCAATTACACTCCCTTATATAGGCTTTTTGTATATTTGTTACAATAGGTTATTGGCGTCATTTTATTTTAAATAAATCACTTTTTATATTTTCAAGAGAGTCAAGGTTTCTACAGATTTAAAAATAAAATGAAAAAACTCCATGTCAACGCTTAATTATCCATTAATAATAAGGCTTTCAAGTTTTAACTTATCAGCCTTGCAAACCTCATAAATATGCTGAAATATGCTATCTGCTATTTAAGTTGTGATTTCTAACTTCTTTAAATTTGACAATTAACAAAATAACAAGGAGAAAATCTTATATATAGTTGACATATGGTTTCTGCCCTTATCCTCAATTGACAGTTTTATTTTTTCAATTTTACAATCATTTGCTTGATTCAGATCGAATTATTTTATTTAATCAAATATTACTCCTTTGGGGATGGTTATTTTCTTAATTGGAAATACCTTCCCGACAATTAATTATTCAATGAACCTTTGAGTTTATGATTCGTTTAACTTATCTTCACAATTCTCAAAGGACACCTCCTCTAGAACATAGTTGGTTCTGCATTCACTTAAATTGAGAAAAATCTATAAAAATTATTCTCTAAAACCATGAATAGATAATTTCTTCAAATTCACTTAATGATTAAATAGAAACAGCTTAAAGAATTATTCAATGCTTATTCTACTTTATGTCGTTACTTAGTGTATATGTATTTATTCGATATTGATAAATTGCTATTTCTGTGTACTCGTCAAAGATAATTCCAAATACTTCTAAGAGAATTCAATGCTATTGTTACAACATAGCATAAATAGATCCAAATCTACATTAGACAGTTTTAATTTTTTCAATTAACTTTCAGGATAGATAATAAACCCAGTAATGATCCTTTAATATAAGCTTCTTTTGAATTCTAATTATTGGAAATTGGACTCATTATTCTAGTTCTTAAATTGGTTAATCAATCCTAAATCAATCTCTAATTTCTTGAGTTATTTTGGAAAGTTGGGTTTGAAAATTTTATGATTGTAGTACAATTTTTATTTTAAATTCAGAAGTGTTTAATCAACAAACAATAAATTTTCATTGATTAAGACATTGACTTCATCTTTTCGAAGTGAATCTTGGGCTACTAATTCATATTGCATGGTTTAATTTTAATTCAAAATAGTATTAAATAACTATGAAAGATAATAATAAAAATACATTGATCCATTACAATTCTTTGATTTTATCATTTTGAGAAAAATTAATCTATCTCAAAGAGAAAATTCTTTTATATTGGAATATTTTGCTTGTGATTTGTTGTAATTATTTGCAAATAATAATAATCATATCATCATTTAAATTACAATGGATCAAATTTAAAGTGTCAAGTTATTATCTTTCTATATTCAAAATTAAATAATTGACCATCCATTCAAATAAATTCATATCTGTTAATTCACAATTCTTCAAAGTGAATTATTTTAAAGCAAACTAATTAATTTCATCAATGTAATTTTCTCTAACTTTAAGCATAGCTGTTTAGACATTTTTGCATTTTACAATCTCTAATTTTTCTATTTTAGCAATGGGAAAGAAATAGGATAAAAAATCACTGTTTAAATTACATTCAATAAATTTTAATTCTGTAATTGGTAAAAGGAAGTCTTCCTTCTCCTGAGAGGATTTGGCTTAAGAAATATATTATGCGGCTGATTAAGTCATGCCTAAATTGAAATTTATATCAACATTAATTGAGTTATATGTGAGTGAAACCAACCTTTTGTTTTAAAATATAAATATTTTAGAAAGCTAATTCCACAATTCTTTCTATTACACATAGATATCCTCGAATTCTAAAATTTGTAGTTCTTCTAAGGGATTGATGTTCTTTGGTATTATTGATGCTTATAGATTTTGAATCAATTGATTAAAGTCGATATTCTTTAATATCAATTCTTTCAATCTAATGAGCTTACTGAAGACTATGTATTTAAAGAACTCCTCCTCTCCTGCTTCTTAGAAATCACCAAATTTCAAACTTCTTAATCCAATGATTCTATTTGGATCAACAGAATTTTAGAGGTGTAACTCTAGTTCTCTGGCTGATAAGCTGGATTTGGTGAGTTTGATCTTATAAAAATGAAATTCTTTGATTTAGAGTTTAGGACAATAAATTAAGAGCTTGATCAATTTGCTTACGTCGAAAGATATTCCAGTTATAGTATCTAATTTTAAGATTTATAAACTGTGGACAAAGGATTCGGGCTAAGAATAAAGAAATCCTCCAAGTTCATTTAAATATATATTGCCATCACCCTATATGAATGTTTTTAAAGTAATACTTTCATGGAGTCTTTAAAATATTTAAAAACCCTCAATTTTATATTTGGAATTAGTAACAAACATTTAAATGTTTACAAATCTAATTCCAATTAAGCCGAAAAAAACTTCAAGTCATTTATCGAAAATTATAGATTTGGATTCTTGTGGACAGCTTCCAATATATAAGCTGCAGCTAACTTGAAAGCTTCTTTCCTATTTTTCTTAGTAAAACTTTTAATAAATTTAAAACTCTCAATTTGGAGAAGTGACTTCTCTTTTGTGAAAAGGTAATCCAAAAAGAACTGCTTCAAAACATCAGTCTTCATTGTGTATTCTTGTTCTGTGTCTATTAAAACTAGATGTTTTAAATTCAATTTGAAATCTTTATATTTAGGAATTTTGGATTTTCTCAAAACGAAGTCAGATTAAAATTAATTCAAAGCTTTACAATAAATTTCAGTTCTTCCCACATCCAAATTTTATATTGCTACATAAAATGAATTTTTTACTGTGTGTCCTAACATTACTGTATTCAGAAAAAACCACTGTTTTCAATAACACCTCAATTTAATCATATCTATTAAAATTTTCAACCTTTGACAAGTCTAAAGATTGCAATTTACTTTTATACTTATATTTTCCTTAAATAATGAATCATATCATACCTAAACTAGACTTCTAAGACTTTTCCTAAGCCTCAAATATATTATTCTACCTTTCAAAGGCTTAGATCAAAATGGACAACTTATAGAGAGTGCTATTATTCTCAGTTAATGAGTTGTTTAGATTGATAGTTTTACATTCCAAAAATATGTCATCAGCCAATAGTTAAAAGGCCTTTTCAAAAATATCTGAATTATCTGATATATCTAAATGATTGATTCTCAGACTATCATATCTGTCTCCAATCAGTTATTGTATGGCTGTAGTGTTGTGAAACAGTGGTTGGTTTTTGAGTTTCAATGTTACCAGTCCTTTAGCTGTAGCTAAATTCTGGCATGCATTATTGAAACTGCTTTAAGTACCTAGATAATTGTCAGATATATCTAAAGATGATATTTGCTCTAAATTGTCAAAGCTATAAGTGCATTTTATTAGATGTTCAAAGCCTTTCCAATTAATTTGAGTAAAACAATTGGATAAATTAAAACTAAAATAATATGTTTGATCTATTTTCTTCATTGCTAGTTCTCTTTCTTCCCTTATTTTTTGCACTTGCCAATTCCGATATATTTTTATGATCGCAAATGATAATTTGGATTTGTTTTTTAATAACAAATAATAGTAGTCCATGTTGTTCTCGTACTTTTTGACCAAATAATGTTTTAATTTTCTAAGCAGAAACCCCTTATAAACACCAGGATTACTTATTAAAAACATCTAATCAATAGTTTTTCTATGTTTTACTTTTTATAAATTGATATTTCTTTCGAAAATTTAAAAAATGAATTCTTCAACACATTAATCATCTAATTCATTATGTTAAAATTCAATAACTAGATTCTGAGGCTTCACCCAACTAAACCACAAAGGTAGTATCATTAAATTTTCTTTTTCCAGCTTCGTGTCTATGAATCTTATTTATTATATCGAAGAGTTGCCTCTTTAACGTAATTCAATCATTTTCCAATGTTCCAATTTGAAAGTTCCCTTATATCCTTTAATTGTGATTTTCTTATCATAAAGACCCATTAAGCATTATTGCTATGATAAATTGGGAGACTACCTATAATTCCTCGAGTTAATCTTCAATTGTCTTCGGTGGTTTAAATTCGAATTCTCCATTAGGCAATTTATTTTATTCTTTTTTCTGAAGAATTTCTTATCTTTAATTTGCTAGCCACTCCTTCTCCTTCCTGATTTCATTCATATAAACATTAGGTTACATGTAAAGAAAACAAAAATAATAATAATCTAAATTATTAAACAATCAAGAGAAAGTAAGAAAATAAGAAATAAAAATAAGAATTAAGTTAAATAATTACATCGTTTACTGAAGTCGGTCCAAGAAACCTACAGTTCAGATTCAAAAATGTAATTTATAGATTTCTCTCGTCATCAAATAAAACGTATTATTTTTTAACTATTTGAATATTTAAATCTAGAGAACATTTTTGAAATGAAAATGAAAATAGTATTCTATTGTTAAACTCTCAATTAAATAATATCAAACATTTATGAGTTGGATTCCAATCCTAATTCAAGTTTCCATCTGGATTTATTAAACCTATTTTTTTGAATATAATCAAATTATTTTAATCAACCTATTTAATATTATTGTTTATTAGATGAAACAGAGAAACCAATTGTTTTGTAGTTACCACCAGTGTGTAATTCTCCTTATATGTGACCTCAGCATATCCATAAGCAGATAATTGATATCGTTTATCCTTCTCTTTCGGCAAGTATGGCACTAATTAATATGGAATATCCGAGATTAGTTCAGCAGTCTACGATATAAATTAAGGCTAAGGTAAATATAATGGTTTAAGGGATGTTTAGGCTATTCTTAAATATTTCTCTAATTCTTTTAGTTTAAATTTATCCACTTATTTATGGTGATACTAGGACATCTTAGAAATCTTAGCAATTTACAAGGATAAATTAAAATTGGATTTATAAGGGGAAACTAATGTAAACAGTTTTTCCATCATTAAAATCACAAAGTGATCGATCGATTGACTCATACATTAAGAAAAATAGCCAATATCTTCATCATAAGATTCGATCAATTTCTGTAAACAACCATTGTTTTTTATTAAATATTCTTCAATTGTTTCATTTAATGCAATCAGCATATGCTTTTCATTTTAATAAAATGTTTATATATTATTTAAATGCTTTTTGAAGACTTCAAAAAATTGATCAAAATCTAAATTAAGATATTGTGAAAGAAATGTTTTATATATGATGGCCAATTAATAGAAGGGATTTATTTAATTATCTTTGCTTTCTATATTAGATAGCTTTTGTTTGATGCTGTATTGGTGTTTATCTTCAATTCGAAGAAAAGTAAATAAATTAAATAATTCTTGGGAATTTAAATTGAAGTCTACAGTTTTGAGTTATTGCTGGATAATGAATAATTTTAATTCATAGATAATGTAATCCTCTGATTAAGGATGAAGTAATTTGATATTTTATTATTCATCCTTAATGAATTATATAATATTATCTTTTGGTATTCTTTAGGTTATTGAATCAAGATAAGGTGTAAGGAATCGGGATTTGAAATAAGTGTTATTGATATCTATATTGAAAAACTGATAACCTGGTTTCAAACATATATTTTAAGAGCCACAAGCCTAAAGGATATGCAAATATAATGAATTCTAAATGATTGGTTGATTGTCAATTAAATTTTCCTTGATAATTTGGAAGGCCTTAGTAAATAGTGACTATTAGTTAATGAAAACACCAAGATAGTACACTATGTTAACTAGAATTTCCAATTGTTCAGGTGAAATCGAATGATGATTTTCGATGTGCTTTCTAAGAATATCATAATAAAACTCTTCCAATTCTAAATTTTTCTCCACATTCTACAAAAAGATCTATGTATGTAGTCTTGTGAGCAAGGAAGGCTCAAGAGATTCCTTATTTACCAGTTTGTTGTAAATAAGTTAATACAAATCCTAAACTTAAGAAATCATATTTATATAAAATCAATTTTGCTTAATATTAATTTTCCAAACATCTCTAATAATTCCTGATCAAATGAACAGACTTTCTAAGATCTAATCCCCTTATTATTAATAACCTATAAAATAAGACAATGAGTTTTCCCTTAGATCTCAATGCAATAAATTGGCATAGTAGTTTGTATATCAACTAAACATATCAATCATCTATTTACAAACTGAGACTGTTGAATGATTGGTGGTTATAGGCATTCTAAATGCATAAGAATTCTTTGGTAATATGAGCTTCTCCAATGATACCTACTCCCAATTGAGAAATCTCAAGTAGCTTTTTTTCGTTCACTCTAAGTAACCTATTATTATTGACAACATAAATCAGTCCTTTTTGAGTATGAAACAGATTCTTCAATAAGTTTTCAGACTCAAAAAGAATGGCTTCCAGATCATTCATATAAATAAGTTATAATTATGCCTAACATAGAATGATCAATACATAAATCACATTTCTAAGTGCATTCTAAATACTGATTGATTCATTGGATTGTTGATGATTTCTCAATAAGATAGATGTCGATTCTGAAGTCTTTGTTATATAGAGTTGGTCATCATTATTAAAGTGTCCATTTATTTTATTAACAGCCATAATAACTCCGATAGAATTCTATTACTTGTCTAAAATAGGACATAATAGAATGGTGTTTGTTTTGTACCCTTTTTCATTGTCTTTTTTGAATCTAGGATCATTATAAGCGTTATGCACATTAATAATTCCTTTCTCCTAAAACATGCTCCTATTATATCCTCACCTACTTGGATTCTTTACACTCTATCCTTCAACTTAGCCCACAATTCTTATTATTCATTGTCCAATACATAAACTTAAACTCTATCACAATTCAGACAATCTTTTAATAGGTCCTATAAGTTTTCTAATTGATCATTTAATGGAATTTGCTAGTTTATTCTATACAAATACTTCATGCATTTCTAAACAAGCTTGAAATAGTTTATTTTACTTAATCACATTTTTAAATAACAATTTGTGTTCATGCAATACTAACTGAATTGCATCAAATATATTCACAATATTACTGAGTTCCATTTTTTGTATATTTGCAAGAAACTACTCCTCATTAGAAACTAGAGTCTTTATTTAACTCAAATGACTGAGTTCTTCATAACATTTGACATATTAGCTTAACAAAGCTTTAAATCTAGAGAATACAAAGTACCATAATCTGAATCAAGAATAGCACTGAGATTTTCATCAAAATTAGTGTCCTTGGTTCTGGTTCTTAATGACTTTTTGCCTCTGAAACTCTACTACCTTGAAGACTCATCTGATTTAACAACATTTTTGAGTGGATTCACTACTTCAACAATTTACTATTTTTCGACTCTTAATGCACTGATTATGCAATCTCGTTTGTCTATTGCTATCTAAAGTGACTTAATCATGAATTCATATTGCAAAATCTATTTTTCTTTTAATGCTAATGCAGAATTCTATTGTTGAACCTTTTTCACTAAATTTATTATAAGCTCCTATAAATCCTTCTCGCTCTGTTATTTCAATTTTAGACTCATAACCTCACTTAAATTGGGCAGTTTTTCATTATTTTGTTTTTCCAACTTGTCACTCGATCTATAATTTTAAGAGGTTACAGGTCTTCTTATACTTTAAATTGTATTATTCATTTATATAATAAAAATAATATCAAGCATCGTAAAATTCTTCTTTATTATCATCATACACTTATTAAGATTTCGAAAATCTCTTAAGAACATACGAAATGAATGCCAAGAACAAAATTGCAAAAATGATACCGTTAACCTAATAAATTTCCTAAAACAAAATACAAGCAAAAAGGTTTCTAAGAAGAAAAATAATGCTGGAGCTTCAGTTTAACAATCGCTTGGTGACTAATACATTCTTCCTCCATAAATCAATAGTAAAATGATGTAGATGCCAAAACAAATATCCAAGAAATTAAAAAAAAGATTAATCGCAGCATTTTTATATCTATGTTCATCTAAATATTCTACCTTGGAATTAAAGTAATAAGTATGTAAGTTCCCCAGATGATTAATCCATAGAAAACCAAATGTACAAATAACTGAAGATTCTAATTGCATTTTTATTCAATAAACTAAGTCTCAATAATTCCTGAAGCCGATAAGAATATTAGAGTGTAAAAAAAATGTGCCCCTTCACTTGCTTTTAATTGCTTTTTTGCCTCTATTTCTTGCATTTGTAATATTTATTTATAATTTACACATTTAACGATGAAATAATATATAATAGACCACTTTTAATATTATTATTAAATTTAGATTGGAAATATGTATGTCATATTGCTTATTCTGCAGATAAACAAGTTTTTGTGACTTCTACTATTTTAATGATATCAATAAACTCAGTTATAAAATACATATAAAAATATATCAATCTATCTTAAACTATTTGTTAAGTTTGCTTCTGAAATAATAAATTTCTGACAGTTAATCACTTGTAAAATGAGATTTGTTCACCTTTGATATGTTATATTTCAATTACAATTTGTAACTAATTTTAGAGCATTTTTTTTTTCCTTTATAAATTTAGTATGTGCTAACCTCGATTTGAACTAAAAACATTAGTAAAAATGTTTTCCTATTTCAGATTCATTTCATGTTTCTTCAAACTAACAGAGCGAGCCTCTATGATCAAGGGTGGTAAAATCATCTAATCTGATACTTGAGTTTTTTGAGTTAACTATATTTTTTTTTTCATTATTTGGAAAATTATTAAAATGCAATCGCTGGTTGAGAATGATGACATCTACTTAGAACCTATCAAAAAGAAACCAAAAATCCAAGAAGTGATTAAAACTAAATAGCCTGAAAGCAATTCAATCGTTAAAAAAAAACCTGCTGCCATTCCCATTAGGTACGTTCCAGATTTGAGAGCTCAAGCTTCATTGCTGGAATCATTGAAGATTATTGAAAATATCTAGCCAGATACCATGTAATCAAGTCTCAAAAGTGATTATACAGAATGGACTCATTAGGATTTCATGTTTTAACTCAGCCTGTAATCCAATTAAATACATCCTGATTGCGTTGAAAGATTAAATTAGTATTTCCGAGACTTCAATCAGAAGTGTAAAATCTATCCATACATGCATTATGTTGATTTGAAGCCAGATAAAGATCACATTGTAACCATGCATCCTCCTTTTCAATACTAAAAAGATGAATTCATTGAAAATTGCATTAGACCAAGAGTAATTCCTCTAGTAAAGCCACCCCCAAAACCAAATATCAAAATAAAAATAGAGTCGAAATGATTATGTTTATATAAATAAATGCTTATCATTTATTTTTTCTTAATTTATTAGGTCCAGCCCTTTTATTTTTAGTTTAATTTTATTATTTCTAAATAAAAGCCAAATAAATACTTCAAGTTTTTCGAGAGCTTTTTTCTTGAATTCCTCCACTGACAATATTTTATCACCTTCAATGTCATCATCCTCATGCTCATCTAAAATAACATTATTGCATTACCAAATTGTGGCAATTCTGCCCTATTCTTATTTTAAAGGTTCTTCTCATTCATTTAGGCTAACTGTTGCAATGAATTTATTTGATTTTCTGATATTTTCTAATGAATTTATTAATAGTATTGTAATAATTTATTCGTTTTGTTTTCTATCAGTCCCAAATAAATCATCATGTTGGTATCAGTAACCCCATGAGATCCAGCTATCTCTGTTGCCATTTATTTATCGCATTCAACTGTATTGAATAGGGTTTCAATCCAATTCTAAAAAATAGAAATGCTTGATTTACTGTTAAACTACTTATGAGTTTTATAGATTCATTATATTTGAATTCGTATTATTCAGATTTCTATTCTGATCTTGATAGTTTCTCCTCTAAATCTTTGAGATGTCTTTTTCTTTAAACATCCACATTAGAACCTTGACCTTCATATAAGGATGCCTCATCCTTTAGTTCTCCTATTTGTTTTTCTAGATCTTCAATTTCATTGCTTAACTCATTAACATATTTAAACATCTAAAAATTCTATTGTGGATGTAAATATATATTTTACTTTTTCTTCATTCTAAATAAAGATTTTGATGAGCTCATCAAATACTTTAATTTATGTGGCTGCTTAGATCTTAGCAAAGTCTTCCTCATATTTCATAATTTATTCAACAATAGTTTAATTGACTGTCTTATCTCTAGTTAGTTTGTTTGTTTTAGGTTTAGTGAATTTATCAGGATCGACTACTTCCTATGCATCCATTTCTCTGTTCTTCTCTGTTAATTTCATATAATCGAGTGTTTTCTTATTTTTTTCCATGATCTAACTCAATTCTCTGAGATCTTTTTCGAAATCAGCAGATTCTCTCTTTGCCTATTATTTTAAACTTTAAATTAAATCATTTGCCTTGTCTCTCTCCTCATAAGCAGTATTAGCAGTTTCTATAATATCAGCCATTTCCTATCATAATAATGTAGTAGATATACTTTTCTTTTTTCATGCAATTCCTTCTCCAATTTTTTATAGAGATTATCAAAAATAACTCTTTCTCTGCGTAGACTATCTATTTATTATCTTAATTATTTATTGATGGCTATGGCTTCATTAAATTTTTGATTTGTTTTGTCTAATCTATTTTCCAAAATTTTAATTTGTTTTTGCAGTGCACTTTCATTTTCAGCCCCTGCATTGTATCCACCTAAAGCGTGTCTTTTTTCTATAATTTTCTTTTGAAAATCAGCCACATGAGTATCAATTTCTTCCTGCACTTTCTTCTCTTCATTAATAGCAACTTTCAAATCATCAATTATAGTGTCAATATTAGGTCCTTTAGAATAGGTAGTCTGATTAAGTTATAATTTTTAGGAGTTCATCTTTGCTATTAAGTCCTTCAGAATGTAATTTTCATTCTTTAGTTTATCTATAATTCCTCTTTGTTTTTTAATGTTCGCAACAGTTTCTTCTGCATAAGCTTTTCTGTCTGATTCTAAGTTTCTAAATTTCTTCTATTGCTCTAATAACTATTCCTAAACAGTCATTTCCTTATCAGCAACCTGATGATCCATTCCTTGGTTCTGGTCCTGTTACATTAATTAAAAATACTCTAATTTAAATTATATGTATATAAAAATAAATGACTAAATGTAAATGAGCTCAAATTTATTCAATAAATAATAGGTTATAAGTAGCATATGAGATATGAAATTGATAAAGATAAGCATTTTATAAAGAATGATTAATTAATTATAGAAATTAAGGAGAATATGTATTAGGAATATTAGAGAATTAGAAAAAGGGTTTTGTTCAAGGCATATTAACCATATTAAAGGATTTGTTCAAGTAACTCTTAAAATTTAAATTTAAATTAGAAACAGAAACAAGAAATTTAGCAGAAAATAAGGTATTATTAATGAAGAAAATGATAGATTTGTAAGTTATGAAATAACTAACTATTGAAAAGAAAGGAATCAGATTAGGAAGGGAAAGAAAGATGAAATTTAAAAATTAAGCAAATTAAGAATTTTATAATTTAAAAATATTTGTAGTTTCCTTAAAATAATAAGAAAATTTAAATCAAATAGGTTTTGAGCATTATGAATTTTGAAAGAATTCTAATGGGTATTTATAGTTTAAGTGATGCATTATAACAGGAAGGGATTGAATTATCATATATTCGTCAAATTTATTGATGTGATCAAAGTAAGAAAATTAAGTTTCTACATTTAGATAGCAAGAAACACATATGTGAGGAGAATCAAGATGAGTGGGTTATTTCAATAATAGTTTATAATTTGATTAATGTGTAGAATTCAAGGAAAAGATGAATCAGTTGTAAAAGAATTATGAGTTTGTAGAATATTAAACTAAATTATACTAATCTGAATATTAATTATTTTAATGATTAATCTCTTCTAAATGCTTCAACAAAATAGCCCATTTTTTTAGGAATTATAGATATATGACGATGGAAAAAGAGTAATTTTATTTTTAGAATGTAGATTTTAGATAAGTCCCTCAGAGATAAAGAAGGGATGGAGTACTACTTGATATCTAAGAAATTCATAAAATAATGGAAATATTATGTAGATTATGATGAAGAAATGGAAGAAATATAATTAGACCCTCGATAGAAAGTTTTGAATTTAAATATGAATAGCCTGATAAAATCAATTCTGATTTAATAAACAATGAGAAATTGTTTAGGTACTTCCCTGAGAATCATGTTTATAATTCTAGCATTCGATATTTGGAAAATGAATGGGATTACGAATTTGTAATTTATGTAATAGAAATTCTAGGTTTTGAAAAAAGTGTATGAATATTTTAATGAAATTTATCAATCAATCGAACCACAAATCAGAGTGGGATTTTATAACGAAAGTCTTAAAAGAAAGCAGATATTCCCTAACTTAGCAAGAGTATTGATAAAATTTATTTAAGTTTACTCTGATTTATTAGTCTCCTATAGACAATAAACTATATACAGCAAAGGCTTAAGTAGATTATAACTCAGAGATAAAGGCTTGGACAAATTTATTGAGAGATACATTTTAGGAGTAATTCAAACCAAAGAAGATAAATAATGTCCGAGTGTGGTGTCCACGACATAAGACTTTTAAAGCAGACTTGTTGATCTAATAAATGGAGAAGATTAAACAAGTAGATGGAGATATCTTGAATGAAAATTTGATAATATTTCAGATGTAAAGTTAAAGGGATAATTGTATAATCATCGATCTTGAATTGAATGATTGGCAATTCAAAAAATTCGAATAAACAATTGAATATGATAATGCCCTTTTGTTGGAAAAAGCATTGTATGGTTGTGGTAAAATAGTGTGTGAATTTCCCTAATGCAAATTGAATAATGGATATTCAGATTTAGGATTTGCAAAGGAAGACATTTAAGGAATTTGCTAAGTTTTGATTGAAAATGAAGAAGTAAAATGGGAATTAATGTGTTCAAAATAAAAAAACATTACTGACAACTTACTTCCGTTTTCGGTGTAAATAAAAACAGATCCTATCTAATACTTATTGAAGATTTCGTAATCTCTAGAGTTATTTGGAATATCCTTTGTAGAAAATTACAATAAGAATTAAGGCATATATCAGATAAACCCAAAAAATGCAGAAATAAATTCTTTATTAGTTCTGCAAATAGCTTAAGGTTTAAATTAGTAGAAAGATAATTTAATGCAAATAATTAAAAATTTATTCTAAAGAAAAGTAGAAGATATTGAACCACTTACAAATTTATATTAACTGAGAGCTCTTTATTTGATCCTCTAATTTAGAAATTGTCTTAGTAAGATTTTAGACGAAAAGCCTTTTATAATATTAACAGTTATAAGAAGATTGAGTCAACAGTAAGCAAATTAATTATCTAAATGGCTGACTAAACTTGATAAAACTGAACTTCAACAGTTTTAATCGATTACAAAAAAGGCAATTGAACAATAAATCAATATCTAAAAAAATGCCCCTATTAGGCCCCTTTTAGATATTGACGACATTTAAAGATTAAAAGGACTCTTTGATTTATACAGCGTCATCTACAAGTCGAATATCAAGAACCCTAGAATCCCAGCTTCTGAATTTATTATCAATTCCATACAACAGTTTTATAAAGTCGACGCAGACAGACAGGAATTCACATAATTCTAAATTTTCAATGCAAAAGTTTGGAGGGGTTACTCTTTTACTTTCTGCCAATATCCTTGGGCTATGCCAATCGAATTTAAATCTAGACTTCTCTCTATCGAATGCAAAGTGAAGTAGTATGATACCAGAAGGAGAGCATATGGTATTTTCCCTTAATTTGTATCCTTAACTATAGAAAGAGATAATATTATCGAGTCCGCTATCAAATAGTTATAATAAACTTAGGTTTCGCTTAAGAACCCTCTAAAGGTTCAGTTTGTAAATGAACAAGGAGTTGATGAGGGAGGACCAAAAAGAGAATTTTTCAGATTGATTATGGAGAAGTTGGTCACTCCAGATTATGGTATGTTCATTCCAAAAAACAATGACACTGTATTTTGGTTCAATCCTCAATCTTTTGAAATGCCAATCTATTATTCTTTGATAGGGAAGCTCTTAGGATTATCTCTTTATAACTCTGTATTGTTGGATGTTCGATTTCCAACAGTTTTATTTAAGAAATTGCAAAGAGAGAAGTTAAAGGAAGAAGACCTAAAGGAATTAGACATGGAGACTTATACAGGTTTCCAATTTCTGAGAGAATAGACTGATCCAAAGGTAGTCGAAAGTCTCGGTCTTACCTTTAATGGCACATACAAGGTTTGGGGAGAAAACTATTTTGAGGATCTGAAGGTATTGCCATCAATTATATGATATAGCCTAATGGATTCTAAATTAATGTTACTATTGAGAATAGAGAAGAATATATATAATTGTATATAGATTGGTATTTGAACAAATTAGTTTAGAAATAATTTGACCTGTTGAAAGATGGGTTTAAAACAGTTGTTGATGGGGATGGTATAAAAGTATATATTACGTTTTAATCACCATAGTTGTTTTCAGGAGAGGAATTGCAGTAATTGATTATAGGTTTGCCAACCTTTGATATGAAGGATTTAGAGGCATCAACCAAATATGATGGATATGAAAGTGATTCAGAATATATTAGGTATTTTAAACATCAATATCAAGATATTTTTGGAATTGCATCCATAAATTGAATGTTGAAATGCAGAAAAGATTTTTATTCTTCTGCACAGGTTCAGATAGGATCCCTGTTGGAGGACTCAAATCTATCAAGTTTGTTATTTAAAAACATGGACAAGGTATTTCTCTATCATAATATATACTTAGATACTGAACAATTGCCATCAGCTCATACTTGTTTTAATGTACTATTGTTGCCATTTTACAAAAATAAGGAAACTTTAAAAGAAAAGTTGAAAATCTCTCTAGATAATGCGGAAGGATTCGGTTTGATGTGATTTATGATGTTTGATCATTTAATTATTATCTAAATAGTTTTTATTTCATTATGAAAATGATTATTTCATCGCTAGTGATGAGAACTATACAAAAAATTAAATATTATAAAATGAATGCTGATGTAAGTTCTATTTAATTGACTGACGTAAGTCCTCCACTCACTGCCTAAAAACCTAGAAAAGACGCTTTCAATAATCCTATTTTAAAGGGCAACAATTCGCATAAAGTTATTTTTAGGGACCAAGCAAATAATGGCCCATTATTCGAAATTCACATTGTTGAAAATTTCAAAGAATACAATTTGGAAGAACCCCAAATGAATAAAAAAACATAAATTTGTGACTGTGCAATAATTTGAACACTGATTGATTGTTTAATGTGATAATAGCTAAAAAATTATCTATATAAAATATTAAGCCTCCCCTGCATGTGTGATACCTCAGGCTAGATCATAATCCTATAGAGTGAGTTGAAATACTGTATTTCTTGCATAACTTAGATATATTAAGGTCTTAACTATCTACTTTAAGCAATTTTTCTATTTATGGAATAATGTGATTTTGAAATATCATTCTAATGGATTGTGTTTATATTTAGATTTTTATTTTGTCTAATATATTTACATTGCTTAGAACCATATCTTTCTGAAGAATCCTTAATTTTGAAATTAAGCCTACAAAATTGATTAGGAGAGTAAGCATTTACAATTTTGGAGATTTTATTATTATTTTTTAAACACTTTTAACTTTAATATAATTCCATTCTTTAAATTTATTAAATTATTTAATTCTATATCCTGCCGCAGTACATTTCTCAAATGCGATTAACTAATGTTAAATTTTTGGTTTGATAGAGATATTTTCATTTTCAAAACTATTGATTTTAATGATAATACTAAGAATGATAGATATGCATTTTATAGATACTATTTATTCTTATAGAATATTTATATTAATATGATATCATCTAATTAGTATTAAAACATAAACAGAAAGGAGAATATAATAAAATATGAGAATATCTAAATACTGATAATTTTCAATGTTGTTATTAATTAATTAAAAGGGTTGATAAATTTTTTAATTTCAAATGTAACTATGAAACATAATGAAAATTGTAATATTCACTTGGAAATAACTTTTTTAAAGGAGATATAATTATTAATTTATGTAACATAGTATGGCTATTTAAAATAATTGGTGCCATAAAGAATCATATATGTCATATTATTTAATATGATTTTAAATTACTCAATTTCATATTTAAGAGTGTAATAATAGGTAGTGATAATAGCATCTTCATCTTTTAAAATCAAAATTAAAATTCTATATTAAATTCAAATCAAAACTTTTCTATTTTTTACATTTCACTATAAAAAATAATTAACTTCTAGATTTCACTTAATTTAGTTTTTTACAAACACACTTGACTTTAAATAAGTATTTTTTACAAATAATTATAATTGTGAAGTTGTGATTTCATTTCAGAATTTGATAATCACCACTTTAACTATCCTTATTTTCATATCTCTAATTACTTTATAATTTACTACTTTCTATCTTAGTTTCTAAATGCAATAAATCACTTTGATTGAAATTCTAAAGATTATGATGTCTCCTACTAGATTATAGTTTAATTTTTAAATAAAAATCAAAGAACTAATTTAACGCTCCTAAACGTGAACTGTTAGTTTTTTTCCGAAAAATTCATACTTTCATATAGAAGACAAGGAGTAAATACAATATCTAAAAAAATCCTTCGATAAAATTTTATAATTCGATTCTGATGGAATATAATTTTAATATTTATATTTAAATTGATTTATGGGGTATGTCAAATCACATAATAAAAATTTATATTATGAAAAAAGTTTTGAATAGATACTCCTATTCTGAGAACGATGAATTAGGAAGAGGAGCATTCGGAAGAGTATATAAAGGTGTTGATTCGAAGACTAACAAACCTATTGCGATTAAATGTACTTACAAATGTGATCCTAGTTATTAGCTTAGATGGTTTATTTGATTAATAGTTGATTGAAAATTTCAAATAAGAAATGAGCATAATGAAGGAATTTAATCATCCTAACATAGTTAAGCTCTTAGACTACAAGATGGACCCATAATAAAATGTAAATATCGGAAATTCGGTTAGATTGTTGTGATTGATTATTGTGAAGGTGGAGATTTGTCGAAGTATCTGGATAAAAATGGTTCTATGCTTGATGAGTATACGGCCACTTAAATATTAATTCAAGTCGTTAACGGATTTAGAGAAGTGATAGCTAAAGGATATATCCATCGTGATGTTAAGCCTGCCAACATTTTAATTCAGAATGGACTCTTTAAATTGGCTGATTTTGGATTTGCCACAAAAGTAGCAACAAATGAAGTGCTCGATTAATAAGTAGGAACACCATTATATATGGCTCCACAATTATTAGAAAACACTGCTTATTCTTCCAAATGTGACATTTGGTCATTAGGAATTATAGCATATGAGATGATATATGGAAGATAGCCATGGTCATGTAGAGACATGAAATCTTATTTAAAAAATATTAAATGTTATCCTCTTAGGTTTCCAATAGATAAAGCAGTGTCTGACTAATATAAAAGTAAAAATTTTGGTACTATTTAGATTTTGTCAGACAATGTTTGAAAGTAGATGAAAATTAACGAATAGGTTGGAAGGATCTCTTTGATCATCCATTACTTGATACAAGATAAATAGCATAAAAAACATTTGTAATATAAATTTTCATAATGTATTTAGAAAATAATAGAAATGGATGATGAGACAAAATAAATACTTAGAAATATATAATATATTGCATAAGCAAGATAATTAAAGATATAAGAACAGTTTTCTAAATATGATCTAGATAAAGAAGGAAATTTGGATTTCAATGAGTTCCTTTAGTTTATTTAAAAGATTGATCCTTCACTCACTTCTAATGAAACATCCAAATTATTTAATTTCTTAGATCAACAAAGAAAATAAAAAATCAATTTAAATGAGTTTTAGGTTTTGTTTAGTGGGAATGATTTTTCAGATCTTAAAAACTTTGCTTAAAGAATAATATCGGACTTAAAAGAGATTATAGCAAATAATAAACTAAATGTAGATTAAATATTTCATTTTTACGATGAAGATAAAGAAGGAGATTTAAAACTTGATGAGTTTAGTAATCTTATTCGAAGAATTGCACCTGCTTTAAAACCAAAAGAAATATTAATAGTAAAACTCCGTTTATTAATTCCCTTAGGTATTTACTGAGTTTGACAAGAACAATGATGATTCCATAAGTTTAGATGAATTCAAAAAGATTATTTGTCCTTAAGGCTAAAACTACGAAAAGCTTAAGCTTTAGGTAAACTATATATGTATGACGAAAATAGAAATTACAATAACAATTAGTAGCAGAGATTAAAAGAAGAAAACTAACAAATGAAAACATCTTCAAAACATTTAATGTAAGCAAGACTAATAAAATGAATTATGAGGAATTTACAACTTTATGCAGAGATCTAGTGAAAGTTATTACAGATGATGAAATACAATAAGTTTTTAAAACAGCAGACAAAAATTAAGATTAATGTATTAGATACGAAGAATTTATGAATTTTTTTAAATGAATTTGATTTATATTTATTTGATGTAAACATTATAGAATAGATTGAATCAGTGTTTATATATTTTAATAAGCCAAAATGGAAATAAGTTAAAAAGAATTCAACTGGAAGTACTACTTTGTTTAGCATTTGGTATGTTTTGGTTCTTTGCAAGACTTAAACTGAACAATTCATAGTGATTTAGAGTACTTCAGAGTGATGATTCATCAGGAAGTGTTTGAGAATGAAGAAAGAGGATTGGAATAAGGTTTTAATCAAGAATTACTGAAGATTTTTTAAGTTGGTAGAAATATTTAAAAATAATTATTATTATTATAAAGTAGATTTCTAACTAATATGAGCAAATAATTATATTAGATTATTTAAGTCATGAGTTCTGGTATGGAATAACCATTCGAAATATATGATTAAGGTAAAGGAGGTTTTTTGAATTTTAATGAACTTAAGAATTTATTTTAACTACTTATCCAATTATTAATATCAAAGACGCTCATCATTTAGGAGTTTCTATAGGTTTAGTACTGTTGCAATACTTTGAAAAATTATTAGATAAAATTTTCTTTTATTTTTAAATCAATAGAATAACGACTTCAGATAGGACTCGATGAATTTAATAGAGATCTGTTTATGCTCTCATTAGAATTCAGAGTTCAATCCAGTCAAAGAAACCCAATATAATTATAGAAAATATTGCTAATTTATTAGTGAAAAGTTGATAGACTTCCATAATCGATATTGGAATTTCTGAATTTTCAAACAAAAATAAGAGCTAGAGCTTGTTCAAACTTATCTAAGGTAATGAAAATTACATCAACCCTTGAGAATCTATATTTGTTTTTGAGCCAGATGATAAATACAAAGACAAGTTAAATGGATTTTGAAAATTGTTTCTGAAATATATAAGAGTATAATATACAAAATGAAGATAAGATTCAACTAAATGAGTATTGGATGTAGAATTAAGTGTTTCCCAGTTGAAAATTTTATGAATTTTGAAGTTCCACTTCTTCATTTTACTATATTTTACAATACGCTTGCATTGAGTTTGCTTGATATTGCACTTCTCCATCCGAAGTTTAATACACCACCCCAAGACAAGTTCCATCCATCATCAAGTTTTGTTTACTTTAATTCAGTTAGATTGAATGAACACTATTTAAACGATTCGAAAGTTGTATCACTTTCTTTTTCTTATCAAAATTCACAGAGTATTAGTTAATTCTTATCACTTTTTCCATTTAAATAATTTATCTTTGCATTAATTGATAGATAAGATGCTATTATTCCTTGTTTTTTAAGACTAATTTGTTATCCGACACAATTAGTTCGGCATGTTATTATTTTCCCTTTATTTGTATATCAATATCCTCTTCTTGATTACCAAAATTGAATTTTTATTCAAAAGGACGATGGGATAAATATTAGAGCTATTTTTGCCATACATTATAATTTGCAGAATTCTTTATTTATATTGTACAGATTTTAAAGTTAGATTGGTAATCTATTATCTCAACATCATCATCATTTATTGATTGTAAGCATAACACACTCATTTGTTATTTTATTTAATTTGCAATATATTTTCTATTATTTTTATAAAACCTATTAATAGAATAATATCCAACAAATTATGATAATTCCTATTTCAATGAGAGATATTCTTTGTTACTGTTAATTGGAATCACATACTCCTATAATAATGAAGAAAATTTAGACTTCTTACCCTCTTTTCTATATTCTGATATTTTTAATAAATATTATTCTTAATAACTAAATATAATGTAAATTATATTTAGTTATGTGTAAGATCTCCATCTCCTTTGGAAATAAAAAAAATATTTAAAACTTTTGTCGGGATTATATATAAGTAAAAATAATTAACAGAAATGCGTAAATGCAATTTATTAAAATCATTGCTCACTAAACCAATTAAATCTTTTGCTTCAGAGAAATTTGTGGCGTTTAATTTTAAGGACCCCTTGAACTTGGAAAGTTAACTCACAAGTGAGGAAAAACTAGTAAATTATATAATCATTCTTAAGATTCGAGATTAAGCATCCAACTATGCATAATCAGAGTTGCAGCCAAGAATCTAAGAGGCTTATCGTAAAGAACATTTCGACCCTCAAATATATAAAGAGATGGGAAAATTGGGATTTTTGGGATGCACAATTTCAGAATATGACCTTTCTGGGGTTTCCTATACTGCATATGGTTTAATAAACAAAGAGATTGAGCGAGTAGATTCTGGTTATAGGTCTGCTCTTTCAGTGTAAAGTTCTTTAGTGATACATCCAATATATCAGTTTGGATCAAAGGAACTTAAAGATAAATACATTCCAAAATTAGCAAGTGGAGAATTTGTTGGTGCTTTTGGTTTAACTGAACCTGATCATGGTATATTAGTAAAGATAATTCATTTATAGGTTCTGATCCTGGGTCTATGAAGTCTCATGCAAAGAAGAAGGACAATTATTACATATTGAATGGTACTAAGAGTTGGATTACGAATTCGCCAATAGCTGATGTATTTGTGGTTTGGGCAAAGGATGAAAAGGGAGACATAAGAGGATTTGTATTAGAGAAGGGAATGAAAGGTCTGTCTACACCAAAGATAGAAGGGAAGTTATCATTAAGATCTTCAATAACAGGGTAGATTATTATGGACAATGTAAAAGTCCCTTAAGAAAATATGTTTACTACAGTGAAAGGATTGAAAGGTCCATTTTCCTGTTTGAATAATGCAAGATTTGGAATTGCATGGGGAACTTTGGGAGCAGCTGAATTCTGTTTTCATCATACTCGTCAATATGCCTTGGATAGAAAGTAATTTGATGCAAATTTGGCTTCTTTCCAATTGATTTAGAAGAAGTTTGCTGAAATGACTACTGACATAGCCTTGGCCTAATAAGCGGTTTTATAGGTGAGCAGATTGAAGGAGAATGATTAATTAGCAACAGAACAAGTATCATTAATTAAGAGAAATTCATGTGGTAATATACGATAAATATAATTGATTAGGAATTGCTTTGAAGATTGCCAGAGAATGCAGAGATATTTTGGGAGGAAATGGGATTAGTGATGAATATCAGGTGATTAGACATATGGTGAATTTAGAGACAGTGAATACATACGAAGGGGCATCAGATATTCATGCTTTAATTTTGGGTAGAGGAATAACAGGAATCTAAGCTTTTAGTAGAGCATTGTGAGTAGTCATAAATATATATATATATAAATTCTTTGTTTCACAATTACAATAAATTTATATGGGAAATTCCAAATCTAAATAGATCACTAAACACGCAAAGGTTGCTTTCACACCTGAATAGCTGTAATAATTAGAAAAGTTGTTTGCAGGACTAAATGGAGGCAAAGATCTTGTGGAAAGATCTTTTCTACCTCGCTTCCCTGAAAATCCAGACTTTTCGATCAAGTTGTTCAATTGGATGGTCGAAAGAAGTCCAAATCACTCAGTTGATTATGCTAACTTTGTTGCATTATGTAAGTTCTAGTTAAGATTTTAGTGGAGTTGCTACTTAAGGAATTGAAGGATTACTATCTAAGTGACTATAAGTTTAGAAATTTAGAAAAGTTTGAATTGTTTGCCTTGATCAGTTTGGGATGTTTGGAAAATGATAAGGATTCCATTAACAGGTAGTTAATTAATGGTAGTTATTTTAGATTTGCTGTATCATACTCTCAAGGGAGCATTGTTATAAGGGAATTATTGAATATCTATTCTGGAGGTTAAATAACTAATTCATAGAGAAATGATTTGGCTGCCAGATCAGTTACAAATACTATATTTGATCAAAAAGATGAAATGCCCTTCAATCAGTTTGTAAGTATGGCCAAAGCTTAGTTGATCTATGCTAACAGACTGTGCAAATATTATTTTAATATGAAATTTTTGGGAGAACAATCTCAAATTCAAATACCAAGATTGAACACCTCCAGTTTCATCTTGAATGATTAAGTGTTAGCCTTACTTTAATTGAGTTCTCCTGATTTCAGTAAAATCAAATAATTATAATTACAATTTTCATCATCTGTAAGTGAGGATGATTTGGATCACATTGCAGACATCGTAATAAATGCTTAGAAACCATTATTATTCATATTCAGAAATAGAGAAGATGAATGTAAATATTTAATATCAATCTTCTAAAGCATAAAATGACACTTTCCAACAACAAGTCTTTGGAGCTTATATTTCAATTGATCCATCACTTGAAACTCATCATATTAGGAGAAAATTGAAGGATCCCATGAATATCCTCTATGGTGATAGCGATCCTAAGAGCTTGTATTTTGGTGATGAAAAGAGCTTCCTCTTCTCACTGCTTCCAAAGTATCAGCTATTTATGAGTACTTTTGATCAAAGGTCAAAATAATGTTTTGCTTATATAAACAATAAATCATTTAGGAATGATCAACCATTGGGATTAGCATTTGGAGGAGATGGAAAAGGAAACCATAGAATTTGGTTAGATGAAAACCTTAAGGGTAATGCTACTTGTAGAATTAACAACTAATGTGACCTCACTTATGAGATGGGCTATCTATTAGAACCACATATTGAATTCTTAAATGTATGCCAATTCTACTTAATAAACTAAGTTAACATGCATTGAAATCTGGAGTGTTGAGGAGAAAGAAACAAATCCAATTCTACAGAGCAAGATAATTGAAACTGGGAAGGAAGATATACAACCAAAGGAAGCCGAACAATAGAAATGAAGTGTTATTGAGTAAAAATGATAGAGGAGATTCACTCTAATATATATAGTAATCCCATTTCATCATCTAAGGAAGTTAATTGTATTCTATATCATCTCTACGTTAATGCACGGGTTGATGCATTCTTTTTTAGTTAATTATTTTAAGATTATTGAAAAAACTCTATCTAAACCTCATAATAATTTTGAAGATTATTTTATTACCTTTAGATCATCGCATTCTATGTTCATTCTTTATTAATTAATATATTCTGAGAAATAGTTAATTACAATTTGGTTTCTTCTTAAATTCTCATTTATAATTTCTAAATGATATTATCTTTTTTTGAAGAAAATTATATCACTGTAATGAGTATGTATTAAATAGGACACATTACTCTTTACCTTCATTACCTTTATATACATACAGATACTTATGTGATTAAATGAATTTAATTTGACTTTTAGCTTTAATATTTAGATAATAAAATTAGCTCTAAATAAATTATTAAATTCTAAATTTCAATTTTAAGGTATTTATTTATAATAAAATTATTGTTTATTAACAATTAGAATTGTTGCATGATTTAAAATAATAATAATATAAATATCTCATGTCTTATGATCCTCAGTATGATTTGTTGAACTTAGAGCACACAAAAAGGGACTCTTAACAGATGCCTTTAAAAAACCAATTTTTCTAAAAATTAGAAACTGAGTTTATTGCAGAACCTTGGGATGTGCCCATTATTGTCCCGGTAAAGAAAAAGAATCAAAACACCAGATTGATATATTCTAAATAATCAAAATCTCATATGCAACCCAGGTAATTAAGCAATGAAACACCGCATACTCCTTAAAGACCTAAGAGTTGTCAACAAAAAAATTAATTTATAGATTTGGGAATACCTGCTGCTACTCCTACTTATGCTAAAATTATACAAAGGATGATTATCACTGCACCACGAAAATCATCAAAGAAAAACTCAAACAATTAAAATCGATAAAAATGTATATAGAGTATGTTGGTAGCTTAATAATAAAATAGTTAATTATAAAATTTGGCACTCTCATCAAATGATAAAAGTAACTATATATCTTAAATAAATCCTGTCATTCAAAAAATTATACCCACTCAAGAACCTTAGTTTAACAAGTGTAAATTTAAACTTAAGAAATTATTAAACTGATTCATATTTGTTATTTATATCTGTCATTATTTTACTTGAATTCGTTTATTGTTGAGAACTCGAGAGTTGTAAAGCAACAATTAATTGTAAAAATTCTTATCCACTATCGTGTTGCCTCTCAGTTAAAATACTTTTAATGATGCATAAAGGACATGCAAATTTTGGATACTCATTAAGTATCCAATAGCCACAACGATGGTTATTGAATGACTATCCTAAATTTTATTTAGCAATCTATTTTACTTAACAGCATAACATCACTGGTTATGGAGATTTATTTATAGTTTAAACTACAGTTCTTATATTTAGAGTTTAGGTTCCATTTATTTCTATAGGCTAATTTACATACATAATCTCATCTTGAATTGATTATTAATTTTCTGTATTGCTATAAAAGTTGAAATCAATCATGGTTTTAATAACTAATACTTGAAGTTAACTTTTAGAACGGGAATTTTCACTATTGCCCAAAAGTATTTTGTTTTTTATTAGTTATTATGGAAATTAAGGTAATATGGTATCTTAAATATTTAATTGATTTTAGACTTTAAATACAAAAATAGGATATTATAATAAAAACTCCTCAACTGTTTCTTGCAAGTAAAAAATCTTGAGATTTTTAAGCTTATTATTATTTATTAGATTTTCAATTTGTTTGATTTTTTGTAATACAACTTAAATGTCATCGTCAACAATAACTATTCTTTCCATATTATTGATTGAATTAAATCTATCCATAACCCTTAAGATTTCATCGATCTACCTTAAGTATGAGAGATGTACATTGTTATTCTATTGCAGACAAAGACTTCCTCGTATTGATAATTGAACACATTTATCGGAACATCTTAAATCTAATACTATAAGATGCCTATTATCCTATACTAAAATTTATATCGATTACATTCATCATATATATAAAATTAGAACATTTAAAGCATTTACATTATAAATTGATTATTTATTATTTTAAATAATAAATTAGATCATATAGACGTCTTCTTATTATTCTAGTTCTTTAAAAAGATAACTGAAATGGAAGTCTAAATCTAAATGTTAATTTCCTTTTTATAATATTAAAATAAGCTGGTGATTTGGAGATATTAATTGTAACAAGAAAAGGAGTAAGCGGAAGTTTAAAAGATTCAAAGTAAAATAAATGAAATAAAAATAGAATGAAAAACTGCTTCATTTTTTCTTTGTTAATATTTTTTCTGCTTCTTATAATAATTGGGAACCATCTAATCTTGTGTTCCAATTCAATTTATATTATCCTAGCAACTTCTCAATCTATTCTTCATCTTTTTCATTGATCTTCTTGACTTCTTGTTCAGGTTAGACTTCATCATCTAGATGTACTTCTACATCTTTGAAATTGAATTCATCTTCTTCTTAGATGGAGTCTTTGTCTTCTTCTTTTTCGACTTGGACTGGATTTTCCCCTTTTAATCGACTAAATATATTGACTTCCTGATAAGTGGTCATTCTTAATTCATATAGCGAATAATATCTAAATAAAGATAGGTAGATCACCTGTAAAAGTAACTTGTCATGAATTTATTGAATTCCATGATGTGTTCTTGAGTAAAAATGGGTAAATGATGTGTATTAGTCAATAGTATCTTAGGTCTGAGTAACTTTTTGAATATTTCGTAGGAATCAATTTATGTGATTTTGCGTTCTAGACTCTCCACAAAGATGTAGAATCCCAGTGACATGAAGGTTGATTTCTACTCAAATGTGTAATTTTTGAGGTAATTGTACATCTACAAGAGGTATTCTGAAAAGACAGCCAATTTACACTATTATTGTGATTCTTCAGTGGCCTAGCAATAAAATGAAATGCAATTTACTTTTGATATGGTTTAGGTCTAATAGTATTAAAAGGAGATGAGCTCATAAGCAGGGAAGTTGAATACTCCTCCCTTTTTGTGTCCGGCTTCAAATCGTATGATGACAGTTTTAAGAAATTCCTTTTATTGGTTTTGGGTTTCCAAGGAGGCCAATTTGATGATGTCTTTTCTGGTTACAAAGGAATCATAGAATGAGTAAGATTTATTGGAGTCAAGCTTGGTCTTCTTTTTGGTTTGATGTCTATTGGAATTGGTGTCTGGAGAACTCATTTATTTAATTAATTATAATGTCAGACACCGAGAATATTGATATTACAAATCTTAGTGAGGGGAAGATTGATAAGTACATTCAGTAATTAGAGAACTCGATTCTAAAAAGAACAACGATGTACGGTTTGGATGATTTAACAGTAAGTGATTCAAATTAACACAACATTAGATGATGAGATAGAATCAAATCTTGTGCAAATTGTTGAATCAGCAGGGTCTCATAGCTCTGCAAAAATAAAATTATGAATAATGCATCGAATATTTGCGAAAAGCTGAATTGGCAACCATTTACGTTCCCGAATTAAAGGTTTGATTTAACGATAACATAGGTTTAAACTTTTAATAATTTGGCTTGCTATTATAGAAAGATGGGCAAAACTAGAACTGCACTTCAATATTTACAATAGGCTTTGGCGATTGAATTACAGTATTCATAATCTTAAATTAGATAAAAACAATCCACTTCACTCCCCGACATCTACCTAAATCTCTGTGCAGTTCTTTCCTAATTAGAAAGACACGAAGAAGCCATCCAACACATCTATTTGTCAATCATCATGTTGCAACATGAATTACTCATTTCATCCTTTTAAAAGCATGAGCAAAGATAAGATCAGCCAAATGAGCAAAGTACTCTTTGATCTACTATATAAGCTTTCCCATCGAGATAGTCAAGTGTCTAATATGTGAATAGTGTCAAATCTCATTGTAATGAAAGTAAGAAGGTACAAGAGAGAATGTCTATTTTGGTGGTTGCATATCATAATTTGGGAGTTGAAATGGAACATCTAAAATTATAATTTGAATCCAAGAAAATATTTCAATCCGCCTTACAATTATCAGAGTAGTGTCTACCTCAAGAACATCATTTAAGGCATGCTCTAGAGGATATCATCAAAAAATACAATCCTGAATAATAACAATAGGGGAATGAGTAACTTACACTCAAACCGCTTCTTCCTAAAGTTCATCAAAAAAATTCGGAACTTAGATAAATATATAAGAGTGTCTCTCCCAAATAAATCCTCAAAAGGAATACCTAATTATAATAATAGAAAAACAATCATTTTAATAATCTAAAGTTTACTAAAAAGAATTCATATAGTGAAACATATCGACTTGAAAGAGACAGAATCATGAGTATCAATGCAACCACTGAGGTTATTATCAAGAATTTAGAAAACAAAGATATCAGCAATCTTCCATATTTAAAAACAGCCCTAGATACCGTTAATTAAACATCTATATTTTGAAATATAATACTTAATTTATTATTATTATACATTGTAAGATATATTGATATTCATTATAGGATATAATATTATTAAAATCCTTTAGATTCATAGATATATCCATGATTATCAACAATTATCATAATATTTCAGAGATATTAATACGAATTTTATTTATGGATTTGCCATTTTAATTAAAATAGTGTATATTAGATGCTTACCGAACCAAATATTGATAGAAGTTTCGTCGAAGATTAAATTAAATTGCTCTAGAGAGATATTAATTGTATCATTGATTAAGTGAGTGATTCTACTATTATCTTAGGATAGAAATCTTAGGAAGTAAGGATTGGCAAAACTATAGGATTTCTTTAAAGTCAAATCAAATCCTTCAGAGCGCATATATATTTTCGATGCTTATGCACTTAAGAATCTCTTAAGAGTGTTTGAAGATCAGGTAGAGAGAAACAGAGAAACTGCTATAAATATTGTGTTAAATTATCTTGATCTTCACAATTAACATTTTAATACAGAGACTCTCAGGCTAATCGTTGATACAATCATTAATCGACTCAATCAATTGCCATTTGCAGAAACCAGCGAAGAAATACGATTAGCATTAATTAAATTGTTACATCAAATTCAAGTCAAACATGTTGAAGCCTATTCCAATAATTTATAGAGACTAGCACATATGATCGGAAAAGCTCTTCAAGACAATTTCCCAGAAGTCAAAAAGGTACATAATATATGTAACCATTTAGGATGCAGCCATATTCGCAGCTGAAATATCAAAAAAGTTACCCATTGGAGAGTATATGGGAGAAGCAGTCAAATCTCTAAGTACAAATATGCAGCACGCACATACGAAGATTAGAAAGGCTACTGTTGATGTAAGAATTCATTAAATATTTAAAAGAGTATAGCTCCTATTCTTCTGAGCAGGACCAATGGAACATTCCTTGAGATTGTTTTGAATAATTTAAGGAATCTCTCTTTAGATAAATCCTCTGATGTAAGAAAAGGTACTCTAATTGCAGTTGCTGAATTGTTGATGCACTTTTCTATTTAAAATTTGAACGCTTTTGAGAACAACTTGATCCTCATTTTAATGAACAGTTTGAGTGATGATAGCAAAGAAATATAAAATTTGTCGATGCAACTTTTAGATTAGATTGGGATGAAGAGGCAAAAATTGGATGAAGAAGCCAATTTGTGATATATTTTAAAGTGTGAATACTAATGTGCATATGTCGATTAAAAATTAAAAACTAACTAATAATAAAATAAGCATTTAAATGATGCACTGCTAATTAATTATTTAATTGAAAAAATAAATAAAAATTAAACTTTTTCACAAAAAGTATGTTGTTAGTGTATTGCACAAATTATTAAAATCCAATAGGGAAGCCCTTAAGGTTTCCAAAGTATTATTAGTCACTGTCTATTCAGTCTTACTTTTTTCAACTAACATTTAAGCCATCACTTTAATGACTTCTTATAATTCTTCATTCCCAATCCTATCATCAATATTAAATTTACCTTGAATTTATTTTCGCTTTCTTCTCACTTAAACTGTCTAAGTACTAAGGACTATGGGCTTATTATATTGAACCTACAGATAAGTCATTATTTTGAATTAGAGACACTTGTTTTTACTTTATTTATGACATGAATTTATCAACTGCATTGGCATCATTAAAATCAATTTAAAATTGAATCTCATCTAACTGTGATCTTGGGCTTTATGCATCAAACTATTAGTTGATTTCACTTAAATCATCATAAAGAGACACAGCATCTTTCTTTTATTATTTTTCACTAAAGGAAAATACAGAATCCTGTCTACTTTTTGACATTCTCAATTATTACTGGATCTTCTTACCAGATTGGCTGAATTTAGGCAATTAATAATCAATTTCAGATGAATTATCTTCTTCTTCATCACATTCAACTATTGCATTGTGTTGACTTTATCTAGAATTTATAAATAAACTTTCAACTAATTAGGCATTTTCTTATTTAGAAAATGATTTCATCTGAAGCTTCAAATCACTATCTGGAGCACGACTACTAATATCATCTGATTCAAACGAATTCAGTTCGACTTAAAATATCATCTTCTCTAAAACACTTCTAACTACTTCTTAACACATAGTTTCTTCCATTCTTTACAAAGATTACTAGGATCTCTTAGAGAATGATTCCATTTAAAATTTCAGTTAATCTGCTTCCTTCTACTACTAGGAACACCTTAACTACAACTCATCTGTGATGTTTTCTTTTAGTTTTAACTAAGATTATAATTAATCGATGTAATCTTCCATTTATTGAATTCGCATTTACAATTCAAAAACGATTTGCCCCTCGTTGACACCAGAAACAGTAATTGATTTTTTCAATTCGATATCGAAATTTTGTTCATTTACATAGGATTAGTTAGTCTAGTATTCAACTTTAGAATTATTTAAACCTTGATTGTAGTTGTGATATTGAGAGCTTTTGCTTTGTTAAATTTATAGTAAAAGCTCATTATTTTTTTCAATTAATTGTTAGAATTACAATTAATAGTCAGCATTTTTGTTGATAAGCATTTGATTGTCATTAGTAAGTTACTTAACTTTTTGTTAATTAATCGTTTAAATCGTAGAATATTATTCCTTTATCAGAGCAATTTATTTTTAAATTTCAAAATATTCTCCTTAAATTTTGTTGAGATGTTCATTCTTAGTATCTAATTCCTGTTGATAGGCAAATTCATTCTATTGTTATTGGTCTTTTTATTTTTTTAATTTGATTTCATATTATTCTAACCTTTTTGTAATTTCACAATTGACTGATTCAAGATCTTTAATTTAAGTTAATAGTTTAGATTACTCTATTTGGAAACATTCCTTTTATTGTTACAAACATTCATCAAGTTGTAGATTACTCTATAATAATTATTACTCTTATTCTTTTTATTGAGATAATTCATATTTGTATTATTTAATCTATAAGCAAAGTTCCTCGTTTCGTTATCTATATTCTACTATATTATTGTTTTCTTTCTCTTATTATTAAAACTCTAACCTTTTTACTTCTTCTAATTTATTGGCATATTGTGAAGTTATCTGTTGTAATTCTGATCTCCACATCTAATTTTACTTTTCCTTTGATATTTTAATGATATCATTATTTTTGGTGGATAAAACAGTAGTCTATTTCAATTCTTAATTTTCTCTTTCCTTCAATTCTAATTTCTATTGTAACTGATTAATAGTATCTGCAAATTCATTTTTCTATTATATTAATAACAGCATAATACATTTGTTAAAGCATCCTCTAATTCATTCTCTAATTGCTATTGGACATTCCTAAACTCCTCAATTTCTTATTCTAAGGATTGTTCTCTGTTTTTAGACTCATCCAATTCCTACATGACATGTGCCAATTGTTTTTTGAGTTCTTCATTTTCTTATTCTTATTCTACCATCATGTTATCAATTTCCTCTAGAAATGCTTTATGTTCTTCTTCTGCTTTTTCTAATTTAACTTTGTATTGATGGTCAGAACTACTAAGATTGCTGTTGCTGGATTCCATTCTGACTTATTGGAGCAACTTCACTTATTGTGATTCCAATTTCTGAATGATCTCATCTTTCATTTCAATTTCCATTTTGAGTTACAGACTTAATTACTATGGGGTTAAGTATGAATTGTTACTTCATAATCTACATTTTGATTAATTTATGGAGTATTTGTAACTTTCATGGCTCTCATTCCAAAGGTTAGACTAGACAAAGTTTCTTCCACATGTCTACCAGCAGGTCCAACATTAACAATCAATGCAGTTTTACAATTACCACCAAGTGCATCTTATAGAATACGAGTTAATTTTGAATCTCTAAATGGAACAAATGTGGATTTAGGACCTGTGAGAGCATGGATACATTTTCCTAAGGCTGTAAGTGAATAGTTGATGGATCTGGCCTCACTCAATCGATCCCCTGTGGCTCTTGATTTCTTGATTCTTTCACTGCCAGCCAAATCAACAAGATATAGGGTTCCAACACAATTTCCAGATTGCAATATACTTTCATCAGTTTCTGTGATCATATCTTGTGAATAGTTTTGTAGTTTGGAACTCGGCTTTTTTGAAATAGTCATAGATCTTGAATGTTATTTAGATTATCTCTTGTCTACTTTGATTACAAGCATCGAATGAGACCTGGAGGAATGGGCATTTAGATTAGTGAATGCAACCACTTTGTTTTTTTCTGCAAAATTCATAATGCTTAGACATTCTTAAGGGGATTCAACCTCCATCCATTCCAATCCCGACACAAACACTCCATTATCAGGACATTCTCTGATTTTTACATCTTAATTGTCAGGTCTTATAAGATCCAGCAACTAAACTATCATCTAATCAATACCATCTCCATGTAGATTTACAAATAACCCAATTACACAGTGTAAATGTTATTGGTGTCTGCTTGAATTTCATTAAATATTTATTCAAAAGTGCGTGGAGTGATTCCCTTCTCATCGGAGTCTAGTTTACCCATCATGGTGTACGTTTTGCCTGTTCCGGTTTGACCATAACAAAATATGGTACCATTAAAGCCTTTGATTACACTCTATTTTGATTATAGATTATAAGTTTACTCCGACAACTCCTCTTGCTATATCATTGTAAACTTAACTTTAGGTAGCCTTAGGATCAAAAACTGAATCAAATTGAAACTGTCTTTTCTCGAAATCCTTCTTGACTATTAATAAATGGAGGGATTTACTGATGATCAATTTTTTATTGGGATCAATAGTTTCAACACAAATGGTTTTGTCCTTACAAATCAATTCCTCTTCAATTAAAGGGCGAAGTCGAACTGCTACTTTAACTCTTTCTGACATTTGAGTTTAAATTTAAAATAATTGAACGGTATAAATTATATATTATGAGATAACGATTAATAAATCAAGGTTTCTTTTTGGTTGCTTGAGAGTCATCTAAGATCTGATTGATAGTTTTGCTAGGTTTAATAACAACACCAACATTACTTCTTTAGTTATTGCAATTGCTTATCCTATTGATTTTTAATGATGAGTTTCTGGATGTTGTACATCTTCAACAAAGAAGTGCTATTTTGAGATTTCAGAATCGTAGAACTCTTATCACTAACCTTCTCCTGCGATGCATTCATATTCACCTTCTCACGACTACTCAATACATTTGGTTCTTACATGTTCTTCATCATCATGTACGAGTGCTACGTCCCAGAACTTCGTCTCTCTCTTGTTTATTGACTATCGCAATTCTGAACCACTGAAACCTACCCCTCCTGTTGATTGCCCTGCTATCTGTTATACACTTGATTCCCCAAAATGTACGATTTTTTAAACAAACTGGGACTTGACTCCCTGGTTTAGTTCTGAGAAGAGATCTTTCGTTCCTGACCTGTTGTCAAAATTTTATTCTTTGAATTGATAACTTAATAGGTACCTTTTCCAATAATTCTAACTTCTCCTTCTCCAATTAATCGATCCTCTCCTGCAAACTATCCGAATATAACTTCATTTGTTATTCTAACTGGCAAATTATCCTAATATATTACTCGCACGTGATTCCGAATTTCAGCCTCTGCCTTTTAAACTGCTCTCTCCAGTTGGTCGTAGTCTACGCCTTTTTATTGTTGAACTAATTCGAGCAAAATAGCCACCTGCTACTTAAGAATCTTGAGAATGTCATCCAAATTGGGCTTGAGTTCGAAGTCACTCTTGATAACCACTTAAATCTGTAAAGTTGCATCTTAAATTATTTACATCTTGCACCATCTTAAGTAATTAGTTATTTATGCTCATATTTATTAATACCAATTTATTTCACAAAGAAACAAAGAAATATTCTAAAACAATCAAAATTATTAATTTTAATTAGTATGATCAACACTCTCGAACTAGACGATCCTAGGCAACATCTACGAATGAGCTCTCAGACTCCCACTTCTGTATGAATTCTTGATGAATCCCACTCCTGTTGATCTAAAGAACCTAAACACGTTACCACTAAAATCTACCTATACTTCTGCTCCTCCAACACTATGGCCTTGATATTATTGGTTTGCCGAGATTGTAATTTATCAAATAGTTCCGATTTCACCGTCTGTCTCATCTGAGGTTGATCATTGATTTTCGTCAACCCAAACACAGACTTAGCTGAATAATACTCCTTTGTGTTTTCATCATGGAATAACTGCTACACCACATCTGTAAATCTTTGTCTCTAGGGAGGCTCTTTCTTGCTAGGTAAAGTGGGCTTAAAGAATTTGGTAGTATTCAATTAGGTTTGCTTTTTTAAATTCTAAGTCTAGACTTAGTTTTGAGCATCCTAATTTTAGATCTACACATCTTCTTTATAGAGTGAAGCGATGTCCAACACATTGTCGAACATTTGATAGTATTTTAGATCTATCTGATTGAGGATGTTATAGCCTAATCGTTGATCGAAAATAATCAACAGTTTTGTTACTAATTAATGAGTATTATTAAGTCTTTGTAAATCATACTAAGATAATTATTGATACTTGTTAAATTGTTTGCCAAACTGTATCATCTCCTTTCTTAATTTAATCAGTTGCTGATTCTTCAGAATTAAATCATTAAGGAGCTCTATTGCCAAAGTTTAACAAGTCGATTCAACTGTTTACACTTGTTCAATCGCATACAATTGAATTTTGGCCAAATAGAATTCCTTACAATCTTCAGTATTGATAATGTTATTGTATTTGGAACAATGAAAACTTATAACTTGAGAATATAAACAATTCAACTTATACTTGATTTCACTCGCTTGATCAAATAATTTCAACATTGATTTAAAGAGATTCGCCATTCCAATCAGAATGCTAAATATGATCTTGCCTCTCTCCTTTTTACTCTCGTTGTATTGACAAAACTCTTTATGGAACAAATTTAATGATTCATATTAATTGCTCATAATATCCTTTAATTGAGCATTCTGTTAATAAATGGAGAAGGTCAAGAATTGAGACTTATTCATTATTTATCCAATCAGCTATCCAAATTTAACACTCTCCACACTATCGCTATTTATGCATATGAAAACAGTTTATTTTTGATTTAACAAATAGTCTCGGAAGTAGTCTAACAATTCTACACTTTTGAATGGCACATCTACGTGTTTTCGTCTTTTGGTAGTCAGATCAGCCATCGTCTTATATATTTATCCGAACTCAAATGTACCGCTAAACTTAACTATCTTGAGTTTGGAAATAATCACTTATTCTTTAATATCATCATTAGGACTGATCTCAGCCTTTAACTCAATAATTAAATTAGTTCTTTTGTGTCTGTCTACAAATTTTTGACTCAGGATGTTTTATTCTTTGTTAATTAGATTGACCATAGCAATTCTTAATATTTTCATCCCTAGGAGGTAGTTGTCTATGATGACTTCTGGAATCCCAAGCAATTAATTTTGGCCATTCTAAAATACTGGCATAAAGGGTTGTGAATCCAAGACCAACAAATCTTTGAAACCAGTTTCATCATACTCGAATGCACTCATTTTTATGGTGATGTTATTCTCCAGGAATTTCTCCTCAATAAAATTAAAGATCTCTTGCATAATAAGAAGCACTAGTCCAGGATTTCTCATATTCCCAATACCTAGAGTAGCCTTTCCAGAATGTCGTTCCCCCAAGATCTAAATCATATGAGATTCACCAGCCAAGAAATGCGAAATCAAATCCCTAAACACCGCCTTGTAGATGTCTTCATTCGAGTTCTTGTTTGCGAAGACTCCACTGAATTAATACTATTGGTCCTTTGCCTATACGGTAGATTCGTTAAGCTAATGAACAAATTGGGCCTTTTCAGGTTCATCTAATTGAGGTTGTTTCAGCACCAAATAGGCTTTGTAAGGGTTGTCCCCTATTTTGAAAGGTTCATTTGAGAGTAAAGATTGACGTTCTTTTTTCATTATTATAAATATTATAATTGAGCAATAGGAAGCATTATATTATGATTATACTATTATGAAGGAATCTAACTTATGAGTTTATATATTATAACAAAAATATTCAACTGAGCAAAAGCATGATTTAATTTAATTAACAGTAACAATAACAAATGTCTCAACTACCTCAATACACCAGTCAGACTGTTGAGTCCCAATATATCCAATAACCAAGTCAAATGAGCATCAAACCTCAACCAATCACCTTCTATCCCCCGACATTCTCCTAGCTCTAAAATCCATTAATGGCAACTCAAAATTATTAAATGTAATACCAACAACAATAACCACAACAATTGCTATAACAATAACAATAACCACAATAATTGCTAAACCAACAAGAGCTAGGCTCTCCATAACAATAACAATTACAGCCATAATAATAATAAGATGACTAGTAGATCAGATCAAGATAACTATAATAGAATCTGTAATAACAGATGATGTAACAATAATGGAATGAATAATTTCAATAAATGCTTCAAATGCATCACCACAATTACATGCTCCAAAATCAATTACAAAATCTTATGATAAATTAAACAGCTTAATCTGAATAGGCAAGATAGGACTTTGCACTCCAGCAACAGCAATCTTTGGCTGACTTTACAAACTTGTAACCTGAAACCATTACAGAATACATCCCAGTTGAAAAGAAAATTATCGAATACGAAACTAGAATCAAAAAAATTCAAGTTCCTGTCACTCACGAAATAACAGAATATGTACCAGTCACTACAGAAACTATTTCACCAGAAAGAACAGTAAGACTGTCACCTCCCAAAGAAGTACACATGGTTCCAACTGTTGTTCAATAACCACCTATTTTATAATAAACTGTAATCCCAAGACCTCCTCAATTATAAATGATTCCTACATCTGCTTAAATCGCCAGAATGCCTACTGTTCCTGCTTATTAACAAGTCCCATTGACTTCAGTGAGGTCATAACTCCAATCGTCACCACCAAAAATTCTAAACAAACCCACAGAAATCCCTATACCACCTCCACCTCCTCATCTTCCACTACAACCCTTTAATTATACACCCAAAGACTTCCCAACTATGACAATGCCCCCTCCTCCTCCATAATTCCAAGGATAAATCTCCCTCAATTCCCCTTAGCCACCACCTCCTCCATAATTTGATTCACCACCTCCAGCTTATCCACATTAATTTGGTCATCCATTAAATCAATTACCTTCCCATTAACTACCCTCCCACTAATTACCTTAAGTACCATAAAATCAATTCAATCAACCTTAATTTAATCCACATTAACAATAACATTAAGTAAATCCACATTAACAACATTAACGATAATATTCACAATAACTATAGTAACCATAATAACCATAATAACCTTAACATCCACAATAGTCACATTAACCTCAATATCCATAATATTCATAATAGCCACCCTTATTACCTCATCCACCTTAATCAAGACCTGCCCCATTCATTCCAGAATAATATTATAGAGATTAAATTGATGATGAACAAGATCAACACTATTACGATAGACCTCCAAGAAAACATCCAAACCATCCTGATTTTCAATAGACTAAACCTGTCTCAGGGACAGATACTCCTAATTATCATATCCCAAATTATGATAGTGAAAATGTATAAATTCTATCAATAATCCCCTTAGCTGAGAGATAAGCAATCAGAACCTATTCAATATCCGAAAAGAGCACCATTTATTCCGAGATCTTATGATCCTGATCTGCACTATGAAAGAGCAGAATAGTTTGATGTACCATCCAAGGATCATTAAAAAAGAGGAATTCAAAGATCAGTCTATGAAAAGCGACCACAAAATGGGCAATAAACCCTAAGAAGCAAGGAAAACTACTTTAAAGACTCTATATTCTAATGACATACCACATTATATTAATATTTATTTTTATTAATTATATGAGAACCTAAGATAAGCCAAGCAAGTAAGGAGGGTTGTACAGTTTGAATCTTGGATAGAATAATGGTCCTTACCTTCCAAAAGACATAATGCTTACTAATTAAAAATCTCTAAAGGTTTGATAATGTAACAGCTTAGCTCCTCCAAGGAGATGAAGTCAGCAAGTCAGTGTCTCATGTCCTTGCTAGAGCTGGGATGGGATAGCTGTATGAACCTCCAGACATCTATGATGAGAAATCGAAATAGTTTGTAAACTTAGATGAGAAATACAAAACCAGAATGAGTGCTAGCGATAATGTAGCAGCCATGAGTACACTTTATACAACATCCATCAAATAGCTCTAAGATTCATTAGCTGAGTATAAGGAATTAATAAAGAAGACTGAAGTAATCAATCTACTCAAAATCTAGGAAGAATTGAAAGCGATGAATGAAAAAATTAACAATGACAACATTACCAATATAAGAGAGCTCTAGCCTATGCTCAAGGTATTTCATGGTAAATTGAAGGAGAAATTGCACGAAGAAAAGAATGAGAATTACAAACTCATGAGGGAGATCGAAGCATTAAATAGAGAGAAGCTGCAGATTCAGTATTCAATCAAATAAAATTAGATAATCTATTCTATTTTCACATAAGAGAATTATGGATTTAGAAAAACTTGTTGGCATATAGCACAAAACAGAATCACTTTATGCAGAGAAAATTCATGAGGAAGAGGATATTATTGATGATGAAGATGAATAGCATTCAGACAAAGATTTAGATTCATAAATGTCAGAATCTTAAGACTGATTTTTGTAATCAAATTAATGAATATAAATTTTTAAAATAACACTACGAATAATTATATTTAAATTAAATAATTATTCGTTTTCAAAAACTAATAAAAAGAAATGTTGATCTATCTCCTTATCTTGAAAAAAAGCACTTTGTTATTGAATGAACCAGAAAAAATTATTATATTAATTTTGAAATTAACCAATAATAATATTATTTTGAATTCAAGAATATAATCTTTTAGGAATGTTTAAAATCTATTGAAATAATCAAGATATATATCAAGAATCCTAACATAGATTGGTGTTTTCTTCCTGTGGGAATAAATATTGTTGCACTTTATTTGTTGAAATTTCTATCAATGATGACTCCAAATCATGACAGCCACATTTAGTTGATATTTCCTTCTCTACCTTGTTTGATTTGTTTAATTCAATTTTCCAAAACTTCGATGCTGTAAGTGTTATTTAATTGAAATTTTGCAGATTCATTTAGATTTTTTAATAATTAAAACCTTATATAGTATTTAAATGTATTTACGAATATTTGTATTAAATTAATTAGTTAACAGACTGAAAGTAAAAACATGAATATAATTGATTTATAAAATAAATTAAAAAAATCACAAACTTAAATTTGTATAATGCATCTCAATTTACTGTTCTTGTGGTGGATTAGACACTTAAGTTTAAGCTTCATATTTAGTCCTTATAAAATAGTATAATATTTACATCGATCTAAGATTTCTATATTTGATGATCAATAAGAATAATCCAGCTAATAACACTGTTATCAAAACGATAAACATTCCCCTTGTAATTTCGTCAGCATATGAATTTGTTAATATGTTTTATTCCAATATTTGTGTTTTATAGAAGTACGATAATTTTAATCTCTCATAATTTTTAGTCTTTATATTCACTAAAATAATAATGATATTGATATACCAGTGGCTTATATGGTGGCTAGCACTTTTTGAATATCAGATCCATGATAATTTTTTTAGGTCAGAGTAGTTAAAGGGTTATGTTTACTTCTTTTGATAGTCAACGAATGATATTGGGCATTTTGATTGCATTTATCTAATTGCGCATTATCACTTAAATTCTGGTTTTAATAGATGAAAGTATAAGTAATGCTCTCTAATACATAATTTTAACTTGACTTTTCAGAAGATTAAATTGGAGAGAAGTAGGCATACAAATAATTATCTGTATAAGATAATTTAAACTCTCCCCCATCTCCAGGATAGAAATGATCTGTAGGAATTTCAGTGTCATTTTTTATAATGTCCAATCTTAATATAAAAGAAATAAAGTCCTTAGATGTTGTACTTTTGATAGTTTTAGCATTTAAGTAATAAATATTAGGCTTGACAGATTGAATTGTTCCAATTAATTGTTTATCTTGTATGGAGTCTATTTTGTCTTGATAAAAACCCAAATTGAGATCGTCTCTAGAGGAACTCCCAAAAATGTTGACAATTCCTCCACACAATTAAGCTTGTATAAATAGATTAGAGGTCTCTTGAAGGTGAATTTCCCAGATTGATTATTCACCAACTTTTGCTCTAATCAGCCTATTTGACTTAGGTGTTAGGATATTAAAATCTTTGTTTCCCAACATTATAGAGTAGGGGTAATGAGCCATTTCCAATGGAGTTAAGGTCAGGAAATAGAGACCTGGTATACTAGGTATCTAGATATAAGTAATTGTATCTAATTCTTGTAGGAGAGATATTTAAACATCAACAAAATCATGATAATCAGATTGAATGTCACGATTGTTGTATCTATCTTGTTTCAAGGTTACTCCTGGTGCGCGAATAATTTTATCATATACAACAGCTGCAATTTCAATTATTATAGAATAGTAGTCGTCACTGTAATTATCAATTTTATTCGGAATAACAAAGTATAATCGAGCCTATTGTTGTAAATTAATCTTAATTAATTAAGGCTGCCCAACTTTCAATTCAATTGCTTGATTTTAATCTATGATTTCAATTTAGTAAACTGTTTAAGAGGAGGAGTTAGAAAATACTTTGAATTCATACACTGATAGATTGTATTTTGGTTTCACATTGCTTATAAACAAGGAGCGATTGGCATGAATACCCTCCCGACTAGCTACTTAGTTGTTCAAATAATCGACTGTCCCGTCATTTTCTTCAAGAGATAGACGATGTACAGAATAGTCTTTATCAAAGTCAGTTTTTTTTTCGAACAAATAGATTTTCCCTTTAAAAACTGTCACATTCAAATAGAAATCCCCATAATTATAAGGAATATATAGGAATCTATCAAATTCTTAGGTGTTTAGTTAACTCTTGATTTCAAGATTGTCTTGCATCTGAATTAAGCTATTCTTCTTCGCAATTGTAATGGTTAGTTGGATATCCTAATAGTTATTTTCCAAATACATCAGATACAAGCATTTTTCACAATGCTGTTCTGAAACACTTGGAACTTCCAAGAAATAGTCTTCTATTTTCCAATCATATCTGCATATATAATTATATATACTCAAGTTGTATATCATTCATGACCTATGATTATTCTTCCTTTTTATAGCGTTTGATGTGAATTTTTGGTTTTATGTAATCAATTAGAGAATTTGAACTTATCATAATGCGAAAAGAGTCATGGGGACCAACAGTAAAGGATAAGAAGGTTTACGAATTATGAGGTAGATTTAAACTAAATGGTTTTTGGATTAAAATGTTATAAAAACGTGCAAGTCCCATTTTAACTTAAATGGACATAGTTTATTCTTAAAATGCAAAAACACCAATGCTATGATAATTTAAATATTAAATACTAATAAGTTACGATTTGATCTGAATTGTCTTTTGGAGGAATTAATAAATAATCCCCATAATTGAAGCCAGAAGTATAATCGTAAAGCTTCTCAGTTGGCATTTAATTAATACCTACTAATATGTTTAACACATTTATCTGAGCTTTAGCGACAAAGATTTGCAAACCAATTGATTCTTTAACATCTACTACTTTAAAATATTTGATTATTTTTGAACTAATCTTACCAGAATAAACAAATCCTTCATATAGTTTAACCGCCCCAGATGATCGCAATATTGTATATTCATGATTATCTTTATTTGATGGATCTGCCTGAGTGCAAGTGACTGCAGCATAGCATATAATATTATTGCAATTCAACTTTTCGATCTCATCTAAGGAAATAAAAACAGAACTTTCAATTTTGATATTATCATTTAAGGACTGAAACTACGAATTGTAATCATTAGTGGGAAAATCCTCTAAAGCTGGTGGGTTTAGTTGAATGATATTCACTAAAATTCTAATGTTAGCTGTAAATGAATATAATGCTATTTCTGTTTCTTCAGTTATTAGAAATGTGAAAAAATCCAATTTATTTGCAATTGTTTTTGTGATGGGTTCTTCATTATATAGATTAATGATTTAGGATTCTTTTGAGACCAAAAAGGAATAATAAGTATCTTCTTTTGATTCCACTTCGATAGAAATGGAACATGAAACTATCTCTTCAGTTCTCTTGCAATTTTCAAATTTCATTTAATTAGCATTGAGTATCATGCTTTAGTCCTTCATAATAATAATATCATCTTAAATTTTAATAGTGGCTGACAAAATGGATTCATCACTATTATGAGGGTGAAGATTGAAATATAAATCTTCCTTTTTATAGAAGTTTACAAAGAACAATTATTTATCAGACTGCTCTATGAACCCTTAATAGTTATCTCCAATTACTAATTCAATAGGCTAGGAACTGGCTTTAAAATTAATCTTATATGAGTAGAGTGGATAAGTATAAGAATGATGAATCTAAACTCTAATGAATAGATACTATGGATAGGCTGCCTTGGTGAATGTTAATTAGTTGGATCCAGTTAGATTAGTTGTTTTAATGTCAGTCTCTGGATGATCAAATCCATACATCTTAAATTACCCAGAATTGATTCTTAAAAACACTTTCATCTGATTTTGAGATGCTGAATTATGAGCATTGTATCCACTTAGATCGATTTTGAATAGTTAAACATCAGTAGAATACACAGTAACAATTTCTTAGGGCTAACCTTCAATCAATTATATGTATTGATGGGCATATTTACCAATGGTCCCCCAGTCTTCTTACTTTCTGTACACTATTGCAGTAATAATATATTAACTAGCAGTCTCTCCGTAGACTCCAATGTATATAGTTCCATTAACAGATTCTGAATCAGTGTTGTCTCCATAAAGGACTTAATTAAGAACACCTTGACGTTCATTTTCTTCTTTTGTTGGTGACATTTGAGTTCTAGATGTAAATAGCTTTGGTTATCCCTAAATAGGTGTTAATTAGATGAACAATCTCTTAATGTAATCGCCATCATTCACTGTGAATTTATAATAGTTGTAGAATTCATGGAATACAAATTGTTTAATGGGGGTGTTTTCTTTTAAAATAATGTTATCTTGTTTGGTTGTTATTAGAATAGAATAGGTTAATTCATCATCAACATTATACTCACCTGGGAGGATCAATATTGCATAGAAACACATATGTACATTCTCATAGGATCTGCAATTGACTGGTAGATAATCGAAAATGATGATGTCATTTCCAGGACTATCATAATAAGTTTCAATTTTACTTGAATGAGTAATAATATTAATTTTCAGTGATGTTATTTTTGAAATTCTGAGAATTGATAAATTAATGTTCCTCTTCACTAAAAATACAAGTCCAGAATTCATTGCAAGGTTTTAGAACGATGTCAGCATCTCCTCTTATATTTTTTAGACTAACACTAACACTTTGTTGTTTATTGCTTTTGATAAAGAATTTATATTGATGATATTTAGACTTGCTCATCTTGCTAATAGCTGGCTTGTTTAATTCCATTACCATTAAATCAGGGTTGAGCATTTATGATTTCAATTCAAACGTTGCAACAGACTCTTTGGCTTAGATGGCTATATAAACATAGAGCCCTTTGGCTTTCAAGCGACTCAAGTCTTCGTTGGTAATAATCAAGTCATCAGTCACTCCGTCATGTAATTTCCAATAATAATCCTCTAAAGATACTGGATTTTCATCAAGATTAACATACATTGTTGGATAACCTTTGAAGGATATTAACTGGATATTCAAAATGAGTTATCCTGAATAAAACAACTCGTGATCAGCAGTAACATTCAATATATAGAATGCAAATTCATTCTCTTAAATAACATCCTCAATTGATTCTCCCACATTGATATACCTTGTGGATCCATATGTCCTTGTCTTTATGTACACAATTGCTCCTTATTAGGCTTCCACTAAAAGGGTATAAGTTTGATTTGCCTTTATGTTGTTAATCTTAAATTTCTACATCCCTGAGAATGTGTCCAATCCCTTGTAATCATATTTTTAGAGAGATGGTCTTTGCATTCCAAAATTCATAAAAGATTGGAAAGATTCCTACAAGATTTCAACATTTTTGATTTATACTGCCACTTCTAAATTTTAATTCTATTTAACTGGGTATTATATTAACTCATTTATATTGATTCTAATTATTTCAGTCCAACTAGTATTATTCAACTTAAACTCCAAGTCGTCGGCTATAATTCATGAATAATACATACAATTTGTCATCATTAATTCATCTTAATAAACAGCCTTTAAATTATATCTGCAATAATCTTCACAATAAACTGCCAAATAATAAGTCTTGTTTTCAGGTTATGGAATCACGCAGATGTCTACAATCATTCATCAATTGAATTACCCATTCCTTGAGAATTGCATTGAAATTCTGAATATGTTTTATTAGGCTTTTGACCCAAGGATGAAATGTAAATATCAGGATTTCCTATTGTGGATTGCTGCTTCACAACTATTATTAGATCTCTATCTCTAATTGCTTTCTTTATATCAATTTGGTAATATTTGTAATTTGTCTCACCTTGCCAGGGCACAATAGCACTATTTATATGGTATATGATACTCATTATATGTCTGACCTAATTCTAAACTCAAATAGGCTTAGCCTTGAAATGCCAAACAAAAAAAGGCAAATATCATAATTAAATTATTACTTAATATTATTAAATAAATTACAAAATGAGTCTTGTTTCTGTTCCAAAAAACTTGAAAACTCACATTTTTAATTTAATTGAATAGAACAAGACTTAAGAATTAATATAATTCATTGAGAATCATCGAGATTACATTCAAAATCTTGTGGCTCCAAATTATTGGACTCTTGGAATGTATGCGGTCAGATATAGTAATCATGATCTAATGAAATATTTACATAAAAAGGATCTATTGATTGAACATCCATTATCTCAATATACTTTACTGTCAAATGCCTTTTAAAACAACGATCTTGAGAGTTTTAAATTATTATGCGACGAATTGGGAAAAGTAATTTGACTTCTAATTCTTTAGGACATCAACAAACCTGTGCATCAGTTCTAAGAATAAACATTTTTACAATATGCCATCAAATACAATTTTAATGACTTGATCGAAATACTATGCTCCAGAGGAGCTTACTTCATAATTGAAAGGACATCCTCATCTCTATTTGATTGCTATGCCAACAATCTCAAAGTGGAACACGATCACTCAGGCGTTAGATTTAGGAGCTACAACGACAACAAAGAAGTAGCCCAGAACTCTATCATCCAATTGAAAAGAGACAAACTTACTCCTACTCATTATTTTAGATTCAAAAATATCTTATTACTATAATATCTATTGTAGATTAAATACTTGTAAGCTCCTGAAGGATACGGAGACTTTTTGTTGAACTTTAATAGAATATTGGAGTACACAGCTCCCAGCAATATATTAGATTGAATAAATAATATAAAGATATCTATAAATTATAAGGTATTTTCAGTCATTCAATCCATTTTAATCTTATAAATCTCACTTGGCTTGCGATTTTCAATCATTTTTATCATCAAATAAGTATTCGACAAGAAGAATATAACACATTAAACAAAGATCATTGTAAATACATCCTTCCCCTGTATCTCAAGATAATAAGATCCAAAATTCGATTGCACTTCCAAAATCAACCAAATAACTGACAACATCAATATCTCCTTATTATTCATCTTGGTATTCTGGAGTGCCAATGGAATCAATGCAATCCAGCACACAAAATATTGGGCTGTCTACACCTTATTAAACACAACAAACCCAAGAGTTTGAATCAACATGGCAAACGGTAAGTCTCTATAGTATTTCAAACCTGCTAAGATTACTATCAAAAATTTGGGCAGGTAAGTCAATGTTGTTTGAGTCCTAGTGATGGATTCAAAGCTTAAATATATCTGATAAAAGTAAGTAGAAAAATTATGTCTATTGTCAATCCTTGTAAAATGATAGAGATATGTTTGGTAGAGGAATTCCTCATAGATTAAGTGGAAAAATATCAATAAGGCTATGAACAATCCGCCTGAAATCAGGCAAATTTCACTTTATTCTTACTAATTAAACCCAAATATATTAATATATCATTTATCTTACATTCTTTCTGGCTAATGAGAATCTATAAAGAAGTAAACCCGTATATAAGTGCAGCCAAAACATAACTCTCTTTCTTAAGTAAATACAGTATGACATAAATTAAAAGCACTATTATGGTATCGGATGACCCTCTAGTCGAGACTTAGATTGTCAAAGGGTTGAAAATCCATAAGTTCAATAAAAAAGTAGATTTGACCAATTTTTACATAAAAACACATGCTAACATATCTACAAAACTGAACAGAATCTTTTCAAATGATGAAATCCACACATTTTTGGTATTAAATGTATGCCAGAATAGGTGAATATCTTTAGGTGTGTCTATCATATGGTGAACCACCATCAACCAGATATTATGCTCCATCAGAGTACAGCTACATATGATGCTCTCGATGCTGAATAATCTATGTCTGTGTATTTTAGATTGAAATATTTATCCTGGATCTCAGCATAAGCAATCAATCCTAGTCTTATTAGAAGTCCTAAGATAATTGCAATTTTTGGACTCATAAATTAATTAATGTTTAAATTACGAACCCACACTGTCAAACAATGGCTACTCTAAAGATTTCGCAAATCCGTCAATAGTTAATACATAACGGATCCATAGGAAGAAGTATTTAAATATCATTTACACAGGAATACAAACAAGAATTGGCGGAACTCTTTGCTAAATTTGATCACTAAGGCAAAGGGTAGATTTAAAAATACGAATTGCTTACTCTTCTCAATAAATACGGAATCAGTATCAATGAACAGGAATTGACGTGTTATATAAAGCAAGCAAATTCAAAAAGTGGTCGTTTTATAACAACCGAATAATTCAAATAGTGTGTTTTATCTGAAAAATCAAAACTATTTCTTAAAAAACTTATAAATAAATCAAACGAAAGAAACCCCCAAAATTACTTTCCGACTGATATCACCAAAGTCTTAGATTAAGTTCATTATTTAAGTTAGAGAAGCAGACTCCTATCATAAATTGAAGACAAATAGATTCCTGTTGAATAGAAGCTACAACCACTCAGTAAATTAATGAACCTCAGCCGTGAGATCACAATAACTGAACATAGGCCATAATAAAAATGTCCTTTGAGATTACCAAGAGCTAGGTCAACCTGTACTACAAATTATAACAGTTTATCTACTGCAATTACGGTGCCTTCTACATCCAATTCGAGATTTGGAGATAATCGTTTATCCTTTAGAAAGCATCCTACATAATATTGCGAATGATATTAATTAATTAACTTTATTTTAGTGAAAATTCTATTTATATCAGGTACTTAAATTGATTGTATTGTTTCTACTATATTGCTATAAATTATCTAATAATGAATTGAAGGATTATTTGAAAGAAATAAGATGTTAATCATCTAAATTGAGATCTCAGGTGCTCAAATAGAAAATTGGATTCATAATTTTATAAAATTAAGTATTAATACTTGGATTCACTTTTATTTGATATTTATTTTATTTTATATGAGTTTACCTATTCACTCCAAAAAACCTGATAGATTGATGAAAACATTGTTTATTTCATAGCCTATCATTTTTTAATCAAAAGGATTGAGCAAAACTGAAATGGCGATAGACCCTGCTCAAGAACCAATTCCGTAAAAACATTCTGGTTTTCAGACACTCCAAAGTTAGAGTTTATAAAAGTAAATGTATGGGATTGGATTAAACACAGGAAGATTTTTGGATAATCAAGAATAATTAAGATAGGATAAAAATAAGAAAAGAGTTATGAAGCCTGGATAAATAACTACATTAGAACCTTTGACTTAGAAATCGTCTACTTAGAATATATTTTAAGGTATAATTCAAGTATATTCTTAGAGGCAGATAATGAGGAAAGAAAAAAGTTCATTGATTATACAGGTGGTCCCAGATTTGAAAATGAAAAATAAGACAAATTGATCAAGTACTCGGTGGTAGGATATTAACAATTTTTGAAAATCCATTAAGAAAAGCTAAAATTAGATGAAAAAAAAAAGAAGAAAACCTAATATACCAATTAAGGGGCAACTGATGACTCTACAATAGAGGAGTAATAACCTTTGAAGACAAGCTAGTTCAGTGAGAAAATGATATAGTAAAGGAAGACGCCAAAAAAGAATAGAGGAGATTAAAAATTTTTGAACAAGAGAGATTTAGTTTAAATTATGAGAGAGACTGAGAAGAGAATCTAAGAAGCATAGAAAGAGATAGAGGAATAGGAGAGAAAACTACCTCAAAACACGAGAAATGCAATCACAAGGGAAGAGAGGGCTATAAAAAAACATGAAAACGTAAAGGCCTAATGGGAAAATGTTAATATTTAAGTGGCTTCCAATTGCTTTCGTCAACCTGAGGAAACCATTATGGCTAGATCAGATTAATTTAGGGGGAAAAATCAATTGGTATAAGCTTTAGAATTATGTAAAGGGGATGATGAGAAAAACAATAGTCGCTACTGGTATTTGAGATTAAGATGGTATGATCACAAAGATTCAAGACCTCCCTTTACTTTATTAACATAAAAGAATCAATAATAGAGTGAGCGGAAATTTGAAAATAGACTCACTAATAGGTTTGTGACAGACACGGAAGCAGAACGATTGTATCAATAGCAACAATTTGTATTATCTGACATTTAATCTAATTTCAATGCAAAATTGATCGAAAATCCTTTTAAATAAGTTGAAACTGTTATATCAGAGTAAAAATTAAAATCACAAGAGAAGTCAGTGTCGAATTATTCTAATTTTCAGGATTCGCCAAAATCTAAATTATATTCAACCAAATTAGAAACAATGTACCATTAGAAATTGAAGGAGAAACCAAAAAAAAAGTTTGTTGATTGTTAAGATTTTTTAAGTTTAATAGGAGAAAGCCAATATCAAAGAGAGTTGAAAATGTTGAAAAGAGAGTAAATGCAAGAATTCAAATTAGCAGAAATCCCACTTGAAGAATAAGAAGTGATGATTAATACATGGAATTCTAAGAATTTGGCAAAATCTGGTGAACGCATATTGTTTTGATTTTAATATTTATTTTAACGAATTTATATATGTCTTCTATAGAAACATAATAGGAACTGAACAAGTTTTTTATATTAGTAGTAAATGGAATGAGGTATATAAATTAATATAGATAGAGACGATTAGAAAAGTGTTTAGAATTCATTTAAGAAATCACAGATCATAAATATATACCTCCATTTTTTAAAAATGCTGTTTGTAGAATAGAGTAGCTTTAAGTTTACTTGCAATCCTTTGGAATAGACACGTAAATATATGAATTGAAAGACCTGATTGGAAGACTAGGAGGATTTGAAGATAGATTATTATTCAGTCAATTTCAGGATAGATATCTGAGATACCCAGGCAACATGGAGAAAAAAGAAGCAGAAATCTCATTCTTAAGATTACTATATGAAGAGGTTTAATTAGAGAGGTAGTTGGATGAGCAAAGAGTAAGAATTTTTAAAAGATGGGATTACAATTTAGATATACTCTTTAGTAAATTATCCTTAGGAAGCAATTCTGTGGATTTTAATAAGATGAAAAAGTTTTTTGTGCGTATTAGATAGAACGTCGTTGATGAAGAAATCAAATTATTATTAAAAAGAGTAGGCAATGGAGATGGCACTATAATGAGTTTAGATGATTTTAGATAGGCTCTCAAAACACAAAAATAAAGGGCTATGGATAAGAGTTAAATTCCCATGATGAAAACTAGTATTGTTTTCAATAAACAAATAAACAATACGAATTATATGGATCGATTAAGAAGAAGATATAAACCAATTTAAGCATAACAATCCTTCATATAAAAAGATGGTTGTTAAACTCCAAGAGCTAAAACACCAACTCCTTGTCGCGATACTGAGATAAAACAAACAAGAACCAAAACTCCGAATTAATTAACAGAACAAAAAGTATATGTTAATAATGAAAGCAAAGAAATCAATACACTTATGTCCATTTATTTAAATTAATAAAGATGCTTACAGAATGTATTATTGCAATTGGATGAAGTTGCCCTCTTAAAGTCTTTGCATTCAACTGATTGGCACAAAGAATGGTAAACCTTTAGTGTGAACTCATAAGGGATATCTTATGAACACTTTATTAATGTTCTGACATATTATGATTAGAGAAAGCCATTCAAAGACAAAGTTAACATCATTGATCTACCCACATCTGCTCTTACGGTGGCAGATAATCTCTTCTAATTATTAAGAGATTAAGAAAATTAAATTCAAAAATCTAGAATTTAGTACTCAAAATAAGACTAAATTAATTCATTAGACAAATATTTTGCAAAAGGATATATGGATGTATTAGATGTTTTATAGATTTTACAAAAGTGCACAATAACTAATGTCAATTTATAAGATGCAGAGTTGATAATTGCCAGGTTTAATCAATTTAATGGAAAGAAACAAATTACAAAAGAAGTATTTTTTAATGAAATTACTTGATAAATAAATTATTGAATGTCTTAATACTTACAGTTTATTATTATTTAAATGCAATCTTTAGATTCTTATTCGATATATATAATCACATAAGTTGTATTAAATTGACATCCTACAATAAGTGTTAAAATCTTAATCTTTTTCTTCAATTTGTTTAGTACCTTCTTTTGAAATAAACTAAATAATATAAAATAAATTATTATTTTAATGGAATCTAACTCCTTAGATTTTAAAATAAATATATAACCCAAGAGTATAACCGAGCATGTAGAGCCTGATGTTGATCTGACAGTCGACAAATATGATGCTGTCTATCAAAATACCCAATAGGAAGAAGAGGTGGAAGCAGCTAATGTATAGATATTAAATATTTGATTAGAAAGACTTACTAATATAAGAGTATGATATCACATAAGCTGCCCACCCCTATTATTGTGTTGCTGCTTTATTATTAACTTCTATTCCAGGATTAACTTTTATTTTGTTACAGGATGTTATACATGCTTATCCCTTAGTTATCATACTTTAGTTGGCTTAATTTCTGGCACTAAAGAACTACTTGGGCTTAAAATTGATTGGGTTACGTTGGTGGATTGAGATGGATATCAAGGGAGAATAGAAATGGATGTTCTAGACTCAATCATAAGAATAATCAAATAAAGTGGATAAGTACTTCTTTTGGGCCTGTCTCATATATGGTACACTCTTTTGGTGCATAATGTGTCTTGGAGACTTCTTTGGATTCAAAATATTCTGGGTATGATTGTAAATAGATTCTAGTTACCATTGCCAATCATATGTTTTGTTTTGTCTTTAACTAATTTATAAGGGTTTTACAAATGCAGAGGAGAGCACAAGAAGAAATTATAACAATTGAAAAGAGAAATGGCCAAAGGGGGAATGAATATAGTGGGAATGATTATGAAGTGATATGAAATTGTTATTTTAATATTTTTCGATTTAAAATGGCTTAGTGCGAGAAAATTTAAATTAGAAATACATAATATAGTTAGAATTATAACAATAATAATTAAAAACATGGGTTCAGATGGCATGTCCTGAGCATACCCAATTCTACGGAGCAGCTATTGATTCAAGGGCATTTGCACTAGTGCATTGACAGTTGTATGCATTACATTGGTTGTCCTATGTTAAATACTTGCATAGGATCGACATATTATTAAAATAGTTTCTGAATATCAAATAATCTGCATCTTTGTTCCATTTTTAGTTAATATGGCATTGAACTTGGAGATCACATTTAAGACATCTGAGATTTGTGCATATACGATATTATGCTTGGTTTCCAATTTGCGGTGATAAACATTTTCTTTTTTATTATTAACCTTGATTTGGTTATGGTTATGGCTAATAGTTTTATTATGAAATGGGCTTGCTTTGTGGGTTGTCCATAACTGAATTGATGTCATTTATTAAGTCGTCCAGATCATCATCAAATTTATTATTTATCATCTTGATTTGCTTATAATAAATATTATATTTTTTTATTTGATAACCATAATGAGATAACGAAGTGGTTAGATATTGTCACCGGCAAAAGTAATTCAAAACTTTTAAATGAGTACTAAGAATTACACTAGTAAAAATGCTTCCTAATCTCCTTTAAAATTTTTACAAAGGAATTTGTCACAAATTATATTGAAGGACTTAGCAAAACAGGATTCAAGTCGTAAAGTCAATCACGGGAGTATTACTGATAGAGTGCATAGTCAATAGCGATCCAACTCAAGAGATAAAGTTAAACCCCAAACGAAATAAGTAAAAGTTCCAACTGAAACCAACCTTCCTTTTTAATAATTATCCAAAGGAATCAATTTAATTTTGAACCAAAAACTAACAAACAAAAATAAATTGATTTTAGAAAAAGGATCCATGACTCGAAGAAATAGTGCTGAAGATTTGTTAACCAATTCAATTTAGATAGGAGGTAAATCTTCATCAATAGACAAACTACCAAAATAAGAAATTTAGATTTATGTTCATTATTCTTCAGAACTCACTCAAAATTTTAAATTCTGTGCTACCGTAACTACAGACAAAGTTCTAAATGCTCTAAAAAATAAGACTGGAAACTATTAGGTTGTGGGATTTGCAACTTTAGATGAGAATATTGGATTTGATTATTATCTCACAATACCTTTTTTGCCATTGACCCATATGGTAGGCAAGACCATTCGTCTAAAGCCAATAATGGGAATATCCCCTCCAAAACAATTAAATTTAAGTTGCTTCTAATTTCTGCATGTCATAGGAAAAGGGGGATTCTCAACAGTTATATTGTCTCGATCCCTAATTGATGGCAATTTTATCGCACTCAAATTAATTAGCAAAACATTTGTAGTACAAAATGAGAAACAGGATTTGGTCTAGAATGAAAGAGACATTTTAATCGAAACCACTAATAAAGGTTCTTTATTTACATCCAAAATTGAATTTGCATTTGAAACTAAAAATTGGATCATCTTCGGTATTGAATTCTGTCCAGGAGGAGAAATGTTTAGTTATATGAAAAAAGTCTAAAAGATGACTGAGTCCTAAGCCAGATTCTACATCACTGAAGTCTGTCTAGCTTTGGGATTCTTACATCATCAATAAATTATTTATAGGGATCTAAAACCAGAAAATGTTCTAATAGATATTACAGGACATATTCAACTGGCTGATTTTGGACTAGCTAGACCAAACATGCAACCTGAATAAAATGCATACTCTTTTTGTGGTTCTCCAGAATATATGGCTCCAGAAATGTTTCATAATGATGGTCACAATAATATGGTCGATTATTATTGTTTAGGAGCCTTGCTCTATGAATTTGTTACAGGACTCCCTCCATTCTATTGTGAGGACAAGAACATTATTTATACAAGATTGCTTAACGAATAAGTCTAATTCCCTAAGAAGTTAAGTCCTGAAGTCAAAGATCTAATTAAATTGCTTATGATTAAGGATCCAAATAAAAGATTAGGATCCAAAAATGGAGTTGATGATATATTAGCACATCCTTGGTTTTAGGATATAGATATTGCAAAATACATTTAAAAATAAATTGATCCTCCTTATATTCCTGATCTAACCAAATTATAATTCAAATCGCCAACAACAAATGACAGAATTCTATTCGAACAATTAAATCGAGAACAAAAATTAATCAATCAATTCAAACCAATGTTTGACACTGCATTCTTTTATCAATTGAAAAGATATCAATGTTATGAATTTGATAAAAATTCATCCACATAAGTGACAAAGGACACTATTGATTCAATGGTGAGAAAAAGAACAAAAAATTCTCAGAATAGTTAATAATCCTTGTTATCCTAACAATCACAGTCATAGTTATCCTCAGTATTGTGTTCTAATGAAACCCTTAGAAATACTAAAAGTGTAACAAATCTAAAATTTTATTAAAATTTATTAACTGAACCATCTAGGAAATGAGTTTATATTTATTACAATATTTTCTCATAATCCAAAATATTATATTGATTTTTATTACTTAATAAATTATAAAAAAGATTAATCTAATAGTAATCAAATTTAATTGTTACCAAAACCTTGTAAGATATTAATATTTCTAATTGTTTTCTTCTGAAAATCATTTATCAACTGTCCTATCATAAATAATTTTAATTAATCTGCTAAATAAGTTAAGAACATGGATAAGATATTCTGTTATATTATTTTATAATAGTATAACTTAAACACATTCTATGTAATCAATTTTAAGTCACAACAAATAAAATTAATACAAGATATCAATAGTCAAAAGATCGTTTTTACTATTATAAAGTCAATTATATAAGGATTTTCTTACTCCACCTTTTTTGTTATATTTTTGGATTGATTGTATTTCATATTATATTTTATTAATTTATAAATAAACTCATTATGTCGTGCAGTCTAAGTCAGAACTATGAATCCTTTAGTAACCAAGAAACAATTGAAAAAGTAAGCCAAAGAATTTCTAAGAAAGAATAAATGGAAATGAAAAGACAGTTGGGTGTGATGGTTAATAGAGTTAAAATGTTGGAAGTGTTTCGATAAAGACTGTAACTTTTCTGAGTATCTAGATAAGGGAAACAGATATAAACAGAATTGAAGAATGAATAAGTAAATAGTATTAGAAATGAATATAGTGAATACTTGAAGTAGGTATTTTATAAGTTATCTATTTAGTAAAGTAAACATAAAGAATCTAGAGAATAATCACTTGAACTTTTTAGGGAAAAAACGAAGCTTTTAAAACAATAACAATTAAATCTTAAAGTTTAAATTCGTTAAAGTGTGCAGCAATAGAAGAAGGAATAATTTGAGATAATGAAGAAGCAATCCTTAAATCACGATAAAGTTATCATCCTCCAGAAGGAAAGATCAAAGTCTTACAATCTAGAGAAGAAACAAAGGGTTCAACAATATGAATAGTAACAACAATTAAACTTAGCTATGTACAAATAGTAAAAATAAGATCAATTCAAATCTTAACACAAGAAAGCAGTCCTCAATAGCTATAAGTAAAAGGCTTAGGACTTCATGAAAATACAATTATTGTGGGAGAAAGAATAAGATATACTAGATTAACTAAATGATTCTTATCATTCAAGATTGACTTCTTCAATGATAAAGAACTGAATATCGCTCATATTTGTAAATTTTATTTATAATATTATTATTAATGGAAGAAATTCTTGAAATTGTTCCAAATACGATAAAATTCGATTATTAAAGTAGAGAATAAACCATCTCCATCTAAAATTTGACCCTTCATTATATTCAAGTTAGAATTGTTTCCCCAAATCCTACTTTATTTGCTATAATTCCTAATATTTGTAAATATATATATCATATCCTATAATAGTTTCAATAGAACCTTGTACAACTACAGATGTGGTTGTCAAATTAAATTTAGATTTTAAAATGAACTTTTACTCACTTATTATGAACAGAAAGTTAACTATTTTTTATTATGATGTTGACGATGTTGAAGAGTTGGGTAAAAATGATATGGATTGGCAAAAATTACCTTTTAATTTTTTGGGGAGAAGTGAAATTAATGTTGACTATAATACCAACAGTGACAAATATCAAATACTCAAGACGGAGAAGTCAAAAAAATTTATGGAAAGTGTTTAAATATTTTAAGCTTTGTTTATAAAATAAAAAAATATATCTTTGAATGATGAATACAAAAAGATTTTAATTGATAAATATCTAGAATTGCATAACAAATATCAAACCTATAAAATAATGGAAGATAGCATAATTTTTATAGGTAATAATTTAGATTTTGAAAACGAAATCTATTGTATTGAAAATCAATCTTAAATTTATTATGTTTCCTCATACAAACCAACCTATTTATATAATGCTTTTCCATAACATCCAATTGAACCCCTAAGCCCATAAAGCCAAAGAAAGAAAAGCTCATAATAACCTCTACAACTATAAGAACCAATAAAATTACTCAAAACCGAAAGTGAGTAAATCAATCAACATTCCTTAATTGATTTATCTCCGGTCAAGTAATTTTTTTCTGTATTCACATCGTCCAAACAAAAACACGACGAGACCAGCGAGTAATAAGCTTAGGTGGAATAACCAATTATTTAGCCCTAACTTATCGATCAATAAAAAATCTAGTAATAATAATAATATGAAATTAGGGATTAATAATAAGTAGTAAGATAAAATGATACAAAAACTATATAAGAGGATAAGTAATTGTAATAATAATAGCAATAATAATAACAATAATAATAGCAATAATAATAACAATCACAATAGTAATAATAACAATAACAATAGTAGTAATAACAATAATAATAGTAGTAATAATAATAGCAATAATAGTAATAATAATAATAATCATCAAAACAACAACCTTAATAAGCAAAGGTTTAATAAAAGTTTTACAATCAAGAGGCAAGTGTACCTGAATCAAATAGAATAAATAAAAGATTACTTAATGATTAAAGTACAAATAATGGATAAAAGACTGAATAAAAGGCATTGTCTATAGATGGGAGGAGAAGTCTGTAGATAATTGATTAAAAGAATTAGTAGAGATTAAATGAAACTGCTGATTTGTCATGGGATCAAAAGGCCAAAATTTAATAACAATAAATGACTGCTCCTCCTGTAGAATTCAAGGGAATAGATAATATGTATTGATAATCTTATAAAAGTAAGTTAGAATTAATAAGCATGCTACAAAATCAATGAATTAGCTTAGCTAAAGACCTATCAGCAAATCACTGATGTTTTACTCTTCAGAGATGGCAAATATTTAATAACAGTCGGTGAAAAGAATGATATAAAAGTAACACTAATTAAAATAACAAAAGGTCTGGCAACTATCCATTAGAGGTCTTGTTGGAACGATAAAGGAGCTTGAGAATAAAAAGGAGAGAAAGATTTTACTCATAAAAGAATGGAGGTATGTAGATCCATCTGCTGATGAGAATTATGAGTTTGAGTTGAAGGATCCTAAGAATGAAGGCAAAGTAATTCTGGAAATGATTAATTTAGAGTTAAGAATTATTCACTCCATACGAGACTGCTTATAGATTTGTTACTGGTTCAGAAGATTAGATTTTCAGGATATTTAATTTGACAACTATGACTTTGGAACAATCATTCAATTCTAGATTATAGATACCAACAGCAATCACATTTATGCCCGATAGAGGACTATTCTGTATAGGTGGTTAACCATATAAAACAATATTTGGATAAATCAGAAAATATAGATCAATTAGATTCTTTTTGATGAAGAATTTATAGGAGAAGCCAAAATATAAGATATTTTGTAAGTCAGAAGACGAATATCTAAGTCAGGTCATCTATAGTGAAAATCCTATCAACATCCAAAAAGAGTAATACCATGCAAGAATTAATAATATATTAGCAATACAAATCATCAGAAGAAATAGCTAAGGAAAGTAGATTCTCCAAAGCGATAGAATTTTGTTTGTATTTATGGATAGAATGAATTAATGTACAGTTTTATTGACATTGGAATGTGAATCACTTAAAATAAGAGGAATTAATGATTTGAAATATCTATACAAAGAAGGTGTTTTTGCTGTTATTGAGGCTAATGATGTGGTTAGCGCAAAAAACACAAAAGTAGAGTAGAATACTTAAAGAGTGGTTTTAATAAATTTAAAATAATTATAAACCTCGCAGGGAAGAGAAAGTGGAATAGAATGCAATTTAATCTAAGAGTAAAGATCTAAAGTAATCTTTTTAAAATCTATTTTAAGTTATCTGTATAAATCCTAGTAAATCCTATTTTGTTGGTCATTCCATAACCAAAGCAGATCATATTTTAGAATTTTAATGGAGAAGACTAGATTATTCATCCCTTAGAAATTAAAGATTCTAAGTAGTAGCTTAATTTTAATTATCTAAATACTCTAAATAATTATGTAATATCAATAGTAGATGATATAATTTAAGTTATATCAATTATTTGAGAATAATTATTCATATTTATCACAAATATAGCATAAGTCTGATCCGATTAAAATAATTAATTAATTATTTAATAAAAGTTTTTTTGATTGTTCTTCTAAAATTCTCCATAGATTCCAAGCATAATTTTAGTTACTTTTAAGTCCCTATTATATGTTATGTTTTTATACTTCATCTAATTTTCTAATCAAATCTTGATAGTATTAGGTGAAATTATTGGAATCTCTCAATCGTTAACTTATTATTTTTCTTTAATGTCCCCAAGTTATCTTTAATTACAGGAATTATTGTTCTGCTTAGTGAGAGAGGAAGAATTTATCTTACTTTTATTTAGTAAATAAATTGTTATGCATACAAAACAATCCAAACTAATAAAAGTTAAGTCCATTATCATTTTAACACTATATTTAAAATAATTTTATGTATTTGAGCATGTTTTTATTATCCTCTATTAAAGTATAGAGAATCTTAAATTCATCTTCACTTATTTTTTGATTATCGTCAACGTCTATAGCTAAAAATAATTGATGAAAATTATCATTTTAGACTTTCCTTACGAATTGAAATTGTTCTAATGATTCCAAATAGTATTAATCTAAATCTAAATAACTTTCTCCTTTTATGTTTTTGCAATAAATGGCAAATTTGTCTATTAACTCTTTGCCAGTGTTGTTAAAACTCTATAGTTATTATTTAACCTTTTGAAATAGTACCATAACACAATCATGCGAAGGAGTACACTATATCAAATTCTGAGCATTCTAATATTCATCCAATTAACTCAAAGATTATATGTAAAATTCAAAATCTTCATTAGAAATATTATCAAATAAGTGTAAAAATCGAGCAAATAATTTGATTCTGTAATTCTATTGATACACAATTAGACTTTAACAAAATTAAGTCATTTTTTATTCAGCTACATTTTTTAGTCCATACTAATTCATGTAATACTCATAGCAGATGGCATAGAGAGGATATTTAGAATCCAATTTCTCTTTATAAAATAATGATATTTATTTTAAAGAATTTTAAATAGTTAGGGTATTTTCTACTTAATTCGGATTCATTTAGAAGTCTTAATGTAATTGATTGATGAAAGCTAAAGCAACGTCTACATAAATGTTTTCTTTTTTATCTTTTAACAATCTCTATAATATTTGCTCTATCAATTTTATCAAAATATTTACATTATTTCTCTTATTAAATGAGAATATAATTTTATTATTGAGTTTGTCTTCGTTATTATACGATACTAAGCCTTTGATTTGAGTTTTGCGTTATTTTAAGTTAGCGTCCATCTTTAGTTAATTCTTCTAAAGCTCTACTTAAGAAGTCTTCATTGGAGTTTGCATTAGTATCATTATCTTAACTATTATTAATATTTTGGACAGAATCTTAAGAAGATTTTCGAGGAATGAGTTAAGAGTTTTTAATTATCTTAACCTATTTTTTTTAATCTTTAACATCAACAGATTTAACTTTATTAAAACCATTATTGGTTTATTTCATCGTTTGCTATTATTATTATTATTACTATTATTACTACTATTATTATTTCTAAGTTTGCTTTATTTAATCTTAATTGATTTACTTTTTTTATTATGAATTGTTTTATTTTATTTCTGGAAGATTCTCTTAAGTCTTATGTTAGGTCTCCTGTTTTTATTGAGTTTTCATTGTAGAAGATGTAAATTAAGGAGCAAGTGTCATCTATTAATCCGTATTCTTTTAATCAATACTAACAACAGTAATTTCTTTTTATTTTGAATCCTACTTATTATCAATTTGAGTCTATAAATTATCTAAATCTATTTATAATTATGTGATTGTATTTTCCAAATTCGTTATTTTTATTTTTTATTAGTCACTTTCCCTTTGAACTTATTATCTTTACTTTCTAAACTCATTTTAAGCTTAAATTTCCATTCTTATTTTTTCTTCTAATGTAAAATTCAGCTCTTTTAATTTTCTAACCTCTTCCATTTAGGCATGATTATTTCTAGATATACAAAAATTTACTTTTCATTTTAATGGTTGGATTAGGGACGTTGTTCTTCAACGATCAATTCTGAACATTAAACGCCAACTTATTTGAAATATTTAAAATCTGTTTGAGCTTCAGAAGTGCGTAATTCAGTTAATTGAATAGTTTGACAAGCCTAACTCACATGTATCTCCATCGTAGTGTATAGATCATAGCAACTTGTGGATTTGTGATCGGGATATAATGCATCAGTATCTGAGAATATATAAGATTATCTTTTAGATTTCTAAAAGTTGTAATTGATTCTATCATTTAATTATTTTAAAGTCTTTTGATTTTCTATTTATAAAGCATTGATTTATTAGGTCAATTAGTCGATGTCATTCATAGCAATCTAGTAATCATTTCTTAATTCTTAGTCCTCTGATTTGAGTTCTTTGTACTAGTTGACCAAGTAATCATATTTTTGCAACAAATTATCATAGTCAACCACTGTCTCATTGTGTTTATATTGTAGTTATTGTAATTATGTTTCTAGCAACTTAATTTTATCTTCTTGAACCTTAACGGACATTTGATAGGTTTAATGAATCTAATTAGTATGATCAATATTACTTGTTTCAAATCATTTAAATATTCATTCTCTGAATTGATCTTCTCCTGCTGAATCGCCTAAATTACGATACTATTAAAATTAACGTATTGATTCCAAATCTTCTCCAATAGTACTCTAATTGATTATCAAATTTTACCCTTTTTCTATACAATCGATTGAGATTTCCCTTACTAACTCTTTGAGACTTTAGTTAAAGACTTGCTCAACTTGATGAAGCATCTAATCTTCTTTTAGTTTTGTGTCTTCGACAATAGTTTTCATTTGATAGTCTATCCATTGAGCCAATTTGATCACGTCCTGTCTTTGTACTATTACATTAGCCGGTTTTTATTGCGGATTATGCTGAGAGAGCTTATCTGAAAATTCACTAGTTTCTTAGAGGAGTTGAGTTAATTTCTCTTTGTCCTTCAAATCAAATAGATTAACATGAATAGAAGATACTTCTAGAGAAATAATCACTTTTCAATAATTACTTCTAGGATGTTCTAATGTGATTTCCTCTTAGGAGTCATTAAATTTAAAAGGATTCTCGCTCAGCATTTAGGAATACATTTCATTCCTTCTTTATTTGCTTTACCTCTCAATTTCAAGCAATTATGTCTTGTTAAGTAATGGAGATGTATAATATTGCTATGTTAAATAATCTATTGATACATCTTATTTGACATCATGCTTTTCATTTCGAATAAACGAGACGTTATTTAAGTTATGAAGGGATTTCACTGAATGATCATTTAAGTGTCTCGGTTATTTTAAGGAAGTATTAAATATATGTTCTAAAGTCTACTAGCTTTTTGCTTGTGGTGTCTTTGAAATGTTTGGCAGTTGTTTCTGAAATTGGTTTTCAAATATGTTCACTTTCATTATGTTAAAATGAAAATTGAAAGACTTTAAAATCAATTAATTGTTATAAAGAATAAATGAGATTAAAAGCATTACATTTTAAATATATGACTATTTAAATAAATAAAGAAAACAAGAATGAGCTGAGATACCTTATTGCTAAAAGAAATAAATGTTAAGTTTATTTTATCAGTTAATTCTACCTGACAGATTCAATTAGAACTAAATTTCAGATTCAATAGTGTAAAGTTTGGTAATGAACCCAAGTATAACATAAATTGGAATTGAACAATATTATATCTTGGCTATCTAACCAATTGAATTTGCCTGTTACCTTTCGAGTAAATGAAATGAAGTTATAAAATCTATTCCTTTAAACCTTAAGTCATTGATTTTTCAATTTTAATGATTGTATTGTATATTTAAGGAAGTTTGGGACTATTTAATATAAAGAACTAAATATTTGAAGGAAGCTTACAATCCTAAAGGATGATATCCTTACTTATATTTATCTTTATAATTTGTAATAATAATTCCAATATGAAAGAGCTAATATTTGAGATTCAGCCTTCAAAAAGCCCTCTATCAGATCTTGATATTTCCTAAATTTATTATGTAACTTAAGCCAAAATAAAACTAGTTTATTAAAAGATTTATCAGAATTGTAAAATTAATAATTCCTCAGCCTAACCTCGTCCTTTTTGTAATACTTTATGAAATAGCCTAATCCATAGTAGCTTAGATTTGAAATACATTAACCAAATAAAACTCGAAAAAATTAGATGAAAGATAGAATTTAATGAAATATTTGATGAAAAATAAAAATAAAGCTTATGTATGCACTTTTAATTGCTAATAATTTCTTAGTCAATTCAGCAAATTATTATTACTTATAATTTATATATTTGAATAATGACTATGATTCATCATTTATTTTAGTTTTCTTATGATTATAATGTATATTATTCTAAAGCTTTTTTCTGTGCCTTTTCATAATTTTCTCTTTCTTGTTGCTCTCTTCTTAACCTCTCCATAACAAATTTATCATCCTCTATTTATAAATTTTAGATTGGTTTTACAATCTAAGCATTCGTGATAAAAGCAACCTAATATAATTTATTAATAATTGTACTCTTTATTCTGTAGTTCTTTTTTCATTTTAACTATCTTATTGCAATATTTCAGTGTTCTTTTCCAAACCTAAATCTTTTCTATATTTATCATATTATTATTGAATGAAACTCTCTTTGTGTTCAAATTTTTAGGGACAATCTGAGGTTGGATGAGAAAATTCATGACAGATTTCACATTTCACTCTTGCTTTTTCAAATGGAATTTTAGTAGGACAAGCATAAGTTCTATGACCCTTTTCATGACAATATTCGCAAAAGTCATCTCTTAAGACTGTAGCTATAACTTAGCCTTATAATCTAGCATTTCTTGCTTATTCATCTTCTTAATTTCCTGATAATATTTTCTCTATTTCGATAACACCTTATTGAAGTTGTTCATCATTATCCGCTTAAATTAAGACATGCAACTTGTCATCCATATCCCAATCCACCTTCTTTGTGTTTGAACTTCCTTTGCCTCTGACTGATATTTTGCAACCAGTTTTTCCCTCCAAGAATTTTTAAGTGTTACCTCCTGGTCCCAAGATAAGACCAATATAATTTGTATCAGGAGCGTTTAAAGTATCAGTTAAATATATTTTTTGAGATTTCTTCAAAGGTTTAAAATCATGAGGAGGAACAAAGTTTTTGTTAATCTTAATGCATTCTTCGGTCAAAGAACATTTAATTCTTTGAAAATTCTCTTTTCTTCTAACTTCCCTTGTGTTAACTCTCTTTCCATGTTGATCGTAGACTGGTTCAGGAGAGGGAGACCTTAAATCAGGATCATCCATTTTACTATCTATTGGTTATTGTAATTTTTAATTGATATCATCAAGACAATACAATCTGATGATATATTCTAAGTCGTCTATGCTGAGATCAGGAGGAATACAATTTAAAGAGGGAGGCTGAAAGGTTTTTTCATAATCAGGACCCCATCGAGTATGCTAAATTATTAAAAATATCCCAATACAGAAGTATCTGTTCGCACAAAATTGTAGCCATATGACTGAGACATTACAGGCATCACAGGCATTTGTTACATTCCCCATGGTAATGCCATACCAATAGGTACAGGAGGGGCTAAGCTTTGGGCTCCTACAGGTAAGATGCATTTTCTATTCATCATCGCCTCTAAAGGATTGAATTGCAAGTGTTTTTACTCAGGTCTAGCACACTTCCTATCAGGCCTTCCTCCCCATCTTGATTTACGCGTTCGTTTTTGGGGCTCTTCAAACATCTTTTCAGCTGATATGGTGAGAATATGTTGCTCATCAATGATAATTTCATCAGCAAAATTCATCCTTGAATCTACATTAAATACTGAGTTTATACCTTATTTTTTTTCTTCAATTATTATCCCTTCTTCCTATTCTATTCCAGCCATTTTAATTAATTAATTAATTAGGATAAACCTAAGAATAAAAGTTATTATTAAAGTTCTATTGCATATTTAACACATATTAACTCTAGTACATCAGATATTAATTCAATGATATTAATTAAAAATCAATGAGTATCATATTTAATATTTATTCTTAATATTTGGATGATGCCTTACTTCTATTTGGATGTACTTATTTCCTTTTTCAATAATTATGAACATAATAACTTAACTTATACATATTATATTCATGCATATTGATCCATTTTTAATGCAAAGAATAATTATTTTATGTTGATTGATAATTAATTACTACATAATCATAATCATGTGCTAATAAAACAAAAACGCTAAGCCCCAAAAACAGAAAGACTATCCTTAAAGTTGACTAATGTGTCTCCTGTTCGCAGTTTTCATTAAACTCAAAGGGATCAATTAGAATAGCTTATTAAGCAGAGCATTTAAAATCCAAAGAACATAAATGTAAAGTAGAATAAATTATTTAACATAGACACTTTTGAATGAATTTTTATCTCGAAAACAAGAAGAAAGCAGAGCTAGAGTTTTTTCATAACCTTAGATCCAAGCTGGTGAATGCTCCCCCTATAAAAGAATTATTAAATAGAAAGCAGCCAGCAGACCGAACAGCAAAGAAAAACGTATAGACACAACCCCTATTTCCCCTAATAATTCACTTCCATTTAAAAAGCAAGTTACTCTTCACATTGAATCAACATATTCATAAAAAAAGTAAACAACTATATCTAAACTATCCACTAATGATTTGATTTAATATCATAAGTAATTGATACAAAAGGCTTAAAAAATGTTACTTTATGCATAATTTAAGCGATCAACAAAATGAAGAATATATATTTTTATATATATTTCCTAATCAACTCATAAATCTATTATAATCTGAATCTCAATAAATGATCTAAGTTCATCAAATTATAAATCTCCGTATCCAGATCTCTTATTCATAGTTTCTTCTGCTTCTTCAAGTTCATTAACTTTAAAAACCCAAAATATATAAATTATCTTAATACAGGAAAGAAATTCAATCTGATTAATTATTAGATTCAATTAAATAATTTAATAACACGTTTATACACTATAATAATAAATATTCATTTTTTAAATTGTTTGTATATGGTATTTATTAAGCCAAATTATGCCTTAGCTTACATTAATTATTGCAATTTAAATTCGTATTCATATTATCCATCCAAGTATTTGGGTAGTAGTTTTGATTAAATTTTGTATATCATTTTTTGAAATAAATCATAAGTTTCATTTAAAGTGATATTTTTCTATTCACTCTCTTTATCATCAAGCAATAAACAAGAATGCAATAGATCTATTAACTTAAAAAATATATTTTGAATGTATTGATATTGAGATTTATCAAAATTCTCTAAAGTGTACTCATATAACTTTATCAAAGCATAACAACAATCGAAAATATCAGCTTAATTTTATAAAGTTACATTATGCTCTTAGATTTCTAAAATACGATTCACTAATTCATCATGGTATTTCTCTGTCTCTTGTTAATTACTCATACACAAATAGCAAATTAAAAAGACAGTCTAACTTTAATTTTAGGTTTAAGCAATATGATTTTAAATAAGAACTTAAAATTCTTACTTGAAGAATAAATCAGTATACAAAGATATGCTTCTGCAGATTTTTCTTACCTTTTTGATCAAATAATTCATCTCTATACACTTCAAACATATGATGAAAATCTATTATAAAATATCAAAACTATTACTTCATACAATAATTGCGGCATTTCATCAGCTATAAATTAGTATTGTTCCTTATTGAAAGCGGCTAAGAATTTTATATATGGAGCCTGTTACAGGTACATTTTTAATTAATAGATGACAAATTGTATGACAAATTCGTATTGACATTTATCTTCTAAAATTATAATAGAACAATAAGCTTACAATAATATTTAAGAAAGATCTTTGAAATTTCAACAAGTTCTTCATCAAAAGAATTTCTTTTCGATTGAGGTAAATATGCCATTAACTTCCAAACATCTAATTGAGAATTATAGGTTTCCTCTTAGGGCCATATTTTATAAATTGCTCTAAAGGTTTATAACATCTTTATCACAGCATGATTATTTAAATTGTTTATTTCAATAATTATTCTCTATTACAAAACAATCAAGTAACTCTCAGAATAATTATGGAAAAATGTTTTATGCACTTTTGCTAAATTTATTAGTGATTCAAAAAAATCAATATCTGTAGTTTTAGAAATGATGTTCTGTATATATGGATTCAGGTGTTGTATCGTATTCTCCAAAAGAGTGTAATTGGATGAAGATTTTGTCATCATCTAAAAAACTGAAATAGCGGTTGCTGTTTCAACATTCTCAGTTGTAATCTACTATAAAATATATTTTAAATATTAAATGTTGAAATCTTCATCTTGTTCTTATTTAAATATCTTTTTTTAGTATTTTTGTAAAAAGAGCATAAATATAATTTTGAAACTGGAGTTACCCATCTACGAAGTTAAATTATTTAAATGTATTCTTAGTAAGTTTTCTAGTTTTTTTAGAGTAAACTCTTGATCGACTATAAATATTTTCATAGAAGTAAGCAAAATCAAAGATGCTTATAATTATGTGATAGGTAAAGTTTGATTTACTTTGATGATCTAATTTATGTTGTTGATTTCCTGAGGATCATAATAAAATGCAACTTAATTTTTTACAATGTTGATCTGTTGCATTTCGACTTAAAAAATTGTATTTAACACTTGAGCGCAAAGTAGATATCCGATATATGTAAATTAACGAACATAGGAACACATAGCCACAAATAATCTGACTATCGAACACAAATATGTGTCACTTTCTTGTTTACTAATGAGATCTATCAGTTCATTAGGCGTGTCCTCATTTTACACTTGATTATATAATTCTATGTAATTTGATAATTAAGTGTAAATTAAGTGCAAGAGTTTTTCTTTATTATTTTTAAATAATCTGAGAGAATAATGATTTTAACACAATTTAGTTAGCAATTTAAAGTTTTCTTTTTAATTCTCCTTATTTATACTTTAATGATTATAAATTTACCAATTTATTTGTTCAATCTAATTTAGCAAATATTAGAATAAATATTGTGTAAATTAATCATATTGCTTAGAATCACATTATACTAAATGCTAATGCTCAAAAAAAGAATCTATTAATCCGATCACATAATAAATCGATTTGATTGATTCTTTATTTATTATATCACTTGCTAAAATTGTAGTCATATAATTTAATAAATTCTATGATATTATTTGATATGGATTTCTTTCTAAGACAACCTGCAATGAGGATATGATAACTTTATGAATTTTAATGTTAGTAATTGGTTTTTCAATTTCAATTTTGATCTTTAGAATTAATATGTCCAAAAATTCATTTCTTTACGATTAAGAAATTACTAAGTGTTTTAATAGCTCTAATTGATTGATATTATTGGAAGCATTTCTGAATTACCATGCTAGAAATATCCAAAATTAATCATCTACTCTATCTATGAATTCATAATACGCTGTTAAGATGTTTTCAATATATTCAGAAGTAATATGAATGTTCAATATTTGAATAATTAAAACAAAGGTGTTTATAGCACATCTATTATATTATTCGATGCTCATTTAATTTCTCTAATTTAGCATCTATCTTAATAGCAATCCAAAATAAATCCAACATTTTTAATCATTTTTTTCAGAGATCAAAATGGACAATTATTGTAAATATTGCTCAATTTGACTGAAATTCAATTATTCAATCTGTTCAGGAAACTAAAGAGCTTAAATAAATTATATCATCAGAATATCTGGAAGTGGTTTCTTTTGAAGCTCATTAATAAAAAATTATTACATTAATTACATAAATTTAATAATTATTAAGTCAACTATAAAATGGCTAATATTTTTGAGTGAAATTCAATATTAAATTCCTGTCTTCTAGAGACATCTAAATACCTTAAGCATAATTAAATAAAATTAATTATTTAGTAAATGTTACAAATAAAATGATGAAGATCAATGAAATATCCTGCTAAATTCATTAAAATTAAGTAAGTTATTCTTGCTAACATTGTACTTATAAAAGATTCCTTTTTAAATATTTATCTCCATTTGTTTGTCAACATACAGTAACAACACCTAAAATTCTTCGAAAGTCAGCTTCTTATCGCCATCCATATCTAAATTTGTGAATAATTGTTCCAAAGGAGTTCCTCTTTTTTTCTGAGCCTATCTTAATTCATCGATTGCTAACTTAAATTTACATATGATAATACTTAGAGTTGTTCGAGTTTTATTTAATTCTTTTGTATTACATATTTAGTTTTAAATATTTTATGATCTAATAAATCATCCCAATTGTATCGATTTTTTTCTTCAAATTGTAAACAATTTATTATAAATTCTTTGAATTCATTCGATATTTAGATTTGTGAAGGAAAAGATAATTTTTACGATTTTATGGATTTCAAAAGTTGAGTAGGATCATCACCCATCCAAGGATAATCCCCAGTTATCATTTGATAAGTCATAATTCCTATGGACCAGATGTCACATTTCGTCGAATAGTGTTTATTTTCAAGTATTTATGGAGCCATATACAATGGTGTGCCTACATTTTCTCTAAAAAGTTGATTGCCAGAATAATCTGCCTTTACAGAGAATCCAAAATCTGCTAATTTCAAAGTCCTTTAGTGAATCAAGATGTTCTCTGGTTTGATGTCTCTATGCAAGTACTCTTTCTTTATTAGTTCATTGAGAGCAGTCAACAATTGCTACAAGACTATTTTTGCTACGTTTTCGCTCAGAACTCCTCCAGATTGATAAAGGAAGGACTTGAGATTTTGACTATCGCAATATTCCATTATGAGATATTCTCTATTCTAACTGGCGTCGTGGAACATCTCAATGATTTTAACTATGTTTTAATGATCTAAATCTCTCAGTATTCGAACCTCCCTCTAAAACCCAGAAACATAGTATTTATCTTAAACCTTACTCCAATCAATAACTAGAAATGATGTTGAATTTAAACCTTTTATAGCAACGAACTCTTAGGTCTTGTCGATTAAACCCTTATAAACCCTAGAATAGGCTCCAACTCCGATTAGATCATCTTCTGAGTAGCTATACTTGTTTTGTATTTTTATCATTAAATCCAAAACGAACAATTATGTAGCATATCAATTAATCATCAATCATAACCCCCCAATTAATTCAATAAATTGATTTTATAAATTAAGTGTCAGAAAACATCAACATTCTTTAAGAAGAATTCAAATCTTACTAAATTAAGTGTCATTAAAAACACGTTATAATTGATTCAGACATAAACTCTTAATCAAAATTAAATTATTTAATTTAATTCTAAAATACTTTTTAGATGAAAATTAGCTCAAAATCGTTTTACAGATTATCATGACATAATAACAATAATTATAACTCATAAAATGTGTAACACATTCATTTGATCGGCTCAAATTTAAAATTACGTTTTATGGATATTAAAATGTAAAAAAGGATCATAAAAACAATAAAATTTTATACAACCTTATGAGACTTAAATAAAACCTATAATTGCAGTATTTCTATATGAATTCTTACATTTTATTAATCTACTTTTTGTTTAAGTAATTTTAATAATATTTCAAATATATATGTTGAAGATTAGATATTTTATTTTGTGAAATTCTTCCTATTTTTACACAAAACATAAATTAGAATAAGGTGTGATAATTTAATTGGAAGAATTTTAATGTAAATTTGTTTATAAATTTATCATTTTAAATAGATATAGTTTTATTTTGATTATTTTGAAAGATTATTAACATATATGTAATATCCTCATGGGTTTCTTACATAAATATCTTCTTATGAAACGCATTGATATATTAATTATAGTCCTTTTGATATTATACTCGATGTTTGTAATTGATTAGCTTCTAATACTAAATCTTTATTTTTCGGAAGGAAAAATGTTCCTAAGAGAGAAGTATAGAGAATGAAATTATAATAATTATTTAATATTTATATTTACTTAAAATGGGTAATTGTAATATCAATGAAAAAAAGGAAGATCTAATGGAAAATAATGGTATTTAGAATTAATAGGTAGTGGTTTCTGTTTAAAATTTTCAATTTATTGATGCCATAGGAAGAGGGGGATTTGGTAAAGTGTGGAAAGTCCGTCAAAAGAAGAATAAATAGTTTTATGCCTTGAAAGTGATGTCAAAACCTAAGTAAGTTATAGAGAATTATGTAGGATAATAACAAAGAAATCTGTGTAGTCAGTGATGAATGAAAAGGCACTACTATGTGGATTAAAGCACAAGTAAGTAGAGAAAATAACATAAGTTTTCTGATCAACATGTAGTACTCATTTCAGGATCGAGAATATTTGTATTTAGTTATGGATTTACTTTCAGGAGGAGATTTGAGATATCACATAGGAAGGCATCGAAGATTTAATGAGGAACAAACAAGTATTGGCAATTGATTCTAAAATGTAGAGTTTTTCAGTGCATGTATAATGGTAGCATTGGAATATTTACATCAACAAGGGATATTACACAGAGACCTAAAGCCAGAGAATTTAGTGTTTGATAGCAATGGTATTGAAAGGTCATTCTTCAGTTAGGATACTTGAGATTAACAGATCTTGGCATAGCAAGAATTTGGAAACCAGAGAACTCTCAAGACACAAGTGGAACTCCAGGATACATGGCCCCAGAAGTAATGTGTCGTATGATATAATCAATTCTAAACTAATAGGACACAATCATGGAGTAGCAGTCGATTATTTTGCCTTGGGAGTGATAGTATATGAGTGTATGTTGGGAAGAAGACCATATTTGGGAAGAAGTCGTTAAGAAATAAGGGAGTAAATGTTAGCAAAATAGGCGGCTATAAAGAGGTAGGAAATACCTCCTGGATGGAGTTTAGAGGCTGCAGATTTTACGAATAGAGTATGTATTTATGTTAAATGGGGTAGTTGCTTTAAAGAAAGCCGTAAAATAGATTGGGGAATAATGGACCTGATGAGGTGAAGGATCATCCTTGGTTTAAGGATTTCAGTTGGGAGAAGTTGATGAGTAAAGAGATGGTTGCTTCCTTTATACCGAATGTAAGGATAGTTAGATAATGATCATTAGGGGAATGAAGACAATTACTTGCCATCGGATAGCAGAAGAGATTCTGATGATACGATTAATGAGGATCAATAGATGATGTTAAGAAGAAATTCGATACAAAGTAAGAGGAGTGATTCATTGTTAGATTTATTTAATGGTTACGATTTTGACAATAATGCCAGTGTTCCAAGCAGTTAAATTGCTATTTCGAGTACTTCTTCATCTCGAGTCACGAAACAACCAACAACTACTACGACACCGAAGTCAGCCAAGTTGGCCTAAAAGCTTAAAAATTGATAATCATTTTTGCCTTATAAATATTATGGATCAAAATTTTATAAATACATATATATTGCCTTTTCTATAGATCTAACCTGGGTCACCATCCAATAAGAAACCTTGTGGTTTTATTGATAGAACATAGAATAGACAATCGAGAATCATACATCAATCTGTTAGATTGGAACCACAGATATAGGGCAGTGTTGTTGATGAGATTATTAAAAGGTGTGAGATTCCTTCATCTTATATCTTGTACAAAAGGAATAAAGATTTCATTCCTAAATAACTCAACCCAATTTCGAAGTCTGTGAATGTACGAAGCAATCACAGCAGTCTGAAGGCCTACCATGAAAATCAAAAAATCTAAAAAGTACATCAAAAATCCAAGAAGCAATAATCTTTCCTCCAAAGACAATCATAATCCTTCGAAGAAAAAGAAGAAAGCAGAAATACTTTTAATAAAGAATACAAGCAAAAGGAGACATTCAACTTTGACATGTTTGAAACCAAGGATTTATTTGCGACTAAATTAGATTTCGGTTCAAAGTGCACTTTGGAATCAGACAGAGAAAAGCAGAGTTCTTTTTAGACACCAAGAATTAGTGAGATTTTGTATTAGAGAGCTAAAAATGACATTCCGCATTAGAATATGAAGGCAATTAAGTTGTCCAATGAATGGTAAAATCAATAAATCCACAGTGATATGAGATTTTATCAAGATCAAAAGAAATTTCAAAATGTTCGAGTTCAATTGGATATACATAGATACGAACATTAGAGACAGCAAAATAAAATAAGGATAAATAGATTATTGCTCAAAAGACTTTGATTATAATATACTCTTTTATTTTATTATTAAAAAAGTAAAATAATTTCAAAATTATTTATACATGGTATCCTGTGCATAATATTGCATGTTTATTTCAGCTCCTGGTTGTGTGTTTATGACCTATTTGGGATTCATGATTGCAATAGGATCTGAAACTGTTTATGTTGTCCCTCACAGCAGAATCGAGGGAGCTTTTGCATTGTTTATAACAGCAGTGGTACCTAATCATCCATAACAAAAAGCTCTATGCGATATTCTTTGCTATCAGTTATAATAGTGAATACTCCCAAGTTCAAAGATAACAGAATGTTGATGAATGGATTAATTCACAGGAAATCAGAGAAGCAGAAATGGAGTTGCAAAACCTTCCAAAACAACAACCTACAGAATAATAATCAGAAGATTTCTAATGATATATTAATTTATCAAAAATCAAAATTATTATCATTATGATTTAGCTTCATCTTCTGAGGATTCTGATTAATTGTTTTGGCTATTCTCTCCCAAGATATTCATGAAATCATTAGCCCTGTCATCTCTCTCGCAGATTACTCTAGTGTAATCTTATCCAATAAGTGTACTTGACAGATGAGCATTCAAATTATTGGTTACACTTCCTTGAGCATCTAAACCATCCATCATTCTAGTTAATTCATTCATCATGTATTCTATTCTATTCAACATATCCTCTTATTCCACTTCATGTGGTGGTGGATGCTGATTGTTATTATCTGATAAATTTAAGAAGTTCATTGTCTATTATTATTACTATTGTTATTATTATTATTACTATTAAGGTTGTTGCTTTGTTTACAGTTGAAATCTAAGATATTACACTTCTTGTTTAAGTAATTAAATAATTTATTATTGTTTCTTCACTTTTATTTGCAATCGAATGCAATCCATACATCCTGAGTCATTATTCTTATAGCCAGACTTAAACTTTAATTGATCTTGACGTCCAGATATAGACATCTGTTTAGTTAGATTGTTGGGCTCGAACACTCCAAATGACATAACTGGACTTTCTTGATCAGATATGACAGATAAAAGATTCTAAGGAATGGCAGAAACATTCACTAAAATATTCTCATTCTCCTCTTCTATTCTTTGTTCATGCAAATCATTCTTAGTGTTTTTGTTTCTAATTAGTTTTCTGAGAATCTCCTTCTGGAATTATCTGGGTAGTTCCTAGATTTCTTCGAGTATCTAAACCAATGATAGTAGTATTTTTGTCTAGTAATTGTATTAGGAGTTCGAATCCCTCTTTTTAAATAGCATTGTATTTCAAATTTATTGATTTAATCCATCTGTCTCTTTCCAAATAAGGCACCACATCCTTAACAAATTGATCATTCAATTTATTGTATGATAAATCCAATTCTCCTATTCCAATCTTAGATATGTCTTCTTCAGGACACTCACCCTTCGTTCTATACAAGTAATCGACACTGTCTCTCCTCTTACTATGTTCTTGTAGCAATTAGCCCAACATTACTCCAATTTGATGTGTAAGATAATTATGAGAAAAATCTATAACTTGAAGAGATGAATTCTAAATTAGAGATGGTTACAGTATACTGAAATGATTTGAGGTCATCAGACACTATATAATCCGTAGCTCCTTTAATGACTATACTACTGCTATGCCCTAAGAAATTATTTGCATATGCTCACTGCTCATCCTTATGTCTCGAATTACAAATGTTATCACATCCAAACTCTTGGTGAATAACTTGGTAATCACTCTCAAAATCTCTAGCAATTCATTTTTATAATTGTCATGAGCCATTGATTTGTTTAGTTTTAAGTTCTTCTACATACTTTTCAGTATGATTGATTTAAATTTACATTATGCCAACAATAATTGAAGTGGTTCGATATCTATTAATTTTTCATTTTCGTACCCTACAACCCAATTTGTTCTAAAATTAAAACTATTTCTGTCTCTTAAATGCCATTCAGTAATCCAGATGAACAAGGCACATTCAAATGTTTACAAATTTGTTTGTATAAGTAAGTGTGAGTCTTCTAACGCTGTCTCATCTATTTAATAAATTCTAAGAAAACTATTTAATAAACTAATTAATAATAATCTACTCTAGACAAAAATAATAAGGGATTGGCAAAGCAAATCCAAAAATTAAGAAATATTTTAGGGTTGTCCGAGAGGAGGGAATGAATGGGACACAAGAGATTAGTAGAATTATACATAAATATCACAGTGAACAGCTACTTTCAATTTATTCATTAAGTTATATATTTATATTATTTAATTTAAATACTCGTATGTCAGAGGAGCAACCGATAACCATAGAACTAGTAATGGCAAAATTGGATGATGGAGGGAAGACTCTCAGATTAAACATATTAGGTAATTAAGGGGTGGCTAATTTAGGTATGACGGACATCAATTAATGCATTAAAGACCATATGAAATTGGTGCAGACTTTGGAATTGCATCATAACCTACTAAAAAGAGTATATTGATATTATAATTCTTTGATTGATAATATAGATTCTGCTATACTGGAGAATTTGGGGGTTTCCAATAATGAATTAGAAGGAGTGCATAAAATTCAATTACAAAAATTATTAAAATTGGATCTATCGTTTAATAGGATAACAGGGCTAATATTGGGAAGCAAATTAATTTAGCATTTGAATTTAGAAAACAATAAATTGCTTAAAGTAGTAAATATTTTATTATATTAGATTGATTTCCTCAATAACCTTAAAGACCTGAGATATTTGAATCTAGGAGGAAATCTAATAGAGAAAATAGATTTTTTGGTTTTCAACGTTTAAGTAAGATTTTCGTAATTACTATCTTAGTTGGAGGAATTGAATATTAGAAGAAATAAAATATGTACTTTAAAGGGATCATTCAGTAATACAAAAAAATTGAAGATTCTTGATGCTAGTAATAATCGAATTAGTGATACTCAATTTATTGATACAATAACTGAATTGGAAGAACTGAATCTATCTTACAATTAGATTAGTGTGTTGAAAATTGAAAACTAGAATGAAAATCTTAATATTCTGGATCTTAGTTATAATCAGATAGATGACTTAAGAGTGTTAGAATTTAAGTTCCCATATTTGACTAATCTATATGTGTAATCAAATTAGATCTATGCAGAAAACTGTGTTGACTTTTTAAAATTGATGTCAAATTTAATCGATATCCAGTTTCAAGGAAATCCATTTTCTAGTCGGGAATACGAAGACAAATTCATAGTTGATTGTCCTTGGTTGGAATTGATTAATGGTAGAGAAGTAGGCAAACCTGGTCAATACATAAAATAGGAAGTGATAGCTTTGAAGGAGAAATTGTAGGAATTGGATATAGATGTAAATAATTATCATATGTCTGATTTGGATAATGAAGAGGGCATTGTAACTGAGGAGAGGCTAAAAGCCATACTTAGGGTTCAGGGATTCTAGGATGATGAAGATGAAATTGTTAACAAAATAAGTGATGAGGACTAGAGGGATGAAAATATTATGGCTGAAACTGAATTCATCAAATTTGTCACAGAATAAAATGAATAGATGGACAATATAAGAGCTTAGTATTTGAGAAGGCTTTTGAAAACTTAATAATCAGAGTGTTCTACTCAAAGAGGTAATTAGGAGGAGCAGTTCCTCTAAGATTCCTAACTAAAGTAATAGATTGTTGAGGATTCAAACGAGTAGGCAGTTGTTGAAATAAACCAAGGGAACAAGGAGACAATTGTAAAATAGAAACTATTAATAAGATCATTACCTAAACCATAAAAGAAGCAATCTATTCTTTCTGAGATTAGTTAATTGAAACAAAACATGAAATCAAAAGAGTTTTATTAATCCTTAGGTTTTAATCAACCTCAAAATAGAAATCGAGGTGCTTAGCAGAGAATGAACCTGTCTTCTGAAAATTTTAATAAATCATCGGAGATTCGAAGCAGTTCGAGTCGTCCTCAGATGTCTAATTCATAATTGAAGTTACCTAAAATTTGATTTAAATACTATACAGTTATTAATAAAAATAAAAAAAATAAAAAATGGAATTTGAAAGTCGGTAATTCATTTCTTAAAGTGAATTCAATCGCAGTGAAAAGTTGACATTAACTACAATACAATAATATGTTTCTATAATTGTATTATTGTTGGCCCTGGGAGATGCAATCATGTTATTTGTTATCAATGGATTCGTGTTAAATTACATCACTTTAAGCTATGCTATCATAAATGTGCTAATAGTGTTGATCTGCATCGCAACTCTAGTTTGGAATAACTAACAAAAAAACTATCTATGCCTCAACTGAAGATGAATGGGGAGAATTGACAGATAACTTTAACGGGAGGTAAATACAATTAATTATGTAGGTTGTTATTCTTTTTGACTATTCTCATGGCAATTGCAGAGTTCGTTTTCTTCATCCTGATAATATTGTCGAGTGATTATATCCAAGGGTTGTACTAATCAGAGAAAATTGGAAACGATTATCAGAAATTCGATAAAGTTGTATCTGTCATGAAACCCATAATATTGATATTTTCAATCTTAATTGTAGTTGGATTAACATACACAATACACAACTTTTATCAGATGACAATATCCTCAATTACAAGCCGATTCAATATATACCTCCTCTGTATAGCTGTATCCTTGACTTGTTGGGGATCTGTATTCTTATTGAAAGGAATGAACATCTATCCTATCAGTGCTATTTTAAACTTAATCATATTGGGATTAATATTACTAGCAGTAATTTCAAACACTTGGAAAATCAAAGGTTTGCTTATGATATTAGCAGCTCTTCAAATCCTTATAATTCCAGTGCTTTTGGGATTCCAAGCTGAATACATAAGAGACTTTTAAGAATAGCAAGACAGTAACATTGCAAATTGCTAATAACAAATGAATAATTTATCAGAATCTTATCTATCCGAACACTCTCTGCGCTTCAAAATAGCATTAAAGACATTTAAACTTAAAATTGTCCAGATGGATAAAAAGAATGCTCAATTTATTCTACTACATGTGATCGTGATGCTCAAGTCTAGAGATGGGAGGAATAAACAACGGATCCTGCAGATCATCCATTAGGATGTTTGAATTTGAATTGTTGCAAAACAGTCAGTAATATTTACACAAAAGATTTGATAATTCTAATAATGCTATCTTTGGCAACTCCATTATTTTTATTTGCTTTGATTTTATTTGGAATTCCACCTTTCAAGAAGAACAAGATTCGGATAAAACATTAGGTAGAAACATAGAAACATTATTCCTATTATTATTCATTGGCACAATAGTTTTTGGAGTACTTCTGTTAGTCAATAATTATACACCTATTCCATTGAAAAAGGAGATTAATTTTGATCAGCCTGCCAAAGCTGTGAAAGCAAAGGAATTCGCAAAGATCCAAACAAGAATGTGCTAATCAATTACCTAATTGGTTGGTAACAGGGTTGAATTGAGTAGTGAATGTAAATCGACAACTAATTGTCCGTTGAATAAAGTAGAAACAGGCAAGAAAGAGACAAGTATAATTCTCATGTAATTATTTAGATATCTTATTTGGATTGTGGGTTAAAGGAGTATAACAATTTAAGAGGAAGGAAGCAACGACATATTAAACTTTGGCTGCTGCTAAATTCTTATGGCCTAATTATGATGGTAATGAGTTAGATTTCTTTGTTATAATTGGCAAGTTGGAGTATGTATAGTAGTATTTGGATGATGTTTAAGTTTGCTATCAAGTGGGCTTAAAAGACCTTTCAATTAATTTATATCAAAATGTTGTCGATATTCCAATTGAAGAAAAGAATAGCAAGGTTTATGGCATTATTCAATGTTTTCTCATTTTGCAGATACTGCAGCTAAACCAACAGAGCCAAGTAAGGGAAGTCCTACTACTACTTCTGATAAGGGTAGTACTGATCCAAAATCATAGGCAACTTCAGCTCAACCAAAATGTGAAATTCCTAATTGTTAGGAATGCAAAGATTAACAGTGTACAACATGTAAGACAGGATTTGATAAGGATGATGAAAGAGGGTGTAAATTTACTGGGAAATTAGGACTCAGTGAATCAATATAGGTTTAATTATTCAAGGAAATGAAATCAAAGGTGAGTGGGTTTGTGGTAGGTGAAATAAAAAAGGAAGAAGATATAATATACACTCAATATCCAATATAGGAGGCCAAGATTTGTTGGAGTCAAGAGGGATTAGATAAACCAATTTGTGATGTAGCCACTCCAAAGGGAGAATATAAATTATAGATATCAACTTTTGATGTGGCTGATTATAGCACTCAAATCTTTTAACCAACAACTGGATTGATAACTGTGGCTGCCATTGGTTATGATGACTATGTTCAATCTTAGGTGGTTTAATTCTAAGAAGAAATTAATTTTGGTACTATTTTATTGAGATCAAATGTGACAATACCTAAAGTTTAAACAACAGCACCCCCACCAAAGTCATATTTACATCAAGCTGAAACCGCAACTACTACTACAAAACCTACAACAACCACCACAACTACAGAACCAGCCAAGCCTACATCAACTACAACTACTACAACTAGTGGTACAACCTCCAAAGAACCAGCTAAAGAATAACCCAAAGAGCCAGCTAAAGAGTAACCCAAAGAACCAGCGAAAGAGTAACCAAAAGAACCAGCAAAAGAATAACCCAAAGAAGCTGCAAAGACTGAAGGTGGATGTAAAAGTGGTGAATATTTGGATGCCAGAAAGAAGTGCTAACCAACTGGATGCACTAATGTTCCATTTTGTAAGTTCTGTGATAAGAATAATAAATGTATTAGTTGCTAAGCAGAATATTAATTGTAAGCTGATAAATCCTGTTTGCCAGAAAATGGATGTTCTAAGCCTTATTCTTAAAGTCAATGTTTGAAATGCTCAAAAGAAAAGGAAAAGTGCGATTAAAATTATTGTGATGCTTTCTCCACTTTTGATAATGGTTTATGCAAATAAGCATACAAAATATGCACTACTAAAATCTAGAATTGTGCTATTTGTACTAAAGAAAATAAATGTGCTGTATGTGAATAGGGTTATAAAGTTGTGAATGGAGAATGCAAATTAGGAGATTTCTCTTAGATTTTTTAGATTAATTATTATTAAACTGATGTTTATGTTGTTAATGTTATGGATTGGAATAATCTAGAAGCAGCCAAGGTTGATTTGAGAGTTGGTAGTTGTGGATCATTTTAAGTATATGGAACTGCTAAGACTGATTCTAATGGAAAGGTTACATTTACTCGACTAGTTAAGGGATCTCAATACAATTTAATCGTAACTCACCCAGATTATTCTTAAAATTGCTATGAGTTCTCAGATAAGGAAGTTACTATTGTACCAATGTCTAAGAAATTAAAATCTGGATAAGTTAGGATAGTATTAGAATGGTATAATCCAGATATTAATTTGGATCTTCAATTGTCCTTTAATCCAACAGATACTTCAAACTGTTTGGTTGGATATTTAGATAACGAATGTACTGGAGCTAAGTTTGGTAAATCCTCTGATGAAGAATATAGTTTTGAGGCCATTGAAATTAATGCTCTAGTGCTTAGTAAATATTTAATTTTTGTTCAAAATTTTGGTGATAAAGAAAATTATTAAGAAAAATTGATATCATCAAATGCTCATATCAAATATTATGTGGCTGATAAAGATGACCCAGCTGTCACTTTTGTAGTACCAAACGATAAACAATCTGAAATTGTAGGAACTACAGAGGCCCTTAAAACTGAATGGTTAGCATGGTTAGTAGGATGCATAGATGCAAATGAATCTGAAATCCCTGAATCCTTATTTTCTTAAAATGGTGTATGGTAATACAATACATTAATATAAATAGGTGGACAGCTAGTTTAAATAAGTGGTATCCTGAAATTCCTTAAAAAACTTCTCAAAACTATTTCCCATCACCGAAAATTTGTGACGTTTGATAAGATACAATAATATATATATATTTGTATTTCTTGGATATTTTAGTCATTCTTCTTCCAAGTTATTTAATTTTTTGTCATTAGAATAAAAGTAATTATTTATTATTATTAATGATTGCAGAGAATAGAGATCATTATGGGTTTCCGAAGCAAAACACGCAACAGCCAAGCAAAGAAGAAATGCTCAAGATTAATGCAAGGATTGAAAAGTGGAGAAAAATGATACCTAAGATTCCTCAATTAATGGCCAATAATGATTCTAAACTCAAATCTCGTTTAAGAAAAGGAATACCAGAGGGTATCAGAATGCTCATCTGGCCTTGTTTGGCTGAAATAGATCAAATGAAAATACAAGCAAAGGTAAAACTTTGAATAGTATTCTCGAAGAGAACCTATAAGGAGCTCATTGAATCTCAAGAAATCTCACCTCACGACAGTCAAATCACCTTGGATGTTATGCGGACATTCTAATCGAATGATCTTATCAAAATGGACACTATCACAAGTCAATCTCTCTTCACAGTTTTAAGAGCAATCAGCTTGACCTTCTAAGACATGGGATATTGTCAAGGATTGAATTATTTGGCTGGCTCATTTTTATTATTGATGAATGATGAATTAGTCTATTGGCATTTGTATAGTTTGCTTACAAAATACGGTTGTCTTGATACCTATATAAATCCAACTAATACATTAAAATATTTTTATGCATTGGATATTTTAATCAAGCAATTCTTACCTGATGTACATGCAAAATTTGCCAAGTTTAATATTGTCCCCTTTTATTATGCAGCCGAATGGTAATTATAACAATACAATTCTTAGGTTTATCACTCTCTTTAGCTCAATTCTCCCGATGTAAATCTTTCTAAGAGTCACTGATATATTTTGGTATGAACATCACAAAACTACATTCAGAGCATCCTTAGCCATACTCAAAATAAGAAAGGAAGAAATTTTGACAGTAAAACACATAATTAATAATAATTATAGGCAAAATCCATGGAATAAGTAATCGCCATTCTGAAAGACTAGAAATTTTTTAATAATTTTGATCCAGAAAAATTCATTAAAATTGCCATGAAAGATTTTATCTTTTCAAAAAAAGATCTTCGCAAATACTATGATCTATTTGCTGCTACGCAAAAGAAATGATTATATTCAAATAATAATTGCCAAAAAAAAGATCCTTAAGTTTAGTTTCTTATCCTCTTGAAAAATTTATAGAATCTTAAATAAGTAAGAATATTTGATTAATAATGACGTGTTTGTTTGATGTATTGTTATTCCTAAAAGGTGATTCTATTTGCAATCCCTACTAATACTTTTAGAACAATGTCATTATAATTTCTGGTTCAACTCAAAAATTTTGTTTTTCCCATTCTTTTTTTATTTAATAAGAAGCTATGTGAAGAAGGGAATTAATAGAGATTAGTATAATCATCCGATTCACACTTTGAAATTCAAAATGCTTTGATAAATTAGTTCTTCTTAATCGAAGGAACAAAAATATAAAAGAATTCACCTAAATTTTTGTGAAAGTAGAAGTTCTATATATGTAGAATATTTTTATGTTTTATTATTCAATAAATTTTATAAATACTCTTTTATTCCTTTTAATTTATTAATATTTTAATTATTTAATTGAATGGAATAAATTCAATAATTTTTAGCAAGCTAGAAATGTCAGAGACATCAAAAACAATTGAGCAAAATAATTTGTGAAAATTCAGAAAAAATAACATTATAATCATGCATTCTATGTGTTGATTGTGAAAAAGAAGTTCCTAATTCGTTAACAATTGGTTTACCTGAGTTTATAAGAGTGTGTAACAGAAATAACTAAAATTTCGTACCTATTGAAGTTTGTTTCAGAAGATTTGATAATATTTTGTAATTATTGAATGAACTCTAATATAAGTTTATAAATTAGATATAAGGAGTTAAAAAATGTATAGAATAAGAAAAAATTGCCTTATATTAAATGACTTTAGAAAATCAAATTAAACAAATCATAAGGGATGAAAACCCTTAAAGCTAAATCATTAGTAATGAAATTAATAAAATAAATATAAATTTTACAACGAAAATTATTTAGAAATTAGACAGTTTATAGAATTTGGAAGAATAAAAAAAATGCATATAAGAAATTGAAAAATTGAGAAGAGATTTTGATTTATAATAACAAAATCCATAATAATAATAATAAGAATTGCAATAATAAAGTTAAGGTTTTATACACTTATATAATAGTAATTAGTAATCAGAAACATGCTATTCAATTTCATTTAATCATAGTAATTCACTTATGATTTCTGGATGTGATAATTCTATTAAATTGTGGGAATTTAAAGCAGGATAATTAAATCTGATCAAAAATTTAGAAGAACATCAAGAAGTTGTCACTAATTTGTTATTCAGTAGCATTTCAAATAATTTTGTTTCTGGTTCAATAGATGGTCATTTGATATGTTGGTCTTATCTTTAGCAAAGCTAAATAAAAAAGTCATAAACTTATAAATCCCACAAAAAAGGAATAAGCTGCATGATTTTGAATAAGAAAGAAAATTTATTATTTACAAGTGATATGGATAAATATATCATCATTTGGGATGCAGATTTGAGTAGCAATTTATTATCTATTCATCAAGTATTAGATAATCATACTAAGTAAGTGAATGGACTCAGTCTAAATGAATCTGAAAATATTTTGGTTTCTTGTGGTTTAGATAAATAAATTATAGTATGGTAAAAAGTATCAGATTAATGGATATTTAAAAAAAATGTTAATTAATAAAGTTATGATTTAGGAACCAGAATTAAATTTATCAATAATGATCGATTTTTATGGGTTTCAGGATCTATGAATGGATAAGATTATTTATTCGATTATTAATTTAATATTTAGAATGATTATATCCAGAAAAGGAATAAGTCACTCTTATAAGAAAAAGATTCAAAGGATAGCCTTTTCTTCCCTATTTTCTTTAATAAAGAAAAAAATATTGTTATAGTAAAACACAAACTTTATATTTATCTTTATAAAAAAGATGATCAAGGGTTATTGAATTCACTGCATTTAAAGAAACTAATTACTAATGACACATTTGGGGCAATAACAAGTGATGGCTAATTTTTAGTTTCTTGGGATTAATCAAACTAAAGATACGAAGTTTGTAAAATCATAATTTGAATTATTAATATGTTATCGAATAAAATTAATTATAATTCCTTCTAAATATTTAGTTGTCATTTATAGATCTTTATTCTTACAAACAACTGCAATTAATTATTGAAAATAATAAGTTTAATTTATTCTTGCTCATGATTTAAAGAAATTTGAAATTTACATACATATAAATCAATCCTTATTAAAGTGATTTATAAATATTATTTATTTTATTAATAATTCTTGTTTCACAATATCAAAATATTCTTTGATTTTTATTATTGCAAGACTCTTGGCTTAGATATATTTGCTAATTAATTGTGTGATTTATGATTAGTTATAGTTTGATTGATTCCGTAATACTTATTCAATAAACTTATTTTGTAAAGAAGAGAATAAGACATTTCGAATAGATATTTAATAAATAAATAATGTATATTACTTTTTTAACTCTATTAACTTTGTTTTATGAAATTACATGTGATGAAGCTCCAAAAGTTCCAAATTGTATTACATAAGATAAAGGAAATTGCTAAAGATGTGAAAAGGAATATTTTTTGTTTTAATTGCCAGAAGATCATATTGATTTAAATCTTAAGGCAGGAGCAAATTTTTGCGTAGAATGGTAATTTTGATTGAAAATAGAATAGTCCGTATAAAAAATTCAATGAAGACAACAATTATTATTGTGGAGATTGTTTGGACAATAGTCAAACATGGTATTTATGATATGTAAGTTAGGGATAAATCTCGAATTTGCAGTTATGACTATAAAACGAAATCAACAAGCGTTAATTCTGCATTTCACAAAATTGAAAGACCTCTTAAACAATTATTTTATGTAATAAAGAGTGGATCTTAAAATGTACATTGAATGAGTTAATGATTTAGTTTATTACAGAGGCTTGTGATGGATGTGATCACTTTTGTAAATCTCAAAATTCAACATGCTTTCCAGTTTAGAAAAAGTATTCATATGATTTGAATAAATTGTACATCAGTTGTGCAGAGGAGTACTAATATAGTGATGCAATTGGAGGATGCGATTCTTGTCCAGATAATTGTAAGTCTTGTTTGATAGTTACAAATATCAAAACTGATTCAGGAAAGACAGTTATAGAAACTAAAAAAGAATGTTTGATTTGTAATAAAGGATTCAGTATGCTAACCACTCGAAATGCGATTGATTAAAAAGAAACCACTAGTACATGTGTAGCATGCTTTTCGGGTTGTGAAACCTGTTATTTTGGTTTTAATTAAATGAATCTTAATACAAAACCTTGGGATAGCTTTAATAATAAACCTGAGTTGTTAACGAAAAGATTTGAAGCAAATGAAAATTTATTTTTTGAAGACTTGTTTAAGTTGACTAGGATAGCATAAAGATGCGAGGACTGTACAAGTACTGCTTAGAGTACTTCTATTCCATCTTTGAATAGAAAAACTTGTGTTAGATGCGGCACAAATTGCAAACGATGTGAGTATACGAATAACTTGGAATTGTATTCTATATTTTTGATTTTATAGCCCAACAAGAGATAAAGAGAAAGTTGTTGAGCCTGAAAATACAGAAGCAACAGCATCAGATATTGAGGCACTTGAACTTCTATATTTGTTGAAGTGTCGATAATGTTAAAAATATAGCTAAATATTTTAACCTGATGGAGTTGGATGCGCTGATTGTTCAATTGCAAATTGTAAATTGTGCACTTATTTTGATCAAACCGATATGGCAACTATCAGTAATAATATGAAATTCCCAGCAAAGATGAGTATTTATAACCAGTGTTATAATAGGTGACTCTTAGATGAAGTGTGCATTATGCGAAGACAAATTTTACTTGTCTGAGGATAAGACTTAATGTACTTAAATTGATTCATCGAATAATTCTAATGTGGATTGTTTGACCTATCAAAAAGTTCCACCTGATGGTAAAAAGTGTTTGTAATGTAATATTGGATACATGCTTTATTATAATTAAAATACTTGGCAATGCACCTTGGATTTCTCAAGCAAAGATAATTATTTATGCTAGTCATTTGTCAAAACTCAAAAAGATGGAAAGGAACCAGTTATTCGTTGTTAAAGATGCATTGATGGCTACTATGTTGATATGGAAGAAGGAAATTGTAAACCATGTTCTTAGAATGGAAAGTGTAAGACTTGCTACACCATTTCCTTGAAATCTATTCACTACCCTTAATACTGGGATTACGAATTTGATGAAGACGATGAAATCATAGGTCCTATTTGCGAAGAATGTTTCCCACCAGACTTAAATAGGGGACCTATTAAAAATGACGATCTTGGATAATGCGAGATGGGAGGAGATAATTGTAAAATCTTTTCAGCAGTAGGATTAAAGGGCTATTGTGATGAGTGTAATTTTGATGATACTTAAAAATCACGTAGTGCTTCTAGCGATGGTTATGATTGCATTATGTGTCCAGAAGATACTATTGGTTGTAGAGAAAGAACTAAAGAAGAAAAGGATCGAGAAAATCCTTATTATGATCCTATTCTACCGATTTACGATAAGTATTCAACTTAATCATTCAAATGTGCCGATAAGTTTTTTTTGGATACTATAACTGGCAGATGCATCAAACAAGATACTGCTTGTCCATAGTGTATAAACGATTCTGTTGAAATCGTAATTAAAGCTGATTGTAAATAATTATAAACTGTAAATGTATTGAATATTAACTCCAAATTCAATAATATTACATCCAAGACTGCCGAGATTGTTTTGGAAGATTATTATTTAATTGATGGAAATAAACTAGATATTATTGATTGGAATACGAATGCCATTAGAAAAATAACAATTATACTGGAATTTTAATATAACAAGGATAACTCTAATTATGATTGCGAGTTCAAGAAAGACACTTATTTTACTACCAATTTTAGAAAAAATATCTTCTCTGCTAAAGAGGTAGAACTTAAAATCAAAACCACTTCTCCATACAAGAACGAAAGATTGAAATGGTACATCCAAAAGTCAATATATTTTGTATATTTTACATCGGTCTCTTTAAATGGAATAGATTTATATCAAGCATCTGATCTACCCAAGACCTCAAGCGATCAATACAGGCCTGAAGAACCTTTTGGACTTTAATTCCTAAACAACACAGGATCGAAGTTCTACCTAGAGAATGTAAAAATCGGAAATACACTTGCTGAAGATCATTATGTATCCAAGGATTACACTACACCTTATAGTGAGAAGTCAATTACTTTAAAGAAGTAAAAGCCTTTCTTTACCTCGCTCTTGAATACGTATGAAATTAATTTCAAAGATGTTGTTATTCAATCTCAAAACTATTTACTCAGTGAAGAGATTACATTCCAGGCAAAGCCATTTGGCTTAGTTTACGATTCTAACGTAATATTGCCATACTTAATAATTAATTTAAAAAACGTAACTTTTTCTGATATTGCTGTTGAAAGCCAAGCACTTTTCGAGATATAACCAGCTAATTTTTCAAGTCAACCCTTATGGAATAACAAAATTGTGCTAGAACAAGTTCAATTTGTAAAATGTTACTTCGTCAACAATGGTGCTTTTCTTAGTACAAATACCTTTAATTAACCTATGGGTATCATCAATATTCATAACTTAACTCTGAGAAATACTGAATACAATAATTCAAGAGGAATTGTTGATTTCTCGACGATGCAATAGATCAAAGTGAATAATTTTTAAATGTAAGATTCTAAAGTTAATTCTACTGCATTATTCCATATAACAACTATTGAATTAAGTGCGGTATATTTGCATAATACTTTATTTAATAATTCAGGTAGATTGATATAAACTTAATATTAACTTAAAACCATTAAGTTGAATGATCCAAATTTTTCAGGTTTAAAGATGCAATTTACCAATCTAGAAATTGATTAAGTAATTTGTCTAACTCCTGCATGTTTGATTCTAATCACTGAAATTTAAAACGATTATGATATACCCATAAATATTACAATGAAAGGATTGATTATTAAATAGATTAGCACTAAAGGGTTTGATGAAACAATCTTGGAAGCAGCAACAAGTGCATCAATAAGAGTTGAGAAGAGTAACACATTAATGGTCTCAGATTTTAACAGTGTCCAAAATGCAGACTTAACAATCTTTTACGTAGAGCAAGTTTGGACTACTAAGTTCATCAATATTAATTGTAATTAAAAAGAAGGACTAAAAATTCGAAATAATTATTGTCTATTTATTAACAATCCTTATAAAGAAGTAAAGTTATTCAACATATAATTAATAAATCTGATTGGAAGAGACAATTCTTTTGTAGGAATATCCTCTTGGAGTAATCTAGTTTATAATACTTCGACGCCTGATTATTAAGAGACCATCATTATCAATGGGGCAGAAGTGACTTAATGTACGATTGTTACAACTGCTCTAGCAGTTCCTTCATCTGCAATATTGATAGATTCCACTCAAATGTAAGTTGTGCAGATAAGTTTCATGAATTTCTTCAACAATCATCATTTAATGGAAATAGATGGATCACTGAGACCAAGCAATCCTACCTTCTTGATGAGAAGTTTAGTTGGAACTTTGCTTTTGTCAAATAGTACTTGGAAATCAAACTCTGTTTAAGGTTTTGGAGCAGTCCTCTATTTAGAAGTAGGAACCTAAATCATTTCAAATATTTAAATGAATAATAGTAACTTTGATTAATTATCACAATCTTCAGTTCCTTCTATTAATGAAATAACGGAAGGAGGACATATTTATATATCTGCTTTCAATCTTAACATGAGTAATTGCATTTTCTCTAATTCGACTTCTAAATTGGGTGGTGCAATGTTCTTAAGAACTTTGAAGGAAGGAACGGTTATTTTAAAAAATGTTTCAATTAGATATGCCTATACTCCCTTGAATGGAGCAGTATCATCAAGTGGAGGCTGTTTATATATTGATTCAATGGCATCTTAATTAGATATGAAGATTTAGAGTTCAGAATTTAGTCATTGTTTTACAAGAGGAGAAGGTGGTGGAATTTATTTGATGAGTTATGATAAACGTTAGTAATTTATGATTGAAGATTCGGAACTTAATAATTGCTATGCTTTAAGTGGTCTGGCCGTTAAAACAGTATTTTATTCAAGAACCTAAACAGAGTAAAGAATGATACTTCAATAAGTTAAGATCTCGGGGAATTAGACATCTTCGTTGGCTTACTTTTAGTAATTAGGGTCTCTCTAATAAATTGAAATGTTTTTGTTTATTAAGAGAATTGCTGCTGTTGAATAAGATTATGGTTCAATTGAAATCTATAGGTGTGAATCAGAAGGTCTATATTATTATGGATTTATTTCAATCTGGCAAGCAAATTTTATAATTTTGAATAATATCTAATCTTAACATGGTGTACTATCATTCAGACCCTACATTGAAATATTAGAACCATAAATAAATCCAATATAGGCTGATACTGTATAATTCAGAAATATATCATCAATTTCAATAGCTAATTTAAATTGTTCTAATATTACTAATAATGGATTGTGTATACTGCTTTAAATCAGATTAGAATTCTCAGAATTTAGAATCAATCCAGCTTTGATGTTATTTGATTTGATTCAGGAGACTACACCTTTAAAATTATAAAATGTTGCTATCATCAATGTAATCTGCAAGGAATGTCATGGCGGTTTTGTACAAATAATGAGGGTCTCAAATTCAAAACTAATTCCTTTGGTTGAACTGATCTCCTGTAGATGTTCTAACTCAGAATCATCTTATTACGGATGCTTCTCGATTTCTAGTGAATAGTACTTCAGATAATAGGTTTAAATGGACTCATTGATTAACGTAACTTTAAACTCAAATTTGACAGCCTATAAAATTGCTGAATATGCTAATTTCAATTAGTCTTCAAAAAGAATTTTGAAGGAAGAAACAATTAATCAAACTCAGAATAATTATAGCTTTACCTATGTTATTCCTAATCCACCATATTTATCAAATGTAATTGTAAAATTACTAAATATCTATGATGTCAAGGCTGTTCATGGAGGTGGTATTTCTTTTTATGGGTTAACTGTTAATGCATCTGAGACTTATTGTACTTTAGCAGTTGTTACTGGCAGAGGAGGATGCTTCTATTTTGAATCCTATCCAAAAAACGGAAGTCAAATTAAACAACAATTGAATATTGAGGACAGTTTCTATTATAAGAATAATGCTAGTATTGGAGGTGCAATTGCCATGGTAGAGAGCGGAATCAATAATTATGAATTGATGAGTGTGTCTTTTCTATAATGTTATGCCAAATTATTTGGCAATGATGTTGCTCAATATCCTACTTAAATGGGAATTAGAGTAAATAATTAGATACAAAAATAAGCTAATCTAGATTCTCGCACAAGCTGGATATTTTATCCAATTATTATAAGGAGTGGATAAAAAATGTCTGAATTTGAAAATTAAACTATTGTAGTTGTATTTCTTGATAGAAATAATCACTTTATGGGATATTAGTACAATTAATATTGCAGTTTATCAGCTCTTTACGATAAAACCTAAGGAGAAATACTCCAACCTTTGTCAGGAAATACTAATAGAAGTTTCATTTAAAATAGCACTTAGGGATTTGACTATTCCGACCAGATTATTAATTATGACCCTTATAATAATATTACTTTAGATGCGGTTTTTAGTAGTAATCATGTGAATATTCCTATATATCATAATTAATACCCATATTAGTGCATTGGTTTCGATACTCAATATGCTTTACAAGTTAGAATAAGATCAGTTGAATGTTAAATAGGTGAAAAATATGATAATATAAGTGGAACATGTACTCCTTGCAATGTTGGAACATACTCTTTAATTTATAAGGATCCAGTATGCAAAGTAATTGATTATTATTCTATGAATTACACATATATGAATAGAATTAAGGTTTAAGAATAATTCTGGAGACCAAATTATGAAACTGACAATATTGAAAAATGTATAAATTAGGTTGAGAATTGCAAAGGAGGATTTTATGTTGGAAATGACATGTGTCAAATTGGACAGATAGGAGCACTTTGTGAAGAGTGTGATATCTATGCTATTCATTGGGAAGAATCTTATTACAATTCTGCTAAGTTTGAATGCAAAAGATGCTCAGAAAGAACAAATAACAAATCTGTTATAGTGATTACCTGCATCATCATAATATTAACCACTTTTCTTACGATATATGGTCATGAAGACAGAATAAAAAACCATTTTCGCTTATAAATTTTGAATTCATTCTCAATCAACTATTTTAGAGGCCACTCTAACAAATCGGCTATTTTAATTAAAATATTTATGAATTTCTTCTAATTGATATCTCTCATAGAAGGATAGAGATAAGTAATATCTCAAAGTAGCAAAGATATAATCAATACAATCGCTATGCCAGCTTTTACTTTTGATAATGCTTTGGATTGCTTGCTAGTTGAAGAAATTGTACCAGATATTATTTATCTGAGATTAATTTGGTCCTTGACTCTAACACTTATTTGTTATGTCGCAATGATTATTATTATCGAAATATTGATTTTCAAGAAGTTTTTAAAAAAGAAGTAGAAATACATTAAAACAATGCTTATTTATATGTTTCTATATTTTTAGCCTGTATATTTGATAGAATTCTTAAACCTTATTATTAGAAGAGACATCTCTGATGATTCTTATATTTAAGCTAATGTATCCTTTAAGTATTACTCAAATAATCACTCAATTATGTTGAAATGGTTTATTTATCCAGGATTTTTCTTATTATTATTCTTACCTCTCTTATTGTTAGGAAAATTATCAAAGGACTTTTATCTTGGTAAACTTCCTAAAAATAAATACCAACTATTATGGGGATACATCTATATTGAATACATTTAGATTAACAAAGAGATAAAATTTTATTGGGAGTTCATTAAAATTTATATCAGAGCTGGAATATGTTTACTTTATTGCTTATTGGCTCAAGAGGTCTTATATATGGTATAATATTATCTATCTTATTTAGGGTCTTTCGTCGTTGCTTTTGGTTTTGTTTTATGTCTCATTGTCCTATTACTTTTAACCATATTATAATAGAAAACTTAATAAATTTGATTAGGGCTCTTTTATAATGCTCACAATCTCTTATGTAATTACAACTGCTGTGAAGTCAAATCCTGAAAGTGAAGCCGTTTAATTAACGTTTTCTGGATAGTTTATTATTAATGCTTTTATGATTCTATTTTTCATAGTCTTTATTTTCATGATTATCGAAGAAAACTCTCGCATTATAAATCCTTGTAGAAATTCTATTAATTAGAGGTTTCCTTGGCTTATTGAGAGCAGAAATATTTTCAATTGTTGTTGTTGGAATTATTTTTCTAGATATAATTTGATAATACTAATGTTAAAAAATACTGATAAAGCTAATGCTAGATCTGCAGTGCTCTGGAAATAAGTCAGTGAAGCTGTATAAGAGGCAATATAGGTATGGAGGCTTGATAGATCTCAAAAATTAAAAATTAAAGTATGGCACAATGAAAATCTAGTTCCGTAAGATGAATACAACTGACAGTGATGTGGTCATGATTTATTTGAAATGTATAAATAATTTTATATTAATTGATTCAGAATTAAGTTTAATAGAATAATCTTTTAAATGTTGCTTAAATATACTTTATTATAAATTTACATCAGTATTGATTCTTTATTAACCTTTATAATTCTTTTATAAATATTTATTACAGAAATGAGCGATGATGAAATAGAAATAATTCGATCAGAGGAAGAATTTCAAAGACAAAATAAATTAATAGGAAGCCTGCAAATCGAAAACAAAGTAACAATAATTCAGTAATATTAAATAGAGACTTAATTTAGTTGAGAAGTAACTCTAAAAGGAAATAGAGCAACTAAATATAAAGTTTAAGAATCTTGAATCCGATAAGGTGATTAAATAGGTGGAGCTCAAAAATTGGAGTAATTCTTTATTCTAGTCTTAGAGGCTCAATTAGAAACTAATTTTAAACGTTCAGAAATGTTAAATATGCAATACGAAATTACCCTAAAAGAAGTCCAAAAGAAAGCTGATAAACAAAGGGCCCATATCCTATAGCTTGAACAATAATTATAGGATTAGAAAAATACTAAGGAAAAAGAAAAGTTAATTTAGGAACTTAAATAATATACTCATTTATTGTCTCAATAGATTCTAGAAAAAGAGGAAATGCATAAGGAAAATCAGGAATAGCTGAAAATCTAACTAGAAGAGGCAAAATAACGAATAGGATAAGAACAATCCATATCAATATAAATAAAAGAATAGCTAACATAATTGGAGAATGAAAATAAATTAAAAAATGAGAAAATTCTGGTATTATTATACTTATATAAAGAATCTAACTAATGAAAATGGAATATATAGAAAGGAAAAAGAAAATCTTTAATAATAATTAGAATAAATGTAGTTAGAAATACAAAATTTATCAATATAAATAGGTTTAACTGAATCAGAATATTAAGAGACATAAAATAAAACAAAAAAATTTATCGAGGAACTGCATCAATAGCAATAAAATAAACTGATTGTGTAATAACAAAAACTAGAAGAAATCAATAACGAAATAAATATCAAGAATCACGAATTTTATGATTTAAAAATAGAAAATCAATAATTATAAAATAAACTAAGAGAATTTCAAGATTAAAGATTATAATTAATGTAGATTGTAGAAGAAAATTATGAATTATAACAAAAATTATAACGATATGAACAAGCTAACATTAATTAAAAAAATTACGCAACTTAACTAGAATAAAAGGATATTAAATAACTATAAGAGATTTAGAATTTGAAAAAAAAAATTTTCGAACTTGACAAAAAATAAATGACCTATTGTAAGGAAAAGTAGACATTTATATAAACTTTAGGAGAGTTTTAGACTTAAATGGATGAGTCTTAGATTTATAAAAAAAAACAAGATAATTTAATTGAAAATTTGTAAACAGAATTATAAGTAAAAGAAAAAGAGAAAGAGAATTTACTTAATATAAATTAATCTCTCTAAAATTAGATTAATGAAATAAAGAATAGTAATGTCTAACTAAATAATATCATTTAAAATTGTGGTCAAATGAATAATGGAATTTTAGATTCAAATTAAAAGTTAAATTAATAAGTGAATTATAAAAAGGAGGCTGCATTATATAAAAAATAACTAGATGAAATATCAAATTGGAGTAAAACTTAGATTAATAAATTACAATCAACTCTAGATGAAATCCACAATTGTAAATATTTATTTGATATTTTTAAGAAAACCTAGAAAAAACCTTTCAGTTCTTTAATGGTTTGATTAAGAATAAGATAGACAGTTTTATGGAAAAACAAAAATTAAAGGAATAATTTGATCATTTTTTAATAAATGTGGAAGAAGAATTACTAAGAAAATAAATAATATTGAAACATCACTTTAATAAGGATTGATTTATATGTATGTAAATTTCAAATTTCTTTAAATCATGAGCAAGAATAAATTCAACTTATTTATTTTCAATAATTAATTGCAGTTGTTTGTAAGAATAAAGATCTATAAATGACAACTAAATATTTAGAAAGAATTATAATTAATTTTATTCGATAACATATTAATAATTCAAATTATGATTTTACAAACTTCATATCTTTAGTTTGATTAATCCCAAGAAACTAAAAATTAGCCATCACTTGTTATTGCCCCATATGTGTCATTAGTAATTAGTTTCTTTAAATGCAGTGAATTCAATAACCCTTGATCATCTTTTTTATAAAGATAAATGTAAAGTTTGTGTTTTACTATAACAATATTTTTTTCTTTATTAAAGAAAATAGGGAAGAAAAGGCTATCCTTTGAATCTTTTTCTGATAAGAATGACTTATTCCTTTTCTGGATATAATCATTCTAAATATTAAATTAATAATCGAATAAATAATCTTATCCATTCATAGATCCTGAAACCCATAAAAATCGATCATTATTGATAAATTTAATTCTGGTTCCAAAATCATAACTTTATTAATTAACATTTTTTTTAAATATCCATTGATCTGATACTTTTTACCATACTATAATTTATTTATCTAAACCACAAGAAACCAAAATATTTTCAGTTTCATTTAGACTGAGTCCATTCACTTACTTAGTATGATTATCTAATACTTGATGAATAGATAATAAATTGCTACTCAAATCTGCATCCCAAATGATGATTTATTTATCCATATCACTTGTAAATAATAAATTTTCTTTCTTATTCAAAATCATGCAGCTTATTCCTTTTTCGTGGAATTCGTATGTTTATGACTTTTTAATTTAGCTTTGCTAAAGATAAGACCAACATATCAAATGACCATCTATTGAACCAGAAACAAAATTATTCGAAATGCTACTGAATAACAAATTAGTGACAATTTCTTGATGTCCTTCTAAATGTTTGATCAGATTTAATTATCCTGCTTTAAATTCCCACAATTTAATAAAATTATTACATCCAGAAATCATAAGTGAATTACTATGATTAAATGAAATTGAATAGCATGTTTCTGATTACTAATTACTATTATCTAAGTGTATGAAACCTTATCTTTATTATGGAATTTGTTATTATTGCAATTGTTATTATTGTTATTATTGTTATTATTATTACAATTATTATTACAATTTTGATTATTATTATTATTATTATTGTGGAATTTGTTATTATAAATTAAATTCTCTTTTCAATTCTTCAATTTCTTCTCTGCATTTTTTTTATTCTTCAAAATTCTTTAAACTGTCTAATTTCTAAATAATTTTCGTTGTAAAATTTATATTTATTTTATTAATTTCATTTCTAATGATTTAGCTCTAAGGGTTTTCATCCCTTACGATTTGTTTAATTTGATTTTCAATAGTCTTTTAAGATAGGGCATTTTTTTCTTATTCTATACATTTTTCAACATCATCTATCTAACTTCTAACCTTTTATTAGATATCTCTCAATAATTTAAAAATATTTTCAAATCTTCTGAAACAAACTTCAATAGGTACGAAATTTTAGTTATTTTTGTTACACACTCTTATAAACTCAGGTAAACCAATTGTTAACGAATTAGGAACTTCTTTTTCACAATCAACACATAGAATGCACTATTATAATTTTATTTCTTCTGAATTTTCACAAAATATTTTGCTCAATTGTTTTTGATGTCTCTGGCATTTCTAGCTTGCTAAAAATTATTCAATTTATTCCATTCAATTAAATAATTAAAATATTAATTTATAAAAGAGTATTTATCGAATTTATTGAACAATAAATATAAAATATTCTACATAAATATTCGAATGATAATCTTAAAATATATGCTTCCAAAACAATAAATAAAAACTGTTTTCACATTTTCTTAATTAGCTTACTCATATCAACTTCAGTATTAAATCGTTTTTATTATGATAACTACTTAAAAGAACTTAAAGTCAATGCTTTAATATTTGATAATCCTTTGACCATTTAAACTGGAGATAAGGAAACTTAAGTGTTTTGTTATGGTTTTGCCAATCCCTACTAACCTTATACTTGCTTCTATGACAACATAAGGTTTAATATCGCTTGTCTAGTATCTTGCATTTTCTGATTTATGTATTCAAAATTTGGAAAATAATGAGAATATTTAGACTAAGTTTAATTTATATTTACATCTTTTTCCTTCTTCAAATTTTCATATAATCTTTTTTAGAATTCAATGTCACCCTTACCGAATTCAACTTCATCAAAATTATAACTTAATGGCTTTGGACGATAACTAATATTTAGTTTTCTTTTAACCAAGGCTTCAATATCAAATCCTTTGAACCACTTATGTTGTAGGATTTCCTTGATGCCATTTTTAGACCCTAGGCGCATCTATGGATCTTTTATTAATAACTTTGAAATCAAATCTTTAAGATTTGAATCAATTTTAACAAAAGGAGGAAATGATATTTTATCATTTAATATGCTATTATAAATTTATTCAATGTTCCTGCTGTAAAAAGGAGGAGATCCATAAATAAATTCATATAGCAAAGCTCCTAAACAGTAAATGTCTACCATAAAGCTATGGCCATTTCTCATTAGCATCTCAGGGGACATGTATTCTGGAGAACCACAAAAAGAGTATGCTGTCTCTTCTCTGTCCATATTTGGTTTAGATAATCCGAAATCAGATAAACGAATATATCCATCTAAATCTAAGAGGATATTTTCGGGTTTAATGTCTCTATAAACCACTCCATATTTATGTAATTCTTCTATTGCTAAACAAACCTATACAAAATATTTTTTTGCTTATTCCTCATTTAGTCTTCTTAGTTTTCTCAAATGATAAAATAATTCACCTCCTGCGCAGTGTCTATATTATAGCTTAAGCAATATACTCCATGACAAAAACTAAATAATATTTGGTTTCAAAAGAGTAGAATAATTTTGCCAAATATGGGGAATTCAATTATTCCATCACCTATCTCTCATTGTTAATAATTATCTCTTTATTTGATTTCAGAATGAAATTCTTATCTATCAGTTTCATAGCATAAAAATATCCGCTATCTTTCTTTCTAACTAAATATACTCTTGAAAAACCTCTAATTTATATAAATATGAATCAATACCCAACTCCTATGCATTTTAGAATCTCGAAATCATTAATACTCAATTAGCGATTAACACTTCTTGAAATAAAAGGTTCCAATTTCAAATGTCTCTATTCAATAAATACTTCTAATGGTTGATGTTCAATAGATAAATAGTAATCAATATTATAATTCTTAACGCTACTATGTGTTTGAAAGTGTTTAATTTAATGCACAATTGAGGGATTTACTTAATTAACTTTCCCTATTAATTTCTTATAAAGGTCTGTGGTGCTTTGATGTATTCCAATTGGTACAATCAATCTATTTTCATTCACTTCTTTTACTTCTAACTCTCCAACATCAACGTTATAGTAAGCTCAATTGGATCTCTATCACTATTCAAGGTCTTCACTGTAGGAAATCTTCCAAATGCATTATTTGTTGTACTTCCGCAAGGTGATTACACTCTAACCAGATTCTCCAAGGGGTTTTAAAGTTCGGTAGGCTTCTTTCTATGGAGAACTGGAGATGAAGGAAGTCTTGCAGATTAGACCACTTTTATCATTATATATTAATTTTAGTATAATACATTTTAATACTTAGTAAGTGTTACGACTAAAATAAGATTTATTGTATAATCCCTTTAGTATAATAACGTTGAATAATTATATAGAAATTGAAATTATCAAGTGAATTACAATAATGTTCCAAAAACAAAATAATACAAAAGGAATCCCGTTATCTAAAGAAATTATAATTGAGATAAAAATATGATAAGTTAACTATAAATATAATAGGATCAGGTCAACATAAACCAAAGTAAAAATTTAGTAGCAACTAAATTCTACTTATTTGAAAAGTGAAAATTTATTTTCTTATTTGAATGTGCATTTAGGATATGATTAAGAATCATGTTGAATTATTCTGTAATTGATCTCCAATGCGATTGTTGTCTATATAATATTCATCATCATATTAAATATCTGAAGATAGGTTGATAATCTTGAAATCATGTTTTTGTCTTTAATTAAAGAGCTTGTTAGACATCTCACTTTCATAACTCCAAAATTATTCGTCAGTTCTCCAACAGAAGCGATGATAACGAATTTGAATTATATAGATTGTTACTAAATCAACTATTTACCTTGTCTGAAAGATCTATTATTTAATTGCTAAACTAAATTAATTGTTTACTTTTTCGCTATTATTAAATAGGCTCTCTTAATTTTCTCGTTATATTTCTCAATTTCAATTATTCAATATCTAAGCTCTCCTACCTCAAAACTTAATTTATGCTAATATTAATTGGTTGATGGTGTTCTTTTGAATTCAGCATGTGAATGATAACAAAAAGAAGCATAGATATCTAATACAGAGTTGAATTCTAATATTTTTTTAGTTGTGTGTTCTAATCGTTAATATAATAATGCATAAAGTACCAACTTCAAGATCTGCTTCAAGCAATCGAATAACTTTGATTAATAAACTCAGCTCACCTTTACACACTCAACAAGATATACTCGATCATAAAATCAACTAGAAGGAACTAATTGAATCATTACTCAAAACAATCAAGAGAAAACCCACTTAAAATGAGAAACCGCAAAAAAGAATACGATCCAATGCTAATTCAGGGCAGAAATTGGTTGAAATCAATAAAAATGTCTTACATATCAGAGATTACGAGACTGAACAATAAACATTCAAGAAAATGCTTAATAAAACCAATTTACCTAAAGCACCATAATTATCCAATTATACTATGTTGCAATTCCTAGGCAAAGGAAAATATAGTGAAGTAAAACTAGCTTGTGAAATCAATACTGGAGTACACGTTGCTCTCAAAATAATGAAAAAGGAATAAATTTCTTCTATTTGGAAGAGTATTGCTTAGGAATTAAAGATTTAATACCTCCTCAATCATCCCAATATTGTTAAATTGTACACTTTCTTCCACACAAGTTATTATTATGTTTTATATTATAGCCACTGAGATTGTTCTAGTATTAGAATATTGTTGCCATGGACAATTGCATAAATTATTGAGATCACTACCAGAAACCTGTTTTACTGAATAAGTGGCTGCATTCTACATTAAATAAGTAGCTTCAGCCTTAAATTATCTACATAGAAACGGCATTATTCATAGAGACATCAAACCAGAAAATATATTTTTATGTTACAATCAAATTAAATTGGCTGATTTTACTCATTCAATTTACTCTCCGCAATAAGAAAGATCTACTTAATGTGGATCATTAGCATACATATCTCCTGAAATTGTCAAAGGAGAAAACTATGACAAAAGCACTGATATGTGGTCATTGGGAGTCTTAGCATATGAATTATGTACTGGTGAAACTCCCTGGGAAGATCTATCATATCAAGAAATGTAGGATATGATTATTAGTGGTAACATCAGATTTCCAAACAAATTTTCATAAGAATTAAGAGACTTCATAAGAAATCTAATACATGTAGACCCAAAGAATAGAATGAATGCTCGACAGGCCCTTAGCCATCCTTGGTTAATTGATTGTAAATAAGAAGTATCATAATTCACTATTGATATATGATTAATTACTAATTAGAATGTCACTATTATTAAATTTTATCATTAAATTTATTTATAATATACTCATTATTAATTAAATTCATATGATTGTTTTTAAATAAATAAAATGAAAAACCTTTATTCTTGATTATATTCTAGAATTGTTTTATATGGGGCGATATTATCTAGTATAAGAATGTTATAATTAGAAGCTATTCAATTAAAATAACATCTTAAACAAAAGATAAATAAATAATAAGTTATTTTAATATTCAGATACACCTAATTCAAATTAAGAGATTATCATAATCACAATTATGCTATTAAACTTTACAAAATTTCCCTTACAACTTCTGATTTTATCAATAAACTGTAAATAGGGTATGAAATTGAATGATCAATAATTATTATTATTACAAGATTTAAGAAAAAGTATAGAAATACATAAATAATACGATCTTTGAATTAATCACAACACAATCATAATTTTTTTAAATTATTTCTTTTATAAAATTTTACAATAAAATGGATTTACTCTTTGTTTCGCTATTCAAACGATTTAAATAGATCAAGGAGATATTAAATTAAGATAAAAGTCTGAAAATTTAAAGGCTTCCTCCAATTTAGGAGCATTTAAAAATTACGGATTAAAACCTAGATTTAACAAAAATAGAATTTAATACTTTGTTATCCATAACAAAATTCATTTTCTTCTAGTAATTCAAATATTAAACGATGATTGTTTTTATTTTTTATATATTGGAAAGCATTAGTAAAAATGCTGTTTCAATAATTATGAGTTTGCTTATATCTAATATTTTAAATTAATCACCAAATTCCATATATATTGGAGCCTTGTTGATATTAGTAAGTTGTATTGCTAATGTAAGTCGACATCAAGCAATAACTAAAAGTATGGAATTTTCAGCAAAATCCAGATTTACGTTGTTGAATATGCTATATTAAAAGCTACTGAAAGTACAAACTCAAGCTATTGATACAGGAAAATTGATTGGACTTGCTACAGCTGATATTAGCATGCTTGAATACTATTTTATGCTGATATTTTAAATCTTTGTTATGCCTATTTCACTTATCTTTGGATCTATAATACTTTACATTAGATTTGATGGATTGATAGGTCTAATTCCATTATTTATCATTATGCTCATCTATCCATTATAGATATTTGTTTAGAAGCAATCAATTTAGTATACCAAACTATACAAGTAAGAACAGGATAAAAGAATTAAGTTATAATCTGAATTTATTGACAACATAAAAGTCATTAAAATGTATAATGTAGAAGATAGATTAAATTAAAAAATTCAAGAAGTGAGAAAAAGAGAGTAGAAATATTTATTAAAATCTTAAATGATACAACTTATTGATCGAAGTTTGAATTTTTTTGCTCAAATATGGGCATCAATGTTTTTTATAGTAATTCTCTATGTATTCAATTATGAACTAGATAGTGCTTCTTTGATAGCTACAATTCAATAATTGTAATATTTTAAGGTTAGTTGTGTTTAACAAGTATCTTATGGAATTTAGAGTTATTTAAATATAAAAATGATATTCCAAAGATACATTGATATTTTTAATAATCTAAAGATAAAAAGTAAATAAATTCAAGTGCATCAAAGTCCTGAACTTATAAAAGTCAACGAGTTTAGCATTGGTTGGAAATAAGAGGAAAGACTTTTGAAATCAATATCAATTCAGATAAATCCTAAAGACATTATCTTGATAACAGGTAAAATTGGCAGTGGAAAGACCTCCTTTTTGTTGTCTTTGATAGATGACGGTCCCTTGACTTTGGGTGGATATATGTCATAGAAAGAACACTTAACTAAATCATATGTGGAATAAGATCCCATTTTGTTTGAGGATACCATTTAAAATAATATCACTTTTGGGAAATTATACATCGAAGAATTATACTAAAAAGTGATTGAGGTCACTTGCTTGAAAGAAGACATATAAAAAATGTAGTAGAAAGACCAAACTATTATTAATGACAGAGTCACTACTATATCTGGTGGTTAAAAAACAAGGATAGCATTAGCTAGAGCATTATATTCTTTATCAGATATATTGATATTGGATGATCCATTTAGTTCATTAGATGCACCAATTTAAATATAGATATATAAAAATTTAATAGAGTTTTTATAAAGTTATCATTTTGCTTAGACTAATAAATATCCTGCTGTAGTTTTGACATCGCATTCACAAGCCATAATTAATTAGTTTTAAAAGTTTTATCTTCTATAAGACGGTTTACTTGTAGAATAATTGAATGACAACTTTAACGATTTTAAATTAATTAATTTATAGAGAAAAAATGAATCTGTTGAGCAATAGTAAACCGTAGATAAAAATTAAGTAGTTAAAAATTAGGTGTAGATTAAAAAGAACAATAAATTTTATTATTATTTTGCGAATTGGACCAAAAATAAGATATTGAGCATGATATTATTAGTTTTAGTTGTATTAATGAACTTTTTATCAGAAACCTTGTATAATTGTTACTATAATGGAATTTCATTATTGAAAGCTGAAAATTAGGATCAATAGATAAAGTATATCATAATGATTTGCATATTGGCTTTTGTAAATAATTATGTAAAGTACATATTAAACTCTTATGGATGCTTATCAGCTAATTCTCATATCCATAACAACATGATCAGATCGATATCATAAGGAAAAATGGCATATTTCGATTAAACAGCTGGTAGTACAGTATTAACGAAATTCAGTACAGATTTAAGTTTGGCTGACAACATGATTCCAGTAACATTATATGATTTTTGGGAACTTGGATCATATTTCTTAGTTTCCTTATTCAGTTTAGTGATCTTGTAAATTCACTTCATTTACATCATGATTGTAACAATCCTTCTAAATTAATACATACTTGGGAATTATAGGAATTTAATTATAAAATCTTAGGAATTAGATTAGTAAACCAAAGGTCCCTTATTAGATCTTTTTAAAAAAACAATTGCAGGTTTAAGAACAATAAGTGTTTTTGAGTAATAAGGATACTTTTTGAAGTAATTCAATAATGCCACAAATAATGCTATTCTTTCTAATACAACTTATTATTACTCATAACGATTATTTGGAATTAGCATAGACTTTTTGGGTTTGATGGTTTAATAATGTGGAATAGTAATGATTTTCCTTTTTAATAAAAATGAGACATTTACACAAGCACTATTATTGCTTATGATTTTTAATGAAAACTAATAATGGTTCTTAAGACAATCTTTATCATTTGTAACTTAAATTAACTGTGTAGATAGAATGCAAGATTTAATAGGTATAGATTAAGAAGATAGTAAAATAAGTGAGAAGTAAGTTGTGAATTTGAATGGAAATTTGAATTTTTCAAATGTTTATTTAAAATATAACTAGGATTATGCTTTGAGTGGACTGACATTAAATATTAAATAAGGTGAGAAAGTAGGAATCATAGGTCGTACTGGAGCAGGCAAATCCTCGATAATTTCGATAATCTTTAGATTATATGATATAGAGAAAGCAGAGAAATTTGAAATCGATGGTTATGAAATCAGAGACTTATGTCCTTCAGTTTTAAGGAGGAATATAAGCATAATACCATAACAACCAATTATATTTAATGATACTTTTCGATTTAATGTTGACATATTTAACCAACACAGTGAGCAGGATATATTGAATATATTAAGAGATGTTAGACTGTATGATTATGTTTAAAGTTTACCAAACGGATTGAATTCTCAATTTGGAGAATTATCCTAGGGTCAAAAACAATTGGTTTCCTTAAGTAGAGTGTTACTTCAAGATAGGCCAATAATCATTATGGATGAAGCCACATCGAATCTAGATTCTGAAACTGATTTGTTGATCAAGGAAATCCTATTAGAAAAGTTAAGGAATAAAACTGTAATCACTATTGCACACAAAACTCAAACCATTAAGGATTATGATAAAATAGTGAAAATTGAAAATGGCAGAGTCTCTAAAGTAGGAGCTCCATTTGAAATTCTGGAGGATTTGTGAAGAATTGTAAAAATAATAATATTAATTTATAATTATCATTTTTAAAATACATTTAATCTTGAAATTGATGGTATTTCATCAGAATTAAATATTGAGTATTTTCTGACATTATGAGGGATTACATAATTAAATTAATAATTATGTTCATGCTATTTAAATCACTCAATTCTGATGAAAACCTATTCTGCTTGTTTCAAAGGGATATAATCAAAAATAAATTAGATATATTAAAAATATACATAATTCTTCAATGTCTTACAATAATAATGATGAAAAAAAAGACCAACTAATTAAAGTGATTACTCTTGGGGCATCAGGAGCAGGAAAAGTATTTCAAAATAATATATTAGACATCCCTTTTAACTCGAATGACTCGTGATTAATTTAGTGAAAATTACATTGCTACCATAGGATGTGATTTCGCAATCAAGAGACTGTTTATTAATAATTAACCAGTTAAATTATAAATTTGGGACACTGCAGGATAAGAACGCTTTAGAACAGCTATTTCTAAGTCATATTATAGGGGTGCCAATGGCATCTTTTTAGTTTTTGACATTTCTAATGAATAATCATTTACTGAAATGTAATTGTGGTATTAAAGTATTTATTTTTCTAATTTCAAGAAACCTAGGAAGAGATTAAAAATATGAATCAAGATATTTAATTTCTTTTGATTGGGTGTAAATGTGACTTAGAATAACAAAGGCAAATCTCATATGATGTAGCCTTTTCCTTTGCACAAAGCTTAGGCATGCATTATATAGAAACTTCAGCAAAAAGGAATACTAATTGTTTAGAAGCAGCTGAATGTTTGGGCAAAATTTGCTTACAAAAAATAAATGAAAAATTGAATTAAGAGCAACCTGTTTTGGAGATTAAGTAGGATTAATTAAAGAAGTCTTCATGTTGCTGATATTTATTTTGAAACTATTTAAATTTTAACAAAAATTCATTTATGAGTCGATATCTTTTCTAAAATTATAAAATTAAATCAAACTAATAAATTAATAAAGTAATCAATAGAGTTGCTTTTTTGATTTTGATTTGGAAATTAAATATTCTTTTAAGGGTGTTAAGGATCGATTCCTCTGGGAGTCATTTATGGCTTCTGCAAAACTATCTTAAGATGAAAACTTCTTTAAGTCAGCATCCAATATATATTCTAAAAATATTAAGTTAAAAATCTACTTAATTCATCCTTGATCTTTGCTCGATGATTTCTCTTTATCAATTTGAGACCTACCATTTCCTCCTTTACTTAATCCTCCATGGTTTAATTAGTATCTAAGATATCAGATACGTTATCGTTTTACTTCAGCAGAGCTAGAAGGTAATAGATATGAATTACATAATTTTACTTTAGCTTTGATTGGGTTATTTAATTTAATGCTTCTGGTTTCTTTTAAATAATCTTTAAAGGGAGTTAGTGATTTGTCAACATGTTTTGCTGATATTTCTCTCAAACTTTGACTCTGCTTTATGGCTACTTCTTCAAAACTGTAATTCATTAAAAATTCTAATTAATTATAAACTAATACTTCTCTTTTCTTCATCAGTGGCTCTGTGACTAAATTTAATTAATTAGATTCCTGTCTTTTTATTGGTAGTAACTTACAGATCTGGTTTCTGTCTTTACTTTCTCTTTTCTATTTCTAGTAGTTTTTGTTCCTTCTCAAAAGGTGGATAATATAATTCATTTAATTGCTTATTCAATTAAACTATTTTTTTGGGTGCTCCTTTAATAAATTAATCAAATCTTTCATATTGAACCTGATCATCTGTCTTTTACTTTAAACCTTCATCATAATATTCTTTCTCCTTATTTTAATCTCTTTCTTTCTCCTTTTGATTCTCTCGACCTGAATCTTTGTCTTTCTCTTTTTTTTTATTCAACTTTTTGATTTTTCCTTTCGGTGATAGATGAACAGACATCCTCAATTTTTTTTCAGTGTTATTTTAATCTTATTAGTCAGAATCACTTTTTCTTAAAATCGAAGATATAACTTAGAAATTGATATCAGCCTTCTTGTCCACTTTTGAAACTTTAGGAAATGGTGTATTTGGAGGAGGATCTGGTTTAATTTGTAGTTAAGTTAAATATAATTTGGGTAATTGGGGATGATCATGTAAGTCATCAGAAAAATATAAATCTAATTGACTACCAGATTTAATTTTCTATTAAAGCATCATTTTATTGTTAATTTGCAATTGTTATTGATAAATTTAGTATTTATTAGCTTCTTAATAGTTATACAACATTTTCAACATATAATTAAAGGTTTCTTTCATTTAATTTATCCTATACAAGGAATTAAAATCTTTGAGATTCCATTTTAATCGCAATTCCAAAGGTAATATGTATTCTGCCTGTAGATAAGGAGAATCTCCTAAATTTGTGGATCCTAAATGTTTAGTCTTATACTTAATTAGGGATTGCAAGTCCTTAGTTTTTTATGACACCATCTATTCTTAAGATTTGATCTCATGAGTTTAGTTGTATTCTTAAAGTTCTTTCAATTTTAAGATGGAACTGACTTAGGATGGTTTAAGATTGAGATACTCTTTGTCTACTATCAACTATTTCAAAGATTTAAGACATGTGACATCCCAAAATTTCAAGGCATTATCTTCTTTGCCAAAGGTAATTAATAGTAAATGATCATAAAAATTAATTATCTAAGGATTGATGGAGTTATGATCAATTTCTACTTTGGTTAGGATTACTTCTTCAGCTTCTTTGTAATCTAGGAATATTTCATCTGAGGAATTGAATGAAACAATAATCTTTGTATTATCATCTTTATTTAAATAGGGATCCTTGATTTATTGAAACTTTTCAACAATTTTGGATTGGATATTAGATAACACAATTGGATTGGAGTTTTGACACAGAAAGTATTAATAATGGAAATCTTCGTAGATGTATACTTTGCTATAGGTGTACTGGTTAAGATCGACTGGTTGGAGTTCATAATCTATTTTAATGTTGGATATGTATTGTCCATTTCTTCGTATTAAGGTGGAGTCAAGATCCAAAATTTGGCTTGGTTAATTACTTGAATCGATTATGCTTTATCTTTCCAAGATAGATATTCGATGTAGTTCATCTAGTGAATTCTTTCTGATCATATCTAGAATCTTTTTAACAGTTCTTTTGAACTTAACAAGTCCAGTGCCCTTGACTTCTAGGAAATTGCACTCTTCATTCTTTTGTTTCAATTCCTTAATTTGTTAGAGGACTGAGAAATCCTTCTTGACATCTTCATTATATTTAAATTGGTTATTGGCTTCTTGTTATTTAAAAAACTGAATGTTCTTGTACTTGAAATGGTTGGGGACATAAATATCCAATATTTTATCTAAGGACTCGTAGTTGAGATTCAATATGTGAGAGATAGAATCTGTCCTAACGAAATATTTGGGTTAAAAAAGGGCGTAATCTTGATGGGAATAGAAGACAATTCTTTTTTGATGTATAATGGCTAAACATCTATAATCATTAAACAAAAAGAAGTCAGCAATTTCATCCTCTGTTGTAACTGATGATGTTGTCTTCATGGTGCTATACTGTATGAAATTGAGAATGTTATTTTTCATGAGAACTCCAATGATGTCTCTTTCACAACAATTGACCACTTTTTAGATGTGACCTCGAGCATCCATTTCTCGAATCTTAGTAAAATGCAATTATTTAGAAATGTATTGACTTTGGAATATCCTTAATATGCTTTTGTTCCAACAAGTGAGTTGGGAATATAAGTAATGGAATTGACAGCCTTCGATTTATTTGTTTTCAAATAAGGGATATTCAAGGAAATCTTTCTTTCCCTTCTGATTATTCCTGAATCTGTCCTTGATGATGTGCAAGATGGCATCATTAGTGATGATAATGGTCACATCCCAATGAGTGAAGAAGAACAGAATTTCAATTCCAGAATCGACCTTCTCTTATTCGTTGGCCATCTCAACTTTCTCCTCGATGTAAGCATTGTTCCAATTGAATCCTATCAGTTAATTGTTGGAACTGACATACACTCTCTGACTGAAGCATTGCATTAATCTTGGTTTGAATCTCACTTTGACTTTTCTTGGTTGACTACGTGGAAATTACAACACCTTGAGTCTTTGAGTGGTGACAATAAACTTCCCTTAATTTAGTTTCAAGATCTAGCTTATCGTGTTGATAATTTCACATTCAAGGTTGAATCTGTAAATGATTTCCCATGATTCAATATCCCAGCATCTCATAATTCCCTTGTTGTCCAAACTTATCAACATGCCGTATTCATCAAAAGCTTCAATGGCTGAAACAGTGTTATTCTCGATTCTTTGATTTTCAATCTGTTCCCGAATGGTTAACTTATGAAACTGATTATAATTCTCATTTCCCTCATCGAATTTCCACAGCAACACATCATCATTGAATCCCACAGTAAATAGTACATCCAATTTTGGAGAATAGGTTATGGTATGAACTGAAGAACCCTTATTGGGTAATTTGATGTCTGAGAAGGCATGCCATTTTATGGGATTCCAAACATGAATGCGTTTCTCGATGGTCTTGAAGATCTTATCAGTATTGTCACTCTTCTTTTGGATCTCCTCGGTTGTACAGATAAACAGCTGATTCAATAAGGAGATCTCCTTGATGTAATTTATTTGTGCTCCCTTGTAAGGTAGCAAGACTGCAGTGCCGACTGAAGAGTTGGCAAAGGAAATAGCTTTACTGTCATTTGATTCTATTAATTATGTGAATGACCATTAATATATTTAATTTTCTCGATTGATAGTTATCCATGCCTTGATCGATTCCAGATAACTACAAATAGGATACTTGTTCTTACGCGATTTAAACTTAGAGTCCATACTTTTCAGTGGAAAATGAGTATTCCTATTAGAATTTGTTAGTCAATGTCCAGAAGGAGATCGTTTTATCTTAACAACATGCGCCAAGTATCTTTGGGGAATCCGCGAAGAAGATATCCAAGATATTGATGGTCTTTTAGGAGATGGTCTTGGAAAGGGATCCCAAGAAGTTGGTCTTGTGTTTAGTTGATGTGCATGATATAGTCTTTTTTAATTCGATTGTTTCTGAGTCAAAGATCTAAATATTATCACTCATCTAATCTAAACTAAAAATTGAATCTTGACAATAGAAAACTTTCTTTATGGGATTTTAATGGTGAGTGATGTCCTAATTCTTAGAGAATCTAAATCCAAAATCATCCTTTTCGAATTCTTAGAAGTGTTTCAAGAATGCTCGTTGATCATTAGTGTATGGTAAGAATGATTCTGGCATGTCTTTGGCTTCCGATTCACAGATGATGTAAAAGCTTAGGAAAGTTGAAAAGTTGACCTAATATAAGTGATAAGATCACCTTGTGAATCTAGTTCAGCCAACAAATTTGGTCATATAATATTCTAGTTCCATTAATTAAAAATGGCAAATGGGATGGCGGAAATTCTAGAACTCTGGCCAACATCAAAATAAACTCTTCTTGATTCAGATCATGTTGAAATTCTTCAGGAAGACGTTCGATTTGATCCTTGAGTAACAACTTTGGGATTTCTCTATAGTGATACAAATCAATCAAATAGTCAGTTTGGCTGTTGAGGACATCGATCTTATTTGCAGTTTAGAACAGCTGCCACTAATTTGGTAGGGGTAGGGAACTGAACAAGTATTGCAATTTGGGATTCTTGTATTGTTAGAGGATTTCAATATAATTATCAAGCATAATTATATATTCAATAATTTAAAATTAGTAGTAATAAATAGAGCAGTAATTGGGATCTAACTTTATATATAAGTTTCTGTGAAATTATATTAAAACCCCTCTTTTGGACGGTAAATCACAAAGCTTCATTTGAATTCTACCGATTCCTATATAGGTTCTATAATGAAGAGTTATTAATGAGTTTCATGAATTAAAATATTATTGATAAGATCAACTCTTTCGGTCAAACATTGTGTATTCAACCAGTCAACAATGAAATGATATCCTTGAGTCAGTTGAAGGCCAAGAACTTTTTAGTTACGACTGCTTCCAAACATTATAAGGTGCCTGAAATAGAGGAACCGAAGCCAAGGAAAAAATATTAGAATTTAGCCAAAATCTAATTCAAGTTCCAAATAGAAGATGAAGATTATCATTCTGTTTTGAAGGAGATTGTTCAGATGCAGAAAAATAGATTTCCATTAATGCCCTTGCATTTGCATTACAAACCAAGTAAACCACGCACTTAAATTTATAGACCCTTCGATGCAAGGTTTGTCAATCGGCAGAATCACAAATGAGTAGGAGATGTAAAGACCAATGACTTTGGAGGAATGTCGAAACACAATTAAAACTTAGAAGATGAGTAGAGACACCCATAGAGATACTAGTCAACCTATTCTAGAAGAATTCAACAAATAACTCTCTTGTACAAAGATCAAAGAGATCTAACCAGCAAAAGTATTTACTGATAGAAGTAAATCAAGTAAGTTACATATGGGATCGACCTTTTAACCCTTTTAAAATTAAACATAATAATTTGAAGTGGTTTTCGATAACACTCAGCAGACTTGTCAATATAAGAGGAGGATAACCTAGAAATAGTTTAATCTTTACAAGAACAGGAAGATTGCAACACCCAATCTCGCCATGCAATTCAAACAAATAAAGGAGAAGGAATAGGATGTGGAGAAAAGGATAATTTAGGAGAGGAGGAAAGAATTTGATAGAGAATATTTTGAAAAATTGCCGTGAACACATTCATGCACATTATATTATATTTTTATGTAATAAAGAGAATCAAGATTATCTTAAAGGGCATTTTCATCCAATTCTCCAACAATGAGCAGTGCCTATGCTTCAGCTATGAAGAGTATGTAGGATAAATTAAGAAATGACACATGCAGAAAATCAATTGATTTGTCCCCCCAAGACATCTTGATTGAGTAACTTAAACAATAAGTGAATGAACTCTCTTGTGAGAACGATCGACTCCAAATACAATTGATGAAGGTTTCTTAGGAGTTGGAAATGAACAATAGAGCCTCTCAATAAATCGAGTTATTACAAGTGGAAAGATTATAGCATTTAAAGGATTACTAGGATAGAGTGTCTGAATTGATAAGGAAGAATGAAGAGCTCAAACACGATAAGCATGAGATCCAATTGTCATACGAAAGTCTTTATAGATAGTTGCAAGCGTATAAGAATAATGAGAAAGGCTTGTTGCATAAGGTAGAAATGAAGAAATACGAAGAAAATTCAGTACTATTGAACACTGTCTAAGAATACAAATCAAAGATCGATATCAAAGATAGTGTCATTAAAAAGCTAGAAAAAAGAGTAGAATTTTTAGAATCTGAAAAGTTAAAGTTGGAGTAGGAATTTGAAAATTACAAATAAAAACATCCTGCATTTAAATTGCATGAATTTGAAAAACAAATATCCAATCTCAAATATCAACTAGATGAAAAGGATAGACTATACCTAAAGAACATTGACGAAGCTCAATCTAACAGACTCTGTAGAGAAGAATAAATGGCCAAAAGGATCTAAGAGTTGATTCTGAAGAGTTCCGAATACCAAGATATTATTTAATAATTGACTATGGATTAGAAGGATCTGAGTGTTAAATATCATACTATCAAACTTAAATTGGATTAGGAGGAGAAAAGTCATAAATATTTAAAAAGAAGAATATCGAGACAAGAAGAGGCTGAATTCAATTAGGGATACAGGGAATAGAGAACTCTTAGTAAATTAAATTTAGATCAAATTTCACCCACACTCCCCAGTCCCAGAGCAGATCAAAGTTTAAGATAGAGCCAATTAAAACAAGCCATTCGAGACTGTCTAGAGGATATGAAGAATTCTACATATAGTCCTGATAAAAAGATTGAATCCAGAAAAAGATTAATATCTCCTTTGTCACCTCTTTAACATAAAGAAATCGAAGCTAAATTAAAGACCTTAAATGAAAAATATGAAAACTTAATTCGCTAGGCCTAAAGAGAGAATGATTTCAAAAATAAGGCAGTTATCAGGAAACAATTATTGGAGATAGCTGAGCAAATTAAGGAAACTGCAAAAGTTGATCGACTGAATTGACTAGAAAATTGATTTATATTTTGTTGAAATTAGTATAAAAATCATTGGTCCATGTCTCAATGTGAAAATTAATAATTCATAATAATTATAATGATTATTTTTTGTCTATTCTACCTGGTATGCAATTAAAAGACAATCAATCAACCGCTGTATTTGAATCTAGGAGAATCAGTAGAAGGGTTTTATTAATCCATATTGTAGTTTTGTTTCCCCACTGACATCAAGTCATCATGTGTATCACTTTGTGGTTCCTGAAATAATAAATCAAACAAATTTAGTAGTTTTACTTAAGACTTCGGATCCTGAATCCGATCCAAACTTATACATATCCAAGAGTGTTAAAGAACCAATTTCAGTCTAAGACGCTGATGTCCAAGCGTGTGAAGCAAAAGGAATGGGTAAAAATAATGAATAATTAAGATATCTGCATAATAAATAATGAGAAGGTTAAGGAGAATGATCTTTTATATATCTCAGTGGTCTCTCGATTTCCGAGCAGCTACACATTGCGAATAGAATTAGATTAGGAATAAACACTAACGATTGAAAAATTTCTAACTTTTAAAATGACTTCAGAAAAATAATCGTATATTATAGATTTTGAAATGTATGATATTTGGGATGAGGCAACAGAAATAGAAATACATGTTCAAAGGTTGAATGAAGAATCGTCAAAAGAACCGTTCTAAGTTTTCATGAATAAATATGAGAATGGAGTTCCAAACAATGATAAATTTGATTATGTAGGCATTGATACATGGGAAAACAAAAAAGTCATTGAATTCACTTAATATACTCCTATTGAGATGTATAAAATCCTTATTCAAGGGGAGTAGGGTAGTGTGCTTAGAGTGAGTGCAACTAGAATTAAAATTCTTAAAACCATCCATGTCTATGAAAGCATCACCCAATTAGTCAAAAAAGGGGAGTATGATTTCTATGTTTCAGAGTTTAATATCCCTGATGATGGCAGTATTGTATATTATTGGATTCATAGTTTTCTTAGGTAATCCGATTGATTCCTTTTAAGGGTAATGCGAAATTGTATGTTCATTACAATTTTTAACCGCCTTTGCTTGATAACTATGAATGGTAAGATCACCTTTCAACGGTCAAGTGTATATCTATTTCCAAAAATGAGTTGTTGGAGAAAAATATAACAATGAATACTATTTATATTGCAGTTTTAGGTTAGGAATTATGCACATATCAATTATAATATACTTATGAAACAGAAGGAAAATTATATCCAGAAATTCGATATCAAAGATACGTAGTATTAGGTGAAGTTCTGAAGTTAGAGCTATTTGATAATGTAAATGATTGGCATCGGATTTTTCTCATATTTCAAGTTCTAAAAGGTGATTTAAGTATTGTAGTCACTAATTGTACTGATCAATCTGTGTGTCCTTAAGATGAACTAATAAACAATCCAGAAAAATTTAAAAACATGGAAGAATATTACATAAGATTCTATTCGTTCATTCCATTTCTTGAGATCGATATAACTTGTAATTAGATTTGTAATTACTACGTTTTGGTTACTGTTCCTCCTAACAAGTGGAGCTAAAGCTGTAAATTTGATATCGAATATTAACTTCTAGGAGGTTTTAAGAAATTAATCTAAAACACACCCCATAAGTCAACAATTTATAAAAACTCACTTTAGTTTTACGACTTTTTTGTATCAGAAGATGATCAAATTTAAAGATTAAGTTTTATAGTCTCACCAATACAAGGAGAAGTGAGCATTAATTTATTTATTTACCCTAGTCAACCTGATAAGGATACTGCTTAATATGAATCAGAAAATAGCTCAATTAATTTTGGTGGTGAATTCTCTAATTAACTTTTACCTGGGTATTACTCAATAACTATTTGGGGCAAATCCTCCGCAAAATATATCATAACTGTTTGGGTTGTCAAAAACTCTGAAGACTCTCAATAACTTGGTCAATATCCTTGGCATTATATTCATTTGTATTAAGGAGATTGGCATGATCATTTACTATCCAATGATGAATTTGTTCTTTTTAAAATTGATCTGTAAGGATTTGAACAATCTGATAAAGATCCATTCAATGTCATATTGAAAAAGCATTATGGACAGTTTTTAATATTTGGTTTCGACCATCCTGAAACAAATGAATCTTAAGCAATATGGTAGGGTGGATAAATTATCAAAATTTTAACCAATGATCCTAATTATCCACAAATATTATATTTAAAAATCAAGTTAAATAAAGCAGGAGGCGTATATGGTAGTTTTAGAATTGCCTATAACTTTTATAATGAACAAGTTAATTTATTAATAGGTGAGCCTTTTTTTAATTTCCTGCCTGCTAATAACCAATAGTCTTTTCGATTAGAAATTAGTGATGAAGAACCATTAATGATCTCCAAAAGATCCTTTGATAATGATTAGTCTTCTTTATAATTTGGACTCTAAAAGGAATAAGCTGTAGATATAATAGAATTTGAAAATTCTAACATTCTATAAATTAAAAAGAAAACAAATAGTAATTGTGGAGAGGAGAATTATTATTGTTCAGGATACCTTTTGTTCTCTCTCAATAGTAAACTAGATTAGTTCTACTCTATATTAGTCTCTAAAATGGACAATTCTTAAATTTAGCTTGCTGAAGATTAGCCAATCTCGAAAGTTTTGCCATTAGGAGAAGATTACTTTTATCTCTTCTGTTCAAATTAGGAGGTTAATATATTAGTATTTAGTTATTTTAGTGAGTTGAAGATTTATGCTTCAATCACTAAAGATTTGAAATCATCTTACCCAAATGCAAAATCTTATGTCAAAATGTCAAAGAAAGGAAAGGCAGGTTATTAAACTTCACTCTACTTTTCTGAATCTGAAATTAAGGAGTAGAATTGTGTTTAGAGGTGCATCATATAATTAACAGTCTCTTTAGCTAAAATACATTCTGATATTAAATATTCCAATTATGATTATACCATTCAGTATAATTCCAATCTGATTTTACTAAGAGAATCAGAAATCTAAGAGGGATACCTTACATAAAATGGATTAAAATTCTATAAGATACATGTTCCAAACAACAACTAAAATTTAATGATCTTGCTTAAACCAGAACCAAATAATGAAGCTGACCTTTTAGTTTCCAAATCTAAATTTCCTAATCAAGAACAATATGATTGGGGATCCTTCGAGCTATTCAGCGATGTCTTAATCCTTGAACCTGGGAATATAATTCATCCTGATTTGTCTGGAGATTATTAGTATAATCTTATTTATAATGTTTTAGTGTCGGAGTCCTTTGCTAAAGTATTTGCTAATTTTCTCTGTAGTATCATCTAGGAAAGGTGGAGGCGTATGAGATATTTCCTAACTAACCATATAAATTGTATCTATTAAATATTATTCGATAGTTACGTTGGAGAAGAATACACAGTATTTCTTAGAATATACAACTATTTTTCACTTAAGCCGATGATGATCTTTTTGTAATCACACTCTGAAACAGCATTGTTTTATGTAGACGAAGTAGATTAATAAACTTTAAATCTAGGTTATGTCAAAGATGTGACCTAGTTTAAATATAACAATAACTAAAACGGATACTCAAAAAAATTAGTTACTGAACCTTTATAATTTAATACTATTTTATTGATTGCACTTAAAACTTATACTTCAGAAATAGTAACAGTCTAGGTCAGCAATGAACAGGAGGAAATGTTCTTGGATTCTCAAATGTTGCTCTAATATTATCTGAAGAAAAATAAACATATAACATTTATTCTAAGTCCACAGGCTAATTCAATAACACTATAGATTTATGTATTCACTGGTTAAATTGCTTGTTCTTACTCTATAGACAATTTGAATCAGGACAATAATTTCCACACTTTAACTCTCTTAGAGGTTCGATCAGATAATTAAGAAAATAATTTTGTGATTAAAAACTTTTACACTTCCTAAGTGGTAATATACTTTGAGGCAATATTCAACTGCCACTTTAGCATTTAATATTTTAATGAAAAAGAAGATGCTACTTATATCGAGTAAATTTATTTACATATTCTAGTTCAATTTACTCTGCATTTGCTTACCTCAAAGGATAGAGCGAAAAGCTTTTTTATTATACTAATTATGATTACTTTTAACATTCAACTTAAAATAAGACATTTTCAATTACAGTTTAAATTTAGGAAGATTTGAATTCTGTACTCTCCAATTAAAAACATAGATCTTTACCAATTATTAATGTCTATAGTAATAATACAAAAGCCTAATTGCAACCTGTATAACACAGAATAGTATCTAATTTAGTATATCATGAATACATTCACAGTGAGAAATAATATTAGATTGTTCTCCATAATTTAGCGCAATTCCCTCAGTTTTATTAAATTTAAGTAGGAAACTCAGAACTTAGACCTTTGATACCAAGGATTAAGCAACTTGGAACTAATAAATTGCACTAAAGTTCATATTGGGCTATGCAACAAAATGATGCATATTTATTCTATGAGATGCAATTTTGCAATGGGATCTTCTCAGTCCTAGTTGGAAAGGACTTAGATTTGCTAAAGAATGGGCAATATGATTACAAGATAGACATTAAATAAAATAAATAAATATTTGGTTTCTTTGATAAAATTGATCTGGTCAATGTTATTTATTTAAAGTTTGATTTTATTAAATCATTTGATAAGAAAATAGTTAATGCCCAATATACAATTAGGGCCTATTAGGTGGAAGATAAAAGTGATATCCCTTATGATTAATTCTATCCAGGACTTTCAGGTGTCTTATCTTCCAAGATTACCGAGGAACCTGAGGAAAATATCACTCTTCATGTTGAATTCGCTCCTTTGCAATTAGTAAAATAGAGTGGACGAGAAACATTTTTGGTTGAATAAATAGAATATTTTATTATATTGAATGAAAGATAAGGCGAAGATAATAAGGATTTTGATTATTGTTCTGAACCATCCAATGAATATAGAATTTATTAAAATCAAATTGATAGGGATACTTAATTAAATATTAATGCAACACTTCCTAATTTTAATAAGTAACAATAGAGGAATTTCGTTTTTACTATTTTAGCTACTGGTAATTATTGTAATTCTTATTTTAGTAAGTATTTAATTGTATCGAGATGATTAAAGTGTATAATTAGACTATTATTATGAAACATCACAGATTAAATGGAATTCTTAAAAATAAGTGATTCTCAATTATAGTTCAGAAAATTATTAATGGGTAGGGTTTGTTATTGCTGTGATCATCATTTTGATTATTGGATTAGTTGCATTTTTCACAATGAAGAGAAAAAAAATGATGTATTAATGACAATTATAAATAAGATCAAAGTATGAGAATACCTAGACCAATAACGAAAAGATTGTAGGAATAGAAATGAACTACCGTGCATTTTGAATCATACCATATATTATTATTTAATAGAAATTTTGTTTAATATTCTATCAAAATTCAATAAATATTCATAGATTTCTAATTAATATAGAATTAACAATCAACTGATGAACTTAATCCTATGGATTTTATGATTGACAGTGGATAAATATGTTTATATTCTCCCTAATGGTTGCTAAAAGCCCGTGAGTTTGATTATGATACAAATTATAGTTATTTTTCTTTTTGAGTTTTCTCTATTTTTATCTATATTGAGGTATTTAATACTTGATTATCAAAAATAATTATCTAATAATTTAAATTGAATTCATACAGTATTTCTAACAATTGTACCAGATCTCTCTATATTGATTATAAAATCCCATAGTGTAAAATGGAAGCCAGTATATATATAATATCAAGAGGATACATGAGGAATATTGTTGTTATGTTTGCAGATGAAGAAAATTTGTAAATTATAACACTCTACTTAATTTTAAATGGTAGGTTCCAATGATATGCATTTAATATGATTAATCTGACGTAATTAATATTCTAAGAGAATTTATAAATATTTATATTATATTTATAAATTCAGCTTTTAATTATAATAATTCAAAATCAAATATAATATATTTAGACTGCATTTATAGTTAATAATTTCTTGGAATTAAGAGACTACAATATTATGATTTAAATTGTTAATAATAACTTTGGATGTATATAATTTTATGATCATAAATCTTTAATATTTGTAAGATATTCTACACCTGGTAAAATCTTACCTTCCAATAATTCCAAAGAAGCACCACCTCCTGTAGAAACATGACTAAGTTTATCGTTTGCCTTATTAGCACCAACAAGATTGACAGTGTCTCCACCACCAACAATGGTTGTAGCTCCACTCTATGTTTATTTCACAAGAGCATTCAACATACTAACTGATCCATTCTTGAATTATTCAATTTCAAAAGCACCTTAAGGTCCATTCCAAACAACTATTAAAATGTATAATATTTATACTTGTTTTTGCTCTGCCAATAGCTTCAGCATTTTCTCTTTATGTCAATTGTCCAGCATCTAAGCCCAACCATCCATCTGGAATTCCTGATTTAAGATCATGTAAAGCAACTGGACTTGAGGCATCCAATCCAGTACCACATACAAAATCAGTTGGAAGATGAATCTTAACATTTCTCTCTTTAGCTTTAGCAAGAATTTCATCAACAATTTTATATCCTTCTTCATCAAAGAGTGATTTTTCCAATGGGAACATTGTGTATTTTTTTAAGGAATGTAAAGGCCATACCTCCACCAATGATCATTTCGTCTACTTTATCAAGCATAGATTTAATCAATTAAATTTTGTCAGCTACTTTAGCCCCTCCTAAGATAACAAGGAATGGTCTTTATGGTGTTTCTAAGGCTCTAGCAAAATAATCAAGTTCCTTCTTCATCAAATAACCAGCAACTCTCACTTTGTGATCAATTCCAACCATGGATGAGTGAGCTCTATGTGCTGTACCAAATGCATCATTAACATAAATGTCTCCCAAAGATGATAATTCCTTTCTAAATTTCTTAACACTCTCTTTGTCAGCCTTGATCTTGGCTCCATTGGCATCAAGACCTTTTCCTTCTTCTTGAATGTGGAATCTAAGATTTTCTAATAAATTAATTTATCCATTTCCAGCATTTGAAGCTTCAACTGCCTCTGAACCAACACAATCATTGACAAAGTTAATCTTAGTGCCCAACAATTCCTCTAGTTTAGGAACAACTATCTTAAGTGAATCCTTTTCAACTCTACAAAATTAATCTCTTTTTTTACCTTTTTCCGTCTGGTCTACCCATATGAGACATCAAAGTCACATTCTTGGGATTCTATTCTAGAATCTTTTTCAAAGTAGGGATAGCTCCTTGGATTCTTGTGGCATTCTTCACTTTGCCTTCCTTGATGGGCACATTGAAATCTACTCTGATTAAAACTCTCTTGTTGGTGAACTAACGTAACACATGATCTATTCCTGCCTTAGAACTTAACATTTATTTCAATAAATATATTTATCTTAAAAGATATTTGACTCTTCTGTTTATAAATTAATTATGTTAACATTATTATTGCTACAAGTGGTGTTTTCACAAAAAATTTTAGATTCACCACTTGAACAAGTTGTATGGTGCAAATCTGAAACATTCATTCTCAGTGCTAAGGGTATGCTATACAAAAACAATACATCTGAAATGCCCAAGTTAATATCAAATGTAAATTATGATTATTCATTCTAGTTTACCATAAGAGAAATATTACAATCAGAAGCAGATCCTTAAGTACTTTATATATTAGGTGATGTTGATACTTCTTATGTAACTCAGAATTGTGGGAAAACCTATTAAAAATTCAAGCATGAAAAGACTTTGCATGATTTCAGATTGAATCCATTAGAAGCCCATAGTCTCATGGCATTTAAGGAGTTCAGATGCAATGCTACCACTGACAATTTGTGTAAAGAGAAATATAAAAAATAGTATGAGATCTTTATTGAATTCTAGATTGTATGTAAGCAATGATTATGGCACTAATTGGAGACTAGTGTTGAACAGAACCAAGGATGCTATATGGGATAAATTGATTGAATTACCAGAAATCCCAGATTCAAGAATTGTTGCATCTTATTTGAGTGATTAAGGCCACGTATAGGTTAGTTATAGTGATGATTATTTCAAAACTACCTAATTATTGAGGAATAATTCTTATGGGTTTTATTAGACCAAAGAATACCTATTTATTTTGATTGACGCTGATCCTTTTAGCAAAGGCTATGATTTGGAAGTAATTAAATAAGGAAGTCTGACTCCAGTAGAATTGGTGTTGCCAATTGAAGATCATCAGAAATACACATTTACTGTTTTGGATACTGTCAATGGATCTATTTTTATATCGATATCTCATTTGGAGGACATGCCAAAAATTATGAATATATATTAAAGTGACACAAGTGGAACCAAATATACATTGTCATTATTAAATAATGTCAGGAGTTTGGATACTGGAAATTGTTATTGAGAACTCACGCATCCTAAGCGTATACAATTGCTAATATTTATGATAACACTGAATTTGAGAAATTTAAGTTGAGAAGATCTACAAAAAATACAGATGGTATTAAAAGATTGGAAAATTATAAATAAAGTAGAATTACTTTTTGAGTAAGGAGGAGAGTGGCATGCTATCAAAGCTCCAAAATACGATTATAAAGGATAGCCTATTCAATGCAATGGAGATTGTTCATTACATCTATTAGGAAGGAGTGAAGCACCCAGGAATAGAATTGTTAGTCATTCTTACATTACAATTGGAACTGGAAACACTGGAATTTATTTAGGGAATGAGTACAAGACCTATTTAAGTAGGGATGGAGGACACACATGGTTTGAAATATTGGATGGCATGCACATTTATGATATTGCTGAAAATACAGGACTTATTGTATTTGTGAGTGATGAAGAATAGGCAAGTGAAATATTATATACTTGGGATGAAGGTCTAACATTTAAGAAGATTAAGATGAATATTACAATGGATATAACTAATGTTGTATATAAAAATGGTAAGTTCATATTTCATGGTATATCTGACAGCAAAACTCTTGGAGTTGCTAAGGAAGATGATTTTACTTCGAGTGCATTGAAAGGAATAGTTGTTTCATTAGACATCAATTAGATTATGGTTAGAGAGTGTCAAGGATTTGATAATCCAGGAGAATAAGATTCTGACTATGAATTCTGGTATCCAACTAATTATGCTGGAGACAAATGCTTATTTGGAAAAAGAGAAAAGTATATTAGAAGAAAGCAGAGAGCATAATGTTATAACAAAGAGCCCAATCTGCCAGTCTAGACTGAAAGTTGTCCATGCTCAAAGGCTGATTGGGAATGTGATGTTGGATTCAAAAGAGATGTCTATTCTAATTGTGTCCCAATGAGAGAGATCAAACCAAAACAATGCAAAGGCACTTATTTGAAAAGTTAGGGGTATAGAAAGATCTCAGGAGATGAATGCTAAGATGGGTATTATATTTATAATATATAAATGTAGAGTGTATTTGGGTCCAATTGAAGTTAATTGTGAATAAGAGGAGTCATCCACTACAAAAAAAGAAAATGTTTCTCCATAAAATTAGTAAGAGAATGAAACATAATAATCATAAGTCCCTTCTAAAAAAGTACAGATTACACAAAAGAAAGCAAGTGGTGGTGGCATTAAATTTACATACTTGGCAATTGGAGTCATCCTACTTATTTTGGCATTCTTTGCAAAGAAAAAGTACTTAGACGCTGGTAAAATAAAAAAGAGAACTCCTGCTCATTACTATCCCGGCAGATAATAGGAGAAATAAAGTCTATTTACAGAACTATGATAATGTACATATTTACCTATAAATTTTTGTTACCCTTCGGTTTTGGTCATCAATTAGAGTATAACCAAATTATATATAAATATTAAGTTAATTTAATATGTAAGCCTCTCCTTTGATTAAAGTGCAGAGTTCTGCATTCTCTACTGGTTCGGCATTAAGAATCAAATAGAAATAGTCATAACCACAAAACCAAGTGGAATAAATCAGTCCTCTTAAATACTTAGAGGAAAATGAGTAATCTCCATCTAAGATTATTAACATTTATGCTGATAGTGCTTTCTATAATAGTCACACTGCATTTTCTGAAATCTAAAATCAGTAAATAAGTGAGGATGATAGGATACTTAAAAGCTACACATATAGTCAAATGGCTCCTGATGATGCAGAGAAAGCTTATTGTGAAAGACAAAAGACTATTCAAGATCAAATAAAAAGATCTAAGGATAATGCAAAAAATAAAAAAAAAGAATTTTATGAATCCAAAAAGAGAGCTGTAAAGAGTGGAACATAAAAATAATAGATTAATTCTTCAATAACACAATCTTAATTAATCGATATATCGAGAGGCTCATAGCATTTTAGAAGAACATCAATAGATCAAGTACCTTAACCAAAAAATAAACTTATTAAGAACTAAGTAAGTTAATCGAATTAATCCTTTCATTTATAATTTTAAAGTAAGAAATAACAATTACTAAATGATATTGCCAAACTGGAAAAAGAAATTGTAGTAGAACAATAATATATCTAACTTGCATCTAAGAAAATCTAGCCAAGATAAAATTTGTAAGCAACAAAAACAAATTATGAAAAAAGACAGTCAACCAAAAAATTTGCCAAGTCCGAAACAGTGATTTAAGAAAAAAAATCTATAAAAACAAAGAATACATTAAAAAATCTCAATACTTCACAAAATTCTCAGATATCACCTCAAACATCTCCAAAATCAACATTAGAGGTAAAGAGTCCGATTAGATCACAATCTTAAGAAGCTAAGGAAATTGTGGACCTTTTAAGACAATCCAGAGAAGACTTAAACTGTATCATATTTATCATTATTCATCTTAGAGAGATTGCTTAGAATGAATGAGAAATACAATTTGATATTGGATCAATCAAACAAATTTAGAAACCATTTTTAACAAATCTGATTATAATTAATTATTTATATGGATATTGATAATTTATTGTAGATAATACATCTTAAGAATGACATAAACAGTAAAAATAATCAGATAGCTCTAGTAAATTTTAATATATTGAAAAATAATAATAAAAATATGGAGCTAAATAACTGATTTTATGTATAAATTATTAATATTTTTGTGTATAGACAAATATACTAATAACATAGAGACAATCTTAAATCAAATGCTTTAATTCAATCGATTATAAATTATAAATATAATTAATTATATTCAATATTTTTTTGAAGAAGAAGGAGGAGGCCTTCTTGAAGCAGTTTAAGTACTTGTGAATGTATTGTTTGTTCCATTCAAGTTAACGTTGTTTCTGATATTATTGGTTTATTATTAAGGTTATTGTTGTTGTTTTTGGAAATTGTTAGTTGCATTAAACTGAGACTTAATAGTATTCTGTTATGGTGGTAACATCTATTGAGATTTCTTCTTCATTGAATTTATCATAGCCTTTTCCTTACACGATGGTATGTGTTTCAAGGCTGTTTGCTCATTAAATTTTCTGCCGCAATGCTCACACTATACTCTGTCATCCACTTCTTCGATGGCAACCTAGACTTAGTGATTCATGTACTTGTTCCTATTGGGTAAGTGGTACTCCTTTATTTATTTTCATTGCTGCTCTGAACTATTCAGATTGCAGTTTCCATTTAGGCTTTTTTTAACCTTATAATGGTCTATCATCAATTTTAGGTTAGGCTTATTTTTTTTTCTATTGTTGTTGTTACTCTTCAATAAATGCAATAATTACAAATCTTATCTTCCTACTCTTATTTCTATAATAATTTAGCATGATCAGGATTGAGTATCCGATGCTCCTTAGTGTCGAATGCTTTTCTCTTCTCTTGAAATACCTTCTTGCAAATCTTAATGTGTTTTTACAAAGCAGACCTTTTAAACTTCCTTCCGCAACCTTCAGGACATTCGATTAATTCCTCATCATCATTTTCGTATTCATCGATTTCAATCGGTTTTTTATCCTCCTTTGCTACAATATCTTCATACGCAGTTGCTTGAGGCTAATAACTTTAAGCTTTCATTAAGGAAGGAGCCTAGTAAATATCTTGATCTGGCACAGCTTATGTGAATTCAGAATATTTCCTATCCTTATCTCGTTTGGCTTTGAGTAGAGTTAAAGCCGATCGTATTTCCTCTTAAGTAGCTGGACGATTGGGATTGTTTCGACTATAACTATTACTTCTTTAAGTAGGCCTTTAGGGCTCTAAAGGTACTTAAGGTTTGAAATCTCCACGAAGATTCATTTCCGCTTATTAAGCAAAGTTAAGTCTGGCTTCTCGAGAGTTTGCCCGAAATTAAGTTGAGCGGGGAGGTTAAGCTGATTATTTCATTTTAATTAATTATATATATCTAAATTACTTTTATTAACATAATCTGGTATTAGATCTTTGATATTATAATAGTTATTCTAATCTAAAGAGAGTAGTATGATATTTAGAATGATCAAGAAACACCTTGAATAACCATATGTTTATTATGAATTTCTTTTATAACATTATTTAATTTCTTTTATAATCATCGATGTAATTTTGAAGTTAACTGAAAAATCTAATATTTTTAACCAAATAACATATCTTTTTTTTAAGAAAAAATCAGTTACTTGCTTGATTCATCTTAAACAATTAAACAACATATAGAGGTGTCCAGATTAGTTTTTACACATTAAAAATTGAATTATTCATTGGAGATCTTTAGAATATGTAAATTATAATAAATTATTATTTCACTTTTATAAGAATATAACTATACAAGTAATGTCGTCTCTAGCTAAACTATTCTAGAATTTATGATCAAATATACTCTTCTCCATGCTTAGGTTGCTTCTATTATTATACGTTCTGCTGCTTATTCTGGATTGTCTTTTTCCAAATAAGGAATAACAATACTCATGACCTAATTGAATTTTAAAGTACCTCTTCATTGCTTAAGTATTCCCACACCCCATCCGATGCCACCACAATAAAATGATCCTATCCAGTTATAGTATACTGTTTAATTTCTGGTTCTGCAGTTACTCCTGCTTAAGCCCCTACTTTGTCTCCAAGTGACCTACTCATTGCCAATCCTGGAGCTTAAATATACGAAAGCCACACTCGAAATGGTCCTATTGGGTTTCCATACAAATCTATTAATTTAATTAGTAATAAACCTTTTTATTATTCTACTCTTCCTCCTGCCTCCAATATTTTTTTTTTCTCTTCTGAATCATCTGGTTTATGATCTCTGCTCAAAGGAACTACTTTCCAACCGTCATCAAATCTACACATTATTGCCCTTGAGTCACCTACATTTGCTGAGTAAATCTTAATTAGAATGTTTAAATTACAATGTCCTTAGTTATCAATAATGATACTGTAGTTGAACCTGAAAGATTGGTGTCAATTTCAGAGTTCCAAAGTTCTCTATTAGTTATTGTAAATGCTTTTTGAATTTGATTCTCTATGTTCTCTGCATCCTTTAATAATCTACCCAAATGTTTAGGCAATTGCTATTTGATTTAATTTGAAACCATATGTCCATTTAATCCATGGCCATCACACACTGCAAACAACTTATATCCAACACTAATGCTTAATATATAGAGTGTTACCTTTCTACATTTTTTGGACATACTATTGCAGCATCTTAATTAATTTTTGTAGCCTTATTTGGCTAACAACCAGCCTTAGTTCTCATGGCAAACAATAAGGAATTTCTCTTTCCCAATCTTTTCTCTGGTGTTATTGATTTTCTCATTCCATCGATTTCTTAAATTTACTTTTTTCTTTATAATTACTACTCACTTGAAGTAAATTATATAGATGGCAAACGATTAGCCTTACCCTTATAGATTGAAATTGTCTACTCTATTTTGTTCATCTTTTTTAAAGGAGGTAGTGCAGGCAATGATAGATTAGTCTAGTATTTACCACTATTGCTGTTATAATCAGCACTTTCAGGATATCTAGAAACTATTCTTTAAATATTTTCTTTTTGAGGAGATGAAAATTCAAGTGGTTTTAAACGATACTCTCTTTATAATCTTGTAATTGGAACAGATTATTAGTGCATTTATAATTATTTTATTATAAAAATATAGGCACATTAATTTCCAATTTTAAATATTTTATACAACTTCAACTCTACTTATATAGTAAGATATTGCTATAAAGTATCAGTCTTAATTTTTAAAATGTAATTGATTTACTATACTTTGATATATGATTCACATTATAGAAGAAGATTTTTTACAAGAAAATTGACAATCATTTCATTTTCACCATTAAGTTAAACAAATATAGATACTATTTTGTTAATATTAAAAAAAGAAGAAAAATTAAGTTTTATTTCTCAGAATTATTCAATTGGGCAATAAAGTTTGTATATATTTCTAAATATAAAATTTTCATATTATTTTACTATTCATTACTTAAACTTTAAAGCCTCTACAATATCACCTGACAATTTAGAAAGTTCGTTAGTTATGCAGGAAACATTAGGTTAAGTAGGTTAAGGTTAGCTTTGCTATTACAACTTAGGTGTATTATCCAACCCTTAATCACTCTGTTAGAATTCTGGCATTTGTTCAATAGAATTTTCGATTTTTGTTGTTGACGACTAAAGGGATCTATAAAAAATAAGAATTAACTTCATATTGTTCATCAATTTCCTTAAAGCAGGCTAGTATTTTATTTTTGATTGCTTCTCTATCCTACATTTTTTATATTATTTTTAATAGAAAATTAAGTAATTCCAAATTTATTATTATCGAATAAAACTTCATCTTTTTATCTTATCTTCATTATGCTCTTAATGAATTACTTGAAAGAAATAAAATAGGTGAACTGATTCATTCAACCTTAAACACCAAATTTATTTTACTATCATTATACATAAACTGTTTTTCCTATTATTTATTATCCATAGCTTGCAACTAAAATTAGGATTAAAATACTATTTGTTTTAAGAGAATTTGTAAAATAGAAGAAGTTAATGTAAGAATTATCATTAGTAAATATATGAAATTAAAGTATTTTTATATATTTTAGAATTATTAATGTTAAAAAAGAGAGGATCAGATTAGTTAGATATAATTTTCGAAGCCGGGGAAGATTTAATGAATTCGTCGAAGAATTAGGTTATCATTCTAAAAAACAATTCTATCAGATTACCAATTACAAAGCCTCGAACTTTTTTATCTTATAGTTTAGAATTTTGTGGTATAACAGGTTTAAATTATAAATAACTTCGATTTCAATCATTGGGAAGAGACATAAGAGTATTTGATTAATTAATGATCTAGCCTGAGACTAGTATAATGACTGCAAGTTTAGTTAAGGTGATACATACCAATGAGTTTAATTAGATGGTGTAAAATCCTTTGAAATCCTCATTATAAAATTTATTTTTAGGAGGAATATTTAGTGATGTCATCCTTAAGATTAATGATGAGATAGTAAAGATTGTAATAGATACATATTTAGGTGCTTCCCTTACATAAATGCATATTGTCTTGTCGATCGCCTAAATTTAATGGAATGTTTTCATCAAATCTGATGGAGAGTACATAGAACATCATAAAAGTAGAATACAAAAAGCCTGAATTATTTAAGTTGATGCTAGGTTGGATATATAGTGGATATTGGAAAGAAGTATTTAAATAAGATTATGATCTTGCTAGTTCCCTGATAATATCGCAGATGCATGTGATTTGATGTTATTAGCAGATGAGTATATGATAATGGATCTGAAATAGAAGTGTGAAGAGGATATTATATCAAAATTGGACATCACAAATATTCTATAGGTTTTGTTATTTGTTGAGAAATATTGCGATATATTATCTCCGATAATAGTGGATAAGGCACATAGTTTATTTATAGATGATTTTGATTAGATATTAAGATTGAATCCAAATTTAGAGTAAGATATAACTAAAGTGCCAGGATTGATGACAAAATTATTTTTAAATTATCATCAAAAGAAGATAAGAAAAGCAAGAAAGGTACACTTTGTAGTTGAAGACTTCGATTAATAGGAATCAGATTCGGATTATAATTCATAAGATTATGTTAGAAATTATACGCAAAATTTTTACTAATGATTTATATAAAATTGATCATTTTTATTAAGTGAAATATTCTTAAATTTTAACATCTACTATTTCACTTAAATCATTTAATTCTTTTTTTAATTGGTTGTGTCTATCGATTTGTATGTCTTTTTCTAGAAAGTACTCCTATAATTTAGTTTTTTAGACCTAATCATCGATATCTGGCATTTAGTCGATGAGAGTCATTAATTCCTTCTGATATTTCAGCATATCAGCAGCTCTCTGTTATAATTCCTATTGATCCATTTCCATATACAGAGAGTTTCTGAAGGTGTCTTCAAAAACCATTAGGACTCCTTGAAGTTTATTTTAAAGTTATAATGCCATTTATTTAGTTCTAATGTAATTATTTTAAATTAAATAATGTTTAGAATGTATATATATTAAAAATATCTTTAATTTAATGAATCAATAAAATTTGGACAAAGACGAGATCGCTTTACTCTAAAAAGCCTTGGGTGAAGAAATCATACCACTTTGACAAACGATCACATCTTAGAACTTTACAGATTGTTTAATTTGTATTGTGATCCAAGAACAAGAAGAATTGATTTGAAGGATGTAATGATAACAGCATAACATTTGGGATTGGTGGAGAAGAGTCCAATAGTAGCCAATACTTTGTCATAAGTTTCTGATTAACATGGAGATGGAGGTGTGGATTTTGAAGAATTCGTAAGAGAGTTGACAACTAAGTTGGTAATTTGATAGCATAGATTCCTCTAGGGCAATACATTTGAATAGAAAGGAAGAGAGTAACTCTTTACATTGGTGGATATTGATGGTAAAGGTACCTTGGATAAGGATGATTTGAAAAAGATTTCAGATGAATTGCATCTCAACTTTTCATAAAAGGATATCGATGAAATAATTCACAATGTTGCAGGGTATGATGCAGTTGACATTACTGCTGAATAATTTGAGAAATACCTAGCTAAATTGACAAATAGAAGAAAAATTGAGACTGAAGTGCTCAGAACAAAATGAAAAGACACAATTTATATAATAAGCATAAAAACAGATTTAATATATTTATATATATATATATGTTCTAAATGATTTGATTTAATATCAGACAGCTGAGGCTCCTGAAATGATTTCACATAACTCAACTGTGATCTTAGCTTGTCTGACCTTATTGTATTCAAGTGTCAATTTGTCAAGCATTTCACCAGCATTTTTAGAGGCATTCTCCATGGCATTCATTCTTGATGATGTTTCACTAGCGAAATTGTTCAACATGGCATGATAGAAGGCAGTTGCAACATAATATTCATACATGTAATTTTGAACAAATTCCTTCTCTGGTTCAGCTGTATCGTATTTAGTGACCAATCTGAATTAAGCTATGAAATTCTTTCTATTCAATAAATCAACTCTCTTGACCACTTATTGCACCACATTCTTAAATTGATTGAAGATTATAGCTATTTAATCAATATCATCTGTGACATTCAATTAAATCTGATGAGCAATTGATGATGAATTAACAAAATTGATAGGTGTATGAATAGCTGTGATAGCCTATGTGAGCAATTCAGGAAATCCTCTTTGTAATGCTCCAAGGGACTAAAAGTGTGATTAAATATTCATATACTTTTTCACCGATCAAGAACAGTTTGAAAGCATTACGATTTTGACGTACCACTGAACGTGTTTCTCTGATAATTGATGAATTGATGCCACCACAAAGTCCTTTGTCTGATGTAATCGGAACCAACAGGGTCTTATTAATTTTGAAAGTCAATTGTTTTTTCTACAAGTATGTTTCATTTGCAAACAAATCCTAAATAGAACGTACACCAAAATATTTGCCATTCTCAAGTCTTTACACATCCTGCTTCATTTTTGATGCAGCAACCATCTTCATGGCCTTGGTGATTTTTCTGATGGATCCTACAGACTTCATTCTTTGCTTCAATTATTTAAGATTCAGTGTTGCAAATGCATACTAAGGAACTGGAGTAAAGCTACTCCATAAACTAAGTGTGGCACCCTATAATCTCTACATTTTTAATTAAATAATTAAATCTTATAACAAATAAGTATAGAGAACAGAATAATAAAATAACTTCATCCCTTTTTCAATTTAGCATCAGGTCTGCAGAAATCAACATAGAATGTATTAACTTTATTGTCTGATTGCTTTATTAAACATATTTACTTATTTATACCAATAAATCTATTTAAAGTAATTCTCTAGAATGCCAATATTGTAAAAAAAGGTGTCTATATATAATTCGACCTATTTTCGATAGAAGTAATAAGGTTTATAATCCGAAAATTATTATAAAAATATATTATTAACTGATTTATTTTTAGTTTAAATACATGATCCAATTCGATTAGCACAAGCAAAGAACACTTTAGACAAATCCAGAAGATTACTTTAATTAAGAAGATGACTAACCAACTGAAACAAATATGTATTAATCTTTAAGTAAACTTTCTACTTAGCCTTGTAGATTATCAGAAGAGTCATTAACCATTGAGTTCATAAGGATACTTAGCGAATTAGCATTCTAAACTATTTGATCTCAAAAAGAAATATCTCAAAAACCGAGAAGACACTCACAGACGCTCTGTTTCTATTCACAACAAAATGTAATGCAATAAATCGCCCATCAAAACCCAATAAACCAAAAGGCAATCTTCTCCAAAATAGGAAAACTATTAGCCTCTGCAAAAGAAAAAGACAATGCCAGTTTGCAAGAATTTAGGAAACAATCTTAGAAATATATTAAAGACTAATTATCAACAATAAGGCTCATTTGGAGAAAATCCTGAAAATGCAGTAATCAGAAAAGAATATTCCCAATTAATAGAAATCCCAATCGAATATTAAGGAATTGACAATTACTCATTTATTAAGACATTGGGAATCGGTGCTACTGCTGAAGTGAAAATGGCAAGAAATAAAGAATTAGATATTGAAGTTGCAATAAAAATATACGATAGAAAGAAGATGAATAGTATGCATCTTAAGAATCTGGAGAGAGAAGTGGATATCTTAAATTTAATTAAGCATCCAAATATTATTAATTTGTATCATACTTATGAGAATGATAAATCCATATTCTTAATTATGGAATATTCATCTCCCATTAATTTGGAAACTTTTATGAAAGGTCGTCCATTCAAAAGAATAAATGAGGATGAAGCTAAAATATTATTCAGATAAATAGCAGATGCTATTGCTTACATCCATATGTTGAACATTTCTCATAGGGATCTCAAGTTCGAAAACTTATTAATAGACTACAACACCAGAAAAGTGAAGATTATTGATTTTGGATATTCAATTAAGGTAGATGGTAAATAGACATGTTCTTGTGGAACACCTCAATATATGGCACCAGAATTAGTTAAAAAGAGTGCCTATGATCAATCAGTTGATGTTTGGGCTTGTGGTGTTATTTTGTATAAGATTTTAACTGGTGTATTTCCATTTCGTGGTAATTCAGAGAAAGATCTGTACAGAAAGATATGTTTAGGGAAATTGGAATATCCATCCTTTGTTAGTAATCAAGCGAGATAGTTAGTATCATCTATGTTGAGGGTTGATCCAAACGAGAGAGCTTGTATGTAAGAGGTGAAGCTGTCTTAATGGTTGAATTGAATATAGATGAATAATTATTATTAAAATTTAACAAAAATTTAAAATGGTATCATTTTTGTACTTGTTGTGATTCTTGTGATTATTGTTACTAAGATTATTATACTTTCTTGGTTACTCTAGAATCGAATAAACCTTATTATAATCTTAACGCACTTAGAGCAGTCTATTTTTTGAAACTAGCTAATTCAGAAAAGGACCTTTGAATATTATTCAGACTATTCTCTTATTGTTTCTACAGCTTTTATTAAGTCTTCACTCTATCTGAATATAATTATTTTATTTCCTCAACCTTGGCTTACAAATTCCTTTAATTATTGATTGGAGTGTTTATTTTAGAGTAAGTGGACACTTAATGGGATTTAAAACTATCAGTACTTTCATCCATTTAGGTATGACATCTTTAACTAAGATACAACTAATCCATGATGGCTGATTTTTGAGTAATTCTACTCTACTTCTCATGTTAAGAGACTGATCTTTATTAAGTAAGGAATCTATCAATTTGTGCTTTCAAATTCTGCATTTTCAATTCAAACTCGTCATATCTAAAGAATTAATCTTCATAATAAATACTTAATTACCATTATCTGGGAAATATTTGACAGTACTAAAAATATCACTAAAACTCATTTATCCTATGACTTTTTGCATTATTTATTTACATCCTGAATAGTAGTTGAGAATACTCACTGAAGGTTATAATTATTCACTCAAACCAATGTTTTCAAAGTCACTCCTCAATTAAATGAGACTGTTAATTTTCATCTGAATATCATTGAGCATTTTTTCAGTCTGTTGTTCTTGTATCTCTTTGAGATTATCTAATTGAGTTACAATCTCTTTCTCTTTATTCTGAATCACTTGATATAATGATTGAGACTATTCTTGCACTCTTTAAGTTAGATAATCCATCTCCTCTTACAACGTAGAATCTTAGTCTTAAACTCTTTTTAATTGCAATTGCATTAATTCTAATGATGCCCCTATTGTGTGAGTGGCATCATTCATTTTACTCCTCAATCTTTTCAAACAACTATTCACATTCTATATTTCATGTGTTTTATTATCGTGTCTCAACAGGCATTTAATACAAAAACATTTATTCTCACAAGTGAAACAAAATAATGTTGCATCCTCCTTGGTATGAATATCGCATTTTGGTTATGCTATAGGCTATGCAATAGTCTAACTCTATTGAAGGGGTTTTTCTTCTTTAGTAATATGTTATTCTTCACGAACCTTCTCAAGACTAGTTTGAATCAATTGATGACAGATACTCTCAACTACTGATACTGATCCATCATCTAAGGGAGTGTCTTTTTCACACACCGTACATATATAATGAATGTTATCTGTTCCTTCTAATTTGAAGATTCTTCCACCCTATTATTCTAAATTAAAATACTTTCAGAAAGTTTTGAGCCATACAGACTAAGCAGAAACAATGATTACAATTCAGACTTAAGTAATTATCTGGCACTTATTTGCATTGATCACATGCAACAATCTCTTCTTCAGACATGAATTAACTGTTAAAATAATTAATTAGCGGAATTATTGCTTCAATAAAATTTCTGTTAATTATTAATCGGTAAGTGCAAGTACTATCACAGAGTTATGTTTAGATCCATTTTATCAGAAGTGATCATGATTCATCTATTAAATTAAAAAGATTGATTAGTTTATAATATATTTTTAAATTGAAATTTAGAATCAATATGTAGATCAATTAAAACGATCTGATAGAAACCCAACCAATTTTGATTCCTCTACTTATTTGTACATGCTTATACATCCTTTAACATTAGTAGATTTATTGGCAAGCAAAGTTTTTAATTATTTTCGATTTCTTTCGGTAGTAGAAAAAGTATTTACAAATAATTTTTAGGCTAATTGCTATCTATATTACTGTTTCTCTTCTTCTGTAGAGTCCTTTGTCAAGACCTTAATCTCATGCCTAGGAGATTTGGCTAATTAAGTGTTTTTAATCAAATCTTCTGGAGATTAATGCAATTGTCTTCTTAATTTGGCTAAAGGGTTTTCAGTAGAATAGGTTTGTTAAGGTTCTAATTTCTTTTAGATTTCGTTGGAGTATGAAATGAGTTATTTTTTAAATCCTTCATTGGGTTTGACACAGGGTCTTTTAGATTTTACAAATTTAAGTGTTTTTTCAAATGGCCATTTATTTTGATACATTAAATACGCAATAACACATGTGGCTGATCGAGATATACCAGCCATGCAATGCACTAAAACAGATCCAATTTTCATAGCCTGTTAGATTTCTTCATTAGTCATTTCGATCAGTTCTTGGATATTTACATTTTCTTTGTCATGAATTTTAAAAACCTAATCATATGGATGAATATACTTTATGGATAATTTTCTAATGTTTGGGATAGCTTACATTAACATTGTTAGCTACTGTAATCACAGTTCGAATGTTTTCCTTACTCAGATTCATTATATTCTAAGCAGCCTTTATATTACCTAACCACAGAGCTCCAGTAGTTTTTGTGGATGGCAATATCAAATCCATTTCATTGATCTGCATGTACATAGATGAATATCTAGATATAATATAAAAATATGGCTATTTAATTTATAAATCAGGTAATCTTACTCATCCAGAGTTGGAAGGTCATAGTATGGAGTTCAGTATTTTGCTTGATAAGATACAAGCGTTAAAGTTATCGATGATAAACATAGTAAGGCGAAGTAAGTAACTCTCTGAGATTTTATAAATAATGCAAGCATCTATGAATTGCAAAGGATTCTTCCTAAACTACACTCTCCTAGATTTCATCGCATTTTATAAGAATTTTGATTTGTTCTTCTGTAATTTTCTCAAAATCCTCTTCTAATTTCAGGGCCCACTTTAAAACATTGGGATGTTTTAAGTATTGTAAGCAAATTAGTTGTTCATCATTAAATTTGTCTTCCAAATAGCCGTTATTCAAGTAACCACACAAGGCTATTAAAGTGTGGAGACAATTTTTCTCCAAATCTTCATTGAGTATCTGTTTGCGTATAACTTAAAGATCTTTTTCGTTGAGTTTATTAAACTCATAAAATGATTACTTGAGAGTGGAATTCTGTTCTGAGGAGTGGGTCTTCTGTTATTCCAAATATGAGATTTAGTGGTCAATGGATTTAGCATAATCCAGCCAAGTCTTCAAGATCAATTTATACGCATATTTTAATAATTGATCCCAGAATGAGGATACTTATCGTAATTAACATTAATCTTGGGGAGTTAGAAAATAGAGAATATGCAATGAGCAAACTCTGCCTAATTACATAAAATTGAATTATAAATAATAAAATGCAGCAGAATCCAATCTAATTTGATTTGCAGATGTTCCACAAATCGTTTGAGTTTAACAACAAGGAAATAATTGGAAAAGGCTTTGATTCCATTGTTTATAAGGTGAAAAACAGAGATGATAAAAATGAATATGCATTAAAGCTAACAAGTTTTAAGGACTTATAACACAAATTTAATTTTTAACAAGAAATACGACTCCTTTATCATCTGAATCATGATCACATTGTGAAATTCTATGGGAATAGTATGGATGGCAGCTGCATTCTGATAGAATATATGCCTTTTGGTCATCTGGTGAAATTGATAGATTTATCATTGGACATACGAATAATCAAGTCCATAGTAAATTAAATAATGAGTGCTGTTCAGTACTTGCATTCAAGAAATATAGTGCATGGTGACATCAAACCAGAAAATGTATTGATCTCTAAGGATTTTGTGATTAAGATTTGTGATTTTGGATTTGCCATTATAGCCAATTAACCGAATGCTAAATTACGAGGTGGCAGTGAAGGTTATACTGCACCCGAATTGCTCATCAATTAGAATTATGATCCCAAGAAGTGTGACATGTTTTCTTTGGGAGTTCTCTTTTTTGTTCTGTTTATGGGATATCGACCATTCTTGAGCACTCATCCATAGAAACAGGATAAATTTTGGAATTATATCAAAAATAAGGAATGGGACAAATTCTGGAAGATATTTGAACCCAAAAAACAAGATGTGGGATTTAAGGCTTACATACAGAAACTATTGTGTGCTGATCCCAATGAGAGATACACAATAGAAGAAGCATTATAAGATGATTGGTTTAAAAGCAATCTATATACAGTGAAAGATTTAGCACTACAACTAAAGATGCATTTACCTAAACAGTGATATTTTTTTGATTAACCATTTGTTTAATATGAAGTAAATTTTATAATCTAATGGAATATCTAAATTCCTCTAAATTGTTAAACCATTCAATTATCATCATTAAAATTAATATTAATAGTTCTCTTGAACAATATTTAGTATACATTAAACACAAATAGAATCAAAATTGTAAAATAACTCACAATGTCCATCCTCATTTCAATACGTTTGGATACATAGGGCCTTTTCTTTTTAGAATCGGCCTTATTTATTAATCAGTTAATTATTGTTGATTATTAATATAGTATTGGTTTCTGAAGTTAACCTTCATTATATCAAGATTAGAAATTTGAGAAAGAGTCTCTTTGATTTATAACACTTCGTCATTTGGGTCATACACACAAACCGTGACACAATTATCAAATTCTATTGAATAATTCTTCCCTTTTCCAATCTGCCTTCCCTTCGCATCATACCTTTACTAATCTTTAATCAAGGAAGTTTTATTGAAAACTTAACTAAACGCCTCATCAGATACTGTATCATCATCCGGCCCCACTTTTACATTAAGTTGTAACAGTAATTTAGGACCAACATTTGATTTCTGCATTATAATTTAATTTTTAGTATATTAATTGGAGCCTATTTGATTTATTCCTATATTCTCATTACTTCTTTGGTTATATAAGAAGAATCAACATTAAATGATCGATTGCCAAGTCTCTAGAATCTTAACTGTAAGCTATTCCTTATATTCTAAAATCTATATTTTTAGGTATTATGCATCAACCAGTTAAGAGAATGAGTTAATAAATATACTGAAATTTTAATATTCATTTAAATTATTATATGGATGTACCAAATACTCATTAAATTCATAAAATATGCATAAACAAACAGTGGAAGGATGTCTATGACATTGGTCTAATCTTAAACAGAAAAAGAAAGGAATACTGATCCTTAGTTTTCTAAATAATTAGTAACCCAAAATATTTGGAAGTAAACATAGTTGGTATTGTTAGGAAGAATATCTAATGAATCAAGAAATAATACTTTTTGTTAAGTTGAATTTAATTCTATTTAAATAATTAAAGGATTTAGAGAAAAAACATTTTATAGTAAACAAAAATTATCTAGGAAATTACTTTTTAATAATATTCTTTTGTAATCTAAAGTAATTTAATTAAATAAAACTAATGTAAATTTCTAAGGTTGATAATATTCTTAAACTTGATTATAATATTTATTGTGAGATTCAATCAGAACTCTAAGGATTCTTAATGAAATTCAATGTACTCGATTTTAGTTATAATATTCATTACTGCAATTAATAGCAATAAACTGTATAATATTAAGTAAAAATAATATAATTAAATTTTACTAAATAAATGAGTGCAGAAAATGAAATTCAAGAGGAAAGAACCTAGGGTGAACAATTCGAAAATTGGAAATAGAATGTCCCTTTCATGTATGAGATCTGCATAAGCCACTAAAATAGTTGGCCATCGCTGACTGTGACTTGGTTAAATGAAATTGAAATGTTATTCTATTTTAACTAAATTTAGAGACCAAAATAACAACGAAGTGCATAAATTAATTGTGGCTACATAAACAGCCAGACAAGAATAGGAATTCATTAATGTGCTTAAACTATCACTTCCATAGTACACAGAAGAAGACTTTGATGCATCATCCTTAAATAATATATGTAATCAGATAAACTTATTCAAAAGGGAAAACTCAACCTGTTGGTAAGATAACACAGGAATCTCAAATTCCAGTGTAACATGAAATCAATAAGATCAGACAATAGCCAATGAGTAAAAGTATTCTGGCAGCATAAACTAGTGTTGGTGAAATAAGTATAAAAATCAATAATTAAATAAAGGCATTTATGATATAAATAAACACCAAAAAGTGATGTCTCTAAAAGGATAAGAAAGAGAAGGTTATGGGTTATCATGGAACCCTAAGAATTAAGGACACCTATTATCAGCTAGTTATGATAAGAAGATATATTATTGGGATGTGACAACTGGATAATTAATAAAGTCTTACAATTTCCATAGTCAAGAAGTTGAAGATGTGTGTTGGCATCCCCAAGATCCAAACCTATTCATATCTTGTTCTGATGATAGAACATTTGCGATGTAAATATGTATTTGTATATTAGATGTGACACTCGCTCATAATAGGGAATGAAAATCCAATAGGAAGCCCACTCTTAGGAGATTAATTGCATTTAATTTAATCAATTGGAACCAAGGTATTTTGCAACAGGTTCAAATGATGCCGAAGTTAAAATGTTTGACATCACAAAACCAGATAATTAGATTTATTCCTTTTCAAATCATGAAGATGCCATATATACTCTTTAATGGTCTCCTCATAAAAAGAATTTGTTGGCTACAGGTTCTGTGGACAACAAAGTTATCTTGTGGGATTATTTGAGAGTAGGTAAATCACAGGAGAGGGAATTTGAGAGAGATGGACCTCCTGAAGTAGTGGTAATTATATGTAACCATTCTAGTTTTATCATGGGGGTCATAGATCGAAGGTGAATGATTTGTCTTGGAATCCTAATCATAAGAATTTGATGGCAAGTGTAGAAGCTGATAAAAATATGTTGTAGGTTTGGAAGATCTAACCGTAATTGTGGATGGATGAAGATGGTGATGAAGCATGAATTGATTTAATCTCTTATTTAAACATCGTTATTTATTAATAATAAACATTGTTATTTATTACATAGATAAATAATTTAGAATATCCGATAGTAAATATATAATTTATAATAAATATGGTTAAAACTCCAATAAAGGTCATAGTGCGCACACGACCAACTGTTGAATTTGCATATAAGAACATCAATATCAACGAAAATACAGGACACATTGCAATTAATATACCAAAATCAGCTGAACAAGGTATGAGTGTTGATTTAACATATCAAAGGATTTGTGAATCATTAGTAAGAAGATTGGGGCTTCACTTTTGATAAGGTTCTTTAGAATGCTAGTCAAGAGGTTGTATTTGACATATGTGGCAAAGAATTAATTCACAGTGCTCTTGGAGGATATTCAGGGACCATAATGGCTTATGGGTAGACTGGAGCAGGAAAGACATTCACAATGATGGGATCTCAGATTGATTATAAATATAGAGGAATGATGCCAAGATGCATAAGTTTACTATTTCAAGAAATTGAAGCCAGATACGAATAATAAATTACCGTAGGAGTTTCATATTTGGAGATATATAACGAAATGATGTATGATTTATTGGCTGGAGGAGATCAAAAGTAAATCAATTCATAACTTACAATAGCTCTGGTTTGGCAATCCAGGAAGACAACAATGGCTATGTGTAAGTCAAAGGATTGACGATCAAAAGATGCTAAACCGAAGAAGATGCAATAGCTTAATTATTTGAAGGAGAAACCAATAGGACAATCAGTGAACATAAACTCAATAAAGCATCATCTAGATCTCATTGCGTATTTACAGTCCATTTAGAGATAAGATCTAAAGTGGAATCTGCTGAAAAAGTCATTATTAGTAAACTGAATCTAGTGGATTTGGCAGGATCTGAAAGAACAAAGAAAACAGGATCAGAAGGTAGAACTCTATTGGAAGCCTAATTTATCAATAAATCACTCTCATTTTTAGAATAAGTAGTCGTAGCATTATCAGAGAAATAAAGGGATCACATTCCCTATAGACAAAGCAAATTGACAAATCTTCTCAAAGATTCTATTGGAGGCAACAGCAAGACAGTTATGATTGCTAATATATGGCCAGAGAAAAATCAATTGGAAGAAACTATATCCACTTTGAAATTCGCATAAAGAATGATGAAGGTCACTAATGAGTCTTCCATAAGAGTTAATTTGGATCCATAAGTATTGATAAAAAAGTACGAAAAAGAAATCAAAGATTTGAGATAGGAATTAGCTATGCATGATACATTGGCTAATAGAGGTAGGATATAATATGAACCATATACACCTGAACAATAATACAAATAATAATAGATAGCCTAACAATTTTTGAATGGGGAACTTGAAGATATTGATATCGACTCATTAAGATAAGTCAAAGAATTATTCTTCCAATTTAGGAATCTCTACAGAAATTTAGTTAAAGATTTGGAAAATAAAAATTACATTCCCAGAACAGAAAAAGAACCTGATGTTTCAAAGAAGAAGAGTGACTAGGTTAAAACAGTAGATCCTGTTGGATATGAAGAAAATAAACATGGATTCGGTTTAGGTAAGGCAAGAAAGGATGGGAAACCAACAACCAATATAGAGAACTTAGTCAATATTCCTAAGGATGAATTCAAACAGTTGGATGAAAAGGCATAACAAGAAATAAGGAAGGAGAGTTAAATTACAGAGGCCAACAAGGAATCTACTATTGAAAAGAGAATTGTCAATGTGGATAAATAGCAAGCATTTACTGATTTTAAGAATAAAGAGGGGTTCTTCAATTAACCAACAAATATTAGAAAATATTGTAACATTTATAAGATCTATCATTTAGAATCAATTGAAAGAAGAAGAAGGATAGCATTGTCTCTCAGTCAGAGGTTTCAAACAAACTCAAAACTTTGATAGAGTAAAAGAAGGGAATGATTGCTTAGAAATAATAGAATAAAAACTAGGAAGTAAGAGAATAATTAAATGAATATAGGAAATTGCATAGGGAATTATAGATGAGGAGGAATATTAAATTTTGAAAGAATTGAAGGATCTAAAAAAGTCATTAAAATAGAACCAATCCAATATAAAAACTTTGAAATCAGAGATTAACGAATTAGACTAAAATATCGTTTAAGTATTGAGTTTTTATGAGATTTTAGTCAAAATAATTGTTGGTTCAAAAATTTGAGGAGCACTTCCTGAAGAAGTATGGATTAACTTTGTAAGACATCAACAATCCACTTGTGAATTAGAAAGAGGAGGAGTATTCAATTAATGATCCTTCGGAGTAGGATGATGTGGATCAGGATGCTTTGGCATATATAAGAGCTAAGAATAAGGTGACATAATTGCAGAAGGCTAGAAAGTAAGAAAAGATGCACAAATGATAAACGTATTTATCTATAATAAATCCTTATGAATAAATGTTTATTTCTTATAATATCTTTTGATTCATTTTATTCCTTTTTTTAGAAACTTTTCTTGGACTTCGGATAGACTTAAATTTTCTGTTTCCTCATAGAAAGTATTGAAATCATAATTGATATCTTTAAATTCTTCGTAGGGATTCTAACATATGGTCAAATAAATGATGAGTAAATTAGCCTCAGTTTCTTTGCTATTCAAATTTTTAATAATTTTTAAGTTCTCTAAAATTACATCTCGATATAACATGTGAAAGGTATCATTGGCTTCAAAGTTATTGTTATGAATTGATAAGAAATTCTTGATCAAATTGGTGGTCTAACTTGAAGCTTTTCCATTTTGCAATTCTTCCTATTAAACTTGATTGCATTTCTTTGAGATTTCAGCAAAGAATTCAGATGAGTGTTTCATATCCATTTAAATGAGTTGGGTGAGTTTTTAATATTCCTATAAAATTTAATAAGAATAGCATACTTAAGAGACCAAGAATCTTCCCCAAGTTTCCTTATCAAATTTATCATGTTCCTTTCTCGATAATTGCTAGTTGACTCTTTCCAAATGGACCATCTGATTTTTAGCTATAAGATATATTAATCTAAAGTAATTGTCATTGGCTAATTAGAGCATTTGGATGGTCTATAGCTTTATCACTTTCTAGATAACAAAGTTGAAGAAGAATGCGATGTTTCTCTCAAACAAAAAGTAGTTATTGTATTTTAACATAGCATCTCTTCGTTTTTTTTCATTTCTATAATTGCTCATGATTATTTCACCCTAATTATAAATTAAAATGTCAAACATTTGATTCAGAGTCAAATTAGCTTGAAAATTTAGCAGATTGTGATCTCGCTTCGGATGAAGCATCTAAAGTTGATTGATTAGAGTTTTCTAATGTATTTATTGGATTCTTTGCCAAATATCCAACAACTAGATTTTAATCAATATATAATTTATTCAAACTGATTGATTTAGATACCTCATCTATAAATACATATCTATAATTGCCATACCTTTTTCTCTTAAAATATTCCTCATGTTTTCCTTCATAATTTCTTCATCTATCTTTATAGTTGGATCCTCGAACACTCCTTCCCATGAAATTCTGTCCTTCTCTTAAACTCTCAACATCAGAGTGATGAGTTCCTTGACTTTCTGTGATCTTACTGGTTTTGGCAAGAATTTTAGAGGCTAAATTTAAGATTCGACATACTTATTTTTTGATATTCTCTAAGAGTTAAAATGCTGTTTCTGCTGCCCAAGGTGGACGACCATACAGAAGTTCATAAAACATGACTCCAACAGACCAGACATCACACTTCGCTGAAAATGGCTAACCCTCCAAGATTTATGGTGCCATATAGAGAGGTGACCCAAGTCTTGATAAGTAGGCAGGATCTAAAAAGGATTTAAAAATATCTATTACCATTCATTTCAGTGTCCATAACTCTAGCAAAACCGAAGTCTGTGATTTTGGCAACACCTTAATGAAGAAGTATATTGGCAGGTTTAATGTCGCGATGTATGATTTTTTGTTTGTACAACCTTTTAAATCCTTCGACAATGTGTTTAATAAATATGACTGCTTCTAACTAAAGAATCACAATATACAGATACTTCGCTGAGTCGCTTTTCATCCTTTTTAGCCATATAGTCTTTGAGATCACCATCAGCGCAATATTCAAGGAACATGTAGAGGTAATTGTTTGTTCTTGCTACATCAAATAATCTCACGATGTTTGGATGATTAATTTTCTACAGGATAGCTATTTCTCTCTTTATTAGCTCGATCATCTTCGGCGTGTCTGAAATAGTCTAAGCAATAAACGAAGTATTTACAGAAATCTTTATCGTTTTCACAGCCACTTGTTTGGTTTCATCCTCCTACAAAAATCCTCGAAACACTGTACCATAAGCCCCCTACCCCAATTATTTATTGACAACAACATATTTGTCTACTTTCTTGGTTGTCCAATCTTCATTCATTTATAGAAAAAAAAAATAAATTAATATTCCAAAAACTTACTAATATTTTTTCATAAATATATACAAAGGATATACAAATTAGTATCACAGCCTGTTTGCCCGAGCTGGTTAAGGGGGCAGACTTAAGATCTGCTGGAGCCTACTCCGCGTCGGTTCGAATCCGACAGCAGGCAATTTTTTTATCTCAATTCTTAATACAAATTTTATTATTAAAATAATTAATATAATTGATTTCTTTGTCATTTTTTAGATGGAAATTATCCATTATCGAATTTGTATATAATATCCCTAAATAATATAAATGATATCAGACTAATATGTTTATCTATAATAATAACTTAAAATAAGCAAGAAAATCTGTCTAGCAATAAATTCTGAGATTTAATAACATTTAACTAGATGTAGTCTTATATCTTAGAATCATTAATAGCAGATATCGTACAATTGATATGTAATTATGAGATAAGTGTTTAAATATAAATTCCATTGAGAATAATTATGATTTAATATTTTGTTAATGGAATATAAAATTAATATATTTACTAATTAAATTACAATTTAGCTATTGGATCAATTGCTTGGAATTTTATAAAGCATAAGAAGATTCCATTAAGAAAATATATGATTTACAGAATATTTTCATGATATGAAGTAAAAGTAATACAGCTGATATTATTTCTTCAGTTTCTATTTGCAATTTAATAGTAGAATTTAATAAATTTGAATTTCCAAAAGTATTGAATTGTTAATTATTCAATATTAAAGGTAATAATGGAAATATGTAATAAACTCATTAATGCTTATATCATTTCTCTAATTATTTATTTTATACCTTGTGTATTAATCACCTGGTAGTCTTAATAATGAAATTTGATTATTTAAATATAATTCGTAATGCAAATATAAGTATTATTTCCTTATTCATCATTTATATAAACTTTTTTATCTATCTAATTGGGAATATAAAAATGAAAGGTTATAATAATATAATAAACATTATAAAATGTTCACTAAATTTGGTTAATAGTTAAAACCCATTGGCAATAGATCGTCGTCTGAAACTAAGAAGGAATAAGCTAACCAAAAATAAAACTTTTAAATAACCCAAAAGAGATAGAAGAGTGAATCAAAAGTAAGTGAAGAATAGAAATCGCTCTTTTAGAGTATATCTACACAAAGGGGAAATGTAAGATTACCTGATTTAAACAAATCGCAAAAACAAATTGAAAAGTCAATATCTGGAGGTGATATCACTAAAAAACCTCCTCTAATGAAAAGTAGAATCATCATTGACACCAAATAAAAATAACAGTAGTAATAATAATAGTCTTTGACGTAATCAATGACTATAAAGAATAAAAATGATGAGAGTATTTAGCATAGTCAATAATAAAAAGAAAAGGTGAAGGTCTCCTATTTTAGTTAATCACGACCTGGTTATGATGGAATATCTGAGAAAACTAATTAAGATAGAGAACTCTGTTTATAGTTAGATGAAAATAATTATGCATTTGTAGTAATGGATGGTCATGGAATGGAAGGAGAATAAGTTAGCGGTTTTGTTAAGGAACAATTGAAACGTAAGAGATTTATAAATATGTAGTTAATTTGAATAAGTTTTATAAGCTATTTGACTTTCAAAAGATATTTTTGGATATCCATTAAAAGATGAAATTGCAGACAGCTTTTGAATGTTAATTCTCTGGAACAACTGCAACTGTACTACTTCTAAAAGAAAACAATATACAATGCGGTTGGGTAGGTGATAGCAGAGCCATTCTAGTGAGGAAACATCAAGATTTATCTGTTATTGAATTATCAGTAGATCATAAGCCTCATTTGGAAGGAGAACGAAAGAGAATAGAATAACATGGGGGAGTTGTAGATACATATCATCTTCCAGGTGGAGCACCCATAGGACCATCGAGAGTATGGGCAAAGGGAGCATAATTTCCTGGTTTGGCAATGAGTCGAAGTTTAGGAGATTTGGTTGCTGCATCTATTGGAGTATCTCAAATACCTGAGTTAAAAATAGTAGATATGGTGAATAAAGAGGATTTATTTATTGTATTAGGATCTGATGGAATCTGGGAGTTTCTTAATAATAAAACTGTAATATGAGTTAAATAATCAAGATAGCAGAATTGGTTTATCCATTTTATATGAAGAACGATCCTTAAGGAGCTTGTTAAAAGATTATTTAGGAGGCTGTGGCTGCTTGGAAAATGCATAGTTAGGGAATAGATGATATTACTGCAATAGTTATATTCTTTTAATATGGATTGTGATAATTATAAGAATCATAATTTAGCATTTACTTCCTTCATTTTTTTAATGTATGTTACTCCTTCATGTACCTTCTGTTTATTTAAAGAATTATCTTATGAGGCATAACGGTACATATTTTCATAGACATCTCCATCTTTGGGAGCAATCAAGCTTTGCAAAGTGTTGTCAGATAACCCTTGAGCCTCTACCAAACTTAAGGCATTTCTTCTTATGATTGGATATAGTTATTCCCTGGTATCTTGCAATAATTTAATTTATTCACTGCTGATTTGATTTTCTAATAATGATATATATGATAATTTACTGAGTAACAATCCTTGAAAATTATTGAGTAACATAGTTATGCCATAAACTTAAGCGAGTACTGTAAGTATTTCTTTGGTGTCTTTAGCTTTATATTGAATGGTGTCAATGAAACATATCATATTGAAGTAAGGAATGAATGCTGATGCAGCCTTGGCTAAAGCAATGCCACTCTTTGTGTCCCAACTATCTTAAAGATCAGAATGGGCCATGAATTTGGAGGCAGCGTACCTAGTTAAGATGGAGCAATTGCAACCCAAAAGAGTGGCGAGACTTTAAATAGTAGTGACATCCTAGATTTTGACTGTGTCAGTTGACAAGAATTAAAAGTAGGAGGGGACAGAGTCTGGTTTGGACACTGTGTTTTATAATTGTTTAAGTAGATATCTTGCTAATTATAAATTTAATATAGTATTTTCACCCTCCAACACAATCTATAATAGATGATTATAATGAGTACATTTGGAGACATCTCAAAGAATATAGTGGGTAATCCTGAATAATGAGCAAAACCATGGCCACCACAACTCAATCTACACCATTCAGCACAATTGGCTACAAAGTAAGTGTAATTTGATTTTGCTGCACTCAAAATTGAATGAGTCAAATTAAGCATACTAAAGTCATTTTATTAGGTGATTTTATTGAAATTTTCGTTGGTTAATTCTTTGATTTTGATACTTCCAAAGACACAAGCGTAGAATTCAGCCAGTAAGGGGAATAACTTTTATTATTAACATTGATAATCTAAAATTAAAATCTCTTATTTATTATCATCTTTAAATTATCTTCGATATAGAGAGTATCGAACAGCAACAGTTAAAGCTTTACCTGCAAACTTAGTATATTGATCACAAAGAATATTTCTCATGTACAACATACTGGCATATCCAACTTTTGGATTACCTTATCTTTCAACTTTTCCATCAGAACTTACTTTAATGTATCTATTCAGTAAACTATCTAGAGGTGCTCGAAAATGATCAAATGACATATAACCATTATCCTTAACTGCAAATCCCATCTTAGGTCCTATGTCACCAATTTAAACACCTTGCATTGGTCTATGAGTATCCTTATCTCTTATTCTTATCCAGAATGGATGAACTCCGTGGTTCTTTCCATCTACTATCAATTGGGCAAATACCAAAGCGAATTCACAATATAATCCTAATTCTCCAGGCCAAACTAAATTTGTAAATTTATAAAGTACATTTGGTAGCCTCAACATTCGGAGTATGAATTATAAATTCCGATGTTGTTTTATCAAAAGTGGCTACAGTCAGTATACTTTAAACGTCAGAACCATGTCCTAATTCAGATTATGCATAACATCCGAATGCATAGAAATTTTTCAATGATGGCATCCACCTTTCAATTTGATCATCAGATGCCAAAACCTAGAAGGCGGGAATTACCATGGCAAAATGAACTGTAGATATAAAGTTTCCTTAAGGACATAATATATTTGGAGTGTAGTATTTCTGATTTGCCAGATCCAGATTCTTTACAGCTTCGATGGTTTTTTGGGCATTTAAAAGGATCTTTCATAAATAAGATAAGAACTTAATCTTGTCTGGATTTGTTGAAAAAATTGAAATCGACTTTGAACAATGGATGGTTGTCAAAGAAGGTCTATCTTTCTATAAACTTGTCGAAACCTTCCTTATCTCCATACAAGAGGTGAGACATCTCCAATTACGGAAACTGAGCTTACTTTCTCTCCTTTTCTAGCATAGTGGCTATTTTATAATAACAAATTGAGTATATGATGTAATTGTTATGTAAATGATATAAATAATACGCACGTAAAACAAACATTACATATTTCAATAATATTCATCTTCTTCAACTTCATCAAACATAGAAATCGTAGGTTATTTCCAATTCTTTTTGGTTTCCTCATCAACTAAGGTATTTATTAAATGCACCATAAAAGCTTCTAATTTGTAATATAGTGGTTACTGCGATCTCAACTCATAAGTCCACTCTTTCTAGCTTTATCATAATAATAAATACTTCTTCTTTCTTTCCAATAGCAATAGGGGAATACTTATCTGCAATCCTTGCTATGGCTTCCATAAACTCGATCCATTGCATTTAAAATAATCTATCACTTTCCAATTCATCAATTTGTGTAAGTGTAGATAAATTGAATGCCAGATTTACATCCCTTTCAACAAAGTTTTCATCATACAAATTTGCTCTATTGCAAATATCCTTGAGTTCATCCAAACACATAAAAGGTGCTTGACCAGGCTTAACCTTTCTGGATGAATTTCTCATATAAACATAATCAAAAACCCACTTATATTTCTTACATACATCATCACATTATTCTACGAAGTATCTCTCTGCTCTCCATTTATGAGAATCAAATTAGGACATGTGTGGCATACATTATTCTAACATCATTTTGGTAGCTTAGACAATGTTGATTTAGGGATTGAATCTAATGTATTTATCATCTGAGACTCTCACTAAGAATTCCATCATCTGGTATCTAACCAATGACCTCTCTGGATTTCTATAATTACCCTTGTAATCAATTGAAGATGCACTACAAGTTGCAATAAATTTAAGATCCACATCTGCCAATTTCAATTACTTCTAATCAATCAATTGGCATTGATTCACAAAATCAGATGTTGGATTTACAGACATTGAAAATACATCTCCTGTTGGATTGACACTAGCATAAAATCTATAGGTTTCTCTCATTGGTTTGTATGCTTACCATAACATATCTTTAACCTAATCCTGTTCTTCTTACTTTTTAACAAACTTAGAAATTTTGCAACATTACCAATCTCGTTCAAAACATTTACGCAATAATTCCTCAGTGTCAAATTTATACTTAGGAGCCCATATAGAGATTGGATATGTCCAAATTCTTTTTTACTTCTTTCTTTTGGCAGGAATGTAGATGGGATCTTATGTTCTTGGTAAAACATCAAAATTGGGATACCAATCTTCAATAACAGGTTTCGATTTAGGATATGATTCTATATTGGTTTCATCAATCAACACATTCACAACCTAATGATGAAGAGATTGAGAACCTAATCGGCTATGCTAACTTTAGTTCTGAATTTCTCAATGTGTTATTTTATAGGAACAGATTGACTTGCAACTTAGATAGAATTGGCAGTATAAAAGTACTCAATGTCTCCAGTTGGAATCATTCTATGAGTTCTGAAATGACCGTGTCCATCAGGTTTCCCTAAAAAGATAGGTTCATAACCTTCGTAATCGAAATGAATGAAAATTGGTTCCTCAGAACATGCTCCACTTTTATCTACCTCATAAATGTGATATCATACTTGGAATCCATTCGAATGTGGCCATCTACCAACGATCACAAATCCAACAGATATCCTTTACTTTCTCAAATCTTGATGCATGATCATAAGGTTTCGGATGTGGCATTACTCCTTTAATTCTTTATTCAATATGAATTGAGTTGAAATTCTTCATACTTGAATCAATTATTAAGAACCCCTTTGAATCTACGAATCCAAAGTTCCCCCTGAAATGAAATCCATAAATCGAGTGATTCTACTTCAGAGCCTCTGATATAATAGTGCAATCTGAGAAAGTGAAACTGTTAGCCGATAGATCCAAATGTTGAATTGATTTATTCTCAATAATGAAATCCTTCAGAGCTGGAGCTATCACATTTCCACATCCCAACAAATTGTATGAGAAATCCAAGACTTTGATATTTTTGTTAGCTTATAATGCTTTGAATATCTCTACACCACCAGAACCTTTAATTGAATTCCAACGCAAATATAATTCAAGTAGAGTATCGTTGGATTCTATCAACTATTTCAAACTTTAGTGTGCATTGTTTGTTATCTTATTTTTGGAAATGTTCAAAGTTTCAACAGAGAGATTCTTGCTCATTGCTTTACATAATTCAATAATTAGTTGATCTCCCAAATTATTGTCTTCCAAATTCAAAACCTGAATCCTTTATATTGCATTTGAATTTACTTGCATTATTGTATAGGTAATATCTTCAAAATTGAGTCCAAACCTTTTTCTCCAATCATATTTGTTTAAAATTCGATCTTCCTTGCTTATTTACTAATCAAAGGCATTAATTATGAAGCCCCATGCTCCTTAATTCGATTATGATTAAAATTGAAATCTTGAATAGCTGGTAGAATCCGAAGCCCCTCAGAAAGCATCTCCACATATTTATCTCCAAATTTTTAGTTCTGTATTGAAAGTGAATTCCTATCACCCTTGAGTTTAATCAAACCCATTTTACATGGCAAAATCCGTAATCTTTCAGATCTCTATACCAAATTAGTCTATACAGAGTCTATTTAGTAATGATAATCTATGAATACTTTAAATATTCTCGAATTAGTTCTGTTCCAAAATTCTCTTAATATTTTTAAATGTATGGTAATAGGATCTGTAAGCGTCCTCGCCAACCAACTCCTTGGGCTTACGATCCTCATAAGGTTCCTCATTATTATATGTCAGACTCGCAAAGACCTCCTTCTACACAATATATTGAATTCAATTAACATCATTAATGAGATCCTTCTCTTTGGTTGGTTATTGGATCTTGTAATATTGCCTGTTATAACGTTTGGGCATACTCACATCATCCAATCCACTCAAATACGGCAGTTACTTTGCAATTGAAATCTTCGGCAAAGCCATTGATCTCATCGAATATTTACCCTACATAGACTCAAACTCATACTAACTTCCTGCCAGTCTCACTTTCTACTGTAGTGATTTGAATATCTTCCATTTTTAAATATAATACAAACAAATAAATTAAACCAAAACTCTCAGTATCAATTACCCATCTCAAATGTTTCCTTCTCACTCTCATTAGTGTCCTCTTTGCCTACTCGTGCTCTCTCCATCACATGCTCAGTCAATGTCTTGATCAGACTCTTCCGATTAAGTTTCTTCCTCTAAATCGTTACAGATTTCGATATCCCATATTAATTTTGTTATTCATCACTCTTCTTCTCTAATCGCTTCTTCTTTTGAAACTCTCCATATTGTATTTAAACTGGTCTGACATCAGACAACTTATTTAGTAGTTGATCACCATACTTATGAAATCCAAATTAAAAAAGGCAATATGGTTTCTAGTTCCTTGTCAAATTTATCAAAATAAAAATCCTTAATCTTTAACCCATTCTCAGGATTCATAATAAATGAGAAAACTGAATTCTATATATTGAAACAATAATATTCTTACATCAACAATCACAACATCCTTAAGATCTCTCCCCAATTTAGTTAAATCCTTAGTTAATCCATTTTTCAAAGGGGTACAACTATCTCTAAATAATCTCTCCACCGCTTTTCTATCTGGATCAATATAGTCCATTACTGGCATGGCATACTCCTTTAAACTAGCTGTCCACAAAATTATGTCGTAGAATTGATTAAGTTAATCAAAGAATTACTTAATTCCAGGACGGACAATCACAAATACTTTAAAATTCTGTGATTACACCACAATCTACTTCTATTATATGGATTACATCAAGTGACAAGTCGTAAGAATCAAAGTGCTAAAATTAACTATGCACTAATGTTTCATCTAAGTCCAAAACAATTATTTTCCTTTGACCCTATATAAAATCCCAGTCTCATACAATAAATGACGATTTCGGACTATCTATTTCTGGATGATATTAATTCTCTTGCTTAGGATTCTTTTTGAAATATTCAAAGCAAGAACACAATCGAGACAAAAATGATCTTTTTTCTTAAGGTTAAGAGTAAATGATTTAATTGTTTTACATTAATATATATAAAATATTGTTATCAATTTATAAAATCAGTCAACTATCTTCTAAATGCATGTCTACTTGTTGATTTCTGTATATTGAACTCATCATCCCCTATAATTTTCACTTATATTCTCCTATTAAATGAAACCCTCTTTGGAGATACTGTCTCAATCTTTTTTGGTGAGAGAGTTATCGAACATTGCAAAGGTGCAAGTGTTACATGTTTATTGTTTCGAATAACTTATTATTATTCTACTTCAACTGACTCAAAAAAATCAAAAATATCAGAGTGTCTACTGCTATTTGACCCTTTTCTTTTCAAAATGCTCTTGGGTTGACTATTCTCCTTTGTAGATATCCCTTTATCATCCATTTTTCTTAATAGTCCTCTTTATAAATTTGGTGACTCCTAATTGAAACTAACTTTCTTATCTTTCAAACTCTAAATAACTCTTTAGGTTTAAGATTCATAGAGTTAATCACTATATCGGCCAGATATCATAGCGTCTTAAGCTCTACTAGTATTAGGAATATTTTATAGAGATCTGAATTATTAATAGAGTGGTATTTCAGGCAGAAATTGAATTCTAGATTAAGGTCGAGAATATTAATCGAGCATTTTGAAATCCGAGTGTCTATTGTACATTAATAAATAAATAAATGATTTAATAATGAACTGATTAAATTTAGAGACTAAAGATATTATTGTTCAATATTAAAATAATTCATAATTAATTAAATTCAAATATTGGTTTTACTGATTCGCTTGTTTTAGAGAGAAATAAATAAATGAATACTATTATTATATATCACACCTCTTCTAAAACATCATGCATATACATTTGAATATATAGGTAAACAAAAGGTGCACTAAAACATAGGGAATCAAGCTAAAAATATAAAAATTGAAAGTACTCTATCAAGAATACCTCCATGGCCAGGAAAGAGTGAGCCAGAATCCTTGACGTCAGCAACTCTTTTGATGAAGGATTCAATCAAATCTCCAAAAATAGATGCTATAGAAACTATCAAGGAAATTAATAGGAAATGCTTTGTATGGAGACTGTCCAAAGTGATAAAAGATAAAAAATTCAGTTGTGAGAGTATGAGTGAAGAAAAGACACTTAAGAATATACCTCCACTGACCCCCTCCCATGTTTTATTTGGTGAGATTTTTGGACAAAATAATGTTTTACCAAACATGGAACCCATAAACAACGCACCATTATCAGTTTACCAAGCAGATATCAACCAAATGAGATTCAAAGCTTATGCTTATTTAAATTGGAAAACTATCAAAACAAAATTGAGAGGATAGACAAATAGCATGAATTCTAATTATATGAGCAATAGCAATTACATACTATATCAGCAGACATTTAGAAGAATGTTAACATTTGAATTTTCTTTTCAACCATTTGACTTGGAAACTTATCTGAGATAGTCCTAAAAATAAAATATGCAGAGAGTGGTTACTTCTCATTTTATTTTAAGAAATCGCTAATTTTTAGATAATTCATCAATCTAACAAGAAGTAAGAAGAAAATGGATATGACCATATGTAAATGAACACTTAATGGATTGCTCTGCATTATGGACATAGTAATGAAATAATGAGTGGGAATTCGAATGAACTATTGATATGTAAAGTTTATAAATACCCAAGAGGATGACATGGTTTCCACATACCAACGATCTGAATCACTGCAATTATGTTTAAGTACATTCGAAATCAATTTTTAGAATTCTGCATGTAACAAATAGAGCACCACTTGAAATATTATATTATATGTATACCATTAATAAGGACGCAGAGTGCTAATTAATTTTAGATTGCGTACAAAACAATGGGACCTCCAATCAATCCTGTAACAAATCTTTGAGTCCAATTAACCATTAATTAATTAAATGTTTCATGAGTTTCTATAAGAGTTAGGCACATTGAAAAATGCAGAACTTCCCTTCCCTTTCCGTAACTAATTCAAAATAAAGGAGAATTTCATTAATCCTAATAGTAAACATTTTGAATCCATAGCCTAAAAGTTTAGAAATCATTAATATTGTTTTAGATTATTATCTGAGGAGAAGGCTGGAATCAAACGTAAGTGGGACAAACAATGCAAAATGATGTTTATCTGGATATTGGGTAAATTCTTTTAACTCAAAAACAAAAAGACCATAAATCCAAACAAGGAGGAATGGATCTAATTGGCATCTATACTTTAGATTGATGAAACTACACTTAAATAAAGATGGATTACTTTGATCAATCCAGTTTCCAAAAGTATCAATTGGGATCCAGAAGAAGATGAAATCATTAAGTCACTCATGCAGTGAGTTATTTTATATCTATAATTTAGTGAGTAAGATGAAAAACATATATGGACACACATTGCACTTGAATTATATAATCAAAATAATGGACAATTCATTAGAACACCCAAATAAGTTAGAGAAAGATGGATGAATTACTTGAACCCAAAACTTAAAAAGTATCCTCACTTATTAAATACAATAGAACGAATTGGAGCCAGTAAGAAGATCTTCAATTATTAAACACAGTTGTCAAAAATGGCAAGAGATGGTCCCTTATATCTACTTTGCTTGAAGGCAGGACAGAGAACTAAGTCAAAAATAGGTATAAATCTACAATATAATCTTATAGATTTAAAAGTTTAATTTAGAAAATATATAAGGATGAAGAAGATGACGACATTGAAGAACTCCAGGCTATTAAAGAATACTTGAATAAATAAAACATAGAAGAAGAAGAAGAACCTCAAAAAGAAGAACCTTAAGTTCGAACTCAATATTCAAGATAAGCAAAATTAAAATTTAATCTAAGAGAGAAAAAAAAAGAATTAATTCAAGAACCTCCCCTAATAATGCCTCAAGAACCCTAAACCAAAAGGAGGAAAATAAGTTCGCAAATAAAGGACTTCCTAAACATAGGCCCAGATCCTATAGTTTAACATTCATAATAAGTAAAATAAACTCAAAAGACAAAACATAAGGAAAATAAATCTAAATAACAAATATAACAATAATAATAATAATAATAATAATAATAATAATAATAACAATAACAATAATATAATACAAGATAACAATTAGAATAAATTATCAATAGATAAAATGATGATTAATTATTGGATCAATCATCTTTCCAACTGGATTAATAACAAAAAATCCTTTCCCAATAATATTAAATACCCTAATTATCATTAAATGAAAACAATAAGAGAGACTTATCTACTCCAAACACCTTATCTTATTATTTTTAACCATAACTCCAATAATTGGAAGAATTGAAGAATGATCAATTCAGATTAAAATAAGTATAAATGTCTCCTGTTCAATAATAATAAAACCAAGTACTTTATTAAGGTTTTCGACCATATCAAGAGGAAATTTCTTAATAAATCCAATAGACTCCTGTCTAAATGTTAATGGGACAATATTTTAAGAATTATCCTTAAAATTATAATCTTATTTCCCCATTTTAATAAATCAACTAAACACCTATGGTTTACACACCTGCACAGCCAATGTACATGTACAATAACAACAACAATGCCTATATGGGAATGTCACCATTACTCATTCGAAGTCCATACCAAGACATGTCACCAAGTGTTTAACCTTAATAAGCACCTCTATAGTAGTAGTAGTAGTAGAATCTATGGCAAACTCCACAATAGAATACTATTGAATAGATGCAATGTGATTAGGTAAAGCAATAATAGTTTTTACATATACATAGTAATTAGAATACAAATTTGGAATTTCTAAAATCTAACAATTTACTTAATACATGGATTTAAAAAAGAACTAATGAAAAATAAAATCAACCATTTTAAGACTCATTACCATAACTTGATTAATGATATATTTAATGTATTAAATTAAATTATATATATCATTAAACTTATTTTTCAAAATAAGTAAATTTCTAATCAGATTACTTAATTTTTACTCTTAATAATGTTATTGATAGTTTTTAATAAAAAATTTAAATCATAAATACAGAATCCTTACGAAATTTCTATCAAAAAAGCATCTATCTTACTATTCAAAACATCAAATTCTTCTAAAAAAAATAAAGTTAAAATACTGATTGCTTAAAAAATTTATTTATTTTTAATTAGAAAGAAATTATTAAAATCTATGATTATAATTTTAAGGAGAAAAGTGAATATAAATTATAAAATTAATGAAGCAATTTTATAGATAATTATAAAAATTCATTATCTTTTTCTAATCCGTTTACTTTATTTTTCCATTCTATTCATGAATTTATTTATTGTGTCTTATTCATCTTTTGTTAAGTATGTACCAGTTAAATTGAATTCTTTAGATAATTAGTTATACAACTCCATTTCTTATTCTTATTATTTTTTAGTCACATTTCGGATAATTTCTTTTCTATCAAGACTATAATCGTATATTTTCTTTGATTCTTATTTGGATAAGGTGTTATAGGCCTCGCTAATCTCTTAGAATTAGATGATTGCTTAGGTCCTATTATTCATATTCTTGTCCTAACTTAGTTTAAACAATATTATCATACTGGATGGCATTCTAATGCCAATTTATGGTAAGCTTCCTTTATTTGCTCTTATTTGGCATCTCTTTCTAGCCCCAAAGTATTATAATGATTTTTCATTAATTTATCATAAATTAATCATCAAATCAAATCAGAATTTATTACTTTATCGAGATTTTAGAAATTCTGGAACTTTTTTATAAATTTAATTTAAAATAATTATTTTTATTAAGAAAAATTCATAATCAATCTTCTGTTGGATTGCCTAGTATTTAGAAGATTTTCCTCTGAAATCTCCAGCTTAGCCTCTTAATTTAATATATTCTGCAAAATCTCTTTGATTAGCAGAGAAATGCACCTCTTATTTAAGAGACTAACTATCTTTTTTATTCTCTAAAGTCATATGAATAAATACATTACCTCTTTTCTCTAGTTAATTAATAATTGTATGCTTTTTCTCTACATTCTCCTCCTCTATCTTCGTTTTATTTATTTTTGGCAGCCAATCTGGCATTGTAATCAGCTAAGTCTCTCTTTTAATCTTGGATTCTATTATCTAAACCTATAATGGCATCAGTTAATTAAGCAAGAGCATTATTTAAGCTGGGTAAATCCTTGTCAAAGTTACCCTTTTCCAACACAAACATATTCAAACTCTTTTGCTCAGCCTTTGTTTCCAAAGCCTTACTATCTTCAATTTGTTTCAACATGAAATCGCAAAGATTGATAATTCTGCTTACTGTAGGTGAATTTTAGAAATCTTCTGTTTAAGCAGCACTTGCAATTTCAGCTAACACATTAAACATTTTAGAATAGCTCTTCTTGATTTCAAATTTCTCTAATTTTTTAATAGATATATATACTTGCTTATTCAGATGCATTAATAAAGTAATCTCTAACTTTTTGCCATTATGATTCGTTATTCATTTATAAGAAAATTTAACTTTTATCAGAAAACATTCTTCTAACTGTTTCAATGACAAATGTTGCATAATCATGTTCTTCAACTTTCTTATAGAATTCAGCTTTTTCAGTTTCTCTCTTCTTTACTAAATCAGCTAATTTCTTTTCTGTTTCTACCTTCCAAACATTCTTAGCATCAGCTTATCCTTATTTGTATGATCTTAATGGTTCTAATTCATCCAAAATTGATTGTATTTCAACAGTTCTTCTCTCTAAATTAACACTTTCTTATTATAAGACTTTGATGTCTTCTGTGCATTAATTTTAATATTGATTGTTAGCTTTGTCATCTTCTTTTATTCATCTTCAATTGAGATTTCGAGGCTTCTCATAATCTCAATAAAACGAGCAATAGGTTCACCTGTACTCATTTGCATTTATAATGTATCAATCAAAGTTCTACCGAAGTCATCTTCATCAAATGCTCTGAATTGATCAAATTTGTCAGCTATAACTAATGCTATTAAACAAAGCACCAAAATTTTCATTTATATATTAATTAAAAACTCATTTGATTATGGCGTGCAAACTACTTATAAACCAAAGTAAATATTAACATATATAAACTATATAATAATTTTATCTATTTTAGGTAAACAATAATTATAATAATCCTTAAAGGAAAATCTTGTATTTCTAAGGATATTATTATTATTATGTATACTTATACATTTATTTTAAAAGTCGATAATGGTTATGATTTATTTGATTCAAAATTGTTTTGGAAATATCATAGTAGTGTTGAGATCAAATGTGAGCTAATAAAATCAAGAAAAAACAATCTGGCGTTATTTGAAATATAAGCAAAAGAAGGTTCAATTGAATATTATTATGAGAATTCTAAAAATGAAAAAGAAAAGTCCAAAAGAAGTATTAATTTACATAAGGACATGAAAATTGAATAAGATCGGTTTAATTGTCTTAATTTAATGGTGAAATGTTAAATTAACTCATCAGATTTAACTCAAAATACATAGTTGAATTATATAGGAAAAGAAACACGTAAACCGATAGCTTTTCAAGAATAGAACCTAATTTATATACCTTTTTAGTCTGAAGAAAAAGCTCAATTTTTAATTGAACATTAAGATTGTAAGGATAAGTTAACAGAAATTGAATTTCATGTTCTATTATAAAACCTCGTTATCTAAGAGAACTTATTGTAATTGAATATCCATCAGGATGATTTAGAAAATCTAATACGGAAATAATGTAAAAAATTCAAATAATAAAATGGAAATGTGGAATTCAATATAGATAGTAGGAATCAAAAAAGATTTGATGAAGTTCTTTTTGATAAATATTAAGAATGTGTAAGTGATACTAAGTAGCAATCATTAAGAATTGAAAATTTTTCGAGAGAAACCTAAAAAAAGTTCTCTGATTAGATCAAAAAGATTGATAATTTTTTTTCAGATGAAAAGTAAGACACTTCGGATTCAGTAATGTAATCAAATATATAGCAATCATAAATTATTCCTTCTAAAAGATATAAAGAGATGAATTAAAAATTTCGCTCAACTGAAGGAGGATTTAATAAAGGAACCGAAAAAATGAAGTAAGAACATGAACAAAAATTGAGAGAATAGAAAATTGGATAAGAACTAAATCATATTTCTGAAGAAAAAAGGCAGAATGACATGATGGAAATGAATATTGAACAAACAACTTAATTGTATGTAAGCATCTTCGATAATTCAATCGAAAATAATGATAAGCAAGAATTAATAAAAATAATTAAATAAAAAGATGAGATGATCAATCAATTAACAACATAAATAAACGATTTAAGAGTAGAAGTGTAAGACTTTGCAATTAAATTGAATCAGGAAAAGGAAAATGCTAATGATTTAGCAAAAAGATATTAGATTAAATTTATTTAGAATTGTAGAGATCGAAGATTTTCCCCTTCAAAGAAAAATCAAATTAACTCAAAATCATAGTAATGGTTATAAAAAGATTTAATGGAGCTTAATCCTACTATAGTATTTGCTAAGTAGAATTACTGCGAAGACTTAAATTAAAATAGTTCAACATTTTATCTAAATTCAACTTTAACAGGATTTAGATAGCACAATAATACAAAATCAAAAACTTTAAAAACGGAAGCTTCAAGAAGAAATCAATGAAATAATTTTAAAATAATAATCAATTTTCAACTTATTAAAATAATTTAATTAATTTTGCCTCACCGAATTTGCTGAGAATAAAGAGTTCTCAGAATATTCATTTTTAAGAATGCCTTCTGTTTCATTATGTAAGTAGAGTTAAATTAATATTGCACATGTGAGCGAAAATGAAAGCTCTAATAAATAAAAAGGAAGATTCATCTATAATGATATTTTTTAGCATAGATATATTATAATAGAATTAAATTTTAAAAGATGTATAAAGCTTAAGAGAATGAAAAAATATACATTAATAAGACAAAGATCGAAAGGAATAATAATTCACTAACAGCAATAAGCTTAATATCAAAAAATGAAAATTCTTTGTTTTAGAGTTGAATATAATATATTGATTCGATTTTATGATATCAATGGGTGATAAAATAAAACAATCAGTAATTGTGAAATGAAAAAATGGCTTTTAATTTCTAACCATAGTAAGTGACTCAAATAATCTTCCATCTCTGAGTAAAAATATAAAAATTATGGATATATAAAAACATAACAATTTTGAGTATAAAATATAAGGGATATGAGTTTAATAAATAGCAAAATATTAAAGTAATAATTGATATTATTTATCATATTTTGTTTACTTGAATATTATTTAGTAAAATGCTAATACTACCATCATAGTTAAGATTCGAAAAAGTTGACTTTAATTCCAAAAAATCAATGCCTCGTTTGCAGTTTTTATCAAAATGTTGGAAAATCAAACTTGCATCCTCATTGTTGATGTTTGAATTGAAAGTTCTAAAATTATTGATTCAAGTATAGTTAGTTACCTCAGAAATTTTACGAATTCGACTAGATCGAGCACTTAATTAAGATCACTATCAAATAATTTAAACAATTTAACTAAGCTTTTTTCTTATTCCTCTATTGTATCTTTAATTTTCTTTAATTCTATTTTCCATTTCGGCAACTAAATTAATGGACTGTTTTTCATATAATATATCAGTTTTAATTTCTTGTAAATTTAATCTAACTCTGTGTAATTAGAGACAACTTTAAAACTCTAAGAAATTGATTTAATTAGTCATCAATCATATTAAAAACGAATTCTATTTGTTATCTGTTTAGTTTAAGATCGATTTCATTTAATAAAAGTTGCAATTCTTTAAAAGTCAGAAATTAATTATCTTATATTTATAGCTATTTACAAGTTTCTAATAAATCAATTTATTTGATAACAATTACTTATCTTAGTTCATTAATAATGAATTCTGCCTATGCCTCCATACTTATAACTTTATCTACATGTTCCTTAAATTTTGGGTAAATTAACTAATGCCTGTATAGATCATTCCAGCCAATACGTTTATCCTCATTTACTTCAAAACATTTCTATAAAAAGTCTTTAGCTTCTGCTGAAATATAAGATGGAAATTAGACTGGGTATTTCAGTATAGTATTAAGTAATTAGGGTACAGAGTTCGCAACCTATGGAGTTCTTCTGAATATGCATCCGATTGCCATATGTCACATTTACTAGTATATGTTTCTCGCATTAAGATTTAGGGTGCCATGTAAAGAGGAGTTCCAACAACAGATTCCATTATATCTCTTTAAAAATTAGATTTACATTTTGCAAAACTGAAATCTAAATTAAAATTATAAATTACCTCCTAATTTAAAAGTATTTTAGTGGACAAGAATATTGGCAGGTTTCAAATCACGATGGATAATACCTTATTATAATAATTCAATAAAGCCATTGAGAATATCTGTTAAAATTCTTATTGCTCCAACCTCTGTTAAATATTACTATTTTTTTAGATAGATTCCTAGATCTCTATCTTTACAATATTCTTGAATTATGTAATAATTATTTTATGATTCCAGAGTGTAATAAACGAACAACATTATTTCCCTTAAGTTTTTGCATCACTGATAACTCTCTTCTTAAGCCTTCCATGAGATATTTTTCCTAGAGAATATTTTATTTTGGAAGCATTTTTATAGCAACTTATCTATTAATTGTAGTACAATGTCATTTCGATTTAATTATTGATTAATAAATATATAAAAATTTCGTTTTTTTAAGTATTATTTAATGTATCAATTCCTTTATATACCTTTGCGAACCACCCTGCTCCAAGAAGATCAGTCGTTAAGAATTTATATTTATCAACAGTTTTTTCATTCATTATTAAATATAATGTAGATAAATCATTTAGTTTCTGGCCATTTTTCATTGATTCTATCTGCAGCCCTGGTTGTATTGAAATGTTCAAGGGCATCTTTAATTCCTTCTGCTCCTTATAATAGGACTCCTCTTGGGATACGTTTATCAGGACATAGTCCTTTTAATTTGATGATATTTTCTCTTTCCTACCTGAGTACTGTTTGCATTTTCATCATTTTGGAAACAAAAGAAATTTTTGATTTGGTTATATCAATTTATTTTTTGGTTATTTGCTGTAATTTTCCTAAGGGACGAGTATTAGATTAGGATTATCCCAATGTTTATTATTTGATAATAACTTAAGCATTTGGTATTTCATCATCTGAATCGTCTATTTTTTCACCAGGTCTTGGTTATAAGACATAATTGAGCATTTCAGTTACTTTTTCTGTAACAAATGGTATAGACCATGAAAAAATGTCTAAAAAGTGAGGTAGCAAATACGGATGCTAAGAGTAACCAAATTATGATATGTTAAGTGTGCAATTCTCGAACTTTAAAATGGCTGCCTTATTATTATATACATCACAATAATTAGGAGCACTAAATATAGTCAATACTTAAGGAAATTCTTTTATTTTTTCATTGTATTTATATAATCTATATCCTTCTAATTAAGCTTCATGAGCCCTAATTAAGCAAATAAACTTATTATTGTCTAATAACGGTTGAACTGCCTTTTCTCCAAAAAACCAACTACAACCTCTAGTATCATTACCTCTATAATGAATTTCATCATAAAGTTCTTCATTTTCCACTGGGTCAGCCCATAATATATCACAAAATAATCCCGCCTTTGGTGGTTCTCTGAATCTATCTATTCTCTCAACGTCTGCTAACTAATTATATATTATTCTATTCATACCGATTTTAGATCTGGAGATATGCCACCATGTAAACATAAGAATTTATTATTTATTAGGGCTACCAAAGGCATATTGTCAAAAGATGCCATGATAGCTTCATAGACTTCTTGGTCATATTTATATAGACATTCATCTCTAAAGTTGAAGTAGCTTGTTAATTATTTGCATTCGTGATTTCCTCTAAGGAGAAACACTCTTGTAGGGTAGTAGATTTTCATAGCATATAATAACACCACTACTTCGATTGAAAAGGAACCTCTGTCAACATAATCACCTAAAAAAACATGTAAATACACAAATAATCATACATATTTGCCTTATTCTGGATCACCTCCCATTTCTAGTACTTTGATTAAATCATAGTATTATCCATGAATATCCCCCACGACAGTTAGAGGATCATCGACATATATAACATTACCTTCATTTTTTAAATGGTAATTGCACATATCAACTAATTTCATTAACTAGCTTTTTGTTATTCTTCCTTCCTTGAAAAGATGTTCCTTCAAAAGTTTCCAGTTAGGCTTCTCATCTATGAAAAGTAACTCTTCGCTTAATGGTCTATGAGGTGGAGTGGGTATCGTATCTACTTGTCTATCCCCTTTAGGGTCTTATAATAAATCCATTAATTATTTTAACTAAATTATGGAGGTGAAAAATTACAATGGATGGAGATTCTGTCCCAGATGCAAGAATCTACTCAAACCATTTCACGATGGGGCAGATACTGAGATATTACAATTCAAATGTAGAAATCAGGATTGTGGTGACAATGGAATCATTGAAGTCAAAATTGATAAGACATTAAATAAAGATGCTCTTTTGCTTAAAAAGGATTATCAAGCAGCTAAAGCAATTGATATCACTGATAATACTCTTATTCTTGATCCATCAATGCCAAGAAAAAGGGTAATTTGCAACAAGTAATAAATCTTGTTTATTCAGATGCAATTATGATGAGGCAATCTATTTTCTCAAAACAGATAAGAATGAGAAGGAAATAATTATTCAATACATTTGTGCCAATAAAACTCCAATCTGTGGAAATAAGTGGACGTAACATTATCTATTAATTATATTTAGTTAAAAAGAAATGAATGAACCCAAATTAACTTTATAATGAAAAATTCACATTAAAATTTATATTTATTTTATCCGTTAATTATTTAGCAAATGAATACAGCTCTTAGATAACCATTATCTTAGCATAACTCTATTGATAAAAGAGAAAATAAACAAGATCATAAATAAGATTTGAAATCATTTTCATTTATTAAATCAAATACACTAAATGTATAATCATAATAATAATCATAACAATAGATATTATTATAATCATAATAACAATAATAATAGTAATAACAACAATAACAATAGTAATTACTATAATAATCATAACAATAATCATAATAAATTAATAAAATTTCATCTTAAACTACTATTACTACTACTAATAATAACAAAATCAATAACTAAATTTAAGATTTAGAAACATTCATTAAAGAAATCGATAGGTTATAATTAGAAAATTAATAATTAAAAGTCAAAGCCTAAGAACCTTAAATAATTATTTAATCAGATCCTAAAGTAGCCATTGAGAATCAAGATCTTAAAGTATAAATAATTATAAATATTCAATAGAATCATGTAGATTATTAAAAATAAAAATACGAATTATAAGAAAAGACACACAATGAAACTGTTAGATCAATGGATTTGAATTGGAAACAAGATGTCGTAACTATGAAATTTTAGATGGAACAATAAGAATCAAAGCATAGATAAGCACTTAAATAGGAATAAGCTTAAGCAAAATAAGAAATTGCTAGACTTTAATAAAATTTAACATAAATATCAAATTCTGAAAATAAAAATCAAAATTTAGTATCAGTATTGGTAAATTATTAAATTTAATAAAATAGGAAAGGCAATTAATAAATCTAAAAAAAAGTAATAATGTACTAGAAGAGAAATTATCCTAAGCAATTTAATAATTTGATTCTTAATCCAAAGATCAAGAATTCACTTTATTGAAATAACAAGCAATAATTACTTCATAAGAGTAACATGTTTGTGATTTGAAAAATAAGTTAGGTTGTTAAAGGGAATAAAATTAAGGTCTTACCAATGAATTAGAAAAAGTAAAGGAAGTAGCAGAGTAGAAAAAGTAAAGTGAGAATATGTTAACAAATAAAATTAAATAAGTAGAAAGTGATTTTGATCATTTGTAATCGACATATCAATAACATAAAGAATAATTATAATAGAAAATAAATGAATTAACTGGTATGTATGGTAAATCATAAGAACAAATTTGTTTATTGTAATAGTAATAGATTAGAGAACAGAATTAAATAAAGAGATTGGAAGTGAATTTGGAAAATGAAGAAAAGAATCATGAATAAGAAGTAAAAGATATTCATAAATCAAAATAATTGTTGATTGAATTTTTGGAATAAGAATTGTTAGGATATAAGGAATAGAATCAATAATTAAAGTTGGTTAATTAAAAGTTAGAAAATCAGCATTAGGAATAATAATAATATTTTGGTAAGAATTTTCGAGAATTGGAATGCAAAACCAATATGCTAGGGGAGGAGTGTAGTAGATTGAATAACATAATAAAATAGAAGGATGATTAAATTTATAGATTATAAATTCAACTAAAAGATTTGATGAGTTTGAATGGAAAGAATCAAAATTAAGAAGAATTATTAGAATCATTATAAATAAAAGAAGAAGAGATAAACATATTAAAACAGTAGAATGAAAGTTTGATAAATGATTTATCAAGATAAACAGACAATTACAGAAATTTGGCTAGCCAACATAAGCAATTACAGAAATCTGCAGAGGATACTAAATTTAATAGTATAACAATGAATGAGTTCATGAGTAAGTGTGAACTTTAAGAAAGAGAAGTAGAACGATTAAGAATGAAGGTTTTGGAGAAATCATAATTGTTGGAGAAGGTTCAGAAAGAGAATTTAGAGTATTAAGCTAAATTGAAATCAAAGTTAAGATGAAAATTATTACTATATATATTTATATAAATAAAATATAGTCAGATTATAAAACAGCATTTGTTTTCGTTAGGTTGAGTTTCATTCTCAATTTTATATATCTTCCAATTCTCGACTGTGTAGATTTAATGAATATCATGTTTAAAAGTAACTGCTTGGTTGCCTTTGCCTCTTATGATGGGTTGTGATTACCTGTCATAACGAGTTTTGGAAGGTTATTACTTATCCTTTACTAAGATGGTCTAAGGATAAGTGCCTTTGTAAAATGGATTATTGGGAGTAATTTTATGATTGGACTACATATATATTAATGTAGTAGTGATAACGAACTAAAAATAACAAATTAAATTCAAAAAAAAAGTAAAATTTAAAATGTTAATTGAACAAGGTGAACCAAAGATCATTGTGGCAGTTCGTAAAAGACCATTGAATAAGAAAGAAATCAATAAAGGTGATATTGATATTGTCGATGTCTTAAATTAATAGAGCTAAGTGATTGTCAAAGAATAAAGGTATTCCCTAATTATTCATCACTTTTAGAACCAAAGTTGATCTCACCAAATATATTGAAGAGCATTAATTTAATTTTGATGCAGCCTTCGATGAAAATACAACTAATGAATAATTATATTTGCAAATTGTGCGACCCATCGTTGAAGCAGCATTTAATAAGGCAAAAGTAACATGTTTTGCTTATGGATAAACAGGCTCTGGCAAAACTTACACCATGTTAGGTGATTATCAGGAAAGAGTTCCAGGATTATATTTATTGGCAGCATATGACATTTTTTGTTTACTAAATAATGAATGTTATGGCCATCTTCAAATTGCAATCTCTTTTTATGAAATCTATTGTGGCAAGTTATTCGATCTCCTAAATGAAAGATCACTACTTCAACCAAGAGAAGACGCCAAAGGTAATGTCAATATAGTTGGTTTACAAGAAAGAAAAGTACAATCAGTAGAATAACTTATGAAAGTTATTGAACAAGGAAGTTCCTCTAGAATTACAGCATCTAACTCATCTAATAGTGATTCCTCTAGATCTCATGCCATTTTATAAATCACACTAAAAGATGGCTCTAGATCTCATGGCAAATTGTCATTCATTGATTTGGCAGGAAGTGAAAGAGGAGCTGATGTAAGTGATACTAACAAATAAACAAGATTTGATGGTGCTGAAATTAATAAGTCTTTATTAGCATTAAAAGAATGCATAAGAGCCTTAGATTTGAATAAAAATCATACTCCTTTCAGAGGATCCAAGTTAACCTTAGTTTTAAAGGATTCCTTCATTGGGAATTGTAAAACAGTAATGATTGGTAATTTCTCACCGTCCAATTCATCCTCTGAACATACTCTAAATACATTAAGATATGCTGATAGAGTAAAAGAACTTAAAAAACCAAATGATAAAGAATTGAAAGATTAAGTTACCTCATTAGATAAATTGGCAAGAGAATTAATGTTGCCGAGGTAATAATAACAAGTTAAGATGTAGAAATAGTCTTAAAATTCATAATAATTATAATAATAGCCATAATTCAATCCATTTAAAAACAATCCTTTACAAAATTATTAAAATTAAAATCTATTTTAATAACCTTAATTATTAAATTTACAAAACTCTGAGCCTAGGATGATGATATCCTAATAATCCCAATAGCATACTTATTCGTTTTAAAATTTTGTGTAACCTCCTCCTCCACAACCATAACCAGTTCTACCTTTATAATAATAGTAATAACCATAATTCAAAATCAATGATTCAAAAAATAAATAGTCATTAAGTAAACCGGCTACTTAAATGTAAGAGCCAAGATCTTATTTGAATGAGAATCTATTTCCAGGATAAATAGAAAGAAAATCAAGTATATTAATTATTTATGTAGAAATTAATTAATCAACTGAAGATGATTTAATGAAAATAGGTTAAAAACATGAATAACTAATAAGCGTAATACTTGAAGAAGAAGAAAACTTAATTTCCAGTCACAGATCTCACATTGATTAGATGGTGGAATTAGTGAAATAAGTATATAACAATATCAATAATTAGGAAATGATGTTATTACATAATATAGACAAACCTGGATCAGATGTAGATGAATATGTAAAAGGACTTGAATAAATATTGTTGACGAAGATAGACGAAATTTAAACGTAATTAAAATTTCTATGAATTTAGATTATAATCGCAATTATCAACGTTTAAATCTCATTTGTCTGAAGAGGAAACTCTGTAGAAGCAATTCTATTAATAAAGATAATAAATATCTTAATAAGAAATAGAGTGTTCCGATATTTTTAAGTGATAATTAATAATAAAATTTATTATATCATTTTTTATTAATGCATTTGATAAGTATTTTTGGAATGTTTCTTCTCGTGTTTGCATTCAAATCCAAATTATTAGATTCAGTTTCTTCAAAAGCTCGACTTGGAATTATTATATTATTTTTTTGTAGTTCTTCCAAAATTTGGTTCATCTAATTTTAATTCTTTTTTTTATTGTCTTTATTTTTTGCATCTTTTTCCTCTTATTTTTATTCCTTTTTCGGTATCTTTTTACCTGTCTTTGGATCCACTGTAAAATCAGGTTCAAGCGCCTATTTTCATCTTCCTCAGTTTAAAACCTTTTCTCAATATCAAATACACTCATGATAATAAATATTGGTTATTAAATTGAAGTTTGTTGTAATTATAATTCTTCTTTAATATCAGTTCACTACTTCATCTTTGTCGTGCAATTCAAATTTTAATGGTTTAGTTTCAAAATATTTTGCAATATCTATTTTTCCCAATAAAAAATGTGTGTAGAATTAAAGTATATGTCTTACCTTTAAACTTGCATATTAGTATTAATCATGGTTCCAATATAAAATATATAGAAGAAGTAACATAATTCGTATGATTTTTCTGCTTAAATTTGAAGATTTTCACATGATACTATTTTTACTTAAAATGGATTAAGCTTAGCCCTTAATTGCTCATGCAATGATGGTTTATCACTTTAAATATTGAATTTATAATCTGGTATCTCCATAATTCTCAATTTAGAGAAGGCAAACTTGAATTAATTAGTAATATAAGCATGGTGTATTCAGAATTAAACTATAATCAAGTTAAATTTTACAAAATACATGAATCAATGAATCTTATTTAATAAAAAAAACTCTTTCATAAGAATAAGTTATAATTGGAGGATCATCAGGATTTTATTATTGTTCACTTGAAACCGAATTCCATTAATCAATAAATCACTCTGAAGAATTAGCATTTAACCATTCATACATAATTAAAATATTTTAGATATTTTAAGTAACTACTTGGAATCGTATTTTAAATTATATTATTAAAAAGAAATATAAAATACAATTTTATTAAAATTACAACACAAATTTAATTCATCCTAATTTATGAGATGAAATAATCTTAACATTACAATATTTTTTAAGATACCAGAGCCATCTTCTTGGTGATTGATTGATATTTTGAGAAAAATTAACTCAATAAAGTTAGCTTAATTAAAAAACTCTCTAGATAAGTAATAATGTAATCTTGAATTTGGTACATTCAATTAGGAATACAAAAGCCCTTTAAGAATAATTGAGAGTCCATCCTTAAAAATGAATCAAGATTAGAAGAGATGAAATTACAACTAAATGATCATTATGATAAATATGAAGAAGAAAAGAAATAGAAGATAAGATATACATAAAATATAAGAAAAGAATATGTAGAATCTTATGAAATAACTAAATAATAATAATAAATAAAGAATCAATGTAATTCCAAATCTAAAAAGAAATGCGAAACATATATAATAACAACATAATAAATGATTATGTATAATTCAATTATGTTTTGTCGTTACCCATTCCAATTATATATTTAAGGTAGTGTCTTCTGGATTAGCATTAGGAACAATGGTTTATGCATAAAAACCTTCAACTTAGTTTTTATTAGGAAATTCAAATCTGCCAACACCATTAGGTTTATTGTGTTAAAATGGTCCTCTATAAACTGTTCCATTTGGATAAATCCATTCTCCATCAACAATCTCATTATTATTCCAAGTACCTCTGAACTATTCGATTATATGATATTATTAATACTCTCATGGCAGTGTCATTAAAAACATAGGTACCTTACCCATGCTTCTTTCCTCTTGACCATTGTCCAGAATACACATCTTTATTAGCGTATGTATATAATCCTTCTCCATGTCTTAGCCCTTGTTCCCACTATCCATAATATTCCCCTTTGTTATTACTATAAATCAATCTTCCAATCCCATGCTTTAAATTCTCTTAAAATTCTCCTTCGTATTTATCCCCTGAAGGATTATAAGTATATTTTCCTTTTCCTTCTCTAACTCCATTCACATATTAACCTTCATAAATATCACCATTTGGGTAACTGTTGTGATATAAGACATAATTACGTGGCTGTTCCTTTGCCTGTATAATCCTTAGTTGAATTCGTGGCACTACCACCTTCTGGGGTAAATGAAAATGGTTATTGTTCTTCTGCCATCTTTTCTTTGATATTTGATAAAAATATTAATAATTCTAAATTAATTAATAATTAGACAATTCATCAAGAATTTATTGTTAATTTTGTTTCTTTAGAAGATGATACTAAATGCCTTTGATATAAATATAATTAATATCATTCATTCAGCTATTTCCACTAAAAATATTAATGATAGCTGAAAAAATTGTGTTATTTTTGCATTTACATTTCTTATATTCCCCTCCACAATTATAACAAAATTGAAAATTGCATTTACATTTCATATGAGCGCAACCTTAACTCTTTTCAATCCAAACTTTACATTTTGGACATTACTTATAATTCGCTTCTTTAACAAAGCTCTAGAATTTGACTTCATTAGATTATGTCATCTATTTATCTCTATATTCCTAACATGAAAATCCATTATGATATTCAATTTTACATTCCAAGCAATACGATTTGTTGCAAACAGGACAATCAAAATGTGGATTATCATCTGGAATAAAAAAATAAGCGCAATCAGCTGTTGGGCAGCATGAATACTTTTCATAAATAAATTTATACTTCTTTTTTACTACTAAAATAAGCCCTTAAAGATAAAATTTAAAACTCCTGTAATTCAGGTTTATCTAAGACTGTTTCTATATCTCGTAAAATTATAATTTTTTTGCATCCTGAAGGACACTATATTGGAATTGATTTTTATTATAATTAAGTAATACAATGCAATTTTAAACAACTCTGATGAAAATAATGAGAACAATGCAATAACACCATCTCTATAAATGGAATATTTTATAAGCAGATTTTGCATTCGATCTCTTGATAGTTTAGTTGATTTTCTAATTTCTGTTATTCCATCTTCAGCCTATAATTATCTTATATTTGTTCTATAGTGTATTCAAGACTTTTTTATTGATCTTCATTCTCTTATCGAAACTTTTAATAAATTGCAAAAACTGTTTATTATTGTACATTATTTAGGGGTTTAGCCGATGGTTTCTGTATTATTTCCCATTAAGATTCAAATATTACATTCTAGTTATTTTCCAATTTTTCAAAAATTTCATTTTAGACTTCTTTGTAGAAGATTAATAACTAGATCTAATATTTAAGCATTACATTCTTAGTTTCTTTCAAGGAATCGCTATATAACTTATATAGCCTTTATTAATTGATGATCTCACAATCTTTGAATGCTTTCAAACTCACAAGGATATCTAAATGCTATTGAAATATATTTTTTTCTAAACTCCCACCTTACAAAAATCCCAATACAAATGAGTCTAAAACCAAATTTAATTATGATTGGTCAACCAAAGTAAATTTTTGTGTCAATTTTGAAGTAATTTGTTTGGCCACATCTCTTATTTCAAGCATTTTAAATTAAATTATAAACCCATATTTTGAAGAAAATTAGATTTATATTTAAGGCCTTTAATTTATATGATTTAGATCAAGACTGTACTCGTACAGGATCATGTCTATAGTAGTTACTTACACTTTGCTTCAGCAAATGTAGGCAACCAACCAAGCTAGAATGATTCAGCATGCACTCTGGTCTATAATTAGGAATATGAATCCATTCTATTTCATGGAATGCGATTCGCGATGCCCATCCATATTCGTAGTGTTCTAGTATTCTTTATGGGTATTAGAACCTTCAAATATGTGAAGACTTGAGTGTGTCTGACTAGCTCCTTAAAATAAACAAACGAAATTTATATATATATCTATTTCAATACTTACTCATATAAATAATATTCATTTATATATCGTTAAGGTTAATCAAACATCAAAACCTGTTGAAACTACTTTATTAGTTTGCAGGGCGTTCACATATTCTTTTTTACATATGTCAAACTAAAAATGAAATTATAAACCTTATATTCCATATTAATCATTCAAAATAGTTTCTGTATAAGTTGCTTTCATTATGATTTTATTGTTATCAGAGGTTTATTGGAAGTTTTAATGATTAATTAACAATTCAAAAATTAAATTATAAGGTAATTACTTTGTTATAATGATTCTCAAAATCATCATATTTAAGTGGTGATTAGCATAAATATAGTTATTCAAGTAATGGAACTCTTTGATAATATTTTTGAAACTTGGTGCTTTATATCACATTTTTGATTTTAACTAATTTATTAAATATGTTTTTTTTAATTGTTCAATGCTCTAATTATATTTGTTAAACTTCCTGTTGCAATTATTAGAATCAATGTACCTTGGATGATTGTACTCATTTTGACTATGTTAATATCAAATTTAAATTTAGAAAGACACGATTAATTACTTTACATTATCAATTCAATTAGCCTTTCTAATAATATCCATAGCAATCCTTTTTTTATCAAATACTCCTAGTTATTAAGTTGTCCAACAAAGAGAACCATAATGAATTTAATTAATATGTTAAATCAATTATGAGATATTCAAATCAACCTTGTTATTTCTTTAACAGTGCTCTCAAACAATATTATTATTTTTAAATGGAAATTTGATATTCCTTCCTTTTTTCCAAATATTCTTGAATATCTTTTTCGAATTTTTTTTCATCCTCTTCATTAATCTTATTTTCATACTTCTCCTCTCTAATCTATTCTAACATTTATATTTTTTTTTCCAATATTCTTGCTAATTCTTTATCAGAAAATTTCTATAAATTTTAATTCATATTTACTTTAGATAATGACAAGCAAAAATCATCCAATGGAAATCCATCTACTTGGGTCTCCGAAAATTTTTTCAACTCCTCTTCTATTTCTGACTTTAACTTTAAATTCTCACACATAATCTATTGAATAGATTCTAATAATATGATATTCAAAACAACCTCCTATTGAATTATTTTTTTGCGCTTTCTCCACAATTAATTAAGAAATTTTTTCGTAGTCTTCTAATTACCTGATAAATGGATTTAAATCATGCTGTAAGGTTTCTAAAAATTAATTGGCAGGACAATTCACAAATATTGATCTCAGATTAACATTTTAAATTGCTTTTATATGTTTTTAAAATGAATCATCCGAATTATTTTTTGAAAGTTCAACCATGTAATAATCATCCTCAGGAGCCTGGGTTGCAAATTAATTCACTATCTCTTTCATCATTTGCAAAAGCGAGGCATTCCACTTAACCTTTATCTCCCAAGTATCTGGATCAATCAATCTATGGCTCATTTATTTCGTAGCAAATATTTATGGATGACTTTTAGGAAAGTCGTAATGAAAAACTCTATATTAGTAAAGTTTTTACATCATCACTGCGATTTATGAACTTAATTCACTTATATAAACATCTTATCCTAGAAGTTTGTAGAAATCTAGATCGAGTTTCCTCATTTTAAACTATTTTTATGATTCCTTAATCTATTCTCCAATTTTCTAATCCCTACATAAATCCTAAATATTATTAACCTAAATTATTTATCCTGCTCATTTTGTTGATTAAGTATTTTAGAGTGATTCTCTATTAGAATTTTAGAAAGAACTTTTGTATCCAAGATATCCGAATCCATATATATATATAAAATAAATATTATTTATAATTCTCAATAGAATCTACCTAATTTATCTGAAATTTTCTATAAATATATTTTTGATCTTTGTTAAGAATTTGAAGTTATGGAACTAGTTGAAAATCTAAATCTAATTTTTATTAGAAAAAATGACTTTTTTATTTTACGAACATTTATTGCTGCCACTAAATTAAGTAAGTCATTTTAACATTTCATGCCAATCATATATTTAATGACATTTATTTGTTTTAAGTATTCTTTAAGGATAACAAAGAAATTTTGTAAGAAAAACAAACTGTCCAGTCTTATAAATTAGAGGTCAAATAGGTATTTTGTAAAATTACTATTTAGAAATTGATTTTACTTATATTTTCAATATTAAATAATGCTTAGAGTTCATAAAATTATTAATAAACAATTTCAATTCGACAATAAGTATTTTTAACTATCACATAAATTCAGCCCTTGAACTCTTTGGATTTTTACAAAAACTATGAGGTCGCAAGATTGTCTTAATTGATTTCTATTACTGTTCAGTTTGACTAGTTCTACTATTATTAAGATTTCTAATTTAAACCTTAATAAAAAATTCTTATTTATTGATCTTCTCTCCTCAGCAAGTTCTCATTTCATTCCGTAATTTTATTACTTTATTCTTTTAATTAGTGATTTGTTCTTCTCTTTTCCTGACTTTTTAATCGATTCTATACTATTTGAATGGCTTGAGTTGTTACATGAATACTTAATATTTTTACATTATTTAATATTTGATCTATTTTAGAGAAAGCTTGATTTTAGATTTAATATTTTATTCAATCATGCTTCCAATAATATATTCACAATCTTTTCCAAAGTTGCTGTTAAACCTAAAATGTTTCATTCTGAAATGAGTTATCAATAGGAGAGATCGAATATAAAACTTTTAGAAATGGTTATAATTTTTAAATTCATCACTTCTAAACAACAAAATGAATCATTAATTCTTGATATCTAAACTTTTTTTTTTAAGGAAATATCTACATTTGAGTTATTTGTAAACATAATTATTATTATGAACTTATTTATAAAAAAAAGGAAAATTTTAGCTTGGCTTATATTTATAAGAAAAATGAATAAGTGCAAAAAACCAGCATCTATAATTAATTCATCCTTAAATTGCTTATGCTTATCAAGCGAGCAATATTATGGGACGATTCTTTAAAAGAATCTCAGTAAATTTATAACGTAATTCTTTACCCTCTACCAGGATCTTGTATATTAGAATATCCAGATTTAGAAATTATATCTCTTGCTCCTACACCAACCATAGTCTAATTTGTAATAATATCATGTATTAAATAACCAAATTTTACAATACCTTAATTAGGGATTGCTTAATCACCTAAACATGAATAAAATAGACTCTTATTATAATATAGCTTTCCGTGTTATGATATTTCACAATAAGAGTTTTTATAAATTTCAGAAAAAGTAAAAGAATTTGAAATCTTGAATGTCTATTATTACTAAGTTTAAATAAGTATCGCTTCTTTTATTTAATCACTTCAATCAAATTAGCATTTTCCAATTTGAAATCATCATTTTATTGTTTAAATTCTTTTTGTAGTTCCTCTTGATCTTTCTTAATTTTACTTTAAGTATAGTATAATTAATTGATTTCTTATTGTTTTTATTACAATAAATGATTAGAATCCTAAAGCAATAGATCATATTTATTTTTTTCATTTATCTTATTTTCCTATAACTCTTGCAAACTATTTTGTAATTCAGAATATTAAATTTTTGCTAATTTGTATTATTCTTGCTTTTCTTTAAAGAGAAGCTGAATGTTTTAAACAAAAGGTGAAATTTCTGCTACTACTTGACCTGCCAAATTTAACCCTAATGGTCGTTCTTATGGTATTGAATATAACTATAAAAAATCAATGTTTAAATTAAGAGTTTAGTCAGGAATCAATGGATTCAAGTATTCTATCATAAGAAAACTATATATAAAAATGCTCATAATACTTCTAACTGTTAGCTTATTTATTAGATAAAGTTATCAATGATTTTTATATTCATCATTATTGTTTAATATATATTATTATAACTCCTACAATTTTGATTTTAGTTTAAAAAAATATATTTTTTATCTTGTTTTTCAAGAATCTCAAAAAAAAGAGGTGTCAAGAGCTCGAAGTAATTAATTCATTAATCAATGAGTTTTATTTTTTTGGTTTTTATAAACAGGTTTTGAATAAAAATTTTAGTTCATTAAGATTCAGTCTATTTTTTATCATTTATAAAATATTATAAAATTCCAATAAATAGCTTATTAATTAAATATGTTGATTTAAAAATTTTCAAATGCTTTTAAGATATTTCTCGGATTTCTAATTAGAGGAGTGTTTATTTATTGTGTATATTTTGTCAAGTTATCCTACCTGAATTCATTAAACTTCTTACTTGTTGCAGTTGAATAATACTAAATACACAGTATAATTGGTATCATTCTAATGACTTATTGAGTGAATTCAAACTTTATTACCAATTGCATTAAAATGCAATTCTTGCCACACCTCCACAAAATAGAAATAATAAATTTTCAATATATAAAACAATTAATTAATTAAAAGCTGCAAACATGGCTCCAGTAATCGTGGCTTAATAATTTTCTCCTATTATTTCAGTTATATATTTTTTTTCAGTTATGGTCAACTATTAATTTTATAGTTAAGGTTGATGCAATTAATAATCCAGTCAGAAAAACTTATGAAATATCAGCAATTTCATGTTTTTAAAGAACTATATAATTTAATCTAAATAATAATGATTGTACCTATCCACAAAGAGGGAACGATAATTACAGCCTTTTTATTACAATAAAATAAATAAACATCATATCTAACTACACTAAAATTCCTCCAGAAATAGATCCAAAGTTTGTTTAAACAGTAATCCAAGCAACATCAGGAACATTTTTTTTAATCTAAATAATAAAGAAGCCAGAAGGTAAGAATATAATATACAGATTTAATACATTCAAATGATAATGCCTAAAAAGTATAATTTTGGTAGAAATCAAGAAGCAAGATTTAATGATTCTTAATATTAACAGTTTTTAAAAATGGCTAATCTACATAATTAAGTTTGTTTTCATTTTACATTGGATTGAATATTTGTTCAAATTTTAATATATCATGCAATTGTTAACTATTAATTATCCTTCTTGAGTTGACATATTCCTTAATGATTTTTGTTTAAGATCTGCAGAAGGAGCATTTTATAAGATAAAGGCATATATTAGATTAATTGTAAATAACGACATAGATGCTAAATACACTGGAGTGTACAAAGGGAAACGATCTCATTAAATTAGAGAATCTGAATAAATATCTTCAAAGATATCTACTATATTAGGTGTAGCAGCAAACAACCGAGAAGTACTATTTTTTTATCTAGCAAAAATCACACTTGTTGTAAATTTTCCTGCTTGAATAACTACTCTTATGGCCAGCCCATAAAAAAACAAGATCGAGTACAATGAAAAAAGATGTATTAGAAAATCATAGGTTAAATGTTATAATTCTTTATGCTATGACATCAAATTATGATTCCACAAAAATCATCCTAAGTTTGATATTATTAATGGTTTTATAATTGATTAATATAGAATTTAATCTATGAATTTTTTGTCAGTTTCAGAACATTTTCCTCTTGAGTTTTTATTCTTATGTTGTTATTTAATAATAGTTATTCTATTGATACTCATTTCTGTTTAAAATAAGGACCATCAACATTCTTTTATTGTTTGTTTTTAATTTTTATACATTTTGTTTTATTTAAAAATTAAATTGATTTTTTCTTTAACTAAATGAAAAATAAAACATTTCTAATATTTTACAAGCAATAATCAATAATTTTTTTTTCAACAACTCACATTGAAATCTATATTGATTAGAATTCATACATCAGTTGATTAATAAAGAATTAAAGACATTAATTCAACTGTTTATTAATCAAATATTTTCGACTTTCATTATTCGCTTCATAGTTTATCATTTCTTTTAAATTGATGACATTTCTACTCTATGAATCGAAATTAAATGGAGTGATTTATCACTTTGAATCGAGTAAATACTTGATTCAACAATTTACTAAAATTGGCTACTTATTTCTAAAATTCTTATCTAGACTTAAAGAATGATTACTTTTGGTTAAAACTCATAAGAATTTATAAAAATAAAAAATTAATATCAAATTATCTAATCCAAATCATTATGATTTAATCTAAGTTAACCTCTATTTTTTTTCATGAAATGAGTATTAGAACCTAAAATATTTCCATCTGAAATAATTTCAAAAAATAAAATCAATAAATGATATTGAATATAATAATTGCAAAATCTTACAGTGAGTGGTTTTTCATGTAATTTTCTCTTGATTAACTTCTACTTCTCATCATACAAATTAATTTGTCTATTAAATTTTATACTAAGAAGCATTCATATAATATTAATCAGGTCGAGAGATGGTAAATTATCTCCCTGTAGAAAGAATCTTTAATGATCTAACTTTTTAGTAGATGATTTTTCAATTATCAGAATGAAGAATTTTCCGAAGTAATTATCTACAACAATATTACAAATTTTTTATTCCGAAAGTAAATATATAAATCAACTTGATATTAAAAATGATTAGTAAATTTTATGATTTCATTATACTCAACTTAACTTATTTTTAATTAGGGATGCTAAAAGATGTGTTAATTTTTTTAGGAAGCTCCACCTGCAATTGATTTTAAACAAAAAGGTACATGTATTCTCCAAATGTCAAGATAAAGCTCAACGATATCTAAATTATATTGAATTGGTCAATCATGATTGGTAGGCGAAAATGATTACGTAATAATTAGACTTTTTATTTTGAAAATATTTATAAACTGCATCAAAATTTTATGTTTTATCATTTTTAAATTTGTGCTCATTTGATATTTCTTCTTCAACATGTTGTAGCCAACTGGATACTGATTGATAATAGCTTTACCAATATGCCTATTATAGAGAATAATTGGAAGACTTTTTCTGGATATTTAGAATAATTTGAAACATCATTTATCTCTTCAACATGTAGTGAAAATTCATTAGAATATGCGATTTTATAAAGTTCCGTATAATAGTTATCGAAAAGACTTTCATATAAAGGTTATGAAGCTTAAGTTATTTTTGATGTATATTTTGATGATGCTGATAGTGCTGTGGAATCATAATTCAAAGTTACTTATGAATTTAAAGATAATTTTACATATTCTGAGTAACAATTATATCAACGAGATTACAAATAATCTGATTTAATTCAAAGCAGCGCTCTAACTTGTCATAGCACTGTTAGCAATTTTGATTTCCAAACAGTTGTAAGTACAATAGCTTAGCATAATAAAAACTAATTTTCCATAAAACTGTGTCTTGATCCTGGAAATGATAATATGAAGGTAGGGATTAGAAATTTATTGATATATGTAAATACCTGCCATCCAACCTGTTTTACTTGTAATGGCCCTACAGAAACAGAATGTTTATCATGTTTTTAAAATGAAATATCTGCAGGGAGATGCACTTGTATTCCAAATTATCAATTTTCTCAAACTTTAATTGGCTGTCTTTAAGAATGTAGGAGAGAAAATTCAATTGCACGTTTTGATAAAATATGCGTTGAAGACAAAAGAATAAAATAAAATGTTACTTTATTTTCTTCTACTAATTTTAATTCAGGATACTTTCCTCTCATCTTTGAAAAAGATGAGTTTAATTATAAAAACTCTGATTTAGTGGATGATGATTGCTACCATCATGATTTTATTGGGAAGCTTCAATATAATGAAGGAATGCTTTATTAGATGAATCTGGAAAGTTCTGTAAAGTTTATAAGAATTCGGATTACATTTTATTTGTTTAACTTTAACGAAACAAGTAGCATCTACATATTATAAAATAATCAATTATAATCTCGAATAACAAAAGATCCAAATGGTTTCTCTGTTGAAAATCTATAAAAAATATCTGAGATGAAACACTTTTGTATTAGTAGTGATACTTTATTAAGAGTAGAAATGATTTTATAATTATTTAATCCAAATCCAAATATATTAATTAAAGGATAGCTTTAATAATAAAATGAATCCTGGGGGTTTAAATATTTTACGGTAGACAAAGGATATTGTTAAGAAAATTGTGAAATTTGTTCTGACTTCTCATCATGCCAATCGTGTAAAACAGATTACAAACTATACCGAAATTCATGTGTTATCACTTGCCCCATTCATTCATCAAATTGCATTGATTACTAAGATATCTTACCATGTAAATTATTATTGAATTATATTTAGATTCTAGGTACTTAGCTAAAGGCTTTTATAATTTAAATATGACTTTGTCAGAGATTTAATCATATTATGATATGACAACTGATCCATAACTTAGCTAATCTTCAGGATAAAAATTTTCTTTTTTAAATAATAAAATAGTGTTAGGAGGTTTATTAGTTTGGAATGATGGATCATATATCAAAACATGGACGATTTCTAATCCCCATTATGCAGCCACCATATATTTTAATTTAACATATGGAGATAATTACACTGGGAATTTTTTTTATATAATAGGAGATTCTTCAAGCAGTCAAAAATACGGACCTTTTAGTAATCCTGGGGGAGGATAAAATTTAATTGGTCGTAAAGAGCTAGAAAGCACTAAATACTTTAATATAAGTTTAACAAACTTTTTTTCTAACAATCTTTATGTCGAGTTTGTTTGTGATGTCGTAACTGCTGATATTACAAAGGAGTTTTGTGCAATATCAGAATATTTTATTGTTATTCATTATGTATACTATTAAAATTATGATGTAGTGTCCTCCATTTTGCTCTAGCTGTACAGGTTTTAGCACATGTTCAGATACTGTAAATAATAATTGCAACTCTAACTAATATTTGGTCTTTGATTCATAGACTGAAAGTTATAGTTGCAAAGATTGTAATTAACCTGGATGTATTACATGTACAAGAGCAGAGGAATGCACTTAATGCATTAATGATTAATTTAATTTGAGCAATGGAATTTGCTTATGCAAACCATTTACATTTTTATTAGGAAATACTTGTGTTTAATGCAATAAATATTGTGAATATTGCTTTGGTGACTCCTAATATAATTGTCTTACTTGTGTGAGAGATTATCATAGAGGTATATAAAGAAAGCAATGTTTATGCTTAACTGGGTATTATGATGACGGAATCAATTTACCATGTCTTCCTGTTTGTGGAGATGAGATAGTGGTGGAAGAAGAAGATTGTGATGATGGTAATAATAACCCATTTGATGGTTGCAATAATTGTAAATGAACTTGCAATTTTGCGTGTGATATTTGTTTAAATGGAAAATGTTATTAATGTAAAAGTGGTTACGAAGTTCATAACAATGATTGTCGCTCTATATGTTTAGGAAATACAATTGGACTACCCTAATAATGTTTTGAAGAAAGAAGCAACTGTGTTAATTGTTAGTTTTAATGCTCGATACAATGTGCAGTTTGTGATTTTGGTATTTGTTAATAATGCAATGAACCAAATGGTTGGTATTTGAAAACGGATGGAACTTGCCATAGTATTTGCGGTGACAATATTTTAGTTCTTGAAGAAGAATAATGTGATGATGATCAGAATATTCTTTGCAATTAATGTTAAATTACATGCGATATAAATTGTTTAGAATGTATTAAGGGAGTTTGTGTTACTTGCGCCTAAGGATACAAATGGAAATAATAATTTTAGAAATGTGTGTTAATGTGTGGAGATGGAGTCTTAGTGAACTACGAGAATATCTGTGAGGATAGGAATAACCTATTAGATGATGGATGTTATTTATGTTAATTCAGTTGTTAACAGTCTTGTAGTTTATGTACTCAAAATGGATGTCTAAAATGTGATGCCATCGGATGGAAATTGGATGAATTATAAAAAAAATGTGAAACTATATGTGGTGATGGGATTATAGTTTAAAATTATGAAGAATGTGATGACTTAATTGATGAAAATTGCTACTAATGTAGATATAATTGTTAAGAGTCGTGCTTAATTTGCCAATATGGTAATTGTCTACATTGTAAAGAAGGGTGGCTTGTAAACTTGGATTAGAAGTGTTATTCCTTCTTTGGAGATTCTAAAATTGTTGGTGAAGAATAATGTGATGACTATAATTCCATAATGTATGATGGTTGCTATCTTTCACAATATTAATGCTAATAATCATGTTTGGAGTGCAAATTTGGAGTTTGTATTAATTGTGAGCTTGGATATTATAATCTAGATGGAAGATGCCTTGTAATCTTGAATGATGGACATACAAAAGGTAATGAACAATGCGATGATATGAATTTAGTAGCACAAGATGGTTGTTTTAATGGTATGTATGATTGTCCAGGAAATTGTAAGTATTGTTATCGAGGATAGTGTTTACAGTGTAATCTAAAATCATACTAGCTTAATACTTTAGATAATTAATGTATATCGTACTGTGGAGATGGTTATTTATCAGATTATGAAGAGTGTGATGATGGTAATATTATTCCATATGATGGATGTCATTAATGTGTATTTTAATGTAGTTAATATTGTCAAATTTGTTAATTTGGAGTATGTTTTGAATGTTCAATAGGTTATTACTTAGATAAACCAAAAAATAGCTGTTATAATATATGTGGAGACGGAATTCTAGTTCATGAGGAATAATGTGACAACGGTAATTTAGGTTCTAACGAAATATGTCTGAGTTGTAACTTAGTCTGTAATGAATAATGTACTACGTGCATTGATGGATAATGTTTTGAATGCACTTCATTGGGATGGAAATTAGATTTATTAAATATGAATTGTTAACCTACTTGTGGAGACTTATTGGTTGTAGGGAATGAATAATGTGATGATGGAAATCAAGATGATGATGATGGGTGCATTGACTGCTATATTTAATGTTAAGACCAATGCACATTATGTGAATTGGGTTTTTGTAAAGAATGTAATGTTAAAGGATGGGAACTTATTGATGCAACATGTATATCAATATGTGGAGATAAATTAGTCTTAGGGTTAGAGGAATGCGATGATGGCAATTAGCTTCCATATGATGGTTGCTATGAATGCAAATTTTAATGTTCAGAATAATGTACTGAATGTTAGAATGGTGTTTGTAAAGCGTGTATTAGTCCAGGGTGGGTTCTTGATCCATAAAACCGGTGCACTACTTTATGTGGAGATGGGATCTTTGTTTACCCTTTTGAATAGTGTGATGATGGTAATGATAATCCAAATGATGGTTGTTATTTGTGCGAATTTCAATGTTCAAAAGGTTGTATTGAATGTCAGCAATAGTAATGTAACAAATGTGATAATTCTTATATATTGGATATTAAAACAGCTAATTGTGTTAAGGAAAACTTAAATGATTATAATGATTTAGATATTGAGATTTAACAAATAATTTGGTTAACAAATTTCAGATGTGGAGAAAATCATATCTTAATTGATCATGCATGTGTTAGCTAATGTGGAAATGGGATATTAATCAATCAATATGAAGAATGTGATGATGGAAATAATTATGGAGGAGATGGATGCTCTACTAATTGTCATATTGAGGATTCCTATCAGTGTATAAATTAATAAGGATCATTAAGTTTATGTGCGTATATTGTACCCCCGAAATTTAATTTAAATATTCTCTCTAACAATGTTCAATAAACACAAATAGTTGAGTTGACTTTCAATTAATAAGTAAAATTGGAGGAAGGTCTAAAGTTTGAAGAAGTCATTGTGTTAACTATCATTCCATAAACTCCATATCGATTAACCGTCGATAGTATATCGAACTTAACAAATACCCTAAATAATCCTAAATATTAGATCTAGATAGAATTTATTGAACCTGTATAATATCCGATTTTACAGGTTGATATACAGAAAAATACCATATTCAATAGAGATTTAATAGGCCTATTTGAAAATTAAAAATCTGTTAATTTTGGCACTCCGATTGTCCTTTTAGAATCAACTAAGTAATAATTAATATCTATCGTTTAACTAAATAATATTATGATGTATTTAATGGTTGGAATCTCAAGTTTTGCATTTCTAACAGGAAATGCGATAATGTCTCTTAATTTATTAGATTTATTGTAGTCATTATCTTATGTGAAATACATGCAATTTTAATTTCCACCGCATTTTAATGATTTCTTAAACAGTTACACTAAAGTCTCATTATAACCCATTTTAGAGATATCTTAAATAGATTAATTATTTGCAATAAATACATCAAATCATGTAAACAGTAATTTACAACAAGACCCTAAATATATCTTTCAATAGCCTTATTTATATAATGTTAAAAGTTGTTATTTTTCTGTCTTAATATCCATGCTTACTTACTTAACATATTCTTTAATATCATCTGACAACTTTTAACAAAAAATTTTCACACTCTTTTTAAATTTTAGGAATAACTATAAAGTCGTTAAATTAATAAGTATATTTTAATAGAAAGTTCAGAGAACATGCGTAAAGTAAAAACAAGAATACTTTTCTTTAGGAATATTTAAAGTGTATTTAGCCATACTTCATTAATTTATGTTCAGCGTAATGTTATAATTTCCCAATTACAATTTTAGCTCTCCATTTGAATTTTTCAATAGTATTAATGCTATATTTGGATTGATGTTGATTCTAATATCTACAATAAATTTGCTTTCAATTACTACTGTTTAAATAAAAGATATACGAAGATGGAAGCATTTTTTTACAGAAACTAAAACTCAATTTTGGGCTCTTCAATTTAAG